TTTTTTTTTTTTTTTTGTTTTTGTCCTTTCTTTTTTCTCTCTGGACCGATTTCTGCTTCCTACTTCGTTTTTGCATGCTGCTTACCCTCGCACATGCCTATGCACTTCGTCCTTTTGCGAGTGCGTCGCGCACACTTGCAAGGACTTGTTCCTCCATCCATGCGTCTGCAGCTACCTCCGCTGTTGCTCCCTTGTTGCTTTGCTCTTCGCTCCGTACCCCTTTCCGCTATCACGAGATCCGTCATGTTTTTTTTTCTCTTTTTCTACCTACCTATCTGTCTTACCTATTTGCAGTTCAATTCGTTTCTTCACTCATCTAGTTCCGCCCTGTTCTGCGTCCTATCCTCTGCTTCACCACTCCTGATCTCCTTGTTTCAATACTTCTTAATCGATCCAATTTTATTTCATGTTCGTTTGAGCCTCTACGCCTTCAGTCTGATTAGCAACTCAGATCTGCTTGTTCGGATCATTTCTGCGTCCGTGGAAGCTTCTCTCCTACTGATCTTCTGCGATACTATTTTCGATTCGATGATCTATTACTGGCTCCTCTCTTTATCTTCCTGAGGGCTACTTCCATTCGATTGTTTTCACCCAAGAATCATCATTCTAGATCGTGCTTTCCAAGGCCATGTAGAATCAAATGTGACAGGGCTGGCCTTATTAGCCACCCGCACGTTGATACTCCCTCTCTTCCTGTCGAACCGTCTTTCACACACACGCTTATTTATCCGTTCTTCTTTTCATTACTAATGACCTACATTCGCAGAGATCCATGTGCTTAATTTTTTTTACTTTCCCCTTCTTTGGGATTTTTACCAGTCACTCCTGCTTTCAGTGCCTCTATTTGTTTCTGAATGATGTGGTTGTCTATTTCTATGTTCCGGAACATTCCTGGTGTATACTTGACTCCGTTGGGATCCCACGTCTCTGGTCTTCCTCTGTGGGCCGTTTTCACCATCTCTCTGTCAAATGCTGGTCCTGGCTCCATCTTCTTCTGCTTTGACAGTCCTATGACTTGCCGTACCACTTCGTCCCTAGCTTCTTTTTTCCACTCGTCGACATCCGGATGCTTTTTCCTAATGAAGTCCATGGCATACTTGTCAGAGCCATATCCTTGTTTCCCTTTTGGCTCAGCTACCTCTTCAGATACTTCTTCGACTTTTCCATCCTTCGGTCCAGCCACTGTCGCCGGCGCTATGACTTTGTCCGTGCTTCGCTGCACGGAGTCACTTGCATCATCTCGGATTTCTGTTCTCGCACGAGAAGCTACCGTTTTCGGCCTGACTCTTCTGCCTGCATGAGGTTCGTGCTCGTCTTTTTCTAGCACACCTTTCCTCCGCAGGTTTACCTTCCGTAGTCGCTCCTTCCAATCCATCACGATTGCGTTTGAGCTTGCCAGGGGTCCATTTTATTGAATCAACCGTGCTTTATTCAGCTCTACCACGATGGAAAATCCTTCTTAATACTGCTGTTTATTCCTTTACGTCGTTCAGGTTTTCATTGAAGCTATTTAAGTATCCTAATTTTTGGATACCTCACCATTTTGCTGCGGGTCACAAGACTAAAGACTCTGGTACTCATTCTTAGGACTTTTCATTACTCGTTTTCGCCGTGGGAGTCATCTGATATCTTGATTTTCAAACTGAGGGCTAAAGACCTCTCTAACTAAGATTCTCTCCTCGTCTTTCATTCCTCTTGTAGATCCTCTCTTTCCTTTCGTATTTCGTCACAGGACGCGAGCGTTTGTACTCACTCTCTTTTTTTTTTGTTCGTCGCTTGCACACTTTATGACGCGTTCTGCTCCCATCACGACGAGCTACCGCTCAATGTTGCTCAAGGTAGACTTCTTTGATATGACACAACGATTATCTCCTTAGACGATGTCTTGTTTCGAAAGTTCCGAGATTTGGAAGCTCAACATCGCTCTGCAAAATGCCGACGAGGACCTGACCCGTGCTTATGCAGCTTCTCCTCGCTCCTCTTCTCTACTGTATCCACGCTCCTTCCATATATCTCCTCTGCATGCCTAATTCTTCAGTGCTTCTCCTCTTCTTCTCAGGAACCACCAGAACTTGTACTCTCGCGGCTTGTGTCTCGATTTTACTCGACATGTACATGGTTACTTACCACTTCTCTGGTTTCAATTGCGTCCTCTGCCCAACGCAGCCGAGGTTGTCGAGGACGACGGGCTGGATGGGGAGGACGAGGAGAAGAACGAGATATGATCTTGGATCACCGGACCGTTATCCGCCTTGCCGCGCTTCTTCTCTTGAGCCCGCGCCATGAGACTGCGCGGGTTCGGCAGCTCGCCCTCGATCGCCATTGCTGTCATCATGATGTTGTTGTACGCGACCATCGGGCCGATCGCCTTCGCATACGCCACCCTCTCGAACGGACAAATGCTAACCGCGCACGGCGTGGAGAGTGGAGTGTACTTGTTCTCGTCCACATTCTGCTTCATGATGGCAGCATACTTTTCGACATCCTTTACATCTAGCTCCAAATCCTGCAGCATTACTGTACATTTTTATGCCAATTCGAATTCTCTCTCTTATTACAACCATGTGATGTCTGTGATCACATAGTAGTGAAATTCAAGGTTGGCTATGCCTATGGAGAGTAGATGGAGTAGTTAATAAAAGTAAAACGAAAAAGATTGTCGGAGATTATTAAAAAAGAAGTAGAACAACATCAACAAAAAGCAGCACAATTATCAAAATCAAACATCATTGACGAGGGGTTCGTCTCCCTTCGTCATTTTTGCTTGCTGTATCATTTTTACAGCGTGTTGCATGCGTACGATTCTTTCTCCTGCGCTCGTCAATTTTTGGGCGTTATCGAAGAATTTCATGGTGTTCTTCCCATGGTCTTCAATAACGTCGCCCGTGGTGATTGTTTTGGTATTTCCCCGTTCTAGCATGGGTGTCGTTCCTTGTCTGCTCAACTGTGTGGCGAAGGAGGCGTTTTTCTTCAGGGCTGGCGGTTGGTCTTCGCTTCCCGTTGTCACTGTTCTTGTACCATCCACCTTGTTGTTTTCGCCTGTCGTTGTCGCAGTCGCTGTCGCGGCGCCATCTTCTGCTGCACCTTCTTCGGTAGTCATGACGAAGTCGGAGCCCTCTTCAGTGGTCGAAAGAGCGGCCATAAAGGCTTGCGCATCGAACTGACTGTTGAGGTTGCATCGGAAGAGAGTTCTGCTAAGGGTTCGCTTCAACTTCGCTTTCATGTTACCACCTGTAAGCGCAACAAGTTGTCGTCGGAAAGCACTTTTGAATCTCGAAGTCGCTGTTTCTCCTTTCTGCGCCTGTGATTTTCTTCTCTGTTTGGCACTCGTCCCATTTGCTCCATCTTCCCCAGTATTTTTGTTCATCTGTGGAGAAGTTCCACGACCACCATTTTTAGCGACTGCCTGTGCATCCTTTTTCTTCTTGGACGCTGCCGCTGCTGCCTGACGGCCTCCTAATGCGGCGACACCGCGAGTCCGCAGTTGTGTCGACGCTCCTCCTGGTCCTGCCACGCCCTCATCTTCACCTGGCACCTCTGGATGATGTTCTGCAGTAGGAATGTAAGCAGCACCCGAGGACTCATCAGGGCAATCTGGTACAACTTCCTTTGAGTTTGAGACGTCTTCTTCAGCAGCTACAGCTTCATCCTCCTCTCCTTCGATTAATCGCTCTACTTGGTCTTGCTCTTCCACCTGGGATGAGAGAGGTAAGAAATCCTCTACATCCTGATTCACTCGTTGCTGCAAGGCCTCTTCCGCTTTTTCTTCTTCGTCTATGAGCTGCTGCAAGATGCTCTGTTCAGAGCCCTGTGCCAAACTATCGACGTCCAAAATCTCCACCCGAAATCGTAAGACAGTACCATGTGGAGCTTGAACGCTCTTGCTATCGTGTGGCTTCGCCGCCTTGTCGTGCTCCACGAGAAGGCAAAAACCATGCTTGTCGTAACCTTGAAAAGAAAGAAGATGTTGATGACGATATTCGTCAGAATCTATATAGAAATAGATCGTGATTATAATTGTGTTGCTGCTAGTTCAAATGCATGTTTTTTATCGTCTTGAGAGGAGAAAGTAAGTAGTTGTGCTTCTTGCTCCAGCTATACCAGGTACAACAGGTTGTTGTTCAACGAGGACTAAAAGAGACAGTAAAAGAACTTACCTATCGCCAATTTCGGATAGCTTTCTGGGGACACGGTGCAATCGTCATTCAACTTCCATCTTTGAAACGGTCGTTCCCTGTCCTTATCCCCGATCGCTTGCACTTGCGTACCTGGCTCCGTGTTATTTTTCACCGCAAGCGCGGCTCGTCCAGTAAGTTCTTTCTTCGCAGTACTACTGCTGGCCGCGGCATCAGCATCGTACAGCAAGTCCCAGCATTTTCCGTTTCGGAAGGATTCCGTGGCTTCCTCCCTCTCTAGGACGATTTTATCACCCGCGCGCAGTGCCATTCCGTCTTTACTCTCTGCAGACCAAACTTCCTGCAAGTTTGCGACGCCGTGGATGCGACCAGCCTGCCAGAAGAAGCCCTTTCCGCTCGGTTCCAACTTGTCCTCCACTTCTCGCGGCTGGATAACCAGCTCCCCAAATTGATTCAGTGTGACCCGTTTAGTCCAGTCTTGCGAGAAAAGCAAGACGCGAACATCGATACCGCGAACCAGGCAAGAAGGGTTCCTATGCTCTACGCGTCGCTGCGCATGAAGCATTGTGCTCTCTACCTCCCACTGGACGTACTCAAAATTCTGCCCACGGACACGAAGAAGCAAAGGGTGCTTGCCCTTGGCGTAGTGCTCAAACGACAACATCTCGGTGTCTGTTGTCGAAACAGTGATAGATAATTTATTACAGTGATGATTTTGGAAACAGTGATGATTGGAAACTGTGATCTAAGATGAAATGGTTTTATCATAAATGGAATCTCCTACATCCGATCAACATGAAGGCGTACAACAACTTACGAAATAAAGAGCAATTATGAAATGCAAGCGTAGCTGCATACTACCTAGCAGGAGCATCCTTCGCATGTTTATGGCTACGCCTAGGCAGTTCCCTGGATGTGCTTCTGGGGTGATCACAAAGTTTGGATGCAGAGTCCAACGGTAGCGTTTGACTAAATCGTGGTCCATGTAGTTGGAAATCGCGGAAAATTCTATATCGTGGTCGCTGCCCCTATAGCACAGAGCCGCGTGCGGATTGCTCACGAGCCTGATGTAAGGACCATCGAAGAAAATGTCTAAGACGCCCTCTGGACTCTGCGTCGGCACAGGTTTGACACTGAAGCTCTGGTCCGCATTGCCCAAGACCTTGCCGCCCATGCCTTGCTTCAACGTGATCCCCCAGCCCTTGTGGGAAGCAAGCTCAAAAGGGAAAATACGCTCGGGGCCCTGTGGAGAGGAGGATTTAGATCGCTTCTGATGAAGTTGCACAAGATGATGGCACCCGTAAAGTTTTCCTTCGTCAAAGAAGATGAGCAAGAAAAGAATTTTAATATGACTAACTTGTTCTACTTACCTCTATGAATTCTGGCGTTCAATATGTTGGGTAGAAAGTCAAAGTTCCCTTAGATCATAGTACCTGCAGTCCAATCGTTTCGTCGACCGGGATGGAGTCTGGAAGTTGGATGTGGAGCCTGCGTTCTACGTCTAGAGCGGGCACCAGGATGATCTTGCCTGTGCGAGAAAACCCCCAGACTAGGTCTCGGCGCCTCAGCGGCGAAATGGTGCCGTCCATGTTGACCACGAAGCGCTGGCTCTTCTCCGAGCCGCTACAGTACTTGCAGCCTATCGGCACTGCGCAATGCGCTAGAGCGGCCAGCGAGTCCTCGCAGTCGACCGCCATGGCAGGCGCACTCGCTAAGCGCAATGTCCGCCTCTTGGCGCTAAAGTAGACTTCTAAAGGCTTCCAAAAGCGATTCTGAATGACCTTCCCGGATTTGGAGTCGGTGTGCCACTGAGCAGCTAAATACCAGTCAGATTCCTTCATCGCTTCCCTTAAGAGAACCGACCCACCAGACCCAACGCTTCGACCTCCAGCAGAGGACGCTAAGCTTCGGGTACTGTCTTCCCGCGTTGCCACGTTACCAGCACCACTATTGCCTCTACTAAAAGTGCCAGAACCGCCACCAGGTATAATAGCTAGGTACTCCTGAGGCGCTACATCAGCGCCTGCTGTTGCGCCGTCCTCGGGAATGCGTGGCAGCAGCGCGTCTCCTGGGCCAAGAAGTCCTCTGCCACTTGCCCCTGGGCTGCGGGGCGTGGTTGTGTTATCGCCTCCCGCTGCTCCGGTTACTAGCATGTTGGTGTTTCCACCACTTGCCACAGGCGACAGATCTCCCAGGATATACCTCCACGGATTTTCGGCCAATTGCAGAGTTTCCATAAAGTTCAAGTCGTACCTGCGCATCAACGACTCGAAACGCGTCATTTCCATGTCTTTTAGCGTGACCGTGTCTATTTGCGACACGTAGTCCAGACCAGCAAAGTAGAATTCTGTGTGGTCTGGCGGCATGATGAAGAGGAATTCCTCGAAGGGAGCCATTTGACGACTACCGCCGTTCTGCTCTCCGCTTGTTGAATCTGCGTCCTCCTCCTCATCTACGGAAGCGCCTAGAGCTGCCATCATGCGCGCAAGTGGCATCACCATAGTACGCGAAACACGAGTCGCGACTGTGGATAATTGGAGCTTCTTGTTTTTTCCTGCTGCAGCTCCTGCAGCGCCTGTAGATGAATCACCTCGAGCGCCCCCTCTAGAGTTGCTGAACCAGTTGACACCAGCGCCTGCGCCTCCAGGAGTGCTCATTTTGCGAATATCTACTCCCGTCTCCCCGCTGTCGTTCAATGCGCTCCGTGTTGACGTCGTTGCTGGCAAGAAGTGGTGATGATCCGCGGCGCCTGAGTCTCCACCTTTCTCTGGCGCAGTCCCGAACACCACTTCTCGCAGCGCGTTGGTGTTGTGGCCGTGGGACTCGTTGCGGTGCTTCGCCAGATTCTTCAGCCTGTCTTCAGCGCGTTGCGAGCGGTGGAACATAGCCCGCGCCCCACCCGGTCCGAACGTGCGCTTGCGGCCCAAAGCCTCCAGCATCTCGCTGTCGCTGAACTTGTACTCCCGCGCGAGCTCCTGGCGAGGATCGTAGTCGCCGCCCTTAGCAAACAGGTTCTGCGCGAAGTCCCAACTTGATGACGACGCCGTCTCCAGGCAGTCCAACTCTTCATCGTCTAAATGTTCTTAGAACGGGTACTAAGGTTAGGTTAGGTTACAGATCCTGCACAACGAGCCCCAATGCCACTAACAAGGACAAGCTACTTGTACTTTTTCATAACAAGTTATATGTTGTTATAACTACATCTATCAAGAACTTGTTGTTCTCAGGCACCTTTACTACTCGAGCCACAACATGATGGGATTCGCTGTCTCACACTGAAATGATGTCTTTTCAACTACGAAGAACTACTTCAACTATGATCATGAAGAACAACCGGCGGAACTAGTTCAACTACAACTTCTAGAAACTATTCAATATTCTTCTAGCATCAATAGTTTCACACTTTATTCCCACCATAAAATTACTCAATAACAATATAATTCTTCTAGCAATCATTCAATTATTGAATAGTTTCACACTTTATTCACTTTCCACCATAAAAGTCTTTTTTGTGATTCCCGCTTCTGTTGCTGTTTTCGCGTCCGCTGCGGAATGACAGTTCTGGCGGTGACATCCATCCGTAGTTCGTTTTAGCTCGCCTTATTGCAAGAGAGTCAAGCATCTCCACCATCTCCACATTTCGCACGTCTCTTAAGGACTTACCCATGTACACCTGGTAGAAGATGTCGTGTTGAAGATGATGTCGTGAATCTTGATCTTCGCAAGCAAACAGAAACAAGTACAAGAAGTACTTCTAGATGAAACACGAAGATAAAGATATTAGAGAGGTTGAGTTTTTATCTGAACATGAAGAACAAATAAAGCTATAGTAAGTATACATAGAACTAACAACAAAACCGATGTCCAATTTTTACTTTGTAGTAGTTAATATTTTTACTTTCTTTACAGTAGGCGAAGGCTGACAATGATGATGTCAATTTTTATATTGAAAGCAGCTCTCCAAAAATCAAAGGTTGTACCATGTCCCCGAGCACCTTCTGCATGATTACGAGTGGAACGCCTTGTGCCGTGAAGAGTTGCACCTTAGTCGTTGCGGCAGCCTCTGGGGCGACCTCTCTAAGGCCTGTCGCGGGCATATCTAGGACGTCCAAAAAGTGGAGTCGGGTAAACGAGTCCTCCTCCTCGCGCCGCTCCAAAGGAGACCGCGTCCTCACTAGAAACAGCTTGTTTGCACTACTGTATTCGCGATTGCGAATGATGGACGCGCGCTGCAAAAAGCCCATGTCTTGTCGCGTGTGGGCATGCACCTCTTCGTGCGTCAAGTTGCTCAGCATGTTCAGACTGTCCCTTTGCTCCCTGCGCATCTGGTCTCCGGCATTGCTCTGTATCTCAAAGCTTTGCGTGCTCTTTCTCAAAACCTTCGCATTGTTCCTCGTCATATCCTTGATGTTCGCGCCACCAGCTGCATTCGTCCCTCCAGGAGCCTTTCCTTTCCCACCATCGTTCTTACCTCTGTTAGACAACTCGCTTCCTTGGCCGTCTCTAGGTGTGTCGCGTGCTCGCGGACTGGTGAGACTGTGATCCTCCGTCTCGAAATCCAAATCGTAGGTGTCGGTTGCACTGCGGAAAGTACCAATGCAAAGGTCAGGCCTCAACACTGGGCTTAACGTTCCGTCAGCGTTTAACGCAAATTTTTGGTTCGCGTTCCGGTGATGGTAAAAAACCTGGAGGAGATGTTAAAGTTAAACATAATTGATATTGATAACACCTCCAGGGCTACTTAGTAGAAAAATTAGACAAGAGTGTTAAATGAGAATTAGAGCCTGAGGAGCAGAGGCTGAGGCATAGGGCTACTCTTAGTTACTAGCAGTACTAATATAGGAGAAGTTGCAAACTAATGTTACTAGCGCTAGTACACAACTATAAGAGAAGTTGCAGTTGCAAACAGAAAATAAATCAAAATCAGCACTTCATCTTGTTTATTCTCATGATTATCTTCAACAGTAGTTGCAAGTACCTGTATTTCGGTTCCGAATTTGTATTTCTGTGGGTCTCGGTAGAATGGTCGCGCACTCCTGCCTTCCGCTCGAGCGCACCCCTCCTCTAGTTCGAATTCTGACCACGTCCGATACATCCGCACTTCCAACGCTAGCGTTGGCTGGTCCGCTAAACGTATGTACTGGCCGTCGAAGTACACAGAGCACGCATCGGCTGCATTGCAGAACTCTAGGAAGCGCTCCCTCGGCACACCACTCGGCGACGCTGTCGGACCCAAATTATCTTCTCCGAAAATCGCCGCCATGGACTCGGTCCTCTCGGGCGCAAGTTTCAAACCCATGCCACGGTGGGAGGCTAAAGTCAGCTTGCGAGCCTGTTGTAGATCATTGGAAGAACAGAAGTACGTACTGACTACCTAGATTTTGAAGAACAGGTAGATGATCTTGATTATGAGCTACTTGAGTTGTAATTATCATCCTTGGAGGTTACATCTCTTCCTGTTGGTTACTTTCTTATCCTAGTCCTACCCGTAGCCGTACCCTGCAACGATCCAAAATGAATTCTAGGCTACCCTGTTCTAGTACGAAATGAGCAACAAGCAAAAACCTTAATGCTACAGTTGTAGTTGTTGACGATGAAACTCTATAGTAGTTCACAAAATTACCAGAGCCACTGCTGTTCCTGTACAAATCTTGAATAAAATCGAAATCACAAAACGAACATCAAGACCATGAGAAGAACCTGTGCTGAGCCGTGCACTCTGCTTGGCGGTCGAAAAGTTATTGCTGGTGGAGCCAGAGGGTTAATTGCCGTCATGCATCCTCGATTTTGGTTATTCTTCTTTGGTGTCACTCCTCTATTCGCAGTTTTCGGTTGCCGAGGACTAGCTATTGTTGATGTCGTACTTGCTTCTCCCGTTTTCTTATTCACACTAGTGCGCCGTGGAGCACCTTCGCCAACGCCATCTACTACTGCCACTTGTTTTCCTTCACCTCCAGCAACGCCCTCACCACTGCTGGTGACAGTATTTTGTGTCTTAAGATCCTCTTTGGTCGTGCTATCTCCTGTGCCATCTTTGCCTACCGCACCTTCTTGACCACTTCTTGGGGAACGCGGTGATCCCTCGTCGTCCTCGTCGATAGCTCCCTCAAGCGCCTCATCTTCGCCACTCGGGATTCGGGCAAGTGAGGGCAAGTGAGGGTCTTGCGGTGCGGATCCGTCGCTGTGTCTCAGGAGAATATTGGGAACGTCTGCCCAGCTCCGTCGCACTTGCAACTTGGTCTTCCCGTTTCTCCCATACTCGGTTCGTGGTGTCTGCGACGCTCGTTTTCCGATAGTGGTGTCACGTCCCTCAGTAAGCTGCTCGACTCCATCGCTTCCACCGTCAGGCGGAACCCCGCTACCTCCTGCTCCATTTTGGTCAGGAGCCCCTCTAATATGGCTACTGGAAGAACTGCACCCATCGTTTGCTTGTTGTAATCGTATCCGATCTAGCATAGCACTAAGCCTCGTTAAGGGTGCGGCTTCTTCTTCCTCCCCACCATCCGCAGCGACGTCCTCTAAAACCACAGCGGCGGAATCCAGAAGGGGTGTCTCCTGAACCCCAGCACCGGAAGTTACTACCTCACGTCCCATCTTTCTCGAATACAAATACTGCTTGTTTAAAGGGGATAGCCAGAGTATAAGTAGAGAAGAAAGTCAATCAAGCAATTAGTTAAGGAGCAATTTTTATGTGGTCATTAAGAACGCAGCGGCCCCCAGTGGGCTAATGGCCGTGCCACTGCCACAGTTGTCGCGCGGAGTCAAGTTTCAACCAATCAATATCACGAATGAGGTGGGTAAAAACGAGAACAAAGAAATGAGGTCATGATCTAAACCAAACCTTTCTTCAACACATCCACGACTTCTGCACCAGCGTACAACAATGCAGCAGGGGGAAAAAGAACAAGTCGGGGAGCATTGGCTCGGGAACGAACAACTGATAAAAATCCAACTCAGTTATTACAAGTAGCTGCATTATCGTGGTATTCACAACTATTGGATCCATCCTAAGTACTTATTTTATCATTTAGCTACGCAACAAGGGTACTTCAGCTTTCCTCTCTTTCGGTCGAATTATCGCCATGAACAGAATGAAGGTGACGCGACGTCGGACAGAAGATTCCGTCAGAAAGATTTTGATTTTTTTGGGTCGTGTACAGGAGGAGATCATCTCCGAAGATGCAGAAAATTTTCATGGTCGTGGTCGCTCATTTTGCCAAGGCTAGCTCGTAGCTCTCCCTCTCCGAGCTGCTCGCACGCATCATATTAAAACAGAATGTTCACTGAATCATCTCACCAGAGGCAGATTTTTCATTTTTTGTTTTCTCTCAACCGGGAGACATGAAGGACGAGCACGACAGAATTTGAGTTTGCTTTCACTTATCAACACTTTCAGAATCATCAGTCGCTTAGGACATGCAACCAGGATGAATTCAAACATCGTATTGGCATTGAAGATGCCAACGCTCAGTACGACAGGACTCACGACTCAAGGCAGAGATCATGGCCCCCCCCGTCTAGTACATGTTGACTTCTGAAAGTCGTTGTCGTTGAGTACCGCGAACGCTAAATAAGAACAAACGTCAGAGGACGGGGGCACATTCGGAACATAAGCAGCTAGTACAAGAAGTACGTAGTTACTTGAGGCCACGAGCAGCAGGATCCCAAGCAGCTTTGCGTTGAACAATTGATTCAGATTCAGATTGTTAAGTAGATGGGCTCTTTCATCTTGAGCGTTCGTGTGGAGGGCATTTTTGACTGCACGTTGTAGAAGTTGATGGGGAAGATATTAGCAACTATAAAAAGTAGAGGTTTGAAAATAGATGAAGGTCTAGTAGGCTCTTTATCCAAGTTGTTGCAGTCAATACAGTCTAATCAGACCTTCAAGGCAGCCTAAATCATCTGGATCGCTCTACCTACTTGTTCCTACTATTACCACTGTTGAGATGTTGCTGGAACCAACAAGAAGTACTAGAATCTAGTTTGGTGCGTGGATAATTCGTTAGCTACCGCTTCGACGTCTACCAACTACTGAGAAGAGAATGGCGTAGGTTCAAGTCTTGAAGATGCAGAGAAGTGGGCAGTTGACGAAGACGACTGCTCTCGTTCCACTACTTGGTTGAATGTCCTTAAACAAGTAAGGTGGAACGAAATTCGCTCAACATCTGCTGGTACTTGCTGCGTTTTCATTGATTATTAAACTACAACATTTAAATTTAATACATTCAATGCTATCACTGCATACATCATTCAACGATTGAATCATGACAAGCAACTGAGAACAATAAGGTGGTAACACGGCTAAAACAATGGCTGATACACGACGTACGTGTAATTATCTACTAAAAAATGTTCGACGACAGCAGACAAGTTCTGCATGCGCTGCTTCTAGCGAGGGGTTGTCCCATCAAGAGGGTACTGTCACCAGACGCTTAAGCCTAGTAAATCTGAATCATGATCGTGCAGTGGAATGATTCGACACTTGTTCTTTAATGCGTCTAGACAAACCTAAAACTGAAGAGGAACGAGTTGGAGAGAAGTTAATTTCTCATACAGAAGTGGGCCAAGAATAGCAATATGAGTAAATGAGTAGCAATAAGTATGCCACTCTAGTCCTAGTCCACAACGCTGTTGATACGAAAATGACTGTGCGGACGCCTTCCCAGTGAGTAGTCTCCGTAATAATAGCATGCTCGACTACTTGAGGTTTTTTTAGACTAAAAGTGAGTCTCTACTGTAGTAATTATGAAGAAGAAGATGCCGCTAGATAGCTACAAGTACTAGTTGTAGCACAATTTCATCAATGTGAGCAATTTTTTCTTGTCGATCTTACGTTCTTGCGACTTCTAGTAGCGACGGGAACAAGAACGTGTATTCTAAAATTAAACTGGCATGAACAAGTAACTGATGAAAATAACCGAGGCACTGATACCGCAGCAGTAGCCTTTTACCGCTACCTCTCCTATTTCAGTCACTTCGATATCGGTTCTTTGTTCAAATTTACGAAGAACATTTTAAGTAAGTCTAACATATTTAGTGAATTACATACAGTGAATTACTTCTGTTTGCGTCGTTTTGGCTGGGGGCGGCGATGAGAGGCGGATTCCGACGGTTCGTCCGAGTCGGAGTCGCTAGACTCTCCAGAATCACTAGACTCTCCAGAATCGCTAGACTCACCGCTAGAGCCAGAACCTTCTTCGTCCCCAGAATCGCTGGACTCCGAGAGCTCATCATCAGAGTCACTCGAATCCGAATGCTGCTCAGGAGCTGCCTTCTTAATCTTGTTATGCTTCGTGGTCTTCGTAGCACTAGCATTTATTTTAGCTGTTTTAATAGCTGTAGTACTAGAAGTATTTGTAGTTCCACCTACAACAGCAACACTAGAAGTGCCTCCTGACGAAGAAGCTCCCCCCGCCGCAGAAGTTGTAGTACTAGTTTTGTTCGCAGCTCCTACTTCGGATTTGGATCCGGTGCGTTTCTTGGTCCGTCGAGAAGCATCTTCACCTCCCCTCGTAGGAGGACGCTTCTTTCCCGCTCGATCTCTGCCACCACCAGGAGCCCCCCGTCGTCCCCTTCTAGCGTCTTCTACTCGATCCCCTTGCTTCTTGTTTTTGCTTGTCCTCCCGCACGCGCTCTCGCTGGAGGACGATGAGCTACAACTGGTGTCACGACCTCCCCGATTGACATCCTTATGATGATGATGATCCCTACTACTATAATTGCTTTTCTTGTTCTCAACATCATGATCTTTAACAACGTTATTTAATACTGTCGATGATGATGATGAGGAACCAACAAGCTGTTGTCCGACAGAAGAACTCACCTTTTTTCCGTTTTTTATTTTTGTTCCTACGCCGGCATTTTTAGCCTTTGTCCCATGATCTGCGGAGCTCGTTGCCCCCGCGGCGTGGTCCCCTGTCTTACTACCGGCGGAGACGGCAGACGCTTGCAAAATATCCTGCACAGTACCTACTTCGTGATGCTGTCCTAGTCTTCGCGAAGTAGCAGTGGACGACGACCCTTTGCTTTCTGCCAGCATTTTACTCTTCGAGGAAGTACTAATAGGAGCTCCAGGAGCAGGTCTGCCCTTCAACGCAATCTTAGAAGGGTCGGCGCGGCTTCCGCGCTTCGAGGAACGCTCATGTTCCTGCTCTAAGGAAGAGGAAGAGCTATCATCGTCCTCGTCCCCAGAGTTTGAATCGTCATCGTCACCGCTCTCGGACGAGGAATCGTCACTGCTCTCTTCGTCATCATCGCTGCTGCTTCCAGACGCGCTGCTGCCGGAGTCGACGTCCACGTCGCGTCCTCCACCACGACTGGTCTCTTTACGGCCACGCCCACGCTTATTGCTACTAAGCACAGCTCGGCCCTTGTTCGCCCCCCCGCCAGAGCGATTTCGAGCCGTCGTCGAGAGCTTATGATCGTCCTCATGTTTACTAGATCTAGAGGAGAGCAGCTGATGATTTGTTTTCTCGTGTTTGTTGCTTCTTGTCGCATTTTTGCTTCGTCGACCATCTCGTGCTTGCCGCGATCGTGAGCGCTCGCGCAGCTCGATACGCATGCCGCGACGACGAGACCCGCGGCTACCGCTCCTTCGGTCAGGAGAGGCATCAGACTCGGACTGGCTGTCCTCCTCGGAATCACTATCAAAGGAATTATCTTCGCCGCGTCCTCCATTTTTGCCTCCACGGCGCCCCCTAGTACTCTTGTTTCGCCTTCTACTGTCATCTTGATGCTGAACAAACGCTCCTCCATTTCCTATAATTCCAGTTCCCCCTCCGCCAATCAGTGACGAAGGGTACGATCTGCGATGGTCTACGTCGTTGCGTCCACCGAGGTGGTCTTGATCTCCTCCTCCTCGAGAGACGGGTGACATCCCGTAATTCACGCCTCCTTGTTGAAGGTGGTGCGGCTTCGAACTGCTATAATTGTTGATCACGTTGTAGCCCTTGTGGTGCTTACCTCCTCCTTTTCCTACTTTTCCTGAAGCACCTCCACGATGCTGACGATCGCCGTTTGCATCATTGTTGTACATCTGGTCTCTATCTTCCGGATGAAGAAAGCTGTTTATTTGAGCATCCACCTGCCTAGTACCTTTATTGTTTTTGCCGCCCTTTTGATGTTGATCTTTACAACTAGTACCCCCTTTAATATGGTGACCTCCGTTCATCTTGCCGCCGCCTTTGCTTAACTTGCTGTGTGGTCCACCGCTCGACCGATGTCCACCCCTTCCCACCCAGTTGTTGTCATCTTCGCGCAGCCTCTTGTTGAAAAAATCATCCTCATCACTGTCCGATCCGGCAAAATGCCGTGTTCCCCGACCTCGCACAGCGCCGCGACCGCGGACCTCTACTGCTCCAGAGGGCGAGTTATTTCTCTTGTCCAAGTGATGGTCTCCCTCGAGGATGACTGTGGTCCCCTCCTCGTCGACGGTCGGGGGATGGAAAAAAGAACCATGATTTTCTGCTCCATTGCTAGTACTTCTAGTGGTATTTCTAGAACTAGAAGTAGCCCTATTCCGTCCACCTCGTTTTCTACCTTCGTAATCACTCTCATCATGCAAATCTCTTCTGGAAGATGAAGTGGCATCCTTTCCTTCGCCAACGTGGTTCCTCGTAGAAGAAGAAGACCCACGTGTGCCGTTCTTTCGTCCTTGCTCCCCATCTTCACCTCCTACTCCAGTACCAGTAGACTCCAATAGAGGCACAAAATGATATGAAAGGTAAATAAATTTCCTGGATCTGTCTCGTCCGGATCTGTCCTGCTCCATCATTGACAGTTCATCAAGGCGCGTCAAGACAGATCGAGGGGTCCAGGTCCAGCTTTAAAAATAGCGTTTCTTGCAAGCATAAATGATAATCTTCTTGGAGAAAACTGCTTTTCTTTTTCTCTTCGTCGGGTGGAAGTTCCTCGTTCATCTTCTTCTTATTCTTCGTCGGCCGCACCGTATAGCTTTGGAGCTGACCGCGGTTCGGACACTCATAGCTCCAGTGACCAATAGCATTACAAGTTTGGCACCTTGCAGCAGCGTTGTAAACGCCCTGTGGCTTGGACAAACCGACGAAACCGCTAGAGCTATTCATCTTGTTCAGAGGAAAGCTCTTCTAGTTGTAGTCCAAGGCGAAGACGGTGCTATAACAAGAAGGGTCAAGTAGACGGCAGCAGAGTCGAAATTTAGAAGAGTGAGTGTGGAGAGTTTCTGCTTCAAGACCGTATACTTGTACGGCTCGATGGTGATGTACTACCTAGAAGTGGTGGTGGTCCTGTGGAAATCGAAATTACTAGTAGATTTCTTTGACAAGTTTATTCTGCAATTCTCCATCGAGCTCCTGCCACGACCAGCAACACCACCTAGTCCTTGTTCATCTACGAGTTTATATTTTTTAGTGAATTAACATATAGAGTTCACAGCATAAGATTCGAAAGTGTCCCCTACGTATCCGTTGTACGGCGAGATGTGAGCGTACTTATCGATTGCGAAAAGTACTGGTTGGTAGTTCTAGTTGTAGGGCCAATGAATAAGATTCGTGGACGACGTGCTCGGGACGTGTAGTAGGTTCTTGCTCAGCATATTTTCAGCGGCAAGCTGGGTCGTGACTTTCATTTTTGTCTTGTTGGAACTTTTTCACTCGATGACAATCAGAGATCATTTCTTTACTCTCATCTCGATGTTGGGCGCTAAAAAAACGGACAGTCATCTTCTTCACGCTGGCTCTCTACTACATGATCACATGTCTTTACTAGATGAAAAACACATAATTCTAATTCATTGCGCAAATCCGCGAATAAAAAATCCAATGAAAAGAGGACCAACAAGCCTTCCACGCGGATCTACAAACTCTATAACAGAGAAAACAAATTCCTGTTGCTATTACAAGAATGATGATGATATACCCAGTCCTTAGACGGGTGTGCAAAGAGCAATTACAGAATAGATTGATAGGTATTTAGTGTTCATCACGAACCTGCTTATAGTTCACGACAGACGCAGCAGTACCTAGTACTGTAAGTATCTGACAGTATCTGGTGTATAGTACACGGTACATCAAAGTACAGCTTCAGGCTCAGTTATTGATGATGATGGATCTTATCGTGAAATAGATTTTCATTTTGTGGTGCATACAGCTTTGGCTTGACAGCAGCTGTACGGGTCTTGTTTGATTTGCTGATAGTCCTGCCGCACTTCCTCCAGGACACCAACTGGGCCCAGCCTCAGAAGGAAGATAACATGGAGCATGAAAAAAAGAGCTGTTAACACAGAGAACACCTCCTATTGCGATTTCTTGGTGAGAACAGGCACTTTATATGTCTCATTTATTTGGTGAGCTTTCGTCAAAATTTGAATTCATTCTGCATTTTGATGAGCGCGTTTTTTCATGAAGAGTCGCAAAGATAGAAGAGCAGCATCAACAGACAGAGTACGACCAGCTGCTGCAGTTGCTTGTAGACCTCTATGTTTATATCAACATCTTCAAAGCTGTGATCATTATTTTCATCGATCTTATATTCTTTTCTTTGATATAATTCTTGATCTTGTTGTAAATCCAAGTCCTCCTACTTCTCCACTTCAGGAGGCACGCCTAGTACCAGTAGTGCCAACACTTCTTCTAGATGGCTTGCCAAGAAGTAGAAGTAGAACCTGTTTGATCTTGATGGAATTGCCACAGACAGCTAATTAAAAATACAGGCTCACTTATTTGATGCCACGGCTAAAAATCATTACAGGCGCACCCTCATCTATGCCCCCTGGTGGTTTGATCAAATATAGCAGCGGGTAAAAATGCAGCTCGTCTCGAGGATCCGCCAGGTTGCTGAAGTCGGCCTAAAGTAGACGAGCCAGCGCTTGTCGCGAGTGTATTCTTACTATCATACAGCTCGTCGGTTGTTGCAGCGAGAAGAGCCCGACCTGGCTGGTCCGGCGCCGCTCCAACATGTGTTGCTGTTGCCGTGCTCTCAGCCGGATGAGGTAGCGTCACTTGTGAATGTTTCTTTACGATCGGAGACTAGATTAGACGAGCAAAGTAGTTACTTAAACTCATAGAGAAGGTGTTCCTGATCAGAAACTTAAAGAACTCATGTTGAGGAGGTAGTAGAGGTTGGTGGTAGAGAAGGTCTTGGCGATGAGACGAGTAAATTATCCTTCCTGTTCTAGTACTAGATGAAGAATACAAATAGTGGACAAGAAGCACGTAGAAGAAAGAGAGAAAGTCGTTCGATGTCATAAGATGACGCTTTTTCCGAAGTCTTCTCGTTCAAGAGCGAAAAGGATGATGGTGCTCACCAGGCACGTCAGGGCCACACCTGTGATATCCATTATGACCTGGATCGCTGCACCTGCGTGGGCTGGATCGATCCCGTAATAGGCCATACCCAAGGGCAGCGCTGCGCCAACACAAGGACATGAAGCAGGGTCTTCTTCTTGCTTAGGATAGGATAGGAAGTGACTCGCCGTCCACAGTGTGACCTTGCTCGTTTGGTCGTACTACGAACAGAACAAGTAGAAAATGTCCTCCAAGAAAAATAATTCAAACACAGCACCAGCCTCTAATACAAGAAACAACTCTATGTTGCTGATAGTGATATTCATATTTCTATTTCTGTGCCGTTTTTAAATAAGAACTAGAACAGTAGTACTGCTTCTACAACTAGTGGTGCCTCGTTCTGCGCCTCCTAATGAATGATTGAAAAATTTCAATCTACTTACTTTCTGAATGATCATCTTCCTTCAGCACTACACCTCCTGCTCGTTTCATCTTCGTAGTACTTCTAGTAGAGCAGTTTATAGGTGTGCCAGATCCGGGATGGGATGGATCGGATGGATCGGATGGACTTTCCACCATTTCAAGTAGGATCGGAAGAATCAGGGGGGTCCATCCGATCCATCCAAGTCCATCCTACATCCGTTCTATAAACTACTCTATTCTAGTGACTTGAATGTTATACACTCTGCCATAAAGCCGATGTCAAAACGATGCAGAACATGCTAACTGCGATTGCAAACGCCTCATCGACCAAAGTTCCGTGGAAAAGACAGCACCGTACGAAGGCAGCGACCGCACAAATGAGACCCATTTTGAGGCCAATGGAGGCCTGCTGCCTTACTAGCAGAGAAATCCGATGCAGGTCTACCCGTGGCACTACCTTTCCGCTCTTATTGAGGGTCAGGCTCCTATCGCCGGTCGCAGATGCAGATGAAATTTTTACGCAAAGTCACTTGTAGTTGTAGAGTAATGCATAATGTCATTTAGACTCTAGGCAAAGTACTTAAGTGACTCTGACTGGTGGAGGAAAAGATTCAAATTGTGGTCAGCACAATATCGGTATGGCCTTCGCCTTTCAACAACGAAGCAGCTGCTCCGGCTATGAGGAACATTTCTTCTCGTAACTACAGCTGCTACTTCTTCTGTCATGCTTTTGCTTTCGTTACAACAACGTAATTGTCTCCCATGTTCTTGATATTGTACTAAGACCTATACCCCATACAGTTTTTTGTCGGACTAGCTCCCGAATGACAAGCATCGCGCTTTGCGCTCCACAGTTGCCTCCAGCACCCACCAGCATCGTCAGGAAGTAGATGACAACGGGATGAAACTGCAATAGAACGTGGAAAGATGCGAGGATAGCACTACTCGCTGACTGCAGCATGAGAAGGCCGACTAGCCACGAAATTCGTTGCGAAAAATTCGAGATTAGAGGCTCAGAAATATATCCACCACGTGGGAGGCGTCGAAGGCGCGTGAAAAAAGTGATTATTTGTACATACAAGTAGATGAAGGCAACATTACTTAGTAAGTAGTAGTATTAGGTGAAGGAGTTGAGGGAATGGGAACTGGATACAAAAGATGAGAAAATAAAGTAAGATAAACAAGGAGTTAAGGGTAAGAAAAAGAACTCCATCTTCAGCATAAGTAATTCTAGACCCAAGGGTAAGAAATGGAAATCCATCTTCGGCATAATTCTAGACCCATACTATCATGCTCCTCTGCAGCAGCATCGTCCTCTAGCTTTGACAAACGCCTCTGCAGTATACTATTTTCCTGCAAAAGCATGGCTATCAAGTTCTTATCCCCCTTTTCGATGGCGGATGTAGTACAACTAGTAGTTGCTGATATTGATCTGCCATTTGTTGTAACGAGGCTCTGCTCCTGGTCCGGAACATGTTGGGTTTCATCAGCGTTATTTTTCTTCATAATTCCCACTGCCCCTTCAGACGCACCGTTACTGCTACTAGGAGTCCCTACGGAACTAGGGGAAGTGGGACTCCCGGAAAAAAAGTGGTTGATCGTATGATCTCCTCGAATAGAAGCCGGCACATCCGACACATTCTGCTCTTCCAGTTTGTAATCGTATCTATCTCTGAGATACTGTTTGTACCGGAGTAGAATTTCCCCGTACCCTTGACCTTGATGTTTTTTTAGAGCATTACATCAACCGCGATTACTTAAATTGACATCCTTCTCCTTGTTCTTGGCCACATGGTCCTACCTCTTGGGTTGTTTTTCACAAGTAGAAAACTACAAGACTGCCAAGAAGATTTTTTGCCACGAAACGAAGACGAACATGGCGTTGAGTCTAAGAGAAGTCTACGGTCGCTTCTAGAAATTTGCCTTTTGTCTTCTTCTTCTTTCCTTAATTCTCTTGGTTGCCTCCTTCCTATGCCTTGGAGCTCACCTAACGGCATGAGCATATCATCATCTTCAGCATCAAAGGGTGCAAGCTCCCTCTTCTCGGAAGGAGACTTGCTCGTTTCGCGGCTACTGGTTCCCCAAACGGTTGTCAGCACCTGCCTTGAAGGTTCTTGAAACATTTCACTTTTAGCTTGCTAGCAGGGAAGAGACAGAGAGCATGTTGAACTAGTAGAAGCAATCAACATATTAAGAGAAGAGAGCATGTAGAAATTGAAATGAAATGTTTCAACCCTTAACTGCATCCTGTTCCTCGTTGGCATTATATTTCCACTTGGAGCTGTTCGTATTTATGTAGTTTGCCCATCATGATCGGACGTCCTTGGTCAGCATCACGACGAGCGGCAGTGCAAAGGCAAACGAGGATTAGCAAGCGGGGGCCTCTTGTTTTTTACTCTTTGTTTGGACAACGTTGACATTCATTCATTTTTTTACAACTAAAGATGAATAGCTTTCCTTGGGATTTGAAAAATCGAATAGACACTAGTATCTTCCCTCAATGTAATTAGCTGCACTTGGGATCTGAAAATGATCGAGTACTACCTGCATCCGTCTGGTACACTGAGTTGTCTTCTCTCTTTCCCTCAGAATTAGGATTAGGATTCAGTCCGCCGTCCACAGTTTTACATGCATACTCCAGCGGATTAACGCAGCCTCAATTATGTTGATAGCGCCAAACTACTGATGAAACTTTTTCTAGGCAGAAAACGATGAAGAAGTTCTACATGATTGATTATCAGAACTACAACTACTGCTCTCTCAGGTCAGAACAAGGAGAAATGTAGTACAACTATACTAGTAAATGCAAATCAATGGTATACGACTCCAGTGTAGTGTGGTGTATCAAGTGTCCTCGCGGTCACGACCACAACAAGTCGAAGTTGAATGTGCTGTTGCTGTTTACACCACTGGTTCGACGCTTCCTCGGGAGGACATCAAGCGGTAGCGGTTTTCTTTGCATATAATCTTGTTGTTTCTTCTTGCATGTATTTTCAACAAACCGAGATCATGTCATGATTTCTGTGCAGCATTCCACTTGCTTCTCTTCGGGAGAGGACAAAACTATGACTAGGTTTATGTTGGACGATTTGGATATATCTACGGCTATGACATGTTAGAACAAGATGAGTGTTGAGTATCTTTCGTCGTCCGTCTACGTGGATGTCGATGTCTAATGTGGGAATAGCAATATGAGGTGTAGAGCAATTATTGCTGTTGTGGGTGGTGATCATGTTGCTGTAGTTTATGGATTATCCGATTCGATGTAGTATTGAGTTGATGGAAAGGATGTTGAGATGGATATTCTGGTGCAAAAATTGCATCGTTTGACGAAGTATGAGATCGTTCGACTCGAAGGGTATGAAGTGGAACAATCTGATGAGTATGGAGAAGAAAGTGTAGTTGTACTTGTTACAAGTTACAATGTAGCTGCCTTGTTTACTTGTTTCATTTATATTGCTGCATGGGATAAGCCTAAGCTTTAGATACTTGTTTCATTTATAATAGAATAAATATGAATATGATTATAATGAGCTCAATCTCATATAAGGCACCTTATGTAATCTCAGACGAGCAGATGACGACGAACGTGAAGAACAGTATCACTATTAGATTACTCAGGGATAAATGTCAGTCTCAAATGAGTAGTAGAGGGTAGATTTGGCTTCGCTCACCTCCTTCTTTTACATTTTGACTTCTGTATGCCTTGCACTGCCTGCCGTGGGTCGATCAGCCGCAGATGTACGCGGACCTCCATCTCCCTTCTTCATAGGGCGACTATTCTTCACCGCTGTCGTCCTTGTTGCAGCAAAAGCAGTTTCTGACGAAGATGCTGGTGCGTGGTCTCTTGATGAAGTTGTTCTTAGATGACTTCTTGTCTCCTCCACATCCCGTTTCTTACCTACAATCGGAGACGTAGAGGCAGCGTGTGTCTGTGTCTCTCCAATAGTAGTTGTAGTTGTGTACCCGCGACTCGTTCTTGCGTGAGCAGCACGTGTCGAAACTGGTTGTTTGAAGGCCGACTTGCTCTTCGGCAGATCACGACCTTGCTTCTGAGGAGGACCTCCATTCACCGGTGGTACAACTACTTCTTCATGTTGATGCTGTACCTGTAGTTTAGTACTACCACTGCGAGGACTTCCAAGAATACTTCTAGCAGTTGTACTCGACGAATTAGAAGCCACTACTTTCTGATCATCTTCTGCTTCACGGGGTGATCGCGCTGCTTCAAGATCATCCAGAAGTGGTTCATCGATAGTTTGTTGATGACTGTTTCCCGGCTTACTACAGCCTTCCTCGTGTAGTTCATCTGGGGATCTGATCGTTATCTCGTCACCAGAGCGCAAAGGACTGGGACTCGATTCTAGTATGTTGATTATGTCGACGGAACCATAGTGAACTCGTGGCGAAGAGCGCTCGGAGTTGCTCGAGCTCGACGCAGCAAGGCGATTTGCTTTTCCTTTCAAATTAGAAGGCGACTAGAAGATTTCGACAAAGCCAGGAACAATGATTTGTAGTTGATGTCATGTCATGTCCTGGTGCCTCGTTTGCTGCTTTAATTACTGTCTATTTATGAGATTATATTGATACTTGTCGATGCTAACACGACACGACTATTCAATACAGAACTTGAACTAGCAGCACTAGTACATCAATTGAATCTATTGTCCAACATTGTGGCCTTTCTAAGGGAGGACTGATGAAGCAGAAATGTTACTTAGTACAGGTATTTTTTGCCGTAACAAAAGCCTCGAAACCTCGCACGTCCTCTGGCACGAATAAGGTGCAGTCCCCCGACCGATCCACGCGAAAACTGAGAGGCGATCTTGCTCCGTCGTTGCCTTTAGAGCTTACCCAAATTCATCTTCAGGCTCAGCATCTTATTTGACGCGTTTCTTAGTGTCAGTACCCCTTCAAAAAATAAAGTGAGAGAAAGACAAAGATTATTGGTCATTGTTCCCAAGAAAGGAGATGATGATGAATTAATAATTACAGAAAAATAGATACAAGTAAAGCCTTAATGCCTGCTGCTGAACCGAAATCGAATGGCGACTCGGTATAATTCGCCCACAGTTGCAATGCCAATGCGCTTCCGAAGAAAAAACTTACTGGAGCTACGATGTAGAAGAGGCCACACAAATTCTCCCACCCCGTTCTGGAAGACGATACGAAGCGCTGTTCTCGAGGATCCGACTTAAGGTCCATCACGGAAACCAACTGTACCAGCTTGAGTTAGGGCAAGTAGTTGTCAAACCATTATACGTAACAATCGTTTTTTATGATCCAACATCAACAACAACATCCAAATCGATATGGCTATATACTCTAGCTTGATTTAGGACGGGGCGGGGGTGGTACGTAGTAAATCACGATTCATATAGATACATATTCATTCATGGCAGGAGCTCCAATCTGTTTCATCTGAGTGCCACTGTAATTCTCCCTTGAAGTAGAGCTGTTTCCCGGCCCCTCTTGATTTCTTCAAAAAATCACAAGAAGACTACACGACTCGTCGGATTACGTCACTTATCGTAATTTACCGTCTCGACGACGGCGAGGTAAAAGCCGAAGGTTCCCCAGTAGATTATGTATTCCAGTTGCAGGTGCCTCCACACGGCGTACCAGCCCAGACACACGCCTATCAAAAGGAACAAGCTGCCCAATGGGTCCGATGCCTCAGCAACATAAGCACCGCTCCCGATCACTCGGAAAGCACTGCTTGTGGTTTGTACTGCCAGGACAGGGATTAGAGTGCAACCCGAAGCAGGAGAGGACAAAAAGAGATAGAAGGACTAAAAACATCAGTCTACAACTAAAAAGTAGAGCATCTAAAAAAATGTAGTTGTCAACACATACAACAACACAAGAACTAGCTGTAGTACTAAAACTACTCCATAATGTGATAAGATGTGGCCTGCGAGATGTGACATAGGCGGATGGCGGCACGACCGTTGTGGTACCCGACCCCAGCGACAGGGAGGAAGGGAACAGCAATTCTGAAAGCCAAGAATCTGATAGAAGTGACATTATTTCGGACAACCCCTTGTTGCTCAGAAATGTTTTTGTTTAGTAGTTCGAGAAAACCTAGACACAGTTGTAGTAGAAGAAGGTCTTCTGATAGAGTGTTTCTACGTGTTTTCTGTAGTAAGTAGCAGCACTGGAATATGGTCGGGGATAAGGAAAACTCACCAAGTGGTCATCTCATTAATCTATCTGGAATTGTTACTTGATCTTCCAGGTACTACGTAACCGCAAGAATGTAGTTGTAGTGAGTAGACCAAAGCTCTATAACATCTAGAAGATCAAGGTAATGATACAAGTATTCAGTCGTGCCAAATGGGTGATGTTTCACATTCGGGGTCCACAGACTTGTCACCACTGTAGGAGCCTTCCTCGGTACCCGACTACTTCTGCTGTAGCTTTAAAGATTAACCGATAGCGATATCCTCATAAAACCGACGGGCGGTATTTACCGATATGGCTCGCGGTCGCGATCTAGAATCAATCTTCTGCTCGTATTCTACTTTCCATCACAGCCTTGATCTTACTCTGCCGGCAGAGTCACTCAAAACTCCTCAGACTTGGATCTTGATCCTCATCTTCTTATCCTCATCCTCGTCTTGCTTCATAACCGATTATTCATTATTCATCTAGAAGAGGTCGCTTTGTTGTACCTAAATCCAACCGGAGGGCAGACATCGTGTTCGTATCACGATGATCGTGATCGTATTGCGAATCGCCTTCTTGCAACACCAGGGCTTGCGTCGTCTCTACATGACCCACATCATTGTGATTCATTATTGGGGTGCATTGGCAACGCTAGTAAGATTCATTTATTTCTTGGAATCAGAGCAAAAGAAGTCTCATCTGGAATTTCGAATTTTTACAGACTGGAGACCCACTGTGCAACCTAGGAGAGGCCTGTACAATCTGCAGATGATGTCAATCTTCAGATGATGTTAGTAGATTGAAAGATGAGAAAGAGAGTCCACTGCAAGGCGTAGTGCAGAAACGACAAGCACAAGTTTTTGATGTTGTCAGAAGTATAAGTTTTTGATGTTGTCAGAAGCAAGTGTGAAAAATAAATGCGCAGTCAACCTATTGTTGTCCTTGTCTTTGTGATATTCTTTCGAAGGTTACTATACAAGATCTTTGTCAACATGTCAACAACGCCAGACCATCTGCTAGTGTTCTTGTCGCTCTAGAACGGGAGATGTCTACCCAGTCCCCGGGTTCGTTAGGGTGTTCAGCATTGACGGGGTGCGCACATAGCTGTTGTAGACGTCCTGGTATTCCGATACAGGTGCGCATGGACTATTGCTAACCTGAACAACTGGTAATGGCGCCTCCGTCGTTGCTGCACTAGAATTCAACCCCGTAGAATTGGTCGTAGCATTGGGCGACTGCCTATTCTTCTTCATATTGCCCAAAGAACCCAACAACATACTAGTCGACTGCCTACCACTACTAAAAGACGTTGAAGACGCTAGCTTTTCCTCTAGTGTTTTCATCTCTTGTTCTATTTCGAGGAAAGATAGTGCTGCAGAAGCTGAACCTGATGACGATGATGTTGACTCTTCCTGTTGTTCCTCCTGGCCCGGCGCGACATGCGACCGCCGCGAGGATGGTGATGGTCTATCTTCAACAAGTAATCTCGCAGCTTTCCTTTCGTCTCTATGCAAGGCCAAGAGCATGGTGGACGTCTGCGCATCCCCGCCACCGCGAAATGTGCATTTTCTGCCGGGAACGTCGTGGACCACGCTACTGCACTTCCCAAAATCCACACTACTGCAGGCTTCCTGACACCGCATCAAGAAATTCCAGTCTAGTTCGTCTCTCGGCAGGAGTCCTTCTATGGCTGCTATCTTCACGTTCATTCCCACAGGAATCGTCGCGTTACGCGCGTAAAGCACGTCCAAGCCATTGACTGTGACCGCCCCGGTTCCGCCACAAATCGTGCTAGGGATTAGAGAGGACAACAGCAGAGCTATTCACATCCAAGTCCGAATGCAAGTTTAGGAGAATGTGCAACCCACAGGAAGGAGAAGAAGTCCCTACAAGACCTTGCCTTTGATGATGTATTTGATGACATATTCTTCTCCTACAAGCCCTTGCCTTTCATGTATTTGAACTATTTTAATTGATTCTTCTTGGTTTTCATTTTCTTCTGACATAACTCGAAGTAGAGGTACTCGCCTATCATGAGCGCCTGACGTTTCGTCACTGGGTCTACGGTTGTATTAGCGTGCGCTAGGATGCATCTCGGTCCCCTCATCTTGACCCCTTTTACCTTGTAATATTCGTGAGAGGATGAATACAGGGGAACAAAAAAGGGTACTACCAAGAAGATGCCAAGAAAGATGGACACTAAATGTTCTTGACCTTAATTGTAGTTGTTGTTGTTGTCGTGGAGGTTCCTGGAGTGGTAGTGTAGGTACTCGTTGTGACTGTGCTCGTCGTGATTGTGGTTGTTGTGACTGTGCCTGTACTAGTTGTGGTGGAGGTTTCGGTTATGGTCGAAGTACTTGTTGTCGAAGTGGAGGAACTCGGAGATTAGAGGCGCACTAATATGCTTTGAAGCGGAGAACTCAGTGCTTGAAAGTGGACTAGTTGCACACCTATCAAATCCTCTTACCTCTCGCATGCATCCCGCAGGTTCTATCAGGTTGCATAGAGGGGGGAGGCACCAGAAAAAAGCATCATTATCAACTTGAGGTAACGATAGAACATCTCTAATACAGCTAGTGCCACTCAGTGAATCTTCTGCAAAGTCAGAAAGTAGACCAATTAATATTATAGGTGCGAATTTTTTTCTCGTTCAGTTCGGTTATCTTCAACTCTAGACTTTTCCCTTCTGCTCCTACAGATTTCAATCATTTGAAAGCCATAAGTGCTAGTCGAGGTTCCCGTGAAAGTGGTCGTTGATGTAGAGCTTGTCGTCGACGTTTCGGTCGAAGTTTCGGTGGTTGTCATTGTGGTAGTGGTGCTTGTGCTAGTCGTTTTACTGTACGCGTGGGCAACGCACTCCTGACCGAGTGATATGTTTTGGTACGAGGTCATGCGTTCCCGCGTTGTCCAGCAGTCATCGTGGAGCAGGTGGAATGAAGCCCAACAGCAGTAGGAATCAAGGTTAGTTTCTATCATCATCTACAACTTGATGACTAAGTAACATGTGATGAGGATGACGCTGCGGGTGATGCTGATGTTAACCTTAATCATGGAGTGGACGATGATGAACCAATATGTTGAGTGTTCTTGACTTCTCACTAACTTTTACGAGCACTCTTATTTCTTACTTATCTTTATCATCATAAGCACACCGGTGTGAGATTATCCGGCGAAAAAGGGCACTGAATCGTTGGCCAGTTTGACATTTCTCCGGCCGTGAGCCAAGTAAAGCCCATACACGTTGTGTTCTGTCCACACGCTTGCATGCAGTCCCACGCTGTCCGGATACTCGATTAGCGTGTGCTGGACACCTCCTTCGAAAATAAAGATACTTCTAGAAAGATGTAAGATGCATTAGGGATAGCGATTATAGCTATAATCAGTATCGGATAATAATCGTCCTAAATGAAACAGCTTCTTGTCGTGGTCCTTGTCGAGCAGAAGATAGACGAGATACTACTACAGATACATACACTTAAATCATATAAATATTTATGAGGAGAAACCTTAACTAGAGTCTGCTCGTTGTTCTTCCCCGATGCAGAAGGAGAGTCTGGGTGTCCACGGTTCCTCCGATAAATCGACCATAGCTTGAAAATCGTCCCACGTGGGTCCCACTATCCGACTGTAGGCTGTTGTCACACACGACCCTGCTTCACCTGGTGCACTCAAGTCTTAGAGCTACCGCGTTCCCATCTTGCTCTTCGAAACTGGTGATAGGATCCTTGGAAGTAGACGAGGACTCTTTTTGTTTTAGATTTATTTAAGTTGTAGAATAAGAGCATGCTCGACTTGAGGTAACAGTTTGACAGTTGAGGGAGACGACCGAGAACAAAATTCTAGATCAAGCAAGTGGAATTTAAGTGATAGGAGCCTTAAAATTCTCTTCGCACTGAGCAGTCTGCCTCCGTTCCGTTCAGAAGGACGCACTCGCCAGCACGCGCACACGTCGCCGACGGCGAGTTTTCGTAGAAGGTAAAACCAAGACAACTAGCAGTGCCATTGTTATTCGAGTCCAGGCAGGAAAGCATGCAGGTATCAGAATCCGTTCCGCTAAGCACGCGACCTGTAGCTGGATTCACAATCTGCCCTGTCGTATCTCCTACAGCCTTGTCGCAGTAAACGTTGTCTCCCACATGAGTAAAATTACGCCACCCGTCGGTTCTGTTGTTTGAGGTTAGAACTACTATGTTGTATGTGGATCGACATATAAAATGGCGACGGATGTTACCCTCCAGAGACAGGGGGCTACTTTGTCGATGTCATACGTCATGCTGAGCAGCACGACGATGTAATTGTCTTAATCACTATCATCAGAAGTATTACGTAGGTGTAAAAATATCAATATGCACTACTTTGGTAACCAAGTTAAATTTAACCAACGATCAGGTGTACGTGTAGTATCTAATATCTCTATAAAGTTGTCAAATAATTCGTCGTAACATCATCGTGCTATTTGCTCGTTCGTGTGGTCGCTCGCTCGTTCGATTGCTGACGTAGTTTTTCCTGGTATACGTCCGCAGCGCGCATGTGGGTTGCGTTGTGTCGTTCACGATCGGAAATGGGCTTCGGCCTATCTGTGTTGTCCGCCAGCAATCCGTCAGATAATCTAACTCCCACGCGGGATAATACGCTGGCCTTCGACACCTGACATCTGTTTTCTCCGATTCATAGGTTAGAAAATGAAAGCGGTGACGACCACGACAACAACGTTGAGCGAGGTAGTAAACAACTACACACAGAAGTAGCTTCCGCATTCCTCGTCTAATTATCCTAATGCGTTAAAGTTAAGTAACTTCTCTGTTGAATATTTGACGTTGACGAGGCAGATTCGAGCTACCCAACCACCACCTCCCCATCGTCATCCTCGAATCGCGTACCTTGCTATAAATATTGATTGATTATCCTAAACTAATATTCCAAGAAAATCCTCTTTCACTTTCAAACTTTCCTACTTGAAAAGGCTGAAAGTGAAAGAGCTTTTGTAGATGGTAACTAAGTACTTATAACTACAACTAACTTCCTTAGTACCACTACTTAGAAGAGTCCTCCTCCATAAGTAAAGTTGATGTGACGGGTCCATGCAAACGCTATCGTGTCCGTTTATCGGCTCCACAGTCGTGAACCACTGACAAACGCCTGGCCCAAGTTCCTCACAGCTCTCCATGCAACTGACTGCTGATCCATTGCCACTAGGCATCCATGCCGCGTCGTCATTGTTCACGCCCACTGTGAGGCAATAAACCTGCTCACCAACCATTTGCAGTATGAAAAAAACAAGGAAGATGAAGTGCAGAATAAGTTCAAGTAGAAGCAAGTTAAACTTTATTAAGAAAGTATGTTAATATTACGGGTGGAGCCAAGCTAACTAGGAAAAGAAAAAGGAAGGATAGTAGGTAAAAAGTATATAAGTACAGAATTATAGTAATGCCCAAGCTAAGTAGGATCCGTCTATTCTAGGCGCCGCGTGTCGTCCAACATATTAATATTGTGAAGTTGTTTCATGAAACTGCCGAGGTAGCTAGACGACAAGCCTTCAACATCCGAGGATCAGTAGAGAGCTCCATATTGATAAGGAGGATTCTCTTTGAAAAATAGCATCTGGAAACGCAAAACTTCAACTAGGCCCTTCCGAAACTTTCACACACACCGCGACCAAATTTTCACTAACTCGCCTGCTATGACCTCATGACCTCAGGAGCCATCGCATGGCAAATATTTCGAGACGAATGCGTTTTAATTTCTTGTTCAGGTGACAAAATCAAAAGTTTTAGGATAGGATAGGAGTTGCCTCACCTATGAGGGGGTGAGCGTTCCAGGCCATTGAAGTGCCATAATAGAGTGAAATTTCGGTTTGAAGATGCTCAAAACTCCAATTTCAAATTTTGAGCTTCGAGCTCCAAGCTTCGAACTCGTTGCTTCGAGTTTCGAATTTCAAATTTTAAGTTTCGATTTTAAGTAAATTTCGAAATTTCAAAATTGAAAACTAAAAGAAAAAGACCAAATTTTTGATGTTAATATCTCAAAAGACAGCAAGTCTAATTTTTCAGGGAAAATCTCCATTGAAATCTAGCAGTTCACCCGTTTTTGGTCGGAGAGGCACCTCCTGGCTGGAGAAAAGAAGAAGCGCGAGAGAGTTGAAGATACAACCAGTGGGCGTAGAGCTGCCGGGCGGCCTGGACGCTTGATATTCAGTCTAGTCCTAGCTCTAGCAGTGGATATGGATCTTGAAGTAGACTTCTAAAAACTTTTCCTCTTTTCATAAGGTAATTCCGCCACCCTTCGGTTGTCCACGAAATGTTGTTGCTTACGGGGTACGTGAAGTTTCCCGCGTCGTATACTGGTGGCTCCGTAGTCGAAGTGGAGCTGGTATTTGCAACAGCTGTAGTACTTAGCGCTAGACACTCACTATCACACACCTATAAGATTAAGATTAAGAGATTTCTGGCTTGCGACAGGCAGCGGCCAGGGCTCCAGAAGTCTGGGCTCAGAAAACGTCAGTGCATTTCACAGACATCGAGAAAAAGACAAATGGGGAAGCCACAGACTTGCTACTACGAAAAGGAGACTGAACACAATGTATAGTCTTCTACTGCCATCACTTGGTATGCTAAATCTCTCGTGGTGGACGACGAGTGGCAGAGTTGCTCGCTTCTTTCGCCTTAGTTAAATACATAGTTATCGTAGAGTATTCCCCCTTAAAACATCTACTTCACAGCGAACGTCATGTTCAACACTGAGGATTGCGTCTACGTCACTCAGGGTTATCCTACCACAGCAGAGCGATAGTGAGGGTCCAGCCTTAAGGTAGTCGTGGCATTATCTTTGCCAAAAAGTACGCTGACATCATCTGTGGTCGCATTGCTAGTAATGATCACCCTATCTGTCACATTCTCATCAATATTCACCTTATTCGTGGCATTTGTTGAGCTTGAGCTCGACGACGAAGTACTTGTACTACTAGGATTTTCTGTTGTACTACTAGGATTTTGTGTTGTACTAGTACTAGGATTTATTTCCGTTGTACTACTGCTCGATACAACGTGGGAATTTGCTGCTACAGACACGGTGCTGCTCACAGTCACAGCTGCTGTTGATGCTCTAACTGGCGCTGCTGAAGTCGACTGCGCTGGCGCACCTGAGGTTGATGATGTAGGCATGACCGTTGCAGCTGCAGCTCCGACGGTTGAACTCGGAGTCGCTGCGTCGGTAGTTGTTCCTCCTGTAGCTGGTTGAACCGTAGTACTTGAGGAAGATGTTAACGCCGCTGCAGCTGAAGAAGTGCTTATTGCCTCTGTCGACGATGACGGCTCCTGCGTTGTTGACGTTGACGGCTGTCCTCCTCCTGCTGCAGAAGTATCGGCTGATGTGCTTGAATCTGACCCAGTGACATTCGATGCTGCAGTACCGGATGTTGAACTTTCTGCAGCAACGCTTGCCGTACTACTCTTCACTGCTGCTGCAGTCGAGCTAGGAGGTTCCACCGTCGAAGATGCAGCTACAGGCGCTCCTGCCGCAGGTGTTGTACTAGAAGATGGACTGCCTGTGACTGCCGGAGAAGCGGCTGCCGGAGTAGAAGCGGAAGTATTAGAGACTGAAGCATTTCCCTTTAAGCTAGCAAACCAAGGGACAAAATATAAAGACCATTGCCGCAGACGCTGCCACTACTCCCATTAGATCCAGACGAAAATTTCAGAAATACTAACTCATGCCCAAAGACCCATTTCTAGCCCGTTTTTTAGATTGAAAAAGAGAGACAGCCAGAGGGACAAAAGAATGTAAAAATGAAATCGAAATGCTTCCTTAAAAGTAGACACCGCACTTGCTGCTGTTGAAGTAGTACCGCCCACCGCTGCTCCATTTGTCGAAGTTGTCGACTCTGCCGCACCCGTTGACGTTGATTCTGCTGTGGTCACGACAGTCGCTCCTGCTGGTGCCGCTGACGAAGATGTACTACTACCGCCTAACATCTTCGCAGATGATGTCGTCGCAGCATCCGTCGTCGAACTCGTTACAACCCCTGATATTGCGCCTGCAGTCGAAGAGGTAGAATTTGAATTAGTCGAAGAAGTAGAATTCGGCTGCGAAGATATCGCGGATGAACTGCCTCGATTAGACGTAGCTGCTTGTCTGACCTTTATCAGTTCCATCGCAGTGACCTGCCTTCGCGATAACTGGGTTAAGAGGAAGGTAAACGAGCCGATTCGCCGCATCCCCCGCCGCCTACGCAACGTTCGACCGCTACCCCGCATGTTCTCCTTCTGGTACTGAAGTGCAACAGCTTGACTGATGGCTCTACCACTCCGCGACGTTGCCGAAAGAAAGTAGACTAAAAACAGAAGATCCTGCTTTTTCTGATCATGTCGTCCACGTTGCAGGAGCCGCTCTCACATAATCTTCACCTTCAGGGGAGACGACCATAATTTGTTTACTGTAAACAGTGCGTTGTAATCGTAGTGGACAAGGTTTATTCTACTTCATCTATTGACAAAATATCTGTAACTGCATAAGCAGTGGTTCGCGTTCGGCCGCTTATTCCCATCTCATATTCGATTCTAGTTTGCTCTTCTCATTAAGTTTCCTACTTGAACTGAACTTTTACTGCTTCTTTTCTCGGACATCTTTTGCCGAAAGCATGACACAGACATGTCTATCCTGTTCTTGGAGTTGGATGACCTACATACTGCAACTAGTACACCAACATTCATGTTCATCTACAAAGCCTCTTCACTTAAACCGCTCAGTCGCCACTTATCTTTTTCTTTTCTCGGCTCTTTGCCAGTTTTGCTACAAAGTCATGCTTCAGTAACATCCGCGTCATTTTCGCTCACTCTCTGAAAGTTGTACTTTTTCGTTCGCGTGAAGAGAGCTGACCGATTGTCGTACTTAGGCAAACATCAATCGCTCAGAGGACTGCACGCTGTTGTTTGAGACGCTCACCATCACGGTGTCCCAGTTAGTACTACTAGCCGAATGGAAGGACAAAACAGTTCCAGCAGTGTGTCTAAAAAGACCGGCCGCGGAAGTGAAAAGCCTAGCAAGGGGGCAAGAGACGCTTACGCGTTCCAACACTATCTCTTTCCATCAAGGATAATCGAATTCATGCTCTAGTGTTGTTCGAGTCACATCTTTTTGCCAAGAAAAACTTCATATTTGGTTATACGATTTACGAATGATCATGAGTCTGTGAGTTATATATGCTATTCTTCTTGATTGGTTTGCTCACTTTTCTTGTTTGGGTTATTTGCTGTAGTCTCAAGAAATGAAGTGGTTACTTACTTCTCTTCAATCACGATCACACGACATGATAAAAAAATACGGATGGATTGTATGTCTATACAAGAAATTCCTTCATTCTTTCAAAGCATGGCTTACGTTGTTGATCGAAATTCTTGAACTTGATAGCTATCATGCTGCTCGTTCTACGTTGTCGAGAAGGAAAACTTGTTTTTCATTGTAAGTAGTTTCTAGTATTCTTGATCTTGTTCTGTGCAACAACAACAACAACCACTTACTTTTGCTCCTGTAAACATTGTTCTTCTGCATCGAAGGTGCAGAAACTCCTCCCAGAAGACTAAGTACATTCAACTGCTCAGGCGTAGTAGAAGGTGCAAACACTCCTCCCAGAATACTACAAGCAACTGCTCATGCGTAGTCGTTGTTATTTCTGTCGAAACAGATTCGATTGTCTCTGGTGTTCCCTAGTTTCGCGCTGCTCCTCTTTGCGCCAGTATTCCTGGACCATTTTTCCGACCGCACTGGTAGATGTCGCACCCTTGCTGCTCTCACCCGCCACATCACTATCGCTAGCATTGGTACTAGTAGCCGCTTTCGAGGCGTCGTTCTTGTTCCCCAGATGCGCCAGTGACGGCATCCCTGGCGGCGCAAGAGGCGCCCGAGTGCGGTTCGGACTACCGGCTACAACTGGAATCCGCATGCTGCTGCTGTTCACAGGGGTAGCAACCATTTTTTTGAGAGCGAGATAGAGCTACTTAGACCAAGAAGTTCAGAAACAGAATCAGATGTATTGTCTAAATACGAAGCCGTCCTGATGAAGATCATGATGGAGGAAAACCGAACAATATCAATATCTCTGCTCACTAGTCCAACAACATCTCTGTAGTCCAATAATATCTCTGCTTCGCTTATGCATCCTCTAACATCGACATCCTGAAGGCTGAAGCCACTTTATGTGACGACGTACACTCACAATTCCACTCAACACTCCCGCTCTCCTTTCTCCTCTCCTCGCAAGGGGAACTAAAAGTACTCGTCCGTATGATCATCGCTCTGCTCGACTAAAAATTCATCTCTCATCACTCTTTCAATGTCTCCCACTACATTGTTCAAAAATGGAACTCAAGCTAAGAATGATTTGTTCGTTTCTCCTCGACGAGAGAGCGAGCACGAAGTAGGAACTTGCGTGCTCGATGACACAATCACACTCTGATTGATGGTGCCGTGGACGACCGGAATAGCGTGAGCGAAAGAGAAGTAATTCATTTTATGACCTTGCGGCAGAGAAACGATTGGCATCATCTATAGCTATACGATTAATTCGAATTCGTCGTACTGAACGATAACTCATCTCGGAACTTTGGGTTCATTTTATGCGGCAGAAATGTCCTGTGTATCTAGAGAACTGTGATGTGAAGGATGATAGAAGTCCATACTTACAGCCTATGTCATTGTTATCAACGACGTATACTTAGCCCTCATAGCTATCTATGTTATGTCTCCTTCTCATCGCTAATCTTATCCTCCCCCTCAGCACTGTGGTCAGGCGTAGCCTCAGCAAGCGAAAGACGCGTAGTTAGCGCAGTGCTGATAGCAGCTGCAGTCCGTTGCATCGTGCGCCGCACAGATTTGATTTTGATTCCACCTGTGCGTGTGCCTGTGTTTGTACTAGAAGTAGAAGAAGAAGAAGAAGAAGTACTCGCCCCGTTCATCGCAGAAGTACTGCTGCGCTCTCCTTGTTCGCTTGCTCGTGGCAGTTGGTGGACCAACCAGAGATACAGATCGCACACCTTGTAGATACTCTCAACGTGTCGCAATTCCGGTACGGTCGTGATTGACGGCAATGCAGGTTCTTCATCCAATGAAAATTCGCCTTCATCAGGTACAAACGCCGCGGCTTCAAGTGTTGTAGTGGGACCAAGTATAGTTGTAGGATCACCTTTCGTGGTGGCAGCTGTCCTCGAAGCATCTTCGTGCGCCGTCACACTCCTCGACGTAGAGCTAGTACAGTCTTCTCCGGCAAGACCCTGAAAGTCATTCGCGGACTCTCCCGATGATGCTTTCCGAAGGCCCGACGATGAGTAGTCATACTTTTGCGGAAATGCTATAGCACCAGTTTGGGTGTACTCCTCAACGAATCCGCGCAGAGCAGCCAGAACCTCTAGATCGCTTTCATCAATGGGCGCCGAAACGAAGATAAACTGCTCCTGAACAGTCATAGAACCTGCTTTGGTCTTATCATCAAGACAAATTTTGGCGATTCGCTTCCACCTCTCGACATCTTGCAATTTGTAGCGGCGTGAAGTGCGTGCAAAGGCAGCAAAGTCGGACAGCAGGCGGGAAAAAGGCAGTTCCCGTCCTTCATCGAATCGACGTTCTACTGTGGTCAGTCGAGTATCTTCCGTGTGCGCATTATGGTCCTTGTGTGCGCTTGTATTAGCCGAGTCTTGCGTGGTTGCGGTGGCTCCTGCTCCTCCACTGAAGCCACTTTCACAGTGGCTAGTATTAAGGACTTCAGCTAGATGAGACCGTGGCTCTGGAGCAGTCCCTCCTTCAGCAGCAGAAGTAGCGTCGCCTCGTGTTCGTGTGCTTTTCAACTCCGATGCCAGAGCTAGTAACATCTCCGCATCTGGTGCTAAACGTGCCTGAAGGTCGCTACAATCTTCCGCTTTCGTCGAAGTGAGTGTCGCGTCCTCGGACGACTCGGAGGAACGACCACCCGACGACGAAGTGCAATTTTCAGGCTCAGCCTTCCTCACGTCAGCGCGTTTACAAGTAGTATTCAGATCCTTACCCGCAGCATCGCTCATCGCATACCGCACTATCGCCAAATCTTGTGGTGCGAAGCACCCTACGCGACCACCATGTGGAGTCCCACCGACTGACTTCCCACGTCCAGCCCTACCAGCGATCTGTCGGATCTCGAACGGGGTTAACTCTCTACGTTCTCGCCCATCAAATTTGTGGACTGAGGCAAATATGATGCGGCGAATCCGGAGGTTCAACCCTAGACCGATGCAATCCGTTGCAATCAAAATCGAATCGTCCACGTTGCGATTGAATTTTTCCGCTTGTTCTCGCCGTACCTCACTGGGCAAACTGCCGTACAAGACGAAACTTTCGAGTTTATTTGAGCCTTGAGCAGTTTTTTTCGTCGACTTGTTCGAAGGACCCAAATAACTGCCAACGTGATTTTCATCTTCAAACCCTACAACAGCTGCTCCACCATCAGATTCAGAATCCTCTTCCTGTTCGTCCTGTAGTTCGCCTCCTCGCATACGCTTCTTATCCTCTACTCCACCTCGTCTATTAAGCTCCTGGAAACGGATGTGATTCATCGTTTCAAGCTCCGATCGTATTCGCCAGACGTCGCGACGTGAGAAACAGACAATACAGTCACCTGGCCGTAGCTGTTGCACCGGCGTGCGCTCAACAACAAGTGGCTGGAAACGCTCGTATTGTTATGAACAGGGAAGATGAGTTGAGTGGAAGAGACAACATTCATCAAGTAGGAGCCGCTTACAACAGATACATAACCAATTCATTGGGACTGATCATGATATTCATTTAGTTTTAGTAGGTGAAAACCAGGAGGTACTTAGAAGACACAACTATATGTACATAGGTGGATGAATAGCGTCTAAAGCGTGTTGAGCTTGAGTAGAGAACATAAGTCGTGCCAGAACGTTGATATGCATAGGTTGCCTGGTAGATGAAAAGACGATTCTGAAATTACTGAAAGAAACTGAAAATGCTGCAACATGTACATGATATTAAAATTATTAAGTACTTAGTTAGACGTATCTATATAGTAAAAAGATAGTACTTAGAAGACACAACTAGAACAGCATAAACGCGCACACGAAACTAGCACATCTTGGCATTCCCGCTCGAGAAGGTCCCTGACTAGATCGGAGAATTCCTTTTCGGGCGTGACCATGCCACAGAGATGAAGTTCGTCGCACTGTGCTCCTAGCAAAACGCGCGTCCACGCTCCACCTCGCTCTGGGTCTAGCAACAGTTGCGCCTCGTCGAGTACAACGACCTCTGAAAAGGCGTCCACTGGGCACATCTCAGCAGTACAGCTGAGGAAAGCGCGAGGAGATGCGTGCTTAGCTGCAATTATCGGTTCGATATTCGCCATACCTTGATGCTGCTGGTGTGCTTTAGTTGCAGAAGCAGATTTAGACGTTGAAGACGTCGTTGCAAAGAAGCTCTGGTGTAAAGATAAGGAATTTCCTGCGTCTGCTTCTGCTGTTTTTCCGCGACTTCTGTGTACGTGCTCTTCTTGCTCCTTGTTCGATGGAGGGCTCCTGCCATGGGCAAAACCAAAAGATGAGTCTTCCTCACCTATGTTAAAAGCGTTCCCGCGTCTTTCATTTTCGCAGATGTCATCCAAGAGCACGCGAGCGTCCTCTGCGTTCCTCGACGTGGAACAACGTTGAGGCAGTGATGTCGAAAAGTCATTCCTAGAATTTAAAGAATTACGACATGAAGATCCGTAGGGAAAAATCCATTCCGTCCGAATTTCTTGACCTGTCCGCAGTTGCACAACTACCCCATCTTCAATACGAGAAGACGCCGAAGCCTTTTGGTGAACTTGTTCATGATCATCGTATTCATGCCTGGTGACTATTTCGTTGAACTTTTCTGCTGCCAGCAAGCGTAGGGGACCGCAGTAGACACCAGACTTCGCACGATGAAGGCGCTGCAAAGCTGTATGCGTTTTCCCGCTGTTCGTTGGGCCAAAGTGTAAGAACACCTTGCGCACTCGCCGTCGGGTCGACGCAAATCGCTTCGCCGCAGAGTCGCGCAAGTCGCACGCACGCTTTGCCTCCCCCCACGCACGCATCTGTTCCTGATACCGTTCCCAACAAAAGTGCTGGAATACACGCACCAAGGGTAGAAACTTCAACGCCTTGTTGCCTTCCTCTGTTCTTGTTGCCGATGAGGATGACACTGTCTTGCCGTCTACTCCTGATATAGTTGCCGATGACACTGACGATCCCATCATTTTCGAAGAAGAAGAACCGTCAGTGTCACCTCCGCCAACATCCATGATCTGCTGTCGAAGCCACCGACTACAAACCTCTGGAAAGCGATGCAGTAGGAAAGCGGAAAACTGCTCCTGGATGCGAGTGTCCTCTAGGAATTGCGGAGGAAACTGCTGCAGTAATGAATCTACTTCAGGACGACATTGACCTTGGCGAGAAGAGGAGCTTCCGTTCGACGAAGTAGAGCTAGAGTTCGACCACTTCGGCGTCCTTTTACTACGAGAAGTAGTAGACGCATGAAAGTCTCCTTCGTTGTCCTGTTCGGTTTTTATTCCGTTCTTCTGCGGTTCCACTCGACCTGAGTACGCGGCCGCAGATCGCTCGTGCTTCAGGAATCGACGCCATTGGTCGACTACCTCGGCACACTCCTCCTCGATGAGAGCTTTTTGATAGACACTTGGTTTCCGCGATGTTCGGACGAGTTGTGTTGTGCTTCTCCATCTCCGCTTTAAAAGATGGTGTTGTGCCAGCGATAACATCATTGCTGCGAGGACTACCAGCGCACGAGGAGTGCAGCAGAGGGAGACCGTCTTCAAGCCATGCAAGGTGTGGTAAAGGTATTGAAGACATTGATCTACTGCAAGGCTGCTTCATCCCGTGTCGACTCGGATTCTAACCAGTGACTTCTTTTGTTCTTGAAGCCACTGTGAGGTCGTCCTCGTCGCAAGAGCAGCAACTCCTGCCTATGAATCACTCTACTGATTCCTTTGAGCTCGGAGATTTCCATGAGGATCATGATGCGTCTAGCTGCAAAGACGGTAAGGCATCAAAACCAATCATTTTCATATCTTTGACTTTGTCTACCTTGTTGATGTTAGTAATCTTTAGCTCACATGATCGCAATATCATCCTCCTAGCTGCATATTCATCATATTGCAACTTCTGCACTTACATTGATAAACTGATGAACATTGTTGTATATTTTATAAGTAGGTTAGTATGTAAATCTGGGCTAGCATCGCCACGAGAAGCACTCTCCTTCCCAAGATCATTCTTCGCTCTTCCTCCTCATGGTTATGTCTGTGGTCGTTCTCCTGCTCCTCAGTTACCTAGCAGACCACGAAAGAGTTTCAGGCGGACAGAGGCTAAAGGATCATCCGAAAACGTTAGTCTTGTTCACTGACCCGATCCTGAGGACGAGAGGAGCGCAAAAGTAGACAGTCTACTTCATAGATAATTTGGGAGGACAATTTGGGACGCAAATGACCACGACTACAGTCATAATTTATAATGACTAACGAGGAGGAACAAAAAGATTCAATACGAATGGAGTAAACATTTTCACACTTATGTGCGACCCTTCGTCCTAAAGGTAAATCCATCTCATTCTCAACATGTTGTCACTAAACACCTTCCAACTTCGTATGAATCATGCCGAAATCACATTTTTTGAGTCATGAAATCTTAAACCGATGAATATATAAGAGTATGGGAGTGGACATGCATGAGGATGTCCTGATATACGTGACGATGTCCTCAGCATGATCGTCCGTGACACAACAAACTCTTAGTTCTTCGGAACAGCAAGGATTGCCATGCAAATCGCGGATCTGTGTCCCCCTCCCCTGCATGACAATTAATTCTCGCTGATACTTCATCGTTTTCGTCGTAACAACACCAATCGATTTCGTTTCGTAGAGTTACTCGCCCTACAAGAGGATTGGATCCTAACAGTCAGCAGACGAATAATCACCTGCAAGTCGTCCACACTTCAACTTCCGGATACGCTCAAGTCTTTCAGCCTGCCATTGACGCTGCAAATCTTCAAGCCAGTCTAAATCAACCGCAACAAGTACAACTGGCACAAAATGATCAATCCTCTACCTCGTCGTATGCAGATGGGTATGGTGGATGTGGAAGGAAAGAATTTCTAGTAGTTTGTGATGTTGAAGCGTACATGACGTTGACGTTGTTGCAATTAGAAGACTAGCACTTCTACCTTGACATACATTGCAAGGAAAAACCTACTCACTCATTGAGTTTGAAAAATTGCGTAACTCGGCGGCGAGGGATTTTACGGAGCTTAAAAGCTGACCAATTTATTCCCGCAGTACTCGCAGAGGCCATGGCGAGGTACCTGAATGTCTTTTAGGATTACGATGAGATGTAGTAGAGGTTAGCAAGTAAATGTGAAAGAGCTAGGAACGAAAATGATACTGATAGACTGCTCTTGGTCTTCTTGTGTAGTAGACATATAAAGGCACTGGCCCTGTGAACGTGCGGTGCCCGGGGGTTCCCCAGACCCAAAAAAAACTTGCTGATTTTCAGACTTAGTAAGATGAAAAAGGGCAAGAGTCTCCAATTATAAGTATTCAAGGCTCAGAGAGGAGTGCCAGACCCGCCTCGCGCGAGCCAGGACCAGCAACGAAGTCGCCCTCTGGAGTCAGGCGGTGGCGGAAGCCTCAAGCGCCGTCGCAGACGCAGAAGGGGCCCGTCTCCGTAGCCGCTTCCTAGAACGGGTCCAGGCTGCAGAAAAGTCAACAAGGGGGTGCTTCGAGGTCTTGCGTGAGCTCGAGGGAGGTCCAAGGTGCGAACAGGCTGTCGCGGGACTGCGGTACTGCGGCAAGGTCTTCTTTGACCACCTTGCGTCGGTGCTGGCGCACTTCTACGACGGTCACCCACGTCTTCCGGAGGCGACGATGAGGGAGGCGGCGCGTGCAAACGCTACGATCTTTGCGGAGGAGCTCGACGCGGAGGCGGTTGCCACGGTCACCCTGGACGACGTTGTGTGTGCCCTCAGCCAGCAGAAAGCAGCGGCTGCACCAGGGGAGGATGGGATCACAGCACAGCAACTACAGGAGATGCCCATGGCAGGCAAGAGACTGCTGCTGAGATTCATCCGGGGCAGCTTGAGCACCGGAGTAGTGCCGGCCCCACTCCGCAGCGAGCTGTGCACGCCGATCCTGAAGCCCGCAAAGGAGCCAGCAAACGTACCGGAGCCGAAGGGCCTACGTCCGATTGCATTGACGTCGACACTAGCAAAGGTGGTCGAGAGAACCGCACAGAGGCGCCTCCGGATGCTCTTCCAGGCTGCTGGCCGCCTTCAGTACGACCCGGCGCAGTACGGTGACACACCAGCAAGGGCAGCGCCTGACCATGTGGCTGCCATGGCAGTCAAGGTTCAGGAGACTTTCCGCAAGCACAAACGACGGGCGGCTGTTTTCTTGGACCTCACAGGGGCCTTCGAGCGTGTCCCGCCGGACCTTTTCGTCAACCGCCTACTTGCCAAGCGCAGCAGTTTCAGCGCCACAAACACAACAGCCATGGGCAGTGGGCCGGCCAGGTCTAGTGACAGACAGCAGTTCCTCCTGATAGCCCGATGGCTAGGGGCTTTCGTTTCTGGGCGGACAAGGGTCGCGCGTTTCGCGGAGGCGCTCTCGCCGAGGGTCGACTTGGAGCAAGGCGTTCCGCAGGGAACAGTCAGCGGCCCATCGGTGTGGGGGCACTATATCGACCCCCTCCTGGTTGAGCTCCGAGCGCGCTGCCCTGGCGTCGAAGTGTTTGGATACGTCGACGATATCGTCCTCTCGGTCGAGTACACGGACCCGCAAGCCGGGCAGCGGGAGCTCCAGGCGGCCCTAGACATCGTGGCTGCGTTCTGTTCGTCTAGTAACGCACAGCTGTCGCCAGGAAAGTGCTCCTACATTGTCTTCCAGGAGCAGTATGCGTGCGAGATGCCGGAGCTTAGCCTCTCGGCTGGGAGGGTGCAGATCCACTACGACCCGTGCCCGAAGTTCCTCGGAATCGTCGTCGACCGCCGGTGGTCGTTCGGGAGGCATTTCGAGGCGCTCGTCGCTAAGATGCGACGCCGGGAGGCAGCTGTGCGGCAGCTTGCCAGGGAGTCCTGGAGCCGCGCTCGAGAAATCCGCGCGATGCATCAGCTTTTTGTCGAGGCAGCAGCGGCGTATGGGTTGGTGTGCTATTGGGGAAGGCTGACCGCAGAGCAAAGGAAAGAGCTCGAGGGCTTCCAGTACCGCGCAGCATGCCTGATCTTGGGGCAGCCAGGGAACGCACAGCGGGAGTGCGCCCTCGCCATGGCGGGGCTGGCGACATTCGAAGACAAGTACACGGTCGACGCGGCGTCGGTGGTCGCTCGGGCAAGCTCGCGCCCCAAGGCAGACCTCCTCCGGCAACTAGTAGACAGGCACCCCGGGGTCGGATGGATCCAGTCCGGGAGAAGGATCATCCAGTGCGGAGCATCGCACGCAGCAAAGTCGACTGTGCTGCCAGAGGTTGCCGAGCATGCAGGTGACGGCTGTTCTAGCGTACATGTGGCGCAGGAGGACGGGCGCCTCATCGTCGAGCCAAGCGCAGCAGGTGGCGCCCCCGCACTCGTCGACGCTTTGAGCAAAGCAGACGTGACGGTCTACACAGACGGGACGGACTCCGATTTTCGCGGTGGTGCGGCGGCCTTCTGGTATAGTAGCGCTGGATACTTCGGCTCCGCCTGGGACTGCGGGCCGCTGTGTGACTCCTTCGAGGTGGAGAGATCGGCAATCGAGGCGACCCTGTGGGGGATAGGCGCCAGGGCTACCCCTGGCCAAAGGGTCGTCATCGTAACCGATAGCCAGTCCAACTTGCGCGCGATCTTAAACCCAGCACTTAGGAACGACAACGACACAGCCCTGTACTCGGCTCTTCGTGCTGCCCTGACAGGACTCGGACCAGCGGGCAGACTAGAGCTGAGATTTACCCGCGGGCACTCAGGCGTCATCGGCAACGAGATCGCTGACCAGCTAGCCGGAATAGCAAGCTCTTCGGACTTCCCCGCCGAGACGGGACAGGCGATCGGCCACAGGCAGTACCGCACGGAGGCCGCGAGGGTACTTCGCGTAGCCAAGTCGCGCCAGATAAGCGGAGCAGCACGCACAGGGAGCAAGACGGCCAAGACCGTAACAGACACAGGCAGCTGCGGCAAGGACCTCCTGCGAGGCGTAACGTGCTCGCGGGAAGACGAGCGGCGATACTATGCCTTCAGGCTGGGACGTTTGGCGAGCGGAGTCACCGGGGAGGACGTTGGCTGCCCGTTTTGCCCTGGCCTTGCGGCAAGCACGCAGCACCTACTAGAGTGCCCTGCGCTCCAGGCTCTAGTAGAGGCCCACGGAGTTCCGGCGAATGTTGGGGTGGCTGCGTCGAACCCGAAGCGGCTAATCCCATACCTTCGCGACTTAGCGACCAGCTTCGGCGGTGCGTTCTTGCGAGCGCAGCCGCCACACCTCCAGTGAAGACAAGGGGAAACGAGTAGCGGCCGCTGTGGTAAACCCATCGCTGCCCGCTACGATAGGACGGGGGCCGAGATAGGTGGTGGCGAACAAAGAACGAGCAGGGAGGAGACAAGAAAGGAAGCACGCGAAGACAAAAAAGAACGAAGACAAAACGAGAACGCGAAGAACAGTGCACGCAGGCCGCAAGAACGTCAACCAAACCCGGACGCGCCTCGCCGCCAGGTGCTACCTACGCGCAGTCGCCGCCGCCTGCAGCACGCCGCGCCTGGCATGCCACAAAAGCCGCAGCTGGCGGGGACTGTGGCGACCTGACATGAAACCATAGTCGATCGCAATGACGACCATAGCACTACACACACAGAGCACAAAGAAATCCGGCGGGATCGTACGCGTCGCCCGGAGCGCATCAAAACAAACAAACAAGTATTATTTAACTTAGCCAAGCATCACCATCTTTTGGCATATCATAAGATATCATAAAGGTACCTGACTCATTCCTTCTCGCAAGGTAAAGAGCCACGGCCTCTACGTTTACTTAGTCGTGCGGGAATTGCAGTCGGTCAGCGAGAGCTCCGCAAATAACAGCCTCCGGCCGGCGAGATTATTCAGGTTTTTTGAAAGTTTTCAGGGTGAGTAAGTTTTTTCCTTCTTTATCATAGAAACTTGTTTGTTTCATTGCTAAGGTAATGATCTTTAGTTTGAAAAATCGCAAAAAAAATAAGGCACCAATTCATCCACGACACGACAACAGGCTGTAAAGTTCGTCGAGAAAGTGTTGAAAACTCGGCAGCGCGCTCATTGAGCACTACTCCTAGATGGATCGAACTCCTCCTCGTTGTCAGCATCCTCGGTCCTCTTCGAATTCAGTATTCGTCGTCTGCCCTGACATTCGCCATTTGAAGCGTCGCCACCTTCCGCGATGTTGCTCTTACTGTCATCATCTTCACCATCTTCAGCATGATCCGCGTCCGCCTCTCCACCTGGATAAAACAAGAAAGCAGCAAGACCAGCATCCTGGCTCGTTGAACCGTAGTTGTCCTCAGCAGTTACAGGTTGCATCTTGATGTTATCCTCCTGATCTTCACTTCTACCTTCCAGGGAGCTATTAGCGAGAGCATTCCGCACACCAGGACCAGCGGACGCACCACCTGTGCCACGGCGGAGGCGAAAGAAGAAAAAGAAGAAGTAAAAGATGACCACTAGTATGACGAGTGCTGCACCAGCTGCTGCACCTTGCCAAGCCCACTCAGGAAGCTCTGCCGTATGAATTTGCGTGAAACCAGACGGAGCGAGGTGTGTTCGCCTTTTCGGTTTCTCGGTGATGATGTGCTTCCAAACCCGCTTGCCGCTGGTCACCTTAACAAGCTGAAAGACTTTGTGTGCTTCGGATGTTATTCGCGGGTCTTTTTTCGAAAAATATCCTTGTCGTTGAGACGCATACAGAAAGCGCGGACACCATGAAGGGGCGAGCACTATTTTGCTACTGCTGTCTACGTACTAACACACTAGCCCACTTACGAATCCAGATTCGTTCGAAACGATGAATTCCATGGGGGTGGGCCGTGAGATAAGAAAGAGAAAAGCCTGACGCCAAAGGGCGCGCGAATCGAATGCCGCAGGTGAGCGAGTGCGGGCGTGAGTGTCACGCAGATTGATAGAAAGAGAGTGGAGGGACGAAGCCAAAAGAAATGGGCGAGAATAGATACTGAGTGCTGAATACTGAAAAAGGGGCACCAGCATACTGGCTGAATCAATACCACACACGCCGGCCGGCCGTGTGCGCTGCCTCCCTGTAGGTGTAGGATGCGCAGCCCCCGGTGTATACACAATAGGGACAGAGAAGGACTGGCACAGATAACCGGCGCCAGCTAAAAACACACGCCCAAACTAGCTACTTCGAAGCCGAACCCCTTTGCCAATATTGATTCTGCCGCGTCAATGACTTAGCTTGGGCTGACGTCATGGCGGGGCGAGTATTGTTTGCTAGTCAGTGCTGTCTACGTGACAGACTAGCCCACTGGCAGCATGCAGATTCGTCCGATCAGAACTAGAACCAACGAACCCGATGCGAATGGGTCACGAGATAAGGAGAAGAAGAACCAGAACGAGCAAAAAACAAAGCAGGCCAGTCACGTCATGCCATGTCATGTAACCTCAGTGCTCAAGCTGACTTATTGACTAAGAAGCTGACTCAGTCTGCCTGTACCTTCAAAGAAGAACAAGCAAGCCGAGCGATATACTACCAAGTATCACCAGAAAGCAGCCGCGGACCATGTCCGCTGCCGCGGCGTTGCTAGGCAAGTTCAAGCAAAGCTGGCCGCCCTTCACGCACAACCAGGAATGGCTCGCGTTCATCCCCGAAGGCATTGGCATTCACGAGCGCGAGGGAGTAGCAACTTACTAAGATAGTGCTTCTGCGAGCGTTCACGTGATCGCTGTAAGCCGTCACCAAACACGCGCGCCGATCACCTTATAAACCCAACAGATTGCGACTCTCTTTGTGCCATACCCTGCGGGAGGCTCCTGCATCATGCGCAGCAGCCTCCGAGACAGCACTTCTTTGAAGGTTATGAGTTACAGACACCGACGCCGCCTCGCTAGTAACTCCAATGAAGCCTAGCAAGGCGACACATTGTCGGCCCATCATCTTACTCAAGTGCGAAGTGCAAGTGGGGCCCGTTCCTCGTTGTCTAGTCTGAGAGCTTTTCTTGTGCTCTTTTTGTCTCTTTCTTCGGGGGGTGTCTCGCTAGCTTACGCGCTACATGAAAGGATCTACAAAAAGGCCAAGTCGCTCAGAGGATAAGCCTGCTGGACGGTCCGGAGGTATTTGCGAGGCTTCCGCAAGCAGAAAGATCTGGGACGATGTGGGGGCATTTGTGAGCTGAACCTATCTACCACTATCGTCCCCCTGTATACCCAGCAAATGTAGACTGAACACGAAAGAAAGGAAGCCATAGCGTCCGCCTGTCTTGTCAAAGTCAAGGAAGCTCGCAAATTCGTATTGTAAGCTCCAGCGTTTCCGCGTTGTTCGTTTGTTTGAATATATGCGCCAGCTTCTCTGTTATTTTAGCTCCCTCTTCTTCATTTTTTATTTTTCACTTTTACGCGCTTACTGTCTTCCACCAGAAAGCCTGCGCCTACTTTATTGAATTGCCAACGCTGGGGGCTTTTCAAAGGGGTCGCAAGCTTTGACTCCGGAGCAGTGTGATACCAACCTACTGGGAAAATAATTGGCAAACTCTTGGGACCGAAAGACAAGGATGGAAGAACCGCCCACGTTTCTCCTTAAATGCGTTTCGTGAAGGAGTGCGGAACCAAGAAAACCTGGCTGCTTCTCTCTTGTTTTCATTCCGAGGCCTTATTCTCTGAACCGAACACGCTGAGCCTTGCAAGTGTGGGCCTCTCTCCGTTTCTGTCTGACCAATATGAAAGACCAAGAAAAGCAAGAAAATGAACCAAACTCATGAAAAATTGGACGACTCTGCACACTTGAAGACCAGAAAGGAACGACCTGGGCGAAAAAAAGCAGCGCAAGGATAAGAAAGCCAAGCCTCCGTAACACAAAAACCGAACCAACCAGAAAAGCCAAACAAAAACCGGCGAACTGTCGAAAAATTCGACGAAAGCCATTACTTGGAGACCTCACGAGCGCAAAAGAAGCGAGAAAACCGGGAAACTGACAGGGAAAAAGCGACGGAACAAAGAAACAAACCTGAAAAAACGCCGGCGCCGCAAAACGGACGGCCCAGAAGAAAACTGCCAGACTTTGACAGTTTGTTAGGAGAACCAAAAGCGCAGAAAACCGCGAAAAAATCGCGGTAGGCGACACGAGGGAACCACTCTGGAGCTATCAGAAGGACCCCTGGAACAGAAGCAGAGAAAGATAAAAAAGAAAAGAAATGTCCTGGAGTCGGACATGAGATCCGGGAAGCGCAAAGGCAGCTTAGCTAGCCTGACAGGCAAGGGCAGAGCCCATGTGTCAGACAGAACCGACGCCATTCCCCCTCGCCTCTCAAGCCGATCACGGTCCACACTTGCTCTCATGAGCGTGGTCTTGGATGCGCTCCCCCCAGCAGATTCCTATCCTTATGCGCAATCCATCCAGTACGTCGCTACACACAGGCGCCAAGATGTCTCCTCACTTCCTTGGTATCGTGTGCACGCAGAGACCGAGCTACTTCATCATGGGCAGATCTTCACTACCATCGAAGAAGCCGGCCCTCTGCCTTGTTATTGTGTTGCTGGCCAGAGTTTTTATTCTTGGGGCCTCGTCGTGGGTCACAGATCTACTCATGACTTAAACAAGCTCGGAAAAACATGCGGCGAGAAGCTTTGACAAACCTGCTACACAGCAGCAACATGAGGCGAGAAGCTCGCATCTGTTTCATTGATACTGTACAAGCATGCAAGCACTCGGCCACATTGATGCCACTGGTGCCCACAGATAGGCGTGCTTCTTGGAAGTGTCCACAGCTGCCGTGACTTGACTGCGGCCCTTTCCTTCATTCTTCCCAGAGCAACACCTGCGACCGAAGTTGACTGCTCTCCCCACGCAACAACTGCTATCCATGTGCTTGGGATTGTGTGAGCACTTGAGTACTCTGCTCAAGCCGAAGCCAAGCCTCAGGGAACTTACTCCCTTTGTTGTTTACGTTGTGCTTACTTGCATATACGTGAGAACGTAGCTGCAATCTATCTCAAAACAAAAGCGGACTGCATGCACATCGTCGAAGGATGGTTATAGGTTGAGAATCGTTCAAGAGTCTCAGCCCTGTTCTGTCGTGCTTCTTTGTTGCGCTTGTACTTACGTGCACACCGTTCCTACGTTCTGAACTGAACTTGCTTACTCTCGCTGGCAAACGTCTAAACTCATGCGAAGTTCTGCCATACGTGACCGATCTCAGCCTTCACGCTTGGACCTTCACACCGTGCCAGTTCTCTTGCCAGCTCTTGGCTGTCAGTTCTGGTTACAACACCACGCGCAACAGTGCCCACATGCTTTGCGTGGAGAATGAGTGCGAGAGGCTACCCATGACAACACTTCAACTCTGTGCATCTTATGAAGACAAGGAAGACGCGAAAGCGCCAGTGCTGCAAAAGCAGCGATCCTTGCTAGTGTGAAAAGATGTCATATACAATACAGAGGGGCGCTCTCTCTAGTATGGGACGGCAACACTGTCCGTGGCGCAAGAGCCTTCCACGGTATTGACATTCAACGAAAGAGACCAGGGCCGCGACTCCTATTCAGTTTCAGTCATGAAAAAAACCACAGCACTGGCGCCCAAGTACTTATGGAAATGATGCAGCAACCGCGCGGAATGCCTACCCCTACACCCCAGCTCCTTCCAAGTGATTCCCATGCATCCTCAAGAGTCAGGCACTGAATGATCTGCGTGGGACGTGCGTGATTCTTGTGCTTTGCTATGATTATGCTTATCGGCCTATGGAGCCTTGGGCTCGTCACTACTTAGCTCTTTGCCAGCGAAGCGATTTACTACGAAGCGCATGCTACTTAGCACCATGACGTAACGGATTGGGCTACTATATCAATGATAGCAAGAACAATCTGCAACGTCAAGCAAAAAGGTACAACTTACTTCGTCAAAGCAGCATCGCCATGGAGTGCAAAAAACAGAGGACCTGCTACTTGATCGAAAAGAAGTCTCCTCATCACGCTGAACATACTTACTTGCGTGCTACATGTGCCCTGCTGTGCCTGTGCGTGCACACAACTACAGCAGGAAAAAGCTGGCCGGCCGTATGGACATACTTTACAGCCATCCTGAAGATGGAAAAGCAAGACGGCGCATTCATATAAATCAAGAAGAAAATACGGCGCGGCTGCTGCTATGGAAATCATCACGCTGGGTAGCCTCTCACTATGTTTTTTTATTATATAAGCCGCTGCGTCAAGAAGATCACGACACGAGACTGCTTACGCCATTGCGTACAAAGCAAAGACCCCCAGGCTCAGGCAAGATGTGCGCACTTAAACTCCCGACCAGTACCCTCCCGGCCAGATGCAGGATGCCCTTGGTGTCAGGGAACCCAGTCCATCCTACTCTGAGCCCGGGGCTTTTATAGTCTCTACTTATGCCAGTCGTCACTATCTAAGAAGATAGACGGAATGCTTCATATCCACTAGGGTCTTCTTGAAACAAGGGAAGGCGCGCACGCCACAGCAAGAGGCGTCGACATGTTCTTGCGCCGCGCTACAGGAATGTAGGGGGTTGAATCATGATAAAGCTAAGAGTCGAAGCCCTCGCACTAGCATAACGAAGCAAGAGACTGCTCCGCACTACGCCGGTGGGTCTGAGATTCAGACTGTAACTACTCGAAGGAGGCCGGTGGACTCTGCGGCAACGCCAAAGCTGCTACTTCCAGGAAAGTACTGCGACCAAGATGCACGACATCGCTAGCCGCTAGATAGCACACCAATACGAAGCCAAACACTCGACAAGCTCTGCGAACTACCAAGCACTTCGGTTTCGTTGCCTACGAGACAGCTGCCAACACTCTCAGAATCTAGCTTAGTGACAAAAAGCCTAAGACTATCAATGATCTCCAAAACGCAAGAGGTAAAAGACATAGCACACCCGTCACTTCCAGGTCTACCCCTTAGCAAGAAGAAGAAGCTGGCGCCACCATGCCCAAGACTAGAACAGTCAAAAGAAAAGGGCCGCTGCTAGTCGTCTCAACGAACACGATACAACACGAGAAGGAGAAAAGACAGAAGCTAACGCCAAGGGGTCTGCATATTAGTACACGCTGTGACGATAGGCACTCACTAGCTTTCGCATTATGTAGACTACCTCTTTGCCACCACAAAAGAAAACAACCCGACTTCACCCACCCAGTCCCTTCGTATCATATGCCCCACGCCTTCTCTATTTACTTACTTGGTTGCTCTCCTCCACACCTTCCTCCCCACCTATAGTCTACCAAGTCCCCTCCGTGTTGTTATAGAGAGCCTTCGCGCCACGGTCTACATCAGATCAGCCTTGCGCTCCTACCTGCGTCGAACTCCCTCCAAAGTTCTCAGCAGCGGAACGAAAGATCAGAGATCCCGCACCTGCTAATGCGTCTGCCGGATCCTCATCCATCCAGCCTTCTCCGTCTTGAGGTAGACCGTCCACGTCCATCATGAACTCGCCGAGCGAAGCGCCGTCCTCAGTCTTCTGCTGCTTCGATTTCTTTCACGTCGCAGCGCGCAGTTTGTTCGTCTCCAGCCTCTTGGTCATCTTTTCTGCGACCGCCTTTGTTGCGTCTGCGTCTTGATCTCCTCCTTGCGCCACACGCGCCTGCGCGCGAGCGAAGTACTGCTCGAGTTCCTTCGCGAGCCAACGTAGAGTCCACGGTCTTGGCGAAGATGGTCAGATCCGGTGGCGATGCAGCAGAAGATGACGAGCTGGACGACGATGAGGACGAAGCCGCCGAACCGGATCCAGCCTGCAGAGGTGCAAGCGCTGCCGCCTTGGAGCTGAGTCGTGCATCAAGGGGCGCTGTCTCCTCACCATTGTCGATCGCCTGCGCAGAACCCGCACCAAGACACAGCGCCGACGAATGCTTCTCCTTACTTTGCTGCTTTGATCTCCCGCTTCCGCTTCTCTGCTTCCTCTTTGCGTTCCTCCATGCTCTGCCCTTCTTTCTGGTCGCTGGCGTGGCTCAGGTTCGTGAAACCGCGGACGCCCTCGGTTCTGTTCGCCAGCCGTGCTCTCTGCCTGCGAAGCTGCCGCTTTTGGCCAGCGCTGCTATCGATATAAGTCTCCAGACCACCTTCCTCGATGCCCTTCATTCTTCTGCCTCAACTCCAACAGCTGCGCCGCAAAAGAGCTGTGCTGAGCAGAGAGGGCAAGCCTGCGAGTACTCCGCGCACACGCCGAAACGCTCGCGGTACGTAGATGGAGCCAGCCTGGAAGGAACAGATCGCCTGGCGATAGTAGTAAGAGTAGGCGAGACTTCAGTGGGGAACCATTTGCAACAGAAAAAAGGACTCAGACAGAAGAGACCACGGGAAAGATTCAATGTAATCGCGTTCCCTTTCATGCTCAGCCGCAGCGACACCTCTCAGGTTTACGCGATAAGGCACGCAAGACCTCGCGCCACCTAACTTAGTCAATGAGGGAAAGAACCAAAGCGCCGTCGCTAGTCGCTTGGTTGAAGTGAGCCAAAGTTCCCGGCGGCAAGAAACTCTCGAGCCAATTCCTCCTGTTCACATTGATCGCTTCCAATAAGCCTGAGCGCGCGTCTTGGGCAAGCGACTGAGTCTGGACCTGTTCGACGAAGGAAGCCCGCTGGGCCATCGCTTGAGTCTTGATCGTGACGGGTGACGTCGCTTTCATTAGCTCGCTGCACAGCTGTCACGCTTAGCGGATTGATATGAAAACGCATGGGGTGCATGAAGAAAGAAGGAAGAAAGTTGGCGACGTTTGGGCTTGAGTTGATGCATCACAAAGAAACGGGGCCAGCCTCTATCCGTCAAAGCGTCTAATTCTAAAGAATGCAAAGACAATAAAGCAAACTAAAGTGCTTGAATTTCCTCCGGCGCAAAGACATCTGCCGAATTCAGATCCCATACCGTTCGCGGCTTCCAAGCCTTCACTTTCGCGCTAAAGTCTGAGCATTCAACTGCCGCGGCTCTCTCGTATTCTTTTCGTAGAGGCGCCACGAATTTGCCCGCCGCAAACTCTGCTTTGTAAGTTTCGAGTGCGTACGTAGCGCCAAATCGTGACCCTGCAGATTGAAAGAATACTGCTAACGCCTTCAGAAGCATCGCCAACTTCGCAGGGTTCAGACCATGCCCCAAGGTCTGAATACGCAGCCCCTCGCTCGTCAGCGCCTCTTTTATTTTGCATTTTCTGTATGTGGTTGGTTGAGGTCGAAGATAAGAAAAGGCGCCCACTGTTGAGAAGAGACTAGTAAAACAATAAAGCAGTGCGCCGCACTGATTCACATGGATACTGATAAGCAAGACTCACGTGCAAACGTAACAAAAAGCCAAGAGAAACACCCACGCCGCGCAATCTGGTCCCATGAAGCGGAAATATGACAGCAGAGACACGTCGTAGCTCACGTTATCCAACAAGTGCGGAGCCACGCTTTCCCATTCGCCACACCAAAGCAAAGCCATGGCTTTATCACAACTCGCATCCGAAGACTCACGCAGAAGCGCCTTCGTGGCAGCTTGTAGCATGCGGAGTTGCGAACTGGGTCCAAAGTTCTGCAAGAGCTCTTCTGCTTCACGCAAGTAGCTGCCCTGCGACAAAAACGGGCTGCGAATGAGGTCGCGCTGCTGAAGGGCGTCCGATGATATCACGCCATCCATCTTCTGCCTCCGCTCCATTTGAGTCTTCACCTGCGTCTCTGCGTAGTAGTCTTGCTTCTGCTGTGCTGTTGGAACTCCACGAATATCTTGCGCGCTCGAGGAAGCAGATGACGTCGCGTAGCTTGAACTGGAAGACGGCGAGCTACTCGATCCTGATCCTGTCGCTGCCTCGGTTGACGTCGGTTGTGCTGTGCGCTTGCGCCTAAATCCGCCAGAATGATGATTGTCATCTGAATCCGAAATGGCCACAACGTCCGGCGCTGGTGTACGTGCAGACGGTTGCTCCTCGAGGATGCTACCGCTGGCGGCAAACTCGATAGAGGTGAGGTTCGGTTCCCAGCTGGAGGCGTAGCGAATCCATCCTGCGGCTGATCCTGCTGCTGCTTAGCCTCACCCCCCGCATGCTCATCACCGACTTCTTCCAAATTCTTGGGGGAACCACACACGCCGTGGAAATCGGCTGCAGCGTGAAAGCCCTCCGCTTCTCTCCTCTGAAAGCCTTCCAGCTTCCCCTGATTCTGATGGCACTCAGCGCCCTCCGCTGCAGACACCGCCCGCCGTCATAAGTTGCTCACACCGTTTCGAAGAAACTGCCCAACACCACCGCCGGCCCATGATCTTGAAGAGGCCACGCGGCTGGTTCACTGCAACATCCTCAAACCCCTTCTCCGGCACCTCCTGCGCCTCCATTCTCGGGAGTGAGTTGCATATCCGCCGGCTTCTTGGGGAGAAGCTTCGCACGTTTCGCAGACGGGCCATCCCTCAGCGCGTCCCCCTGCTTACCCGCTTGCTCTTCCTGTGTGTAGGAGAGGCGGAGGGGGATAGTCCTAGCTGTTCTTGTTGATGACTGAAAAGCAAGGGCCCAGCGTCGCAGTAAATTAATGCAAAGCATTCGCATTGCTAGCACTGGAAACCCGCCACGAGTATCATGCAAATAGCCTGAGTGTAGACATACAAGTAAAATAGAAAGAAGCAACAGGGGCACGATTCTGCCACACCGTCTCGCGTATGGATCGGCCAAAAAATGCGCCCCCTGCTCTTCCAGCCCAGGGGCGGAGTCTTCCTCTTCGTTTTTTGATACAGCTTGAAGCACTCCTGCAGCCCATCGATCCATAAGCGCAGCGTACTCAGGACACAGATGGCGGGCAAAACTTCTGCTCTCGATAGCATGAGAAGGATTGCGAAAGATGTCCTCCTCGCTGTATGTGTCAGATATAAGGCGACTAACGAAGACAAGACGAAGCACGGGGTGGGAGGGTGCATCGTATGCGTGGGGCTTAAAGTCAAAAGCCTTGGGGCCTTAGCGCTTCAAACTAACGAGGTCCAAGCTCAAAACGACGAAAAACGTGGAAAATTGTCGAAATTCGAAAAACCCGAAGCCAAGACATTGAATCTCAGGGAAAGAGCTCAAAATCAAAAATTTTGGGACTTTAGCACTTCAAACGAACAGAATTCAACCCCAAAACGCCGACAAAATGTGGAAAATTTTCGAAATTTGAAAAATGCAAATCCAAGAAATTGAACTCCAGGGAAAAGGCTTAAAGTCAAAAACTTTGGGGCCTTTGCGCTTCAAACGCACAAAACACAATCCCAAAACGGCAGAAAAATGTCGAAAATTTGAAGAATGCAAATCCAAGAAATTGAATCCCAGGGAGTGGAAAGGCCTTAAAGTCCAAAAGTTTTGAGGTCTTAGCACTTCAAACGCACGAGGCTCAATCCTCAAACGAAGGCAAAACGTGGAAAATTTTCGAAATTTGAAAACGCTTATCGCTTACATACATCTTTGCCGTGCTTAGATAGTTTCTTACTTTGGGGAGGAGGCGGATCCTAGTGGGAGGAATGTCGTCAGACGCTCCAAGCTAGTACATGCACGAACTTCAATCGTATCAAATCAGGCGAGGAGCATCAGGCCGAGACTGTTGACTAACTAAGAAAAAAACCAGTGACCTATGGCAGCCACTAAATAGACGCGAGGCGCGTGGCGTCTGGTCTTCATCGTCCGACACCGACGAGCGGCTGCCCACGTGAATCCATTCAGCTCAGCCCTCGCTTCAGATTATAGCTATGGACGACGAAGATGCGAAGCCGACGCCATGGCGGTGAAGTCTACAGCGCATCCAGCTGCAGCATTCTAATTAGCAAGCGAAACGATGCACAAAGATAAAGCCCTAATCCTCGCAAGTAAGTACAGGGGAAAAGGCTGGCTCCATCTGGAAAGGAATGGCATGAGAAAAGGCAAGCGAATACTATAGAACTAGAGCAAGACCACGCCGCGGCCCGTTCCTCTTTATATTAAAGCTGGCGAGTCACGTTCGTTATTCATTGCCTTTCCTCTCGGTTGTTGTTCGGGGTCAGGAGGGGCCGCATAGGATAACCGAGGCCGACCAAGGAAGAGACTCGAGGCGCACGCGCTACAACTCACTAAGCGCGCTCCTTCATCTAGTGGGTGCTAGTAGTAGACTTAACGGAGGGAGACCAAGATGGCACGGCGCTGAGGTAGAGCCGAGGGGTTCATACTCTTTAGCGGGGGGGGAAGGGATGCCTGCAAAACAGACCACGAAGCACCCGCAGCCCGTGCTTCTGCACACTCAAAGCGCACGACACTAGACACAAGGCAAGACTGGTCGGGCATCGACGTGAGACGTCGCCGCTGCGCCTATGAATAGATACACCCACGCCAGAATGGTAGCAGAGACCTCACGCCTCGAGCAGTAGCACCGCACAGCTTCAAAATGATACTAGAAACACAAAGAACACAGGGAAACGACTGCGCGAGCCGTTGCGCCTGCTTCAACGAACACGAAGGGGGTGGCTGCTCGTGAAGAGAGAGGTCGACACCAGAAGCAGGCGCGAACCTGGTCCCTGTCTTGTTGAGTGAAAGCGAAGAGATTAGATAGAAAAACGAACGCGGCAAGGAGATGCCGGAGCGTGAAGGAAGGCGAAGAGACCCTGCGGCGATCTCGGTAAGCCAGTAGCCTTCCGCTCTGATTTCTTTGGCTTGGTCTGTTTGTCGTGTCTGCGCCATCTCGTCCCATGTCATCAAAGTCTTTGCAATTGCCGCGAGAGGGCTGAAGACTTGGGCATGGGCACAGCCTCGCTCCCACTTCGATCCGCTTTGATCTTGTAGCGGGGCGCTGACTTGAGAGATGTGCCCCGGCTTGGGTCTTTATCTTCCCTTATCGCGAAAACAAGCAGAAGCGAAAGGATGGGACTAAAACAACGAGAGGACGAGAGCAGGCAGCGCCTCTCTGTCCGACGACCCTCGGGCCGTTTCTTCGATGGCGCTCAAGCTAATCGCCCGAAGAGAAAACACGCGAGCCGAAAGCACTTGAACCAAAAACACGCGAACCAAAAACGCTCGAACCGAAAGCATTTGCAACGAAAACACTCGCAGCGAGAGCACCGTCTTAAACTAAAAACACAGCAACAGCAAAAACGTGAACCCGTGGGCCCATGAACTCGCGAACTTCTACTGAATAAGGAGTGCTACAATACTGAATACCACACAGGACGGCCCCTCGGCCGTCGTTTGCGCTCGCTGCGTGTAGGATGCGCAGCCCCCGACGAGTACGGAGTAGGGATGGGGAGGGATTGGCAACCGATTCCAGCTAATACTAATAGCACACGCCCCAACTAGCTATGTCGAGCGCCTTCGCTATTCTTGCAATAATTCTTGGCTGTACTCAACCTTTATTTTTTGAAGCTCAAGCTTCCCATTTGATGTTCCTTTTTCGACGCAAAACCAGCGAGATACGAGGATGTTGTCGAAGCTCCAGATATACGCCCACGCATATCTCCGATACATCTTGATCTCTCTTCCAGGCAGGCAGTGGTCGGGGTGGATTTGTTCATCCTCCTCACGCGACTCCATATCGATATAGGCATCATGCCAGCTGGAGAACGGTTTGAAGACGTGCCCTAAAACCGCATACAATGCCGTCTCCGGCGACCACTTAGGTGTCATCCGACTCATGGCGCGCCATGGTGAAGTCTGCACAAGCTCCTGAAACTCAGACTCAGGTAGACCATTTCTTGAAAAGAGAGCCTTGTACTTGTTATCGTCTTGGAGACGTTTCAACATCTCGACGAATGCATTCCACAACGTCCAGTACCACGACTCTTTGCGTTCGGTCACCATGTTTTTTCCGCCAGCAACGTTGTAGTTGAGTTGTGGTTGATAGACAAGTGAATCTTGAGTGTAGTACCAACTATGACGCGATCTATTGTAGAATTGACCCGCCTCGTAATTCAACCCTATCCTCTTTATTCCTCGACAAAGAAATGCTGGGACCTTGCTTTGAGTAGAATAATGAATGAAGGAATTTGCCTAGCAAAAGGTGATGTAGTTGTAATTGTTTGGCCACCTTCTTCTTCTTCAGGTGATTAATTACAAAGCTATAAATATAATTACAGTTTCAATCATTACCAAATAACTTCGTTTTTCTTAGTTGGATGGAACAACATCAACATGTAGTTCGCAATATTCATATATGATGGAAATGCGCTTAGCGCCTGATGATGATTTCATGACTTTCAATTTCAATGATCTCTGGTACTTTCGATTTCTTCATCTCCATATCATGATAATGAGGCATACCACCTAGGACTTTTCAAAGTCCAAATTTCTAGAAAGAGTGGAATTCTCGAGACGACCGCTGACAAAGTCTATTCTTGCCACTCATCTCCATATTTGGATTTGGTTTTGGAGATTTCGGAAAAAGTTTCTTTTTTTTTTGTATCCCGGGGCTACTGAAGGAGCGGCCTCAGCTTTATCCAGTTCGCCACCAGTTGGTCATACTAACAAATATTATGGCTGCCTCTCTTCCTCGCTCGAGCAACGGTCGTCCGCTAGCATCATCGTAACTACTTACTACAAAGAACATGAAGATATTTACGACGAACATCAACGACTCGCCAACGACGTAGGAACATCTTCACCGCAAATCAGTTGTTGGGAGCTCACTCCTTCGCAATCCCCTGATGTTGGAGGATATCCAGAGGACAATTTGTAAGTTGTAGTTCCAGTTCAACACTTTTTTTGCTTATGTTGGTCATCATGGAAGCACATGCATTCATTGTCGTCTTCAAGAGGATCTGGCCAAGGACCAAAAGCTGGTAGTTCGTCTTTCTACAAAGCGGGCGTGGATACTTTCAGGAAGGGGAAGATTATAAATTACACCATGAAACTACCAGCAGCGGATAGTTAATCATTTTCAACGAACTAGAACTAGAAAAAAATTACACAATCCTGTGCCAGCAGACGTAGACCAGTATGACGCGCAAGAAGTGCATGGATCACGATGGGCGACATCATCATCATCATCATCATCATCATCTTCATCATAATGGATCATTCATGTACTTTTAGTAGTCTGTCCGTCGTGATGAGGTGGAAAATAAAAAAACATCACTGAGTGATGTTGATCATCTTCAAAGTTCTGCGACAGGAGCTGTGATTCATCATTTCATCGAACGTTTTAAGTAATATCCATTCTGCCATGCAGGTAGCACTTCTAATCTTTTCTAAGCGGGTAAGATCCTAACTTCTATCTAAATCTCTATGCTGATCACTCATTACAACAAAACAATAAATGTATCTATAAAAAAAGGTCGCTTAGCATTTCTATTTTCTAGTAGGTGTACTTGATTGGAAATGACTTTTCAGCACGACAAGCACCGGTATATTATCAATTCTTGGAAACAAACGATAAAAAACCAAAAAGTTCTTCTTGAAAGTTCACTACTGAGACTTCTAACACAAAAATATTACGTCGAGTATTTAGATAACGATCTGGCAGTGCGATTCAAAAAAATCAGTTCATTGGCAAAGTTATCTACAGAAACCGTCTTCATCCTTCATTCTCACATATCATCATAAGTCGTACATTTACTGCAATATCATCATAAGACTTCCATTTAATATATTAAAAATAGATAATCGGAAATCCGAGAAAAAACTCGTCCTCCAGTTGGATATTCATACTTGTTCGTGGGTTGGCTGGTCATAATTAGACTGACAGGAGACGCTTTGGTGGATGAAAGGTGGAGCATTGCAGATAAGTAGATTATCAATAGACAAGAGCGGTCCTCGGGAATGCATACACGCAAATCACGTTTCTGCACATTTTCGGCACAGGTAATGATCACGTGTCTGGTAATGATCACGTGTCTGCACATTTTCGTTTTTCACTGAGTCTTCGTCTTTTCGACGTCTTCCTAGTAGTATTCGCCATCGCCATAAACATAATTGTCCATTGTATATAAGTAGTTCAACTCCAAGTTCTGCTTCGTTCGTATCGCGAAAAAATAAATCTCCCTGATGTCGTTTTCTCGGATCATATTCAACACGGCTCCTTGGCTCAGCTACTACGGAAGGTCCAGACACCTTGACGGAGTGTCAAGGCACTGCTCTGGAGGACAAGAACATGCTGCCATAGTGCCCAGAGAAATTCGGAAGTTCGTTCAAAGCCCACCAACATTAGCTCGAGCTCGACGCGGCTGCTCCTCCTGAAGTAGAAGTTGTACAACTTCCAGTGGATCGATGTTGGGTCAATCGAAGATACATGTCATGGATAATCGTCTTGTTAAATTTACTAGACCATGACTTGTCGTTGATCAAGAAGCTTCAAGAATGTCAATCAAGCTAGTACACGACAAGGAAAAGAAGCAGAAATGAAAATCTTCAAAAACAAAATCAATGATCATAAATCAAAATCACTACCCGCAGCAGCCCCCGCTGGCGCCTTCTGTTCCACCTTCCGCATCAGTTGCAGGTAGACTGAGGTCCACTCATCCAGTGTGTGGTTGTAGTCGTCCTTCTCCGTTGGATTGAATAGGCGAAAACATGCGTCTCTTAGAGCTATCGCGTCGGCGCATCCTTGGTGCTGGTGGGTGCATCTGCATGATGTGCATCCTTGGCTACTTCGTTTTCACTCTATTTGAAAACGAAGCCAACAAGAAGGATGATGGCGTTTATAAGGATGTGCTTTAACTAGGATGATGGTGTTAATAATGATGGTGTTAATAATGATGGTGTTAATAATGATGGTGTTAATAATGATGGTGTTACTAATGATGGTGTTATTTAATAATGATGGTGTTAATACGGAGAGCCTTAATTCTCGCTCTGGCGCACTGGTTTCCTCCCCATTCCAAGCACGCTTCTGCTTCAACTTCTCCGACATGGTGATGAAAGACACGTGGTTGTCCACAATGTCACCACGATCCAGATAGCGCTGACGAAGAGCCTCGTACTCCTCGGTGAAAGGATCTCGTTGACTCGCATCGTCGTTTTCCGAGGCTGCACTGTCGTAGCTCCGTTGAGGACCACCACCTGCATAAATCTCGACCGCAAAAGCGTAGGGGACTTTCGCAACGTCATAAGCGAAATCCATGCTGTTGCCGGTAGCCTGGTAATGAATCGTCTCCATGGCGCCGCCGTAAGGAACGCGCATCTAGTAGACGGATAGAAGAGGGCCATAAGGGACGCGCATCTAGTAGAGGGATAGAAGAGGTGATGCCATTGAGAGGTCCTCCGCATAGATGAAGAAATGATGCAAGGAGGCTCATCTTAAGCTCGTCTTCATACCTCCACATATGTGAATTTATAATGAACAAGAACTATCTTAATTTTGTTCTTTTTTAATACCAGAAAGTTGTGACTGGCGAAAGACCTGCTGGCGTTCGTTACAACTACCATTTATACCAAGACCAACAAGCAACTACTTGTTCTACGTAATAGTAACACCTCCAGACATCAGTACCTTTTTGTTGACGTCATCTAAGATTTGCAGCATGTCCTTGTAATTGCTTGGTTTCTCCGTCTCCGACCATCCGAAGGGCAAAAACATACTCAAAGTACCACTGTGGACTGTCAGGAAGAGGTCTGGCTCAAACTCGCGAAGCATTTCGGCAACGAGGCTGTAACGTGTTAAGAGTGTTCTTAGGAGAGGTAGACAAAGGTCAAAGGAAAGTCTTTATTTCTAGGTTCAATATTAAAGGAAAGTCCTCAGGTTCAACAATTTTCATCAACAAGAACTTCGAGTCTGGTGAGGCTGAAAAAAATGAATAATTTTTGTAAAGAACAGGTCGTATCATGTTTTTGTCATTTTTGATGAAGATGGGCTCGTTATTGTAACAGAAACTGGTGACCGTGACCACAGACAGTGGTTATCATAACTGAAACTGGTGAACACGGAGGACAATAATTAAACTGCAACAAAAAAAATGCCCAATCAGCGTCCGTACGTTGGCTCTCTTTCACTGAGCGGCGCAGGCCCGGACCATGTTTCAGTGCCATTGTGTCCCGTAGCCATCCAGTGGTCTGGGAAATTTCGGTTCAAATCAACACCGCTAACTGCGGTTCGCAGACAGTATTCGCGGTTCGGTCCAAGCACGCGGTCGCGCGAACTGGGATTTGCGTTTGCGACAATGATCACTTCCCAAGCCCCTTGGAGATGTTGAGAACCGTGGTGAAGATTCGATGAGACCAATTCATGTGCCAGGTGTAAACCTGATTCAGGGGAGATGAGTTCTCTCGCGTGCTCTCCAAAGAGGAAAAAAGCACGCTTTCGCTGCACACCAGGAGTTGTTCCACTCTCCTCTATCAGAGAAGTACTGCCTCCGCTACCTGCTCCGTTGCCGAGAAAGAGACGTGCCACATCGATCCCAGTTCCGTTGACATTCTCGGACAGCTTGACAGCATCAGGTGATGCGGCCGCAAGTGTGCGCAGTTCCTCTCGGATGCCGACGGAAGTCCGATAGAAGCTTGGTGGGGCAAATGGCAGTGTCTGCGTCGCTTCCCCTGGCTTCTCCTGCAACAAGGCAACTGAAGAGGCGGGTCGTTCTTCACGTGCTAGGAGCGGCGCTTGGCGAACCGATTGAATGTGCGCACCTGCGGCAACCCCTACAGTGGCCACAAATGACCCGATCACTGCGAGGGGTCGGCAAGAGCGAGAAGAACCAGTATTGTTCCTAAGTAGAGCCATCGTCTTGATTTTTGTGTGATATAAGTCAAATTGTTGACGAAAGAAATCTTCTTCACCAAGTTGGTGCTGAATGATTGTATGTGGCAGTTGTTATGATTGAATGGTTGAATGATTGAATGGTGGTCGAATGTTCTGTAGTATCTTCGCCCTAAAAACTTCCTCTGCAACTAGTGCGACCTCTGTAGATATTTTAAATCAAAGCAAGCATGTTCTTGCAGCAGTTGCTGCAGCAGAGTAATTTCCAACTTGGTTGATAACCTCTTGTACTACTCGTCCCTATATTCTAGCGTGGTGATGATGATTCCCCATTTGCTCAGCACTATTATGTTCTCGAAAAGAAATGATGTCAGTGAGGATCTTTTTAACTCCAAAAAATACGAAATATGAGGAGACGTAAGACTACTGATGGGACAACAAGGGAAGCACGATCTTTCGAGAACAAACGATACAGCATGGCGAGGGTGAGCAGTAAGACAAAAGGAAAGGAAAACCGATCAACATGATTCTCTAACCATTTTTACCGAACCCGAACGAAGACGATATAGCAAATCAATGTACCAGATACCGACTTGCGATCAAGATCATCACCCACTTAAAGAAATCGTTCACAGACCGGACGAAAACCGACATCAATCTGGTAGAGGTAAGCGTAGACGACGAGTCCTCACTTTAGCATCTACTTAAAAGTACTCGGTCCTCAACAAATGAACTCTATACCCATTTTTTTCAAAATTGACAACAAACATTTTGGCATTATCTAAAAATGGATGCGTTTTCACAGTTTTGCCATCTATTTATTATGTAGCTGTCTCCATTTGCGCGATGGGTTGAGAGAAAATACGGTTTGACGTGAGAACAAGGTCGAGCCTCTAGTTGTCTGGGTATGAGGACGCAAGGAAAAGGATCCTTAAAAACAGAGAACTAGAGCTGTCAACAAGCCGTAGCCTGCTAGCTTCTACGTCTACAATTGAGTTCATGATTCCAAAATCTTTATGGCTTCTAGGATCTTCGTTTCCGACTCTACTTTTTCCCGTTCCTCAGGACTGAGAGCAGCTCCTTTTGTCTTCAGTTTTTCGATTTGCGTTAGCTTTTTGCGCAGAGCCTTGACTTTTTTCAGTCTCTCTTCAGCGTTTTCGATTTGTCTCGCCTCTTCCACGATGTCTACCGGTGGGCCGTCGCGTCGCTCTGCAGGAGCAAAAGTACTCGTTGCTGGACCAGGAGGGTTGCTACCAGTAGAACAACCAACAGGTGGTGGCACAAAAGCTTCCTGTTTGGCATAGGCTGCCTGAGCAGCTTTGCTCTTCTCCGCGGCAGCAGCATCCTTCTTGTTGTTCCCTCCTGCGTTGTTGCTGGGTTTATTGGTCTTTTTGTTCTTGTTGGCCGTTGATGAATCTTCTACAGGATTCTGCTTTACATTTCGCAGATGCGGAGGAACGTAAGCTCCTTTGGTACTAGGGTTGTTGCCAGTTAAGACTGAGGCGTCATCCCCCTGCTTCTTCGCAGCAGCTACTTTGTCCGCTGAAAAGGTCACTTCACTCGCAAAAAATATAGGTGCTGACCCTGAAGATTCGTCGTGGTTCTCTCCAGAGGAAGTGCTAGCCATCAAACGCGCTCCATACAGCAAGTCCTCATCGTTGTAGGCCTGGTCGGAAATTTGGGTACCGGCAAAGTCGTAAACTCGAAAGCAGGTGTCGGCCCGCACACGTGGGGCCATACTGGCACCAAGAACGAACTGTCCACAACGACTGTAGCTTAGATTCGTGCAGCAACGGAAGTTAGATGTTCTGGATTTCGCAAACTTAGGCGTCTTATTTTTTCCACCACCTTGGCCTTCCTCGGTCACACACCAGAAGTCTACGTCGCCCGCCAAGTTCCCGAGTCCCGCGACGAGAAAGTGCCGACCACTCGGTGACCAGACTAGCGTGTTGCGTCGCAAGGATTTTTCGGCGACGCCGAAATCGCTCAAAACCTTGCTTGGGTTGGCGCCAGAAATGAGCTGCAACCCGCAAGGAAGTGCGCGCCCGGACAGGATCAGAAACTCGTTGCGCCGAGGACACCAAGCAGCAGCCTGGATCTCACCCAAGTTTGCTGGTCCAGAGCTCGTCGGCGATGTCGAGAGATGAAACAACGTCGTGGTGCCGTAGTAGCTGCAAATTGATGAAAATGGACAAGTCTACACAACTACTTTTTTCACTGACGAGTGATACTTGTTGATCTTGAGAAGGTCCCATATATGATCATGTTCAAAGAAGTTTTACTTCTTACGCAAAAATTCTTACACAACATAATCTACAAGAAAACCAAAATCACTTACCTCGCCTCTTCGTCGATGTATTCTCCTTTGACGCAATCTTGTGCGCTGGAGACTAGGAGTGCTGGCGGACCCTTAAAATTCCACTTCATGGACACAGAGCTCGCATTGTAGAAGGACTTCGCACACACCGACTGCTTCAAATCCCCGTTGAGGTCAAATAGGGACACTTTTCCCGGCTGACCCTTTGCTTCTGGCGTGAAGACCGCAATAAAGAAGGCCCCCTCTTCTTTCTGCAAACCGTCGACAAGCTCTTGCTGGAGTTTTTTGGCGGTTTCTGTAGTAACGCTGGCACTAACATCGTCTTCCAAGTGCGGTGCGAGGGCAGAAACTTCGTCGCGATCAGCGGGTAGCAGACCAGAAGCGATGTCAGGGGCGCTCGACTTCATCACGTGAAATGCGTCTTCAGTATTGTGCGTAGAGAGGCCTAAGATAGGGGAATTCGAAAGCTGGATCTGCGAGACATTCGAGATAGCCAATTTTCGTCGACACTGGTCGTCCTTTAAACACGCCATCACCTCCTCACCCGTTGGTGCCTCGATCATCCTCAAAACGTCGTGGTCCTTCTTCTTGTTACCGGAATAGGCTCTGAGGAGAAAGCGCGTGCGCAACGCCAGAAGCTTCTCTCCAAGACAGCTCACGTTCACGCCATTGCCTACAGGACGGCACAAAAACTCCTCACCCGCTGTCCACTTCCAGCAAGATTGTCTATACTCCGCATTCTGAGCACTGAAGACGTATCCATCGACAACGTGAGGCTCTATGTTAGAGCTACCGCGCTCGCATCCCCGAGAACCTCCCTGGTCCCTCTTTCTCCTTGAAAAATGGGCCAAGGATGATGTTGAGGATGGTCCAGCGGTAGCCTTAACTATGATCGCTCCCCCGTCACCTCCTCCTCCCGAATTATAGTACAGGTACCAAAGGTTCACGTTATTGCCAGCTCCTTTCACGTGATGCTCATACGTGACCAAGAAGTTTCCCAAAGGCGAGAAGTAAAAATCGACGATTCCACGTTTCTTCTCGTTCGGTACTCGGGGTTGCACTGTGGCTACCTCTTGTCCCCCAATGGTCATTACATGCACCACCCCTGCATTGCTGAGGACCGCACGAAGATTGCTAGAGCCATTCTCGGGAGAAGCAACGACTTTTCGTCCCGTAGCATCGACTGAAGGGAACGAAGGTGGTGCACGTGGTGCACTTGTTCTTGTTCCCCCAACCACTTGCAGTCCCTTGGCTTTCGACAGTGCCAGGACACTAGGCTGGTGCACGCTGGAGGACGACATTTTGCGTGACGCCTGAAACCTTGTTTGCTACTAAGTACTCCGTTTCCTAGAAGATGAAGAAGTAGTGCTAATTAAGTAGATACTTATTAGACGAGTTTCACTCACAACTCAATGATGCGCTTCCAGAACGATAGCCTGCTAATGTATGTGACGAAAGAAAAGCAGAATCGAAAGCAGACAGCCGGTCTTCCACATAGCGGAAATTTTCCACATCTACGTTCTTCTTAATATCTTCAGATCATCATTGTGTCATGAGCTGATCCCAAGTGACAACTAATACGTCGTGTCAGTCGGACCATTCGCATGACTTACAACAGCCTGGCTAGTTTACTATTCTCACGGCCATCAGGATAGGCGATCAGCATCCCCAGGATCATTCTTGTGCGGAAAGCACATGAACTAGGCAATCGTGTAGGAGCATTCACCTCGATGATGATCAGATGATGCGTAGTTGAACACGACCGCATCTGACCTCGGCTATTATGGTGCTTGCTAATCTGCGGCTGTACGCCACTTGCAGCGACATTTTCGTACAAATTGATATTCTCAATCATGATTTTCGACTGCAAGAGCTGTCAATGCATATGATGCATCATATAGCGTGTCGCTCTTCATCGTAGGGGTGAAACTTCGAGGACGAAAAGGTTCTCATGGATATTACTCGCCCAAGTTGGGTCCGTGCGAATTTGGGTGTTCATATAAGGAGAAGCAGGCCTGACCATCTTCTCAAGGTTAACAAATTATGATGGCTGCTGACGGAGATCTCGTACACTCCTCCTTGCATCCTAGGTAGTACCCCAAGTACTTGCTCCACTTTCACAATCGTATCATGCTCGATCATGTTGCAGTAGGCAATCTTATGAATCGATATTGCTTATCCTCATGTATCATTGTGATCTTTTTATCCCCACTTACTTCGCGTTCGCAGCAGCCTTTTTCTCTTTCTCCAGCTTTTTTCGCTCAGCCTTGGAGAGTTCCTTCTCGCCGCACACTTCTTTCAGTCGCTTCATTTCGGCGACGGCTGCGTCCACTTCCGCTGCTGCAGCTCCGTCAGCCTTCAGTTTTGCAACTTTTTCCTTAGCTGCGGCAAGAGCGGCAAGGTTCTCAGGACTGGCTTGCACAGCGCCGTCAGGAAGATTAGAACAATTGAGTACGTACTTAGGGTTAGGTCAATGGAGGTGGATGGAGTTTTTTGAGTCAGTCAATCATCTGCAATTCAGAACGCAAGACTGGCTACAAGCAAAGCAAAAGCAATGAGTTCTAGTGCGAGGCCTAGAAGTCACGAGCACTATTTTCATTCATCGTGATAGTCCATATTTCTAGTGAATAAACAGTGACTCTGACCTAGCTGCTTGTTGAACAGCTTTAATCAAAATCATTTTACCAGTTTGACTCGTCATAACAGCTGGAGCTGCTGGCGGTGCCGCTGCTGGTGCCGCTGCTGGTGCGGGCTTCTTTCCGCCTTGCAGTTTCGACGCGTCGACTTTTCCCGTAATGTTAGACATCGCTTTCGACTTTCCATCTGGGATCTTGATCAGAACCGCTGGCGTTCCTTCCGGAAACGCAGGTTTGTCGCAGATGAAAAAGCCTACGCGCTCCAATTGTACAACCTGGCCTTTGCACAGGTTCTTCAGACCTGCTTCGCCAATAGCCGCCGTGTCGAAAACGGACTGCGGAGTGATCAAATCCTCGATTTGGTCCTCTTCCTCGACCTTTTGCTTAGTAATCAGGTGATCGTACTCGCGGAGCGTCAACCGAGTCTCAGCGCCAGTCTCAGCAACCCACTGGAGTTTCTTCTTGGTGTCCTTCACGGAACCTGTGATGTCGTGAGTGTAGTTGGACGGCAACGATAATAGTAGACGAGGGTTTATGATCTTGTCTGATTTAATTATTTGCGCCGTGCCAAACGTAAATTTTGATCTTCAACTATATATAAATATTATACCTTTACCTGCACCCGAAACCTACTGCTAATCATATAACCTCTAAAACTGTGAAGTAACAAAGGAATTGAATCAACCTGAAAAATACCAGCCAAGTGCAGCTCCGCTTCGATCTTCTGCAGTTTTCCGTTCGCTTTGTGTAGCTTCTTGCAGATGACATTTCCCCAATGCAACAGCGTGATCTCCTCTCCCTCCGCGATGTCCCCAGCATCCGCCTGTTCCAGGTAGACTGTGCTGCCATACCACAGGACCTTCTGTCCGTTTTCCGGGAGTTTCGGGTGTTTGTCGACCAAGCCTGCGAAGGTTTTCTCCAGCAGACCCTTGATCTCCACTGTCACTTTGTCATCAACCGAGATGGCTGCATAGCGATCAGCTTTAGGGTCGATGATTTGGCGGTTCAAAACCCAAATTTTGTCCCATTCCATCAACACTGTGCGTTTGGAAGCACCTGTAGGGGGTTGCAGGAGGAAATGAAGAGGCAAATGATAAAACAGGAGGAATTCAATGTGTGAATGAATCAGTCGTGTTGTTTTTCATCAACATCAAGGTGATATATTTATAAAAAATGTAAGGATTGAGATCACTACTCTATTAATCCACAAACGCTGCTGCAAATCTATAAAAAAATAAGTAAATACCTTGTGTCTTCATGAAGTCTTGCAATGCTTCCACTGTCATGCCACGACGCAGGACGCCTTTCACGGTCGGGAATCGCGGATCTGCCCAGGACTCAACGTGGCCGTTATCGACAAACCAGGTCAACTTTCTCTTGCTCAAGACGGTGTGCGTGAACTGCGTCTTGCTGAACTCGTAGAGAATGGATTTTCCCTTCTTAGCTCGCTCTTGCACCCACTCGTAGAGGGCATCGCGGTCCTTGTATTCGATAGTCCGGAGAGAATGCGAAACGCCCTCGAGGGCATCCACAATCGGGCAAGCAAAGTCGTAAGTCGGATATGCTTTGAACTTGGTTCCGTGTCTGATAGATCAGGATGTAGTCTAGTAGTTTTTATCGACAATTACGATGTCTGGATCAATGCACTGGTTTTCAACGGAATGATCAACAAAGCTTTCATGGAGTTCATCAATTTTTGGTTCGTTAATGTTGTACTGAAACGAGGTTTCACTCTAACGTAATTCTTATTTTCATGAAAGTTAAGTACTTTTTAGTACTATCAACGAACAATTCACTACAACGAACTTAAATATGAATCATGTTCCTACCGGTGATGCGGCACGTCGACTTTGCATCTGTAAAGCACAGGATCCCGCAAGCATTTCACTACGTTCTTCATGTCCATCTTTGCTCGCACACAGCACTCAATGCCGCGCGGAGTGCCCCCCAGCATCTCCTTCCATAACGCAATATTGGCATCCACGTCGTTCTTCAGACGGGCTTCGGATTCTTTGCCAGCATCCCGATCCAGCTTCATCTGAGCAGCAGGCAGGTCGTCGACGTAAGCATGGCCCTCCCGGATGAATTGCTCCATCAATGCCTGCAATTGGTCGAAGTAGTCCGACGTGTGGGTCACCTTATCTGGGACGATGCCCAGAGCCTTGGAGTCCTCTAGAATCGTATCCTCGAACTCTTGCTTTTCCTGCAATGATGATTTTTAGGATCATGGAATAGACGAGAACCAAACAAGAACCTTTGAGAAGATACGAGCCGCTATTGGCTGTCGTGACACAAGGCACTTTCAAATTCAATGATCTGCTCCTTAATTAGATGTTAGTCCTTTCTTCTACAAACTAAATCTTAAGTATCAATCATATTTATAATATCGTTCTCTTTTTAAGTACTTTGCTCGGGTTCGTGTCGTCGAAACGGATGATCATTTTTCCGTTGTACATGCGTGCGTAGGCGTGATTGAGCAAAGCTGCTTTCGCGTGTCCGATATGCATGTAGCCGCTGGGCTCGGGTGGGAATCGCGTGCACACCTTACCCATCACTGCATTTGGCAGTTTGTTTTCGATGTTGGCCTCATCTTTGCCCTTGTTGTTACCGCCTTGTTGGCCTCCCTTGTTATTGTTCCCTCCCTGTTGAGCTCCAGCTCCTCCTTTGTTGCCTTTGCCGTTTCCCTTCGACGCAGCAGTGCTACCAGTGGAACCGGTTGAGGTTGAGCTAGATGAAGACGTGCCAAGCACAGCGCTGCTCAGGGGACGTGTTTTTTGCAATGCGGAAATGTGCATGGCCCATCTGAAAGTGGCTGGAAACTTCTCCATATCGGGCAGTCCCCCTCCAAGTTTGCTCAGAGCAGCTACATCAGCGGCCGTGAAGTCCCAACCATCCTCGATGTAGCTGCGACTCTGAATGAACGATTCAAACTCGGCAGTGCCTGGCTGCATTTTTCCGAGATTTTTCTTTACAACTAACTATGTGTATGTCGTGTACTATGTGAAATTAATACGAGAATGCAAGTATGTAAAGAGGAAGGGAAAAGAACAAGAACTTCTTCTAAGATGAAAACAACATGGACGGCGTGCTGCAAGATGAAAAACGCAGGCAACACTTTTGGTACTAGTGACATCGTGGGTTCTTCGCAAATTTTTAAGCACATGAACAACGGGTCCTCGTTGAACTTGATCATGTACGTCAACTACACTACTTCGAGATCATCGCCTTAATAGTACTGCAGATGAAGCATAGTATGCCGTACGTGTCATCTATCATCTGCATATTTCCATTCTACATTCAAATTAGAATGCTTTTTGAGCAAGTATAACGCGAGATCGTTCCGTAAAGAGTAGACCGCATGAAGTGAGCCTCTGATTTCTAGTTCCAGAGAGATGAAGGACAGACTGTCGTCAAACCATGATCATTGTTCGTGGAGCCACTTCTATAAGAGGCTGCACAGGCCTCACTTACGACAAAGCGAGATGATCGGAAATTATGATCTATTTGAATTGCTTGTTGTCCTACATCGCCCATTTGGAACAGCAAAACCAAAGTAGAACCTGAAATGACGGCAGCGACCGTCACACTAATTTGGTTTTGGCGCCTAAACATGCCGCCGTGCGTTCCCTGGCCAGCTATACATGGGATTCACTATAGTGACCTACAACGTCTACCCGAAATCAAAGTCATGATGCTGCTGGGGGTGGGAGTGAAAAATTTGAATTTGTTAGCAAAACGAAGGGTTGGATTGGGAAAACAAAAATGGAAGCAAGCTTCTTCATTACACGCCAAAACCTTTGGGCGTGAGCCTATCGCGTATTTTCGATGCTTCTTTGAAATTGCCAGCTTTCTGCAGCAACTTCATTTGTTCCACTAACCTTTCCTGGTGTCGCATATCCGATGCCTGATCTCTGTTGTAGTTTCGCATCTCCTCCACTTTTTTATCCAGCTTTTTCTTCTCCTCTAGTTCCCTTTTCCGCTGTCGCTCACGCAGCAAGGCGCCTTCATCGTCGAAGCCGTCACCCGCTTCCTTCAAGCCGTTACCACCCGCAAGGGCGCTTCTGGCAGTCAGATTCGACGAAGAGTTCGATGGATTGACGAGGCTAGCAACCTGGGGTCCCGTGAAGGCAGCTGCCATCTGCTCTCTGGCTCGCTGCTTCTCCCAGGCATTGATGTCGTAAAACTTCTTGTCCGGCATTGTACACGTGTTATAGTCCTCCATAAAAGCGAGCTCTAGCTGCTTCTCTTCCCTCTTCGACAGGTGCTCCAGGCTTTGCTTTTTCACCTGCGAATGCGATGATAACGTACGTGACTATGAAATCATTAACCTTAAAATAAGTGGGTTTTATTTTTGGTAAATCAAACCACCAAAATATGTATCTTGTTGAAAAGACATTTGTTGTATCGATGAGAACAGTCGTGTGAGCGTTGAGGTCGAGAAGATGTACCTCCCATATCCAAGCGTGAAATTCGTCTTGCTTGGTGTCGAAGTTTTCTTCGTTGAGTATGCCGTATTTTCCATATCGTGCGATTTCCACTTGGTTATCGTCATCATCGTCCTCCTCATCCGCGTCCCTTCTATCCTTTTTTCGCTTTTTCTTTTTATCGTCCTTCTTCTTTGTCTTCTTGTCCTCCTTTTTCTTCTTTTTTCCGCTCTTCTTACTACGGAGGTGCTTCTTGTTCTCGTCTTTTTTTGACTTTTTCTTGTCGGCTTTCGAGGATTTGGATTTCTTCTTCTTGCTCGATGCAATATCGCGATCTCCTGTTCGTCCGTGCTTTTGGTCCTTCTTCGAGTGCTTCTTCTTCAACGACCGCACATCCTCGCTGTCCGATGAAATTGCGAAGGACGAGCTGGATGAGCTAGAGCAGCTAGCACTGCTCTCACTCGAACTACTTCGAGAGCGTTTGCCCATGATGTGTGATTTTTTTTTGATTTTGAGGCAAAATCAATAAACAAATGTTCTTGGTACTTATGTCAATGTCTCCCGTAACCAGTAGTTACTTTAGATGACATCTCAGGAAAACGATCACGATGACGCGGCTGAAAAGCAACAAAAATAAGTAGCACTCAGTTTTTACAGTGTTGAAGAAAATACATAGAAGATCCACCTGAGGGAAGAACCATCCAGTAGGAGCAGAACAAAATGGACTGCAGGAATAAAGGATTCATCAAGAGACGCGGATAGTGTTCAGATCCGATATTGATTGCTCAGATCCCAGATCCTTTTCAAAGTGGAGTGGTGACACGCTTAGCCCTTGCTGAACACGCGAATACCCATTGGGATCGGTTATGTCAAGCATAATCTTGAGAGAAAATAAAATTCTTTAGGCAATAAAAATTATAAACCACATTGCTTTGATGCGCGAAAATTATGAGGTCGTTTGGAGGATAACGTTCATTTTGTTGAGGTCGATTTGAGAGTTGAAATTCATGTTCTTGATGTGCATCTGTGCCTGTACAAAGGATGCCAACAATTCAACATTGATCATTAATTATGACGAGAAAAAGTACAAGGTCGCTCCACGATGGAGGAGGTAGTAGCAGTTCCAGTTTCAACATTCAAGGTCAAAATTGATATTATACAGCCTTAAATACACTTATTTTCTTCACACGACATGATCAGCTGCAGGAGCCTAGCTTCGACTAGAACATTTAGTTGTAGAAATGGCAGTAGATTGTATCGCAAAGATGTAGCCGTCAAGCCCTACAACTGCCAACAACGGGATGAAGATCTTCTCAGAAATATGGATGAAGATTAGCAGGGTAATACGAACCCCGAGGGCCTGTTTAGCTTTAAGAAACTTACATCAACCACTAGCACCTAGCAGACTAAAAACAAAAGTAATATTGAAGATTGTTGAAGCTCATTTTTTTCCGACGTCGCGAGGTTTCAGAGGACGCCATCATCTTCTGTTCACTGACTAGCACCACAGTACAACATTGTATCTAACTATACGGAGTACGATATTTTTCTTGCATGATAAATTCCTATAATACAGACACACATTGAAAATGACATTGACATGGTCCTCATCACATCTTCAACAGTACGACACACATTGAAGTAAATGACGACTGAACAAATGCTTCTAGTAAGAAGGGTAAGATTTTTGTCGCAAAGGAAACATCAACTTTGCACTTTCCACTTTCTGTACATAAAATGTTACTCTTTCCGGTACGAAATTAATATGGGACGTATGGAGAGCATAGGGGTATGGAGATGTGCTGGATACTTGTGCTGGATACTACGTGGTGCAGTTTCTTTTGTACAAAATGAGGATGGAAAAACTAGTCCGTTTTTTCTTACGAAATAGCTTTGATGTAAGTGAACGAGTGTTGAGGCAGGAGTAATATCGGTGGTACGAATGTAGATGTTGTTGGAGGACATCTACGTACCTACTGGTGTAGTGGTGAAAGTGGTCTGCAGGGGAAGTTGTTTGGCTAACAGTTGTAACAAACTCTAGTGAATCAGCAAGAGGAAGAGCAGCATGCTATTTACTACTAGTAGTAGCATGTTATTTCATCACCTAGTTGTGACGTCCTCATGGAACAACTGCGCTATCTGAGCGCCTCTTGTGCGCCATCGAACGACCTGAAGGGTGCGAATTCCTTCAGGCAGACGTCGTCGAATTTCTCCTTCTGATTCGTCAACACACGCGCGATCAATTTGCCGACGCCAGGCCCCAGCATGAACCCCTGGCCGCCCATCCCGGTCGCGTGGAACAAGCCTTGGTGATAGGGATCGAAGCCGACTAATGGGTTTCCGTCCGCGGTATTGGCGTAGAGACCGCGCCACACACGTCGGACCTCAACCGCGTCTCCAGCGTCGGGAAGGAGCTTGAGGAGTCGACGAGCGAGATTGGGCAAAAAATGTGATGTTTCCGATGTGTCGTAGCCGGTGACGCGTGGCTCAGGCGCGTTCGACAAAACCAACTGCTTCCGATGATTCTGATAGAAATAGAAGCAGCTGCTGCCATCGGCAGTGCGAATATCGACGACCAAGGGCTGAATGTTCAGCGAACGACAAGGGCCGGTGACCGCAGCATCGTGGCTGTCCACTTCCATCTTGAGAGAGTAGCCCAAAGTCGAAATCAATTCGTTGCACGTAGCGCCTAGGGCGTTGATCACCATGGTGGAAGCATAGAACCTGTTTCATCTGGTTATCATGGCGAAGAATGTTGAGATTGGGAACAGCTACGATGCTGTGCTATGTTTTCTTTGAGGACGACAAATCTTCAAGAAAATAAGTTGTGTTACAGTTAAGTACCTTTTGATTTCTCCCGTCTGCATGTCTTGCGCTGCCACACCCTCAACCCTACCTGACTTGTCGAGCAAAAACGACAGTGTTCGGTGTTTGAATTTGAATTCTACACCGTTCTGTTGCGCCAGCCGAAGCATCGACAGTGACGTCAAATACGGAGTCGCTTGCCCGTCCTTGCAGCTGTACACGCCGCCCCGAAGCCCCTTGGGATCGATTCCAGGCACTAGTTGCTGTACCCGCGCCGCGTCAACGTACTTGATATCCAAACCGTATTTCTGTTGGATTGGTAAAAGCTTGGTCAGTTTCGCCTCCTCGACTTCGGAGTAGAAGGGAAAAAGATACCCTCCATCCTTCCAATCGATGTCGTCGCCTGTCGTTTTCTGCCAATTCCTCAAGATGTCGACGCTGTCGAGACCTACAACAATTTTTCCCGGATTTCCGAAAGTTGCCCGCACACCACCCAGCGCTCGTTTGTTATCTCCTTGCCCTGAACTCGGGTGCATGTCGAGACACAAAACTCTTCCGATTAGAGCTCAGAACAATTGTTCAGTTCTTCCCTGACGATATTTTTCCTTTAAGATGTTGAAGGAAAGTTCTACAGAAGAAAAAAATGTAGTTCTTGATCATTGCGGATGAAATAAATTGAAATTGTATCGAGCCTTAATCCGAAGTGCTGCTTTAGGTACAGCGCCGTTGGAGTGCCGATAGCCCCCGCACCGAGCACTATAATGTCGTACTTGCTCCTTTGGTCCGAGAACTGCTGCTCCGAGTCGAGCTGTGGCTTTCGCGAGGCCATGGCCTCTGGCGGGGGCGCGGCCTTGGCGAGCGCACCAAGAGATAACTCGAGATTCAACGGTCGCTGGTGGCGAGGGTCCATGTTGCTTCTTATTGTTGTACTAGTTGTAGATGTAGCTGTAGTTGGTGCAGAACCCTGTTTAGGAGGGGTTGAGGAAGATCTTCCACTAGGAGCGTCTTTAACATGAACATCTTGATCTTCTACATCACTTCGTGTTCTAGTTCTTCCGGATCCGGACGATACTAGCCCGTTTACTTTATTAGAATCGGCACTGCGTGCGCCATCGATGAGCTTAGCAACAGCCGCCGTGCATTGGAAACCACCACAGTAACCCATCCCCTGTCGGGTCATCTGTTTGATGCGGTTCATGTCGCCACCCGACGCCGTGATCGCCTCCTTGATCTGCCCTAAATTCACCTTTTCGCAGCGACAGACAATAGCACTATTCGGATCGATCTTCGCGAGTGTTGTAGCGTCAAGAAGATTCTTGCCATTTTTGGTACAACTAGAAGAATTGTTCTTGTCCTCGTTTTTACAGCATTTGTTCTGGCTATTCATCTCAGGACAAGAAGAGGTAGTGCTACAACTATTGCTTTTCAAATCTTCTATATCTGGCAACTGAGCAGCTATCTGTCGGAGGGTAGCGTCCGAAACCATCTCTGCACTTTTCGCAGCCTTCATCCTCCTGCCTTCTGCCACCGAGAGAACATCTTGAGCTACCGCCTGTGCTGCTGAGAATGTTTTGGATAAGTCACCGCCTGTTGACATTAGACCTTACCGAAATAATTCCCATCTAGAAAGTTGCATCTTTGGCCTCTTTTATTTCCCTTGAAAGAACGTCAAAGATGCCTTTCAAGATGAATAGAAGTACTAAGCCTTAATGACAGAATCTCAAGTGTCGGAACGGTTCCCCATTCTCGACTCTTCTCCGCCAACTCTCGCGCAGGCACGCTCTCTGTTGCCACCACGACCAACTTGGCTTCAAACTCGCACAAGGCGCCTCCATTCAGCCAATCTCTAGCAAGTACGCGGTCGACTGGTGCCGTACTTCTTGACTTAGACTTATTTTTACTTCTCGAAGAAGATGAAGATGACGAAGATGAAGCCGATGATGCATCCCCATAGTTTCCGTTGCCTTCATTGCCACTCCCAATCTTCCCAGCACCTGTGGTCGTGGTCTCATTCCGGACAAAAACAGCGCTGCAACTATCATCCTCCTCAGCAGGTGGCAAGGCAGCAACGATATCGCACACGAAGAGCACAGGGATACCTAGACCTAGGACTTCCTGCACATGGACGTCCTTCGCACTGACGCCTTCAGGACACAGGACCGCCTTTAGGCTCCCTCCGCGTGAGTGCAGCTCCTTCGCAGCCTCAAAAGCAGTATCCGTACCACCGATTACGACCGTAGCGCGTCCCCCCGGCCGCGCAATACGAGCAGCGGCCTCCCAAAACACGACATTCGGCAGGTCCTGGATGTTGAAATGGATGTTGGAGTTGCTGGAGACCGTGAGTGTACGAGTAGGAAATCAGTTTTAAATGTACGCGATAAGATGGACATCAAAAACGAGGAAGTAGAGCCGCAACAACAATATCAAAAGATGTTGACAGATAAGACAGCTTGACAGAGAAGCTCAACATTCTTGTTGCACTACCACAGCACCAGCAGGGATGGCACCTGTCCGAGTACTGAGGCTGAGCGGAGTGAAAATACCACTTGACTTCTAGCACTAGTACAATCAACGAGAACTGAGCCACGTAGTAAGTACATTTCCCGGGAATATGCAGTAGCCGTCTCGCGCACCGCATGCCAAAACTAGAGCTTTCCTTGGCTTCACAAGCTGGTAGGCTTCTCCCCCCTCCGCAGACACTCCCACATAGCCATCTGCAAAAACAGCAACTGCCTGGGAATCCTTCTGCACTCTCAAGCATGGCTTTGGCCTATTTATTTCAGCTCTGCAGCTAATGACTTGTAGTTGTCCGCGTGATTTTTCATCCTGTCCTCGTGTGTCCTGTTGCTGCTCGTCAGCATTGGCTTCGCCATCAAGAAGTACATCGCCACTCAACAGTACTTGTTCCAGCTTTTGAAAGGCGACCTCTGTCGGTGCAAGTGCATCAAAAGCTGGTCCAAAAATACTCCCTGAAGGACTGTTCTTGAGCATCGATGCACGACGCTCAGATTTGTGCATTAGAGTCTCTAATCGCTTGATTGATTGATTGATTGGCATGGCTAGCAGTACTCGTCCTCGACTACCGGTGGGACGAGAATTTACTTTATTTATTCAACTTGAATTTCTATTATCGAGAAGACTTTCATCTAAAACTCAGAATTTCCATAACTTCCCAAAAAGTCGATCGCTTCCACCCAAGACGTTTCGTTTTTCGAGCAACAGAATTCTCAAGGAGTTGCTGTTGCGCAATAGCTCGTGCGCCAGTGCCATTCCGCCGGCGCCGCCGCCAACGATAAGCACATCACACGACACGTCGTCTGATGTAGATGAACTGGGTGGAGCACCGTCTGTCGAAGGCCCACCATGGTGTTGCTGTTGACCGGATGAAGAAGCTGCACGAGCACCACTGGCACTTGCAAGCACCGTACTGGCGAGCAAATTGACACGCCGAATCGCGCGAGAAGGGCCCACCCCTACAACAGATGGCACATGATCATGGGTGTCGAGCGGCGATACAGCGTTCTCCATATGCTGCTGTGTTGAAAATGATGATGCTCGTGCTGGTTCCATTCTGATTGCTTCTTGTCAGGTCAGCCAGGCACAACGTAGAAGTACAACCTCTACTTCCAACCTCCAACTTCGGCTTCGACAAACACCTATTTCGTCTTTTCGCCTTCTACCGACTACAGCACGCAGTAATATCTTGCCTTCCAGCAAGAAGAGAACTATCCATTTTTTTTATGAATGATGAATGAGAGAATTTGCCTAGCACGCAGAAAGTTTAGTTTTGGTTATACAACATGTTGTGGCGCAGAAAAATGGGAGTGACGGACCTATATTTACAACCGAACAGAACAAGTAGAAGGAGGCGCTAAGTCTATTCATTCATGCACTCCACGACCCTGGCCTTAGCTCGAAGCCGGCGGGCGGTATTCAACCAGCTAACGGGTTATAAGTTTTCAGCCTCAAGGGGTTCGGATCAACGCAGTTAGCTCTGGGCACTTGCTATACTGCGACGTTGGGTACGGCTCGCCATCACACCGACGTACTGATGAACGCAACCGAACCGAACAGGTAAGGAGACTCTAAGTCTAACAGATAGAGCGTTAAACAGAACGATCGGGCCTAAAGACCACTCAACGATCACGACTCGAAAGCAGAGACCTGAACGACAGAAGCACGACTCCATAAACCAACATAAACCGAACAGAACAAGTAGATGAAGGAGAGCACAAAAAAAAGAACTTAGATGATCCGCAATGCATCTAACACCTAGTGAATATAAGAATCTAACACCTACTGAATATAACAATCTTCATCAAACTCAGTGATAAGCCCGGGGACTTTCCATATATATCATAAAAATGTGACGAAAAATGGGGCCCTGAAAATGTTTGTGTGTGTGTGTTTGCCATCAGAAACAGAATCCGTTGTATCAGTTGTACCGGGAATGATTAGAATGGACATTGCGAAGATGATCGAGTAGATAGACGGGAATATTTAGATTACACTCAGATCATAAACAATAAAACATTCTTCTCTCGTTCTTATGCGTCTGAAGTACTGCGTCGGGTTCTTGGTTCTACATCTTAGTGGAAGTAAAAGCATTATCACTGTCATGATTAGGACCTTGCTGGTAGATGGCGAACAAGTGGGCTCTCTGCTCAACTACGAGTCTCCCTCGTTGTCAGCTCAAGCATTACTTAGGCCGTGCAAAAACCCGTAAAGCGAACACAGTAATAGAAGAAAATACTCTCTCAGCGAAATTGAGACTCCGCACAGAAACAGATTTTGTTTCACCGTGCGCCTAAGAAAATCGTTCTTGTTCTTTTCGTGTAGTTCCCTATTTTCCTGACGATGTGATTCTAGGCATCTCGAAGTCGAAAAAGTTCTCAACATCGCAAACCGTCTGCGGCAAATGACCTTCTATGATCGTCCGATGACGTCGAAGTAGATAATTAACTAAGTGCTGCGCGTCGGACGGTCTATACAACCTGTAAATTTATCTATTTACGTCTAGAGCGCTGCATGCGCTTGCGCAAATAGGTAGTCCCAAAATTTAGTAAGTTCATAGGTGATCTCGGGCCAGAAAACCAGAATCACAGAACGCATCAAACAGTGGGGAAGAGATGTATTGTAACAAGATTTCTTACAACTGGAACAGCAAAAATGATCAGAAAGCTCAATGTTAGTGACAGTATTCAGGTTCAGCTAAAAATCAACTTTCAAGTTGTATCTGTATGTAGGAGAGGTTGTCTCAGCTTTTACTGGAATAAAAAGTAAGCTCAATGATCGGGAATAGAAGTTCTGCTTGAGTGATAGAGATGTCATATCGATAATATCGCTAAATGTTAATAATGACTGAAGGAGTTTGCTTGGATTCACATTTTCTCTTATTTTGCCTTCTTGATATTGTGAATAATCTGACATCATCAAAATTCCGATGGAAATTGAAATTCTTGACTTTCCTAAAAATCTTTGTCGTGATATTGTTATTATGCTAGATATTTGAATGCCATATTTGATTTGCAGATAGTTAATATCTGAGGATCTTATTTGATTTGCAGGCGGAGAGTCCAACTCGACTGCCACGTACGGAGGGGTGTCTTCCGTTCAGAGTCCGTGACCAATGAATGCGGAGCTTTAATCTTACAACAAAGAAAGACAATGCGGAAGCACGTAGTGTCCTCGCGATGATGCCGGAGGCCACAAAGTCAAAGAATGCCCTGTGTTTGGTAGAGACCCTCGTAGGAAGTAGCGCACTGCCCGAAGCGAAGAGAAGGCTACGTCCACGACCTTACGATGCAAGCGCGTAGGATGAATTTGACGATCTGCAAAGTCGTGGACTGCTGTCAACCTGGACTTTGCGTGGCGGAAAAAAAAAAAGGCGGAAAGTCCAACTCGACTGCCACGCACTCTGCGAAGCCATGCTCTGCGAAGCGCATAGCCGCCGGCCTGTCTGAGAGCCGCGTTCTGGATGTCGCAGAAAAACCAGCTTTCGCAATCAACAGAAATAACTCGTGCATCTCCTCGTGGACGAGGTGGAGGTCCAACTCAGGCTCCAGTATTTCGTCCAACAAGGCGCGCGTCTCCTCTTCCCATTCTTTCATCCACGGACCCACGTTCCTCCTCGGGCACCTCTGCAGCGCGCTTTCGCATGCTGCTCTGAAACGACGCCGCTCTTTAGGCGAAAAACAACAAACCCAGTTGCAGGCTTCTACGAGAAACTGCCAGCGCGACTCTCCTCGGTCCCATCTCGCCTTCTGCGCTACCTGCTGGACAAAGCAGCCCGCCGAAAGAAGGGGTATGCCGGGACGAATACCCTGGCGCATCCAAGGAAGTAGAACGGGGCCGATCTCGTACATCCGCATGAAGCGCGTGCCGTACGGACGCAAAAGCTGCTCGTTGCCCTCTGGCGGCTTGCTACAAATTTTCTCGTCGACAGTCTGCCTATAGCATTGGGTCAATTCGAGGAGACAACTCAGATGAGATAGGATGGCATCATTTGGCATACGTACAAGAATCCGCAGCGCTGGATCGACCCACTCCTCGTCGATCGTGTTCTTCGGTTCACACACGGTCCCGCCACCTTGTCGTGCCGCGGTGCTCGTGCTACCCACTCTCACCTGGCAAACATCGGAGGAATCACCGTCCCTAGACGACGTCGCCATCGCATCGGATATGGACGCTGGATCCTGAGGACCAAAAAGGCTCCTTCTCAGCAGTAGTACGCGCCAAAAGCTCGATCTCTGCTCGCATCCTGTGATGCGAAATGCCTACGCCGGAACCACTGCGCACGCAAGTCAGTGCCGATCCAGGCGCTCACTCATACAACCATGTTCAAAGGTCTTCCTTTCCTTGTTTATCCTGCGCCACCACGCAGGGAGGTACGGCGCGCTGAATTTCTGTGACCAGCACAGGTTGTAGAAAGCGTCAGCAAATTTGGCGTCATCCGAAGACAAATTCTTGTCCCCCAGTTTAAACAGTGAAGATTGATGCATGCCTCTACGAGTACTCGATAAGCTGAAATAAGCAAGTAACGAAAAGAAGATCACCGTCGTGACTATTTTATTTCAATTAGGTACTTACGTAAGCGCACCTAGATCAGCTGTAGCCAGCGATACAAAGAGTTTCAAGTTGTTTGATCAGAACTACAGCCGGTTGCAACTGTTTTGATAATGAACACTTTTGATGAGTGTTGATGAAACTGTTCTAGAACTAAGCAAATTGGATAACGAGTCACGACTGAAGCAGATAAACTAATTTTCATAAATTCATCTTTTCGTGCAAAGTTGTTAAGACAAAGAAAACCAAGTACAAAATGGCTGAAAATGCGCAACCGCCGTCGATGATATTGTCCTAGAAACAAGCAAGTTAACAACAAACAAGTCACGAGTATTTGTGCATATACATTTTATTTTAATTTTTCGAAAAGACAAGCGCGTCTTATTTACTCACGTCTCTACGTCATATTTACTTTAGCTACGGAGACTTGACGGAAGCACCCCCTACATTTTTACTCCATAGAAATACTGACTTTGAAAAGTCCTAGGTAAGTCTCACTACCTACGTCTCTCTCGAGGTCTGGGGATTCCGAAGTGTAATTGCTTTCATCACAATGTCTAGTCTCCTCGACTATCAAGATGCAACAGCATATGTCGGCTTGAAAGCCCTATCTTAGTCCTTGATTTTCAAAGGTGGTACTTAGTACAGTTCTTGCTGGATCTGGATGACAACAGCATAGATTGGTTAGACTTATGCACGTCATCCCGGTTCATGATCATTCTGGAAGGTTGTTAAGGTGGCATATAAGTAAGCCGATCATCCTACAGTTGCTGGATTAAGCACATCATCTTCTGATCCTCAAATTCTTCGTGTGGCTGTCGCAGCTCTGAGTAGTTCATAGACCCTCGGATTGCTAACCCTTGTCATATCCAAAAGTGCTGGCGCAGGCATCCCTGATGACCCTTCGTCTTCAGTCCCGGTCCCTTTGTCAGAGTCCGCAGGACCACTTCTGCTTTCGCGTGAATTAGAGCAAGGAAGTAGAAGTGCGCGTTGTACGCTTCTATCTAAGTGTTGAATAATTGCAACTAAGTTAGTGGGGCTTCGCAACGTCGCTGAATCTATTTTTACAACTGCTAGCGTTACAGCACGTCGCTGGTGTACAACACGAAACCTTTACGCAAACACACAAGAGCCGTACTTCGATTTTTGGTGCTCAGGTCGTCCCCTCCGGAGGAGCTAGCGTCTGCGGCTGCATGATTTTCGTATACTACAGCTCGTTGCGGGTCCGCCTGTGCACTGAGGAGCAGTCGAGCGCAGTCTAGGTGCACGCCGCTGGCTCGGGCAGCCGCCACCCCCAAAGCAGACCATCGAGTGCTCACCACCAGCCGACTACGCACGCTGGAAGTCTGTGTGACGTGGTTATTCAAAGGTTAGACTCTGCGCAACCGGAAGCGCGACGTGGTAAAGAGGTTAATAGACTGAAATTACTTATAATAATTGAGGTGGCTCGTCTTCAGATCATATTTCTTCAATCAGTCTTGTTTGTAAATAGGGTGACGTTTCTTCACTAAGTATGAAGAAAGATGGTGGAGAGGACGGACGTTCACCTAAATAGTACCTGAGGCCCGCTCAGCTGATTGATCAGCGCCAGTGTCGTCCTTCGATGATCCAATAGTGCGCGCAAGCACTCAACTGCTCCAGCCCTCGCGGCGTAGTGAAGGGGTGTAAGCCCTTGAGTTAGAAGAAACTGCTGTATCAGAAGTCAATGTCGTGCTAAAAGAAACGTACTTACACGTAGGTGGTAGTGGATCAGCATTAAAATAACTTTAAAGCCAAAGAGTGTAAGGCATTGATTTAACGAACTTGTTGAGGAGGTTAAGAGGCTTTCGGCTCTCAGCATTAAAATAAAGGAGTAGAAAATTTTGTACGGAGTCTGGTACTTCTGTGACTTCCACACATCATCATAAAAACACGTCTTGGACACCTGCGCGTGCACCTCTTTCTAGTAGCATGGCGCATATACCGAGATTGCCAAGATCGCATGTTAAGTGGAGGACCGTGCGGCCGCCAGTGTCGTCAACTTGAGACTCCCTGCTACGGCGTGAGGAGGAGTAGTTGTCGTCAGAGCTGAAGGCCCGACTCTCCTCATCCGAGGAAGCAACCGCTGCTGCCGGAACCACCTCGCTGTGTTGGGGATAATGGGTTGTCGTTCTTGGGGTGAAAATAAACTCTCATTCTAGATACTTACACAAACACAACAGTTGCTTGGGGTTAAAACAAACTGTAATTCTAGGTACAACTTACACAACAAGATCGATTGCATCAGTACTAGTTGAAGCTAGCAAACTTAAACTAACCTCCATCACCTACAACATCAAGAAATACTTCTTCGTGGTCCCGCTGGTTTACGTCGCACCTGAATTTTCGGACGAGCAGTGTTGCTACAGCCAGGTCCTCGTTCAGTACTGCTGTCCATAACGGAAAGTGAGCGCGTAAATCTGCAGCAGTGACGTCCTCTACAGGAATTTGCTCGACCACATCAGCAGCACCGGAACGAACTGCACGCAGCAACTTAGCGGCCGGCTCAGAGGACGCGACCATTTTTGTTGAAACTTCTTCTGAATCTGATGAGGTATTGCTATCAAAATTGCGTGATTATTCTCAACGTCACGCGTTGATGGGCTTTTAGGCTCGTCCTTTGCTCTAATCAGGTTCGCATAGAGATAAAGAGCGCCCTGCAGTTAAGTGCATGATGTGCAGCTACTTTATCTCAGCTGTTGTACTCTTTGTACTTTCTGCGCGTGCCGCTTTTAGGAAAAATCAACTCTCCTTCGACAGCACACGCACCACAGTTCTTGCGTCTTGTTTTGACTAATATAGTCAGCAATCCCATTCTTCTACCTTTCGCCTACTTCTAGAAGAATCATGATCTCGCAATTTTTCCTCAGCGTAGCAAAGTTGTGAAACGCCCGACGGCGACAGCAGCACGCGTGGAGGTATAATCACGTCGTACAGCAAAGCTTCAGTTGTACATTGCAAAGGACGACCTCGAGATCGACCTCGAAGAACTACATTCCACTTGTTGTTGACCATCAATCTTTATCGGAGTAAGCGTGTAAAAATGTCTTCTACATAGCGCGAAGCAGCATGTGAAAAGGAAAAACATGAGTTTCATGCGCCCTCATGTTCCTTGGAATTCAGTCTTGGGTGTCGTTAGATCGATCAAACGGAAGTGTCGGTTATGTAGTCGCGCTCACATTGCAATGATCGACATCGTTCCTGCAATGCGTCCACAAAGAAATCGAAATAGCACCCACCTCATCTTCGCCTTCGTTATGTGTACCTGCTGAAAAAATAGTTGAAAAAAAGTGAGTGAAGACTTTTATGGTCGTGTCGAAATTCGGCTTTATATATAACTTGAATTCCATGTGCTTTTTGTAAAAGGAAGTCAGCACGTGCCGTTTCTCAGGAAATGACATGATACATAGTGTTCTTTTCACATACTGCTTGTAGCTGCCCGTTACCTGGCGTGACGGAAATTCCTATGGCGTCCTGCAGCTCGTCTGCAACCAGGGAGAAAAGAAGGTCACGAAAAAAAGTATCTGGCGTAGTATTCATCTCGTTAAAAATTTTCTTGCGCGTCTCGTAGGCTAAACTGTTGGATCCTTCTGGAGCGTCAGTGTCCACGGGAGAAGAAACCGTCGAAGTAGACGCGTTCGGGTACAAAGAGAAGTTCATCAAGTTCTGATTTGTATCACTTGGCCCAGCATTTTCTACTACGTGCTCCACTCCGAACGTAGCTATATCTGGGCTGCCAGCTCCTGTACTAGAAGTTGCACAACTACTTCCTGCTCCACCCAACATATTAAATGAGGATCTCCGTTTGAAACCACAATCGGTCTTGTGATCATGATTAGTGGAGCCTGGCGTCCTATTTGCTCCTGATAATGAGGCGCCAGATTCGTCGAAGAGGGCGCTCGCCCCGCTGGAAGTGCTTGGTGTTGCGAGGAGCAGTTCGGGAGTAATCGACAGACCAGTTTCGTCTAGATCGAGCCGCCGTGGGTGCCACGTTTTCGGCGTAGGCGTGGCGTTTTTCACTCTTATTCTCGGCCGCTCTTCGACTACGTTTTTTTGATCTGTTTTCCGCTTAGAAACGTGGTCTATCGCGATGTTGTCATAGCTCACTTTAATAATATTGTTGTGCTGGTGGTGCAGCTCTCGTTGTACATCATGATCAACGCAACCCGTACTTCTAGCTGTAACAAGAGAAGGAACGCCTGCATTCTTGCGTACGTCAAGCTGTGCCTCGCCTGCTGCTACAGTCTCGTTCTCCGAAGAAGATGACTTCGACGATGACGTGCTAGGATGAAAAGCGCTTCTTGTGCTTGTGGAGCTAGTAGTCGCGTTCTGACGATTCGGATTTTGTATTTCTTTGACGTGCCACCCACGCTCATTATTTCCCGTTGCACGTGTGAACGCGTAAGAGCATGCGATCTGATTGCACGACGAACGCGCCTCGTCCTGCACTCCTCCTGGGGTGGAGGTACAGATTGTAGTTCTCCTGTACAGTCCGGCTCGAAAGACATGCAAATCTTCCGTCAACTCCGGAACAGGAGCTATACACCTGATTGGATTCGAGTGAAGATAGAAAGAGAATCACAATCATCAGCGAATTCGATGTATGAGTACGATCGATGGAGATGAACAAAATCTAAATCATAATCAAAAGCTTAAGACGATAAATTATACTACCTCCAAATTTCCAGAAACTGCCGCAACGTCTCAAATTTGGCCACGATGCAGTCCCCAGCGAGAATTTCCCACGGGCAAGCCAGTGGCTGTTCCCTTTGCTCATTTATCACGATCGGAGCCATATTTGTGCTTTGTAGTTTGGCTTAGCGTTGCTGATTTTTGTGATTTTTTAAACAAGGATCAATGAGACCGTGAGACCGCGAGAATGCGGAAAACCCAATGCTCCTGTATTCCTTTTTTATCGCAATTATTCTTATGGGAGGAGCGCGAGCTGCAGCACGGGTCTATCTTTAACCTAATCACATGTTAAAATGATTCTAAGCCGTCATCTAACTCTTTTAGTCCTTCGGTGGAATTGATCTTCACCTGAGTCTCGCCTTAGTTGTACATCGTTTCTCTGATAACTACTTGCTCTCGTTCGCTCAACTCTTGTCCTCTTTCGGTCTTAGGTTAGGTTCTTCTGTGCTCTCATTCGCTCAACTCTTGTCCTCTTTCGGTCTTAGGTTAGGTTCTCCTGTCCTCTCATTCGCTTCTGGGCTCTCCATTGTCTCAATAGCGCCATATCATCCACGTCCCTAGGACGCGGAAAAAGTCGCCCACTCAGAAGGAGGGGCTTCAGGCTCTTCCACCACCGAGTTGCACCACAGACCAGACCACAGGGGGGGGGCGTCCGGCCCCGAGTCATATATTTAATATATAACGATGATTCTTAACATCCCCATCGTTCCCGGACACAACACGTCTGCCTGTCTCCATCTCCATAAATATTTGATGTTCTTCCTGCTTGCCTCTTCGAATTAACCAGTTCTTTGAGAGTTGGGCTGCAGTTTGTGGTCCCGAGATGAACAAAATGACTGAAATACAAAAATACGCATGTAGACAACTACATTGACGATGGATAGGATAGGAGTTGGCTCACCTGTGAACGGGTGAGCGTATAGGCAAGAGGCGACGATGATCCTTCATGAAGACGCGTCGATATTCATTGATACCTGCGAGTCGCCAGTCAGAAGTAGACACGACTAGATAGTACCTGCTCACGTCTTCAGAAGATCCATCTACACATCAAGCCCCAGATCATCTTCAGACCAACATCTTATCAGGTTCATCTTCACGCGCGGAATCATCAGCGAAATAAAATATGGACCATAAACAAAAAAACAATGAATGACAATGATTACTCAAATGATATTTCTAGTGCTATTGGCTAACAGTTTCTTTGGAATGTTCTAGTTAGAATGATCGGAAATCGCAAAATCAATTTGACTATCAGACACAGGACTCCATAAGCGAGTCTTACTTGTCTTTCATGCCCCTTGCTCGAACTCGTCCCTACTTTTACATACATGATGTACGAAAACTAACAAGCACAGATGGTAAAGATACAGTTGTCTATCGATAACATGGCCAACACATTTCGGGCGCCTTCAAGCTAACATCCATAAGAGGATGTAAGCGCTACTTTCTCCGCATAGTTGAGCCTCGTCACCTGTATGTATGTGCCCCTGTTATAGTCATTCTCGACCACCCTAGAGACCAGATGGCGGGCGATACCAAGATCGACACCCCCACATTTGCCCAACTTGGGAAAAGAAATGATAATTCCGTTTTCCATCTACACGTAACTTCGTTAGTCTCCTTCGCCCTCCTCTGTTGCGCTAAACGTCTTGAAATCTTCACGGACCATCTCCCCACCAGCAACCGGATCAAAACGGCATTTAAAGTAAGACCTAGGACCGACCATAGGTTTATATGGTTGCCATTATGAACATTCTAATATCAAACGTTTGTCTGTACTAGCATCTGTTTCCATCATCACAACTATAGCAGAAGACCAAGATGACGTACTCCGCCTGGTAGTCGTATCTATACATAGGTTGCACCTTAAAACAGGAGTTACTTGAATTTGTGGTGGAGCCGACCTAACTAGAAAAAAGACAGACCAGAGGAAGATATAAAAGAGAAAAGGGTAACTATCAACAAGTATCCTAAAGTATCCTGCTAACTGCTAAAACTTGAATTCATATTTACCCGTTTGCGCAAGCCACCACTATAGTGTTGGGCTCGGAGGCGAAGCAGACTATGGAGCGATAATCTTGGACCCTGAACTGCGCGTGTGACCATTCACTTGAAAAATAGCTCAGTCCTAGAAAGGACAAGTTACTGCGCCGATTCGCGATCGCGCTTTCTGTGGGACGAAGAGAGAAGGCGAGAAAGAGAATATGGGTTTAGACACTACCAATTCTTAACAACATCTTGCCCTGTCACTAACATCAATATTTTTACAAGCAAAGTAGGTAGGTAAGTAAGTTAGTAGCTACCTGGTTCGCCTAACGCGAGATTCGTCACTGCTTCTCGCACAGCGAAGACGTGAATCGTTCCTTTGTCAGAGCTCAGGACCAACCACTGACTGTTCTGATTGAACGTGATACACTGTACATCCGCTCTATCTACTCCACGTCTCAATTCTTGCAAGAGGCCACCCGTCTCAGCATCGAATCTAGTTGGTATGCTTACCATTTTTCTTTTTGTTGTTCGTTAATCAAGAAGGAGAGAATGCGAAATCGACGTTCTTGCATCTCTGTACTAAGCAAAAACTGATGATGATTAGAGAGAGCTGCTCAATCATTATCATACCCTTTGAATTTTTTGAAGCGCTGGGAAGCAAGTAGCTAGTAGCAAATAAAATAAAAAAGCTCTAGACCACAAGAACGATTCATAGAAGTACATTCTCACAAGCGTGCCTTTGTCGCTCGCACTCGCAACAAGGGTTCCTTCGAAATTGAGCGCGAGCGTGGATACTTTGGATTCATGCGCGGTTATCAGCGTCGTCTTCTCCCTACAATTCTGCATTCTCGTGAAGTCACTACCTGGAAGATAGTTACTTAGTGTCTGTAGGTGACGAGAATCCTCTATCTTATATATAATTTTTCTGAAGAATTCTATTCATGACCTTAGTAGTAGTACCATCCTTTTCCTGATTCATGCCTGACTGCGCCGCTTGTATCTTTTGTTGATCGTAGAAAACTACGAGTATCTTCCCCTTCTGTACACCTGGGCAGGCTAGCACAGTCCTATCCTGGGCAGCTGAGAGAGTGCATATCCCTCTCGGGTTCGGAAACGTCTCTATATGGTCTATCAGCGTCAAGTCAGAAAACCGGTATATGTACCTAAGTTGTATGCAAATTCATCAAGTGCATGGTCATGGTACGTATCTATCGGTCCCAAAAAAAGACGAAATCATATAACAGGACAGCACATGAGACATGAGCTGCCTGAGGCAGTTCTTGTTGTACTAGTAGAAGTAGATACTTAATACATACTAGCCTCCACAAGCTTCGCCCTTTAGAAGAAATGAATCCAATTCCAAAGGTAAACTTCTAAAGTACACTTTCCTATCGATCATGACAAGCACGATATCTCGGCGCAGCTTTACCTGCCTAACCTGTGATCGGAAGCTCAGCTCTGCTATGCAACGCGGCGTTTTATCGTCCCAAATCATCGCGACATGAAAGGTCTGAGAGGACTACCCAGTCATAAGCGCAACTTCTTGTTCGTTCTAATAGATTCTAAAACTACGTCGAGACTCAAGAAAATAATAGTAGCACAGGAGTCACAAAACCTAGAAGCGGTGTAGTTACCAACCTATCTGTTACTGTTCTACGAAAAAAGCCTTTCAACATAAACCTTGTGTGGCTGAAACCTCGGATTTACGCCACCCCCTACTAAGGCGAGGATATTGCATCGAAAGAGCATTGCTACGATGCACAGCCCCCCGCCTCCTTCGAACTCCCGCCGAAACGTGAGCCGAAATGGGTCCGTGTTGTACCTTCATGCGGTTGAATCATCTTCATCGTGCTATCTGAATCATACGACAAAAATACCTGTGCAGAGACCGTTGATTCTTCGTGACTACCCTACTACCATGCTACAAATTCGTCATACTAACTACAACTAGTACATCGGTATTCGTGCATCAAAAAACAAGTGGAAAAAAAAGTGATTCAAAAGGTAGTACACACGAAATCCATTTTCGGTTCCACAGACGAAGCACGTGTGGTCCTGGTTGAAGGCAATGTAGAGAATCTCATTGCAAGGATTCGTTGCTAGATCCATCTTGTCAGAGTGGTCCTCTAGCAATTAGACGGCTCGCAAAGTTTCCCACGACATCGATGGCTAAGTCTCCACGCAGCAGTAGAAGAAAGAACAATTGGTGGTATGGTGGTATATCTTTATTGGGTTTCTTTTACCGGGACGACACGTCGTGATGTGATTCTTGCGATTTTCTTTCGATGCAGTCAGTGGTCTGTGGTCGAGAACAGGAGACTGGATACTTCATAAGTACACTTATCTGCGTCGTCAGAGCCAAACCTGGTCTGCGAAGCTGGTCGTGAAGCGAAAAAAAAGGCTTGCTTCGTCGTCTCGTGTGATCGTGGCAGCGATGCAGGCTTGCTCCTGCGCGATTTTCGAGGTGTAAAACCCGGCCTAGTATAAAACTCTCCTCGCCTTGCCGAGCGAACGAGGGTCTATATTCGTTACGTTCGAAGGAGCCTACTGTAGCTTCTCCTGCTCTTGCAGCGTCCGTGTGGTCGCTTTCCTGTCTACATATTGTCGTTTCCAGACGTCGAGGTCCGGACACGTCTATGATCGTGGCCTCGCACCCGACTCACGCACTTCGCGGAGAGGCGACAGCATGCCCTGATCTTTGTTCCTGAACGACCATATTAACGACATGATTAACGCTGTCAATTTTATTTAATGAGGGTTATTCAATATTAGTAGGTCTGTCAAGATTGATTGAATGAAATAACTTGCTCGTGGTGTTTCTCGTCTGTAAGATGGTGACGATTTGAATCTTTTCGTCGGGCTGCCTAAGATTTCCCAGACGAATGTAAGATAAATGAGTTACCTAGCTATTCGGCTGATAGAAACTCACGTTAGCAGCTTTTCTTCTCGTGAAAGCCTTGGGTCTAATTCACTCTCGGAAAGCTCCTCAAACGATAGCTTATTTTTCCGTGGCCCCCGCAGGGAACGCAGAGGGCTACATGCTGCTGCTTTTTTTGTCACATGAAGATAGATGAGTACTCTACAGCTACAGGAGTCGCCCTCAGACAAGAACTACAAGTATTGCTGCTCGCCGCCTGTCTTCATGCTGCGAGGGCTGACATGGTTCGTTATAAAACATCTAAATGACCTTGCCCTGCTATGACCGAAAAAAGTATTGACTACACTCTTTCAGCTCTTTGCGAACACAAATTCCATCCTACAGCAAAAGAGAGTTGGTTGGACAACTGCCAACTAATTGTTATTTGTCGTTTTTGATGGTTTTTTTGAAGGTAGATACAACGTTCGAGAAGTGGATGATAGAGTAAGATACAATACAACATTCGAGAAGTGGATGATTGATAGAGTAAGATACACAACATACAATGGTAAAAACCTGTTCTTATTCTGGACAATGCAGGACCAGGAGACACATTCATTCGGCTCAAACGCACGCGCGAGGAAGCGTGCTCCTTGTTTGCTTCAGTAAATTGAGTGCTCGGAACAACGCAAGAGATTTCGTTTCGGCATTGCCTCGTTTCGTGTTGTTCCACGAACATTGCCACACATACTGTGCCGTTACAGCGATCTTCAGATTCGGGATCTATTCGGCGTCGCCCCTTGAATCTTGCAAGCTTGAGCCTTGGCCGCACGCGCTCGAACCTGGACAGCAGACGATGTAAGGCGCATCTCCGCTGATTTTCTGTGCCGTTTTTCGTGAACAAGAGTAGCGGCCGCTCCCGTTATGCACGCACACATCATCGAAGAGATGAATGGTCATCTTTCCCGTCCGCGTGTGAAACTACAAGTATTATTAATAAGATCCAAATGAAGTCTCCCTCTCCCTATCAAAAGATTCCGAAATGAATGTGCATCTCCAATCCTTTTTCATCCACTTCCCCCGCACGACCAAACAAGTGCGCCAGAAAAGATGCTAAAAGTGACTGGAGGTGTCCACGGCGACCATGATCATGGGTTCTGGTCCTGCCATCTTTCCCGCCCATAGTGCTCGTTGTACTACTTCTCAGAACTTTACAACTTTGTTCTTTTTCTGCTTCTACTCCCCCACAAGAGAACTATTTATTTGGCCAAGCATCTTCCTCAAGCACATGATGATCAAGATCCGCGTCTGGACATGTATCTTGCTCGTGTCCATAGCCATCACCACCACCAGCACCATCCTCGCCACTAAAAACATCTTTTTCTTTACTAGTATCTACCATCCTCACCCTCCAGGCGCACGCGGAGAAGTATTAGCGATTCTGGGACTGCTGTTTCGATCCCGGTTTAAATTTGCTTGGCTCTGCAGACTGGGTGCTCTCACTGGTCCAGCTTGCTCAACTACGATGACCTCTCGAGGTTTAGGAGGTGTCCGGCTAGCAGACCGCGGGTAAGCATACTGCGGTCCCCCGACGCCGTGCGTAGCAGCAAATTGTGTGTGACTGGTTTTGCGATTGCGTTTTAATGATCATGTAGATGATCATGATCAGTAGAGTTTCCTCTTCTAGTATGTCCATGTCTTACATCTACAGTACAGTGTGGATCAAGATAGGAGATAGAAGATAGAAGATACTACCTCACATTCATCTTCTGATTACGATTAGCTCTATTCAATTCATCCTTATCCTCGTTGCTTATCGATGTCTAAGTACTTGTACCTTTGATTCAGGGGATTCGCTGTTCCGTAATCGATTCCTGAGCCTCGCGCGCTGCCGTTGCTGGCACCCAGGCCTCCACTAGTCCCCATTCTAGGGGGCGTTACGTACCTCGGAGGCGTGCTGCCAGTCGGAGCCCCACCTGGTGGAAATCGCGGACTGTTCCCTTTCGGTGGCGTTCGAGCGTACCTGAAGAGGACCATGTTCTTCAAGAACTTCGAAACGTACTATGAACAACATCTATGGTACCATGCAAAAAGTGTGTCATCAAGATCAAACACTCTCGAGATTAAAAACGATCGACATTTAATCCATGGACCATGGGCTATGGTCATGTTCTTCAACTATTTTCCTTGTCATCTCAATCTTGAAGATGTGTTTGCACTTGCAGTTGAATCTGCTAGAAGATAAATTCACGTTCTCCTAATTCTTCTCGTACTTCATAAAAAAAAGAACAATAAAAAGTATTATTAGGTGAAGGTGTAGTTTTACCCTATACTCCGGCCGAAGTTTGCAGTGTCGCCAAAGCCGCCACCGAAGTTGCTCGTTCCGCCGAAGTTGCCTGTACCATCTAGGTCCTGCTGCGTGGCCCACGACGGCGCAGTCATCCCACGGCTGGAGCCCAGGCCCATGCGGTGCTGCATCAACGGTGTTGGTGGCGTCCGACTAGGCGTCACATCCCGGTAGCTTAGCGGACGGCTGCTCCCAAGGGGAGGACTTGCACCCGAGACCGCGCCTCCAGCTCCGCTTTTCGATGAGGTATTTAGCCCTCCAGCAGCGCCGCCTGGTGAAGTAGACGAACCAGCAGCACCGCCTCCCAAACTGGTGCTGCTTGCACCTCCTTGCAGGTTGCTTTGACTTGTGCTAGCTCCTAGGCCTGTCCCTCCTGTGCGTAGACTTCCGTCGAGATTGTAGACGGCGCCGGTCGAAGTCTCTCGCGGCGATCGCGAGGACGCCCTTTGGGAACTTCCCAGCACGTTCGAGTTTCCCAGCGTCATGGTCGCATTCCCGCTCGAAGCGGGTGGCGCTTGTTCGCTGCGACGGGCCGCAATCTCCTCCGACAATTTAGCGAGGTCTGGATGCTGATCGCAACTTCGCAAACCCCGGTCCAAACACCGACTAGCGTCTTCCAAGTTGTTCTCCATAATGTAGCTTCGAACTAGCGTGAACCAACCCTTCATAAAGTTCGGCCTGGAGGTCGTCGTGGGAGGTTTTACCATTGATGAAAAACATATTAACAACTACTGCATCATAATTTTCTTGAAAATCGAAATGCTTTTTGTAGAAGCTGGTAGTGGTACGTGTTGACAAAAAACTAGTAAGAAGCTAACACAAGAAATTTTAACCAGTCCGCATGAGTACTATGCATTTTAAATCATGTACGTAGTTAGCAATTCATTGAAGAGCTGAGTTGAGAAGAGTGAGTACAAAAATAATAGTACATAGTAGTCTGTCAAGCTACAAAAATAGCACATAGTCGATACCTAATCTCGACCACTTTTTGTGCGTCGCGTTTAGCTCGAGGCCAATCCCTGAGAACAGCGTAGCACAATGCGCGGTTACTATAGAGACGGTGGTCACTCTCGGAGTTCGCAATTCCTTCCGAGTAGCGCTCGATCGCAGCCTGATACATCGTCAAGGCTTGCGGAATATTGTTCTCACGGGCAGCCGTCTGACCTGTTGATGTATTCAATAGAGAATGAGGCGAAGAGAATGAGATGAACTCATTCTCTTACACCATTGTTGTTAAGGACCATAATACTCTAACTCTCTTGCTATGTCATGTCGTGCCTGCACGTCTTTCATAGCAAATTTTTTTGTATCTATGTATATGTGACACCACCACCATCCCTATGTTTGTATTCATGACCTTGTCAACATTACAAAAACTACAGATAGAAGAAATACCCTTTTTGTAGAGTTCGTTGCCCTCTTTTCTTGCGAGTTCAGCGCGTTCAAAGGGCATTAGCTTTTGCTTGTGATACTCCCGCCACATTTCCGTATATTCTTCCCTCTTCGCGTCATCCTGCAAGCAGTTCCAGGCATCGTTTATCAGCTGGAACATCTTCTTGCCTGTTTGTTGTTGAGATAGTGCTTTAAGCGTATTTATTAACAATAGCCATTGTGAGTGTGTTGTTGTTGTAAACCTCATTCATATTATTAATAACAATAGCCATTGAGTGTAATCTTATTCATATTGACGATAGGGATAGCTCCACCTCCTGGTCCCACTTTGCTCATAATCTTGTGATCTTGGATTTGATTTTGATATTTTTTGATCTTCATCCCCTAATATTTAATCAACGTGAACAAGATCTCACTCATTCATTCATTCGAACCACACCAAGTCCTGTATTATCATGACTTCTACACCTGCCATCTTTACGCATCAACAAAGCATCCTCTATAACGTTAACTTGCTTACATCAATGTTTCTGTCCCAGTAAATCTTATCATCTTATCATGAATATGATTGCTGTAAGTAATTCTAAACTTTCTACCGGTCTGATTTGGCGAGTCGGGTCGTTTATCCGGGTGCCAATCGAGAATGAGCTTCCTATAGCTCTTTTTGATCGAGTCGACATCGGCGTCTGGTGGCACGTCAAGGGCGTTGTAGAAGTCCTTAAAGTCTGTGAAATCATAGGGTTCGGCGGCTTCCGCCCCGGGCGGGGACGGGTTCGGACCTCGAGCGGAAGACATGGTGTCGAGGGCACTTGCAAGGGAGTCCGAGTGCTGAGGATGGCGTGACCGAATCCCTTCCAGCCTTCTTGCTCTATATTATGTAACGTCGTATTACAGCACCAGTCCGGTTTATGATTCTAGGATTGCGCTTCGAGTATGGTGGTATCCTGTGTATCGATCCTCCTTTTACGTAGACGCTAAAGCAGAGTCAATCGTCGCTGATCTGTGCAGTGCGGAAGCAGTTCTGGCTATCGCTTGCTGAGCTTGAAATAAATCGTCAAAGAGCGGAACGAGGGCTAGCACACACACACACCCAGGAGCTTTGGCGTACGCAGTCAGGGTTCTAGTCGCCGATCTCGATTTAGCACAGTTGCAGAGGGATGTCCATATACAGCAGACGGCGACGCAGCACTGGTCATAACCATAGATGTTGATTTCATAACGTTATACATAGAAACAACTACTATATTTGAAGTTCGCTGCAGAGATACAAACAACTAGTCCGAATCTGGCGATACGAATACCATAATTATATCGACGACGACTTATTAGTGACGTCGATTAAGGAAGATCAAAATGAACACCTACTGTGTTTAGTCACAATCGTGCTTGATAAAAATCTACAAACAAGACGAAAAGGAGAAAGCGCCTCTGCAAAAACTCAAAATTCCAATCTTTATGTTTCTCGACGAACTTCAAGACGAATGTATATGTGAAAGGATCGGGTATGTTGGGGGTTGGCAGGCGTCTGTTTCGTATTGGATGCAAAATTTCAGATTCTATATGCCACCTTCTAGTACAGTAAACGCTCACACTAAAAACTCAAGAAACTCATCCGCTGAAAGTATTTTTTTCATTTCATGAAAAAAAACAAATCCCTCAAACCTATCATAGGGAATCGCTCAACAAGAACACAGAGGAAAACACTCTCACGCAACAGATATAGTGAACCCTCGTCTGTCACATCTACTTACGAATTCGCGTCAGGAGAACTGAACAAACGCAAACTCTCACTCTCTCTCTCGCATCAGAAGAAACGAAGTAATTATACAGACATCGATCATCAAATTGCAAAAGGTCAGATGAATGAGAAGTGCGTTGAAAGAAACAGAAACAGAATCACTTCTACAAAAAATGTTCTTCTCTTATTTTACAAGTAGAAGTAGTACACAAGAGTAAGTACATAAGATCTTTATCTGCTCGGTCTCCCTCTCCACGTTGCAATTGCAACCACAGCAACCTGGCGAACAAATAATCCTTAGCTTCAACAGCACTCCTCGACCAGAAGACTGCAACGACGTCTAAGCTGCACAATTTCTCGATAACAACGTTATCATCCTGCAAGTCTTGTTTATGTATTTCTCGTCGATTAGTTGTGGATGATGAAGTAGCTAGAAGGTGTGGTTCTCAATCTCATCCTTCCATTTTGGGCATGGATGAATAGAGGCTTTTCAGTACCCCACTCACTTGTTCCCGTAATTTTATTTGGTAGAATAAATATGGGCTTGTTTTCAGCGCTCCCACATTCTGGGTGTCAACCTATCGGCCGAAAGCGGTCCCACTCCGTCTGAATACGCACTGCGGCAGCGAGCAGAAGTCCCGTGTCCGGATTCGAACAGAAGAACTCCACAACGCCCGATCTGAAAACCCTAATTATCTTAAAGGAGGTTGCGCCATCGCATCCATACACAAGCGGCCGAGGACACGGACACCTGTCTTCTTCCCGTTAAGGTTATTGCAGTTCGTCTTATATTAAATAATGAATTGTAGTAGTAGAAATGAGAATTCGAATATTTATTTATATTGAAGTTGTGTTTCCTTCTAGTAGCTGTACGAACAAGTACTGATAGCTACTACAACAGGGACCAAAGACGGTGTCCTCGTTTCTGGATGGAATTGCGCAACACGACTCCTGCTTAATTTTCAGGCCGGGTGTGTCGAATGCATGCTCGAGCTTAAGGCATGGACTCACTTCTGGAATGTAGCTGGAGTTGTTGGGAAAAGCGCGTGCAAGAACGGGAAGATCTAAGAGGAAAGGCAGACGAAGATAAGCCCAGATGCTGCTCACTTGAAAGTGTCGCATAGTTCGTCGACGCTCCTGTGTTTGATGCACACCTCCTGCTGCGTCTGCGTCTCCATTTACTCCAGCATCTCTCGTGTTCACATCCCTATGATGTACCCGAAGCCCCGCACTGGCGTCCTTTCCTATCATCGTTCTTTCCGGGCTTTCCTCAACGTTAATATCATCGACAAGCGCCTTTTGCTCTTCATGCGCCTTAAGAACCTGCATCGCCAGCTTCTTTAGGTAGAGACGGCTGACACCTCGAATCTGAGCGAGAGCAGTCTCAAACTTCTCTGCTGCACTGGTGCTACTGCTATTGCCAGAATACAGTTGATGTTGTTGTAGCATGCCTGTAGTTGTACTATGATCTTCTCCTTCTTGCCTCAAATCCCCGCGAATCGTTAGCGTCCCATTTGGAAATATACTCGCCACAATGGGCTGTCTGTCGCTTCGAAAACTCGTGAAAATCCGAAACTTATCGTCCTCCTCGTTGTCTCTTCCGGAACTAGGTGGATAGATCATCACCTGTAAATGCCGCTTACGAAGACTTTGCTGTTGTTGACCTCCACCAGGACCCTGCACTTGCGACGACCCTGATGCAGACCCTACGAACCTTTGTTCTAGCCCTATATTTTTGCTAGTAGAGCCACCCATAGTTGTGCCAGTGTCTTCTGCTTCTGCTGCTGCTGCAGCAGTACTGCTATTAGGAGTTGAAAGTTGACCTATAATATTATAGCTCGCATCTCTACCCTTTTCTCCCTTAAAAGGGTCACAGAAGATATCCGCTTACAGATCTGATAAGGTCACAGATGAAGATATCGTCCCCTTACAGATCTGATAGGTCAACTTGCAACCCTTAATACTACCGTGAGCTGCTAGAGCGGCTCTCGACTTTCGACCTGCTGCACCCCCAACAAGCTCCACGTTCCATAGGCGCCGTCGCACGCGTTCTAGGTCCAGGCCACCTGGTATGTCAACCGTCGTCCTAGCTTGTACGTTCTTCACGATCAACGTCGTCGTCGAATCTATCTTTTAGAACTTATACGTACGTTCTCTGAATTCACCTCAAAAACTTATACATAGGTGCTTCGGTTGGCGGGTGGAATCCTAAAATGGTGTAGTACAACCTGCTACGCTTTGTACAAGAACACACGCACATCCACATGAATTTATGAGAAGAAAAATCTCATCTAAGTACTCAATTGAAGTAATCAATACGCAGAAACGGTTCGCAGAAAATCAAGACGTTCTTGTTCTTACAACGAGTCTGAAGTTGCTCGTGATTTTGCCTTAAGTTGCAGATGATGTAGTACTGGACGCTGCTACTCGATTTCCAACGAGGACAGAACCTTTAGTGCGGGCTGAGAAGTCCTCTTCTTGCATCTCAAATTCATCCTCCAGGTCGTCGGGAAAGTCTACGCTCTCCCTTGTGGTGGTAGTACCCCGACTTTTACCAGGCGGATGGCTAGTGGCATTGCCTTGACGCGCAGATGCAGCTGCTCGTTTTGCACGTTTGGCGGATGGTGTCGCTTGTGCTCCACGATCCGCCGCCTCCGATTCTGACTCCGGCACCCATTCAGGATCACTATCAGAATTCTTTCGCTTTCGACGTGGCGCCATTTTTTCAGTTTCAGTACCAATTACATATAATGTGGCTTCGTAGTCTCTAAAAACACTTAAAAATAATCCTCTTATTTTCACTTTTGCAAGAACCGCAAGTGTAAGAAGCTGACGAATAACAAGCACTGATCGATGATGACATTTACGAGCACTGCTCCTCAGTATTTTCGATGGTACCAGTTTTTACGGAAGCAGTCGTGGTCCGACTCATAAAACTCCAGATCTTGATTTCGGAACTAGGAAGAATTCTTACTTTCTTTCAACCGAAGAACTTCTAGGTTCCCCCGCATTCAGAAGATCACCGAACTTGGAAACGGCCCAGCAGCACATCATCGTAGCGTCTGTTGTAATTCCACCGCATGGATTCTCATGGAATCGGTGGCTTCGTTTCACTGACATTTTCCTGCCAGCGTTTTCATTTTTCCCATATCAATTCCAGATACCGCAAAAAATGAAAATCATGATCAGAATCAACTTCATAATAACTCACACATGAAAACAACTCCTCATCGCCAGCACTTTTCGAGAAAAGGCTGCTACTTATCTATCTATCAGAATGAGCCCAGATCCTTGGCGCTGAGGACGTCCTTGTCCTTATCAAACCGGACCCCGATCTCGAGCACTCAGGCGGGTGTTCCGGAAAAAAACCCAGAAATCCAGCAGCATCAACATCTCTAAATTTTTCGCGACAGTCATGCTGCAGCGTCTATCAATTGGTGCTTCGAAGACGCATCATCATTATATGTGACAACATCAAAGACAGACCCATCATCATCATACGTTATATATAACTAATGCAACTTCCTGTTGATGTACAATCGAATTACACAACCAAAATCTTCGTGCTCATTTTTCGGAACAATCAGCTCCGAACTCAGTTTTATCCGACCGTTGTAATCCTTCATGTCATTGTACCACGCCCACTGCCTCTACGATATGTCGAAGTCCCCTTGCTGTAGCTACCTGATGATCTTCGTTCCTCCAAAAAATTGCTCCTTCTTCAATCCTGCTGTTCCGCTGTGAGCCTTCTTAATTTGTTCGTAAAGCGCTTCGGCGTAATCGCCATCGTATAAGGACTCAGCTTCAGAGCGGATGGCAGTTGCGTCTGTCGGCCACCCCCGTTTGTATTAGGAACCAGTACCAGAAGGAAATCAATATATTACAATAGATTTGAAGAGGAAGCCTCGAGCGATAGTAACATGATAATTGCCTCGTCTTCTTGGGAAAGTTTAATAACTGGTAAGCAGGAGATAAGAGCCAAGAATTACAGGCAGTAATAGGCTAAATAAATAAGTACATACTTATAATTTACAGTTCTCGTGTACGTGTTCGACGACGTGGCGACAAGAACATCAATTTCATCCAAAAACAAAGTGTTTTATCAACCTGATCGACAATCAATAATGGGAATTAATAGGGAAACATAAGAAAAAGAGAATTAGAAGCTTACAAAGGGACGTCGAAAAGGAATTAATCTCACTCGGCCTTGGCACGAATGAGATAGTACGATCATAGGGAGCACACTTTACCGCGATAGTACGAAGCTTATAAAGGGTCAAAAAAGAGAATTAGAATCTCACTCTACCGCGATAGTAGTTGCGCCACGTCGTATGATCTTTATCCACAACAACATACTAGAACAAGATAAAAGATAGCACACTCTATCGCATATATCAAAACAAGGCTTAAATCTAAGTGCCAAAGGCAATCTGGCGTCCTCCTCACGGTAGGCAAGCTCCAAATCCTCTCCGAAGACCACGTGCCACAAATATTCCATCACGTAGCACGGCTTCTTTCCAACATTACAGATGCTCCACTCCGCAGGCAAATCATCCTCGTGCCCGTATGCCTCGTCTTGTTGCGCTGTCCAGGTGCTGTGGGAGTGTTGATGTGGCTCGTGTTTTTGATCATGCGGGTGCTGATGTAGTACTTAGAGGTAGGTTTTAGGTTCTTTTTGGTGTTCGTTTATCCCGTTTGTTATGGCCGTCCCCCTTAGGAGAGCCATATTAACAAACGGTAACGAAAGCACCTCTAGCCTACCCTTAAGTAGGACTTGCTGACATCACTGGATGTTGATGTAGTTGCCGAACGCACAAGGACAGGAGGTGAAATTTTACTTAAGTACCTATTTTCCCCCGCCTTGTTCTTCATGCTGTCATGTACAGCAATCGTCGTGGTGCGATTCTTCCTGATATCCGCTGCCAGTTGAGTGTAACGACCGTGAAAGATCAAATCTGCAAGGTTTTCGTAGAATTCGCGACTTCTTGCCAGGATTCGTTCCCTGGATACGACGAAGTTCGAGCAACAGTAGCTGGTGACTGGCGCAAGAAGCGGCTCCCCAAAAATCAACTGAAAGACGCGTTCGAAACACGGAGTCACCAGCGCGGCGTACCGTTCGTGCGTTAGATGCAGAAACGGAACCTCGTAGGTCGCTTTTGCGACACTCTGAAGCACGACATTGAAAAACGCTGGTCGCAGGTGTCTCGGACCATCATCGTGGATGAAAGCGACGTAGTCTGGCAAATCTACCGACACATCCAACGAGGCATCTGTTGAAGTTCTCGGAGAACTCAATATCGTTCTTCTTTTCTCCTGGTAGTCGCGCAATCTTGTCTCAACCGACGAAGCTGAAGAATCAGACGAAGAAGCGACGGCTTCGTCTTTCTGAAAATGATGGATCTGGAAGAAGATCTCCAAGATATAGCTGAGATACGCCGTGCATTCGCCACTCATAAAGCTGGGATTATTAGAGGTACCTTGTTGAGAGCATCCTTGTCGAGAGCATCCTTGGCGTCTTTTTCAAGTAGAAAAAGAAGATCCAAGAACTATGATGTTAAGGACATGCGTCAGCGGGTGCCTTAAGATTACGTTCCGGTAGGTCGCGGACGAAGACCTCTACGTGGTCCTCTAAGCCTTCCAGCTGATCCTGCAACATTTGCAGACTAGTTCCTCGGTCCCTATGAAACAGAACTCTTTTAGTCAGTTACTCAACATGTTAAGTCTTTTAGTCAAGTACTCTTAATGCTAGTGCTTACTGCTCATAAACAAGTTAGAAAGATCCTATCCTTCCGTATTCATTTTCAGCGTTTCCAAGGAAGAGGGTAGTTCTTTCTTCTTCAAGTTCTTGTCTCAAAAGATAGAAAGTAACCAAATCAAAGGAGACCATATTTAGTTGTTGTAGAGCTAGAGTGGGCACGACCTATCCTTTATTTCATATCTTGTTCTTCTTCTTGATTTCAGATTTTTGCATTCACCTGCAGACGAGTACAACTTCTGTGATACAAATCCTGTAAGTCTAGGTCTACAACTTCGACTAATCTAATCACGTGTACAACGGCCTTAATGTCTGCATTTCTCGTACACGAACATCCGTGTTCGTGGTGGAAAAGCAAACTCCCAAAGCCACATCATGGGAGCATCACATCGTGCCACGACCACATCCAACCGCAACTGACCCCCATAGTCATCCTGATGTTGTCCGATAGCATCCTCCTGATGTTGTTCGATAGCATCCTCCGTCGACTGCGTTCCAGTCGCATGGTCCGCATCAGTCGATTCTGCTTTCACACCGTCGATCTCGCCATCGGCTCCGTCCGAACTAGATAGATCATTCGAGACGAGATCTACTTTTGACGTCGGCATCGACGGGTCGATCGGTGCAGCATCTTCTATTTTTGATATCTGCGGCAGCAGACTCCTATTCCGCCGGGTGTAGACCGAGTACTGGACATTTCGAGTGTGCGCGTACTCAAGTCCGTATTGCGTGAAGGCTTTCGAAATCGGCCACATGACGTGGATGGCGGCGTATTCCTCCGCTGTCTTCTCAGCACGCAGTCGATGCAGATTATCTTCGGCTTCGCTCGCGAACATCACCGAGAAATGGTCTGGACTATTCAGCACAAAGACTTCGGCCTACCTTAGAGGCAGCAGACATAATCTCCGATCTCGTCATGCACATGTTGACGACCTGGAGATATACTTCTTCCGAAGGTTTTTAGTAGTCCTCCTTTATCATTTTCAAAAACAGTTAAGAAGAAGAGACACAGCCTGTGTAAGAAAATCGAGAAAAGTTACTGATCCATTGTCATTTTAGCCGAGGCAATCACGTAAATCAAGGATCCGTAATCTACAAGAATTTGTTTTGTTTTTGCTGCATCAAGAAATAAACAACTACCAGCATCGAAATGTAGGTTGCCACCCTGTAATTATATCATCAAGTAAGTAAACTTCTTTAAAAGAGTACCTACGCGTAAGAACAATCAAAATATGATAAAAAAAAATGGTGCCTTAGCATGAGCAGCAAGCACGTGATTGTCAAGCCGGGACAACTGTCTTCCTCGGATTCCCGCTGTCGTCTATCCGTGCCCAGAATGATCCATGCGCAGGATTCAATTGGCGCTACTGGTGGAACCGTCAGACGATTGCGCCCTGCTGTCCACCGCCCTCCTCGATAAAAATGCGCCGGCGCTGCACCTGCAGGCATCATTTCCCCTTGTCTGGTCGTTTCGGCAGTAGATGGGGTAGCCGACGAGAGAATCGTGCTTCGGCTTTCGGTGGAGCTATTATCTGCTGTTGCCTCTTCATCGGTCGCAGAACTCCTACATCCAGTGGTGCTGGTGACGTCGAGTGCTGACACGTCGATACCGTCTCGACTGTCTTCTTGCTCGATCTCAGTCGGATCATCCCCGGTTTTTGTCGCTAGACCGCTATCACTCGCACGACCGTCCACCGATTCATCTACTGACAGAGCCAAGCTTGTTGTATCATCCGAGTCCGAGTCCGGTCTTCGACCCTCTTTACTGCAGCTTCGATTCCTGTCGCAGTTTGTGCATCTGCTCGACTCCTGTTGCAGTTTCTGCGCATCATCCTCCGACAGGAGTGATTCGTACGGACCGTGCCTGTAAAATTTTCGGAGATCGTCCTGCAGTGTATGCGCCATGATCGATCCGATCTCGCACTCGCCTTCATGCGAGCAGACCTCTGCCAATTGCCGGAACGTCCACATGCAGACCCGCAGAGACTGAAAGGAGCTGACTTTTTTTGATGTAAGTACACAAGGTTCAGAAAAGCATGGTCTTTTGAAAAATTTGTTGATGTTGACAGTATTATGTGTTGCTGTTCGTTAAACAGCACAAATTTCTTTAGAATACATGTCGATCATGATATTTTCAGTTTAATTTCTTCGGTGAGTCGAACAAAAAAATCTCTAACGCAGAGACTGATAAGAACAAAAAAGTCATAAGATATCGTTATCGACCGACGCAATCTAAATGAACATCAGAATTTTTCAATCCATTTATCAAAAGTTCCTCCACTAGAAGTGGCTAGAAGATGGCTTCTAAAAAACCAAAAGAAATCTAATTTATTATAAGCTTGTTAACCTAGTACCTTGGATAGTCGAAAAAAATATTTCACATTTGAGATGAAAGAAATCTAATTTAAATTGTTATTTGTTCTGTGGTTGCTCCTCGTTGTCGTCATACATGTATTCCTCATCTCCTTTGTAATCGACTTCGCTGCCTGCTGCAAAGTCTGGTACTGACGGATCAAAGGCCAATCTCGTGAGAGCATTCCGCAAGTGATCGTTTATGCCGTCTCTCTGAGCGATGACCGCGGCTTGAGCGATGAAGGCGCACACGCGCCGGTTCTTCATCATGGCTCCTCGTTTTTTCTTCATCCCTGCATGATTTCGCCGACGTCGGAACCTGAATCCGACCTGCCTGTCTAGCGATATCTCAGTACAGAGAAAGCTTTCTCTCTAGACAGAGAATCTCTACTGTCAGAGTATGTCGGGATCGGACGTGCTCGCATTTAGGGTCGTCGTCCGCGTCCACCGTGTGCATGTGCTCCGAGCACAAGAATTAGTCACTAAAAATCATTATATCAACTGCTCATTGCAGCTTGTGTGAAAAAGTGAGTTGATAAGCTTGTGTGAAAAAATAAGCTGATATTGAACGAGAATAAACTAGTACTTCTAACTTTATTTTCTTTCATCGAGTCGCACAGTAGCATCTCGCAAGAAAAATGAAGACTCGAGTAGCGCCACATGATATTGCAGTTCTTGGTAGTTACTATCGAAGAATAATTTTTTGATGAAGCAGAAGCAACATGCAGGTACAGGAAAAAGATATTGATATTTTTGTAGCACACCATCTGCAGAGACAGGATGACAACACCGACACAACTACACAAGCACCTGTGATATAGATCTTGATCTTAGCCTCCACGCCACGACCTATGAAACTACTGGAAGTCGACAAGAGACACGTATGATAACATCCTCGTCTCACAATAAAGGCATCAGACATTTATCACATCGACCGTCCACCTCTGAGCAGATCCTCCTCCTCGAGACAAAGATTATTTATAAAACCATGATTGTCAAAAGTCCACTGCAAGTTTTGCTCCTGAGCAGCTTCCGGGGGCATGTAGCTCTAGCTTCTACTTCTTTCGAATCGTGGTTGATAATAAAGTTCGCCAGCGGCTCATGGATCCATCTGATCTGCTTCTTCGCGAACCCCAAGAACTACAACTTCCTTTCCTTCAAGAACGAACTTCACTCGCCCCATCTGCTGTCTTCAGTCCGCTAAGGATGAAAGGACGCACAACCGGCAATCAGCATTAAGGGAATGCCTTACTTGGAGTCCCAGGATCAAGATTGCGTGTTCTTGAATCAAGCAAAGTGAGAGTCTCCAAGCCCATCCTCGTGCTTCGCGCACATTCTATGAGATCTTCCATTGTCAGCGTCTAGCCAAAAAAAAACTATCACATTGTCGAAGCGCAAGTGGTCAATGCGAAGGAAAATTGTTCATTGGATTCATTAATATATTTACCAGATTTCATTGTCATGTTCTTCTGGTATGCGGTTTCCGTTTCTTGCTTTAAGCCTCCTCGAGTCCTTCAGTAAAGCGCGCTGAGTAGCTTCTCCCCTATTGTGCGGACCATGGAATCGCGGATGAGTACGTAGAGCGGTCTCGATTCTTCTAGCTCGCCAGTGGGCGTAACTGCCCATATCATGCCTGACTGAAAACTCGGCTGAAAGCTGATCTGAAACCGTCGCTGCCGCCCTTCGTGTTCGCCCGCAAAAACGAAGTTATTCTCCAAGCCAGTGAGATCAAGTGCAGGTCGCCATTCTAAGAAAAGTTAGAGAAAGACGAGTCTTTCCAGATCATACAAGTTTTCTGAGTACTATGCATTCCCAGTTGATCATCATCATTGCGTCTCAAATGGTCATTCTGTACCACTGTCAAGTTGAGGCTGTACGTACTAGAAACATGATGACATCACTCAAATATAGGTACAACTAGACGTGCCAGTCATAAGTTGAAGTCGAGGAAGCATCTTCACTGTTATGTAGTGACGCTGTCTGATTCTGGAATACGTTGAGTTCTCCCTGGACTTAGAGCACCCTGCGCCGTTGGCATCCCTCAGAGCATCCTCCTTGAATTCTTTTTCAAGTAGAAAAAGAAGATCCAAGGACTATGATGTTAAGGACATGCGTCAGCGGTAGCCTTAATGGACGGCAATGTTGCCGGTAAGAAAGACTCCTGTAGGGTAGAGGAACCACCGCGTACCTGCGACACTTTCCACGGCGGTCGAAATCGAGTCCAGAATCACGCCCCCGGTACTTTCGAGTTAGAGTGAGAAGGGTACAACGATTAGAGAGCTCAGGAATCTAGTCTAGTACACATACCGGCAATAAGGGTCGCTTGTCATCGAAACAGAAAGCTCAAAACTACGTTGATGAATCAAATCAAGCTTTTATATCAACATAAGATAGCGTGCTCAACTTGAGGTAACGGAGTTTACTCTAGACAACCTAAACCTACAACGCCAGTAGTCAAAAGCCAATTCATAATCTAGACTCACCCGACAGGTGCTTGCGCGCTCTTCCGCGGATTGATGTGTCGAAGCCAAGAGACACCGCTTCTGATCCACGCCAACAAAGTGTATTACTTCCAGGAGGACGCCCTCGTGATCGTTCACTTGCCGGTCCTCAAAATGCCATGGTGGAGCATTGCCCAGATATCGGACTATGCGAGCTAGGGGAAGTAGTTGTAGATCATGGGATAATCCTCAAGCTATAGATCTGAATGCATGGGATACTAGCCTTCGAATTTCAGAGGTGAAGTCACCGGAAAGCAGTACCGGAAGAAGTTCTTGTAGATGTTATCTATTTTTGGAATTTTTCTTACTGTTTTCTTCTTTTCTAAACTTTTTTTAGAGTATAACACGAATGAGAGAACTTGACATGCTGAGAGGAGTGCGCGTGATATTCACCAAATTCAGACCGATTCCCGGTGGAAGAAAAATTTTGAGTTTTATCATGATCATCAAAAATTTTTATTTTATATTTATTTCAAACAAAAAACACTACCTTTCTTTCTTTTATCGACGAATTCCGCAACTGCTTCCTTGACGCCCTTTTCCGCGCCATAGTCGTCCAAGATGAGAAAACGCGAGAGTCTTGATGCCTGTTCCAGGTCATGCAAGACACTAGCTCGATCATGCGCCGCATCAACGAGGACGAAAGAGACCGCGCCACCGAGTAGGTGGTTTTTCGGCAGCTTTGTATCCCAGTCATCGAGCACAGAGTGGAACTCGAAATAGGCGATGTTCCCCTTTTCTCGATTATATATGAAACTGAAAAGAGAATATTTCGTCGAGACTTGTGTTACGTTCTTCTTTCTCCTCTCATCCTGGTTACAGGAACACGGTTAGTACAGGAAAAAAACTCAACAAGAAGTATAATGTGTAAACGAATCTCCAGAGCTCTCCATTATTCATTTTCTATTCGTGCTTGAGGAGACGGTAGAGGCTGAGCAAGGAGGAAGAATAGCTTTTCATCTTTCAACTACTCCTACTTATGTGCATTCACTTGTGCTCATATTGTTCTCCATGTTCCGCTCTAGCACTGCGATCGAGTTTTCCAGTGCCCAGACCTGATCGCAGTGCTCAGCCAAGAACCCGGTAGTCAGGCCTACATGCGCACCAAGTTCGATTCCTATGCGACAGGGCGTGGCTGCGCGCGACTGCTCGGTATCGTCAGAGAAAATTAATGCGTTCTGAAGATGGAAGATCCATACGTAGATAATCGAAGGAAAAAACTGTTAAGTAGATTCTCACGTAGTCAAAACAAAGAAACCTAACATCAAAAACAACCTGTGGCGAAAGAAGCAAAGATGCCTGCTACTGCGAATCCTCGAATAAAATGCCGTCGGTACGTGTTGCATTTCCGTCTACAACCGTTAAAACTAAATCATCATATCATCACGGAAGCTACAAGCTACAACGAGTTTCTTCTGTTCTCCACGATTGACTATAGCCATACAACTCAGTGGTGCTGATGTTTGCTTTTTCTCCTCCGCAGACACGTCCTGCTTGGTTGCCACTACTTCAGCTTCCAGTGCATCTAGAACAGCTTCTCTGCGATCTATTTCTTCACGCTCTTCATGATTAGGGCTATCGCCGTTGCATCCCCAATAGCATCCTTGGGAACTATATGCGAAAACGTGGAAGGAACCTTAATATGATGCAGGCACACTTCAAGTCCGTTAGTATCCTGACTTGATTCAAAGGGGGTCAGGGAAGACGATGCTGAGGATGCATCAACATGTCATCATGGTGTCCCGTTTAGTACTAATAGCCACAGCAATTACTAATAGATGGCCTAATTCATTCATTCATTCCTACGAACCCGTCGATTATAAAATGGAAAAAAAACACTCGGGTTGCCGGGGACCGGACTCGTGGCTGCGGTGTCTGCACCACCACGTCCTGAGACGATACGTGGGAACAGTTCCAGCGTTGCCGTAACATGAGGCTCAAAAAAGCTATTGTCCACATAGTAGTCCCGCAGTTCATGATGGAAGAAATCCAAGATGTCTTGCTTGAACTTCACGGATATCGTCCATGGGTTCTCGGTCTTGTCCACCAAATCCGTACTCTTCTTAGCATGGCTAGAGAGATGAACAAGCACAAGGGATAAGACTGCAGCAAGAAAAAATCTCCAGGGCTGCAACGCTAGTAATCGATGTCGTGGTGGGTGCCGGAGAAGTCCAGGCGAACAACGACGAGAAAACATCTTCATCATTTATTATAGTTATTGATGAAATTGATGAAAATATAATTATTCCACGCTTACACGAAGAATTCCTACTTCTAACTTGTCTTCGATATTCATCTGAAAGAAAATTTAGAAAAGTTATCTCGTTCCAATAGTACGTCTACATCTCAGACAGATCAAAATGCAAGAAGAATTTAATCTCTACGACTTAGAGTAAGGCTGGAAATGTCCTCTCGATCTGTTTTCTCTCTAGGCGCATACCGATGTGGCATCTACTGTGTAGCAAAGGCAAGAAGACACACATCAGCTACAAGAAGCAGATGTTACCAAGAAGATCCTGCTTCTTTTTGGGACACATCAGCTAACACATCAGCTACAAGAAGCAGATGTTACCAAGAAGGTACTGCTTCTTGTTGAGACACGAAAATTTGGATCGACGTTCATAATGGGGGACGACATCACGAGACACAACTGGGCAAAAACATGCGGGTGCGGGTAGAAGTTCTGTAGAAAATTATAAACCTAGGTAGTAGGTCATTCCCAAATTAATAATGCATTCTTTCGATCACTACTTGTTACGCAAGCATTTCTTGGCGGGTCTGCACTCTCATGGTCGATTCCAGGAAATCGAAATCACAACTTTGTACTCAATTTCGAGTAGAATGGGGCTCGTAAAAGTGATCCGGTACTGGACAGCATCAAGGTTGCTCTCGCAAGCGTGTCACGAAGTACCTACAAATAGCCTAAGCTAATATTCAGTGAAGATTAGAGGGTTATAATAAATGAAAGATATGTACGTGAAGATCGATAAAAAGACGATTACTTTCTTTATATACCTGGATAGGATAGGATCATAGGAAACAAATCCTAAAACGAATCCTAAAACGAAATAATCCTACCTGAGAGAAACAAATCCTAAAGCGAAATAATGGGATGGACCTTTATGTTCGGCAATTCTCTTTAGCTCAACACTTTTTCATCTCCTGTATCACGAATTCATCATTTTAGGGCTACGGTAAAGGTTGGTAGAGGCTGGTAGAGCTGGTAGAGGCCGTTGCACTTTTCTGCGCTGACGGGTTGCTTTCCTCGGCGTCAGTGTCAGTTTGGGGCTCGCCTTCCGGAGCCAACTCGAGATCAGGAATCGGCGGCGCGAAAGCGTTGCATTTGCGCATTTCCTCCTCCCAGGCAGTGTATTTCCTGCGCGACGAGCTGGATAGCGTTTCGAGGAACTTCTCCTTGGTAAGCTGCGCACGCGGACCGCTCGCACCATTCAGAGCCAGCGCCGTCATTGTGCACTTCATCTGCATGTCCTCCGCATAGTCATATGCTGTCTTCCCGTCAATCGGACTGATCATATCCACGTCGGCACCTAGCTGGCACAATCGGTCGACGCAGATGCGGTTTCCGAAATAGGCGGCGTAGTGAAGTGGCGCCCAGCCCTCCGCATCCAAAGCGTTCGCCAACGGACCGAAGTACTCGAGAGCCGCGACGTTTCCCTTCTGAACTGCGTAATGAAGGACGCCTCGCCCTCTCCTGTCGCGAATGTTGCCGATATCTACGCTCTGACCCACTCGCAAGACGGCGTCGTGAATCTCTTGCGGTGTTCCCCAGCGCACCGTACTCAGCAGTTCCCGAGCAGCCGGGTTGGTGTCCAGATCGACCCACTCTTCTTTCGGCGGACAGTACCAATATGAAGGTGTATCTATCGAAGATGCGAGAATGACGTACAGGACCAGGAGTTCATGATATTAAGTAATAAATATGGTCACTCATTTCATTTTGTTCATATCTTTGTATTCATTTATCAGCCGAGATTAAAAATTTACAAGGCCATAAAATGATTGGGTCGCAGTTCCATGCCTTCTGTTTTGGTTGCACATCTCGCCGCATGACGATCTCCAACGATTTCTGGCGGCGTTCTAGAGTCCCATGCAGTTCTATCAGAGTCTCCCGTGTCAGCTCATCTTCGCCGATATCCTCCTCAGCAATCAGCTGCATTATTCCGTCCAAAGGTCGCGAGTCAATCTGCGAAATGAAAGAGACCCCTCAAAACAACAACAAGCTAAGGAAGAATTCATGACATGACTGAGGCATTGACAAGCAGTGCCACATTCTTTCATTGTAAGATACAAACCTCAACCAAAATGGCTAAAATTTAGTCAAGGAAATCCCGTCTAGGTTCCTACTACAACGTAGACGATCTGCATCTAGCTTTTTACTGATCATCTTCATCCATCCTCCATAATTCCTTGTCTGAACAGATCTAGCTCCTCTAGCCACTCCCGAAAAAATTCCTGCATGTGGTCGAACTCGGTTACACCCTGCTCGTCTTTTTTGCTATTCAGACTTTCGAGGTCTTTAAGTAGTTCCATCCAATTCGTTCCCTCGTCTTCCTCTGGCACTGGCGGCAGAGGCTGATGTGAACACGAAGATGCCACTGTGGTAGCGGTGGTCTCCGAAGAGATCCGAGCTCGGCCTGGATTCCTTCCCGTCGCTCCCTCCTCGTCGTCCTCGGAGGACAACCCATCTTCGTCCGAAGACCAGGCATCCGAAGGAATGCCGTACTGCTCCCCGTAATTTCTCCCTTGTTCTTGTACCTTTATTGGATTGGGAGTTTTCACATGCAAAAGTTTAAAAGTAGTTTGCGGAACGCTACAATTTACTACTGGCCGCAAATACGAGACGATCGACGCACCTAAGAAAAACAGTCTTGAAAGGGAGCTAGCCCAAATGAGAGATAGTAAGTAAGCACCTGTGGTGGCAGTGGATGCATAGGATAAACCTCCTCGACTGCCTCACCCGCATTACAACTTGTTCCTTCAAGGTCCTCGCTCTTATCCGCGTTATCCTCTTCATTAAGGTCACGCGTATGCAGATGCCCTTCTACGGTCTTTGTCTGCGACGCGACTGGCGTCTTGTCTCCCACGCCGTCGACGGAAGCTCCTTGTTGGGCGGCAGCAGGCGTCAGCATTTCCGTAGACGTGCTGGTTGCCGCCATGGCTTTTCGTCAGCCTAAGGGAGTGACAGCAAGCCTTTATCTGCTCTCGGCGTGTGTGCACTTGCTGAGTTTTTCCAACGACTGCTCACCGGCTCCCCGCCATGCTTCTTTCTGATAATCAAGATCGTGGCGCAAAAAGAACGACAAGTGTGCCTACAGCCTTCGCTAGTATTAAATAGACAGCTGTGATGAAACGCGTTCAGCTGCTAACTACTACGTTTTAAAATCATTATTTTTTTCTGTGGGCGATCATATGGAATAAAAAACGCTTATAGTAGTAGACCCCCAAAGTAAAACTGACGAAGAGAAATCCGCATCAAAATATGCTGGCCTTTGCTTACCCAGACTGTGAGTAGGTCATTAGTCTCGTCTAATATCTTCAAGTGTTGAACATGATGAAAGGGCCTAGTGTAAAATACGTATGAAAGAAGGTAAGGCCTACTTCTACAAGAAGGACCTTTCGTCTTGTGTTAGCCATTCCTTACGCTCCTTTTCTACGCATGAGGGAAGGCGTTCCTGGCGATCTTCATTACCTATTCTCCTCCTACTGAAATCAATGCTGAGGTGCAAAAGATCTCGTTGATGCATTCGAAGCATTTGAGCTTTTGCCAAGTCACATCAATGATCACATTCTCGCAGCATCGCATTCAAGTGGAAGACTCATTTGGCGGGTCTGACTATGGATTTTGATTTATTGAGGTCACAAACACACATGATCAAACTTTGTGAAGGACATGGAGCTTTGAAAAAAGAGCCTGTAGGACCACGAATCTGGATTGACGCTAAGCGGCAACGGGTCGCACATTCACATTCGCCACGTTTTGAGCTTGAGCTATGCTGCATTACTTTCATAGTCTTCGCATAGATCTTCAGGTGCCAGCACGGTAATTTTTTTGATAATTTTGATGAACACACAGGCAGCGCTCCTTCTGACTAGAACAAGATGAATATTGCTTCGAAGACGCAAATGCTTGTCGGGATGATGTGAATCGACAGTGAAATATTTCTATGTCCGAAGATTTCCAGTCAGAGCCAGTCTTTCCTGGCGAGCGTGGCACGACGGGTATAATCTTCTATGGTAATCTGTCACATATCGCCATAACGGGGTTGAGAATCGTGACTCAGGGGGTGAGGGTGAAAAACTTTTTGGCACTTATATATAAAGAAGGCAACGTATACATGTCATGTCATGGCACCTTTTTTGTAGCTAAGTATAACTGTCTATCTTTGAGGCCACCCAATGCAAGCAATGCTTTCCCTTTGTTACCAAGCATGCAATGAGGCGTAAAGGTAGTATGTGGTGCTATGCGGAGATTACTCTATTCCGCGAAGCACAGCATCCACATCAGGTCATCACGTAAAAAAAATATTGCGGTATTGTAGCGAAGAGAAAAACGAATAACACGACTTGTTCTGAAGTATTTTCCACCTTGTAGTTGTGGCGTGCTAGTAGTTTAACGTCATCTTAAATTTTTGTTGTGAGTGCTTCAAGAAAACTGCGACCATGATCTTCAAATCAGGTGTATTTCAATTGAATGACGCCGTTGTATTTTTTCGGTTTCTTGAGCGTGACAGCGGCAAGGCCGTTCGCCTCTTGTTCCTCAGCAGACAGCGAATTCACTTTGCGGATGACCTCGGCGCTCTCGACGGGCTTGGTGCCCTCCGCCACGCCGAGTGTCACATGAAAAGGCTCTCCCTTCGGCTTCGCTGAAGGCACCATGCCTAAGTCCGAGTCGATGGAAACTTCTGCACAAACCAAAGTTGGTGACACCACAATCTTCTCCAGTATCACAACCACTTCGTTCCCGTCCATCGCGGACAGCGTCTCGTGCAACCCCTCGAGAACCTGCTCATACAAAGGCAAGTTTATAAGCTACTTTTCCGGCAAGTAGATTTTCAAGTTGTAGATGGTAAAATCAAGGGAAGATTGGGTCACACTGGTGATCACTGTGATTGATGGTCATGGTGTGATCGGAAAAATCGAAATAAGAGATGTCAAAGTTGTCAAAGTCATCGTCAACAACTATTACTATCTCACTCTGAAAGAACTGTCTGAATCATCAAAAAAAATCAAATATACTTCAACGCTGTCCACTCCAGCATTTTGCGCTTCCTCTTCTTCCTGCGTGCCTGCGCCGAAGTAAACTAGCGTCACGTGCGGCTCCTCGATTGGCTTGATATTTTCCGGCATTGATGCGGAGACCATTTTCATGATCTTTTCGTCAACACGAATCTCCCAGTAGAGTCTTTTGCTTTCTTGAACGCCCTCCATCTCGGCTGCTTCCTTCTCCTTCGCAACTCTCTCCTTCTCTTTGCGCTCCAAATTCCAAGCAGTCCAGCAGGCTCGACAGAGACGCGTGTCACGAACCTAGTATTTAGCGTTGGTGGGCTTATGTTTAGGATTTATTCCTCGCTCATGTTGGCGGTGGTGCATCGAACTACAAAACAAACTTTTATGAGGACATTCAACTTTCTTACAAGTACAAAAGTAACTTTAATCTTGAACTTATATATAGCAGTACCTTTGATCTTGCTTTACTCCATATGCGGCCTTGTGCGAGCACTTCCTCTTCCTCTTCCTTCAGAAGTACGCTGGTGATATTCGTGAGGCCATCTTTCACTTGATCCTGCTCCACCTTGCAATGTGCGCATATTTCGCTTTCCTGCACGCCGCGCCAGAGCCGTTCCCGTTGATTCAGGTCATCTAGTGTGCGCAGCAGCTTCTTTTTGAGCTGCTCAGGATCAATCAGGACAAACTTCTTACTGTTGTCATCTTCTGAGGTTTTGTTCTCTGCATCCTCTCCATGAGAATTTCCATCTTTTTTCGCACTAACTGCTTCGCCTTCTTCCTTTTTCGCTTCAGAAGAAGTTGAAGATGTCGCGCCGCCGACTTGCTCACTACCTCCATTTACAGCTGGTGCCTCTGTTGCACCATCTTCTCCAGTTTCTTTTTTCTCAGCGTCCTCCTTATCTTTTTCACCATCTTCATCCTCTCCTGTTGTAGTCTTCTTCCCAGAAGAAGTTGTACTCTTTTTGGCTGCGAAATCGTTCAAAAGCTGCCAGCCGTCTGGCAGAAAACTACGTAGGGCCGTAATGATTTCCGTCGTCTGTCCCACTGGGCTGTATTCGACCGGACAGAAGAAGTACTTTCCCCATCGGTCGCGCTCATTCACCGATAAAAATTCGCTCAAAGCGGCGGACTTGGACACGATATCCAGAGCCTTGCTTTCCGCCTGCAGTCCTGTGCCGGGAAGATGCGTGTAGTGCGCGCCGGCACGTTTTTGGACCCGCTTGGCGCATACGTCAATGTGCTCGGCACTGTACGGTCCGCGGTACACGAAATCGCCATCGGGGCTCTGAGTCTTGGGATCCTCCGCATGAACGAAATCGACGAAGAGTACCTTACTTATTTTGATTTTGAAGGAAACATTTTTAATATTTTGATCTTTTGAAAAAATCATTTCAAGAGAGTTCTTTTTTCTTTTAGTGGTCGATGCTTCATGCAATGCGGAATGAGGAAAGTTGTCCTTATACTTGGTAAATGTCTCCGTAGTCCGTCTGACATCGAGCTTGTCGAGGAGGAGGACAAATTTCCAAATAGAAGTACCTTCCCGCCAGCTTCCTTGACGAACCGCTCCTCAATGATGTCCTCTAGTACATCGCGGTCGTCCTTCAGTTTGTGTACTCGGTCTATGAAGAGAAACCTTTTGCTATCATTTTCCATGGCCTTCTCCACCTCAGTCAACCAGGCAAAATCCAGTGACTCAATTACACCTTGCTTTATTCTCGCCTGGTACTTGTGCACTACCTGCGGTCAAGATGTCGGGGAGGCATTGTGTGAAGATGTCGTTGTACAACTACGGTATTCGCATTCATTCTGTGAAGAAAGTGAGCATGTATCAAAATCTCTCAAATTGTAGATTCACAAAGGTGTAATAAGTCATAACTGATACTACTGATGAACATGTAACAAGTAGTTCTTGCAGTACTAGAAAGCTAGTACTTATACATAGTTACATATTACAAGTAGTACCTCGTCAAAGTTGAGAATATTTCCGCCTAGGACACTTTTGAGCATGTTCGCACAGGTCGTCTTGCCAGCACCCGGAAGACCGCGGAAGATGATGCAGCACCGTTTCTGCGTTTTCGGATCGTAGTCTCGATCAAATTTGTTTCTTTCTTCTCCCCGCTGGTTATTTCGCGCTAGCTTGCGCATGTGGTAGTCGGAGCTAGATGCGCTACCAGCTTGTGCTGCTAGGTCCGAAAACAAGCCTCCTCCTCTGGAAGAAGCGCTCGCTGCTTGATCTCCTCCTTTGTTGCGGTTCCGATCACCTCCAGAAAACAGCGAAGAAGCCTTGTTATTATTCCGAGAGTTATATCCTCCACCTCCATTGTTCCGATTGTTGCTCCGCGACTGCTGGCCTCTACCTCTACTTCGTCGGTCTTTGTTATCGCGACTGTCGGCACGCTTCTCACTGCGGTCAAATCTACTTCCTTCCCGTCGATTACCTCCACTTCGACCACCACTTCCTCGCATATTATTGCGATTACTACGTCCACCTCGAGGCGTTCGGTCGTCGCGCGACCGCGATCTGCGTCCTCGCTCCCCACGAAAGGAGCTGTGGTCGATCTTGATCTGCATGGTGCGTTGACTCGTCTTCGCATTCCCGTCAGAGCCATTTATTTTGTTCTTTATTTCATTCCCGTCGGAACCCGCTCGATCGGTCGCACTTGTTGCGTCTGCTCTTCTGGAACCCTCTGCTCTAGGGCTTCGGTCCCTGGATTTCTTCCGATCACCGGCTCCGGTACTTGATGAAGATGCATTTTTTTTGTCAGGAGCTGCTCCACCCTTGTCGGCCGCTGCTCCACTTGTTCTCCTTCCTCTTGTTCCTTCGTCTTTTGATGTAGTGCGCGCAGCGGAATTTCTCCCACTCCTATCTCCTCCACCTCTTGTATTTTTGCTCGTCTCCCCACCTCTTGTATTTTTATCCTCATCACTTCGCTGTTCCCTTGTACGGTCACCTCCACCTCCATTGTTCCTCGAGGACCCTCCCTTGGAAAACAAACTGCTCTTTCCGCGTCCTTCAGGACTGCTCTTTCCGCGTCCATCACCTCGATTGTCTTTGTCGCCTCGAGCAGGACGCCGGTCATTATCACCTCTCGTCTGTCGATCGCCGTCGCGTCGCCTACTATCCCGAGCAACGCCTCGATCGCCGCCACCTCTACCTCGGACTCGGCCACCACCTCTGCCTCGAGACCGTGATCGCGCCCCACCCATTTTGTACAGAATCAAAAACAGTAAAAGTGGTACAACTCCGATAAAAGAAAATGATAACAAAGTACTATGCAATACTTTTGCTTCTGCTTTTGCTCAATCAGAAAACAACAATCATAAATTTAGAAGCACAAAATGATTCGGGAAAAACGAAGATCAACGACGTTCTTGTTGTTGTTCCCCTATAATAAATTCCAGAGACATCTTTGACCCCTGCAATTGTTACGAAGGAAATTTTTCCACCTCCATGCGAAAATATTCATGACATTTAAGTGCTGCATCTGCATGAGGTTTAATCGAATATAATGATGTGATGTGAATCGATCGTACAGTTGCATTTGCAGAAGAAGCGAACGACGAAGCGGAAGATTCGAGGACGAGGAAAGAGTCTAGGACGGTGACCTAGCTGGAAAGATGAAGATGCTCTTTGTGCATCAGGGGAGCAAAGGAAAGAGCGTGAAGAAGATATAAGCATGGTCCCTGTCTTCCAGGAAGCCCCTACCTCGAAAGCGACCTCTTCTACTTCTTCCGTGTGCGACCCGCAGGAGCTTGATGGAGGCAACGTCGGCGACGACAAAAGTACTCACTCAGTACTACTTGTTCCACTCTGTGGCTGTGGGTGCTTTTCATGTTGTACATGTATTCTTGTGCGTTCGCAGGTGGATTACTGGAGCCTCTTGGTCCTGGAGGCTGGAGCAACAAGGACAACTACTACTTCGATTACTAGTGGAGCCTCTTGGTCCTGGAGGCTGGAGCAACAAGGACAACTACTACTACAACAACGTAATCTACTAAGTGAAAAGTAATATACACCGTGCTGGTAGTGCTTAAATAGTCGACGATCAAAGAGTTCGTTGTACGCTGCTGCGAACCACCTGCTGCTTTGCATCTCAAGATTTTGTTCGTCAACCCTGGACAAAGACACGCAAGGATCGAAGCTGAAAATGACCTGCCTCACTGGTTGAAGCTACAAGAGTGTGCCTAGTTCAAGTTGGGAACGCTTCTGTTTATGCGCAATCGCACACAAGAAAGTGATGAAGCTGACAATCAATCTCCCACGCAACTCTTCATGATCAGCGGCAAAGGGATCGTATTTTTCATGCAACATGATCAGCTGGAAAGGCTGAAGCGTATTGAGGCGACCCTCCACCGGCCGCGGCCCGGCAAGACGACGATGCTACTGCCACTGCCACACACGTTCTGATCATGAATGACTTCGGGCCTACTGTAGTAACGCCTCCAAAACATCGCTATTTATACAGCATGCAGTTGCAGATTGCCCTAGCGCAATAAAATGTTTATTCGTCCCTAACCGGACACATCAATTCAGCGATGCCAACATGGCCGCTGCTCGCGGGTCTGCACTTCGTGGGGTCGACTCTTTCAGAAACAAGACGCGCTTCAGCGTCCGATCAGGACCCCACAAAAGGACCCCACGCAGAACGAATCCTGGAATTCGATATACTTACGCTGAATAAGCTACCGCGCTGCAACTGGATATGAATCAACGCCCTGTTTTTATGTCGCGGGGTCCGTCGCTTTCTGGGCATCAAACGCGCAGGCAATTAAATGGGGAAGAAGTGTCCATTTCCGAATCCGCGATGGCTTGTCGAACTCGATCTCAGTATCAACTGAAAGGAAATTTTCCAGAATTCCTAATAGAGACTACTTTGAGGGTCTAGTGATACAGTCGGATCTTTGCGGTTCAGCTTCTGTGGGGGATCTGCCATTAGTACTATTGGTTCCGTGTCATCCAAAGAGCGTAGAATTAACACTTCGTACTCCTAGAAGCTTATGAGCAGTGCGTGTCTTTTGTTTTCTGGTATTCCGATAAAAGTCGTGTCTTTTGTTTTCTTCTACTTCTTCTTCTAACCCGAAATATCATGACTGGATCTGTGTCTTCTGGTCTTTCCTTCGTTTCTTGAATCTTCTAGACATTGAAATCTCCTCGACCAACATCATGCATTAGAGGATTATTATAGAAAGAACTTGTAGAAGTTTCTAGTTGGCTTTTCCTAGCCTTGGATCAATTTTATGCCGTAAAGATCTTATTCGCGGATTCTGTCCTCGTCGCGGCCCTGCAAGCACAAAGGCTAGATGATCGACGATGCTCAAAAAACAAAGCTAGAAGAAAGGATATGCGGGTACCTGAAGATCATCTTCTGCAAGAAATGCATTAACAAGTGATGTATTCTTTGTAACGTTAGAATTGGATTCTAGCAAAGTAACAGCAGAGAAAATCCGGAACGATAAAGCTGCTCTGCAAAAGCAAAGCAAGCGTACGATTCTCCACAGAGCAGTGTCGTAGCCTAGATGGTGCTACTCCAGAAGTGCTGACACACATAGAAAAATACAAGTTCTTCATGGGGCCTCTACTCAGTTTTCATCTTCACTACCACAAAACGTTTACTTAGCGATACCATCAAGTGGGGGAAAATTAGCCTCTTACAGCACAGGGTACACAGGAGGGTCTTTGCTCTCACTCCTTTTTCATTGGTACTTGCTGTCGCCAAAGATGTGTTTGGTTCAAAATGCACCTCCTTCCGAAACCGAGTTTTGTGCAACTCCCTCCCACTACCGAAGGACCTTCTTAAGTTCAAGCTCAGGGACCTCGATCATGTCAGAGTGCCATGTGTTTTTTTTTCCATAGGTTTTTTTTTTTCCATAGGACTACGTGCTGCCTCCCATTCAACTACTTGATAAAAAAACCCCACTTACTCCATGCAAAGTGCACCTACTCCTATCAAATCCCCTCTCAACTCCCCTCAAAGTCAAGTGTCTCCGATGTGCTGACCACCCATTCATCTTGTTCATTAGTAGACATTAATGCCTTGTGGCAAATGAATCGTACATTTGTTTGCCGTATACTCGCAATGGGAGCAAGAGCATCACAATTTTAATTTCTTGTCAAAAATAGGTATGTGTCCTGATCGACATTCATCAATCGTGTTCTCTTCGTGTGAATGGGTATAATTCGATGTCTTGATCTATGCAATGTATCTGTTCTAACTTCTATGCGATGTCTTGAACTACGTACAACTGCAGAAGTACTTGTTGTATCAAAAGGTGCGCAGCACTGATGTATGTGGTTATTCAAATGTAGAAGGATTTCCGTAACTCGCTTAGCCCTCCGTTTGGAGAAGGGCTGCCCTCAACAATTTCTAGTACATTTCTAGGCTAATACGTTTAGGTACTTTGGTAGTGTTAGTATAAACAAGTTGTAACAATGCGCAATGTAAATTCAAATTTCTGATGTCTATGCAAGGAGTAAGTACCAGCAATATTCGAACAGCTTCTCGGAATCCAAGTAGTATCATAAGTAAGCAGGGCCTACAATATAGTACATTTGAGTAGTTATGGACGAATCTGTAGCTTGGAGAGCAATGGTCTTCCCTCTTTTTCAAACGACTACCACTTGCAGGGAACTAAGAAGCTTTGTTCGCGAAAGAGAATCTTTAGATCTATGAAAACAATCAGGATTTCTACTTACTCCCAGCAACTGCATCAAGTGCTGGTGTGCAGATTAGTAAGCAGTTGTTGTGAATCATTTCTCCCGATCAGCACGATGTCTTGCAACCGATGTGCGGCTACGTCCGGGGATATGGTCGAGCTCGCCTTTCTTTGCGCCGAACCGTCGGTAGGTTCCTGGAGCACTCTCCTCCGACTCCTCTACCTGATTGGCCAATGCTGCAAGCCGTTTCCTCTCCAAACTCGCAACGCGGCCTTCAGTTCCTGTTATTGATTTGGAAGAAATAAAATTAGTGATCGATGTAGGTACTAGAGAAAAAAATGGTGATGTAGAAAAAAAGGTCTTCTAAGTAAATGCCATTTACCTAAATATAAATGTCTTTATCAGTCATGAAAGTAAGGAGTAACCACTAAAAAAAATACCGAAATCGTCCCTTCCAAATTTGAACAATGTATTTATATCAGCCATGAAGAAAGTAACCACTAAAAAAATACCGAAGTCGTCCCTTCCGTATTTGAAATGGAAGTGGAGGATCGCAAGAGCTTCAATCTTCATCACTGCTCGCACCATACGCCTCTGCATAGCGAGTTTTTCTAGGTCGTCTTTTCGTTTCTTACGTTCGGCTAGTCGCTTCTCCTGCTCCTCTAGCAACTGAGCGCGCCTCCTAGGCTTCAGCTCATTCTCAAACGGAATACAACTATCGTCCGAAGAAAACGCTGAAAAAAAGTAAATATAACATTAAACTCACTAGTGGTACCCAATAGAAGCGACCTTTAATAGGTCCAAGGGCCAAATAAAGATGATGGCCGGAAAAATCTAAAAATACCCATGGCAAAAACGGGTTTTTTGCGGCCACAGGATAAAAAGCACAAAAATTTAGGTTCTCTGTTGTTTTTGCCCTGAGCACAACTACTCATTGCTAGGTGACAGATCAATTTCAGGGATACTTAGGTTAGGTTATGAATCCTGCACATCGAGCATCACATGATATCGCAATACGTAGATACACCAAAAGTAGGGTAGTACAATCTTTTTCCTGTCTCTTCCTCTGGATCGCTCGCAAGGCTCCCCGTGTGACTCCGACCCGTAGTTCTGGAGCCTTAGGTGCTGCCGTATTCCATCTTATAACGTCAGCCTGTTCACGCAAGAATATGTCGATGGGCTCTCCGTCCGGCTTGTTGTACCTCGGGACCTTGTGACCCATCCGTCTCACACTCGGGAAAGGTGTATCGCATTAGAAGAAGAGTCAGAGTCTAAGAAAAATTAAAATTTCATGAGGTCTGTCCTGTAAGGTAGACGTGTGAGAAATATAAGACGGGATCTACCGAATGATGGTGTCAGGAAAGACAGGCTGAGTATAGACAGGCTGAGTATAGACAGGCTCAGTATAGACAGGGTTTCTAAGTCGAAGGGATGTACAGATATCTGTGGATATTGCATTTACCCTGTTTACAGGACTCCTGCACTAAAAAACGAGAACAAGTGAGCCGCATGGCATAATGATAGGACATTTTGTCGCAGACGTCCATCATGCAAAGGTCGAAATCGATTTGGTACTGGTCCACACTGTGATCGAACTCGTCCTCCCCAAAAGGGTCCTGCAACATCTTAGCTACTGCTGCTGTAACCATGTAGCCGTACATCCCCACCATGCAGAGGAGGAATTTCCACACCATGAAGTCGAGCAGCGGGTGGATCACAATCGGGATGCGGATTAGACCTTTTTCAAAATATTCACCTACGACCTTGAAGGGCATCTTTCGCTATTGAACCTGCCAAGAAAGATGCTTCTCAAGATGAACTACGGGAAGCCTTAAGAGAAATCCCATCAAAGTACTCAGATTCGTCACGATTTCCGTGAAAGGGGAAGGAAACTCCGTGTTTTTCACCGTCAGAGCAGAATGAAACCGCATCATGCCAGCATTCAGGTTCGTGAAAAGCATATTCAACAGCGGTGGCGGCACGAAGTGACACTGGGCATTAGAAGAACATGAGAAAGAACAGGAGAGGAGGCTCACCTTAAAAAGAGGCAAACTAACCACCTCAAAAACTACAATTTCTTGAGGCAAAGGTCCTTCAATAGCATCTGGCATAATCATGATCAGCACGTCTCAGAGACAACGAGTCCTGCTCAGTCTTTAGAATATAAATAAGTCTTTACAAGTCTTTAATACTAATCACTACTATGCCGCCTTTGCCTACTGGATTGGAATGTTGAAATCATAATGAAAAACCGTCCGGAGAGGAGCATCAGAATCCACGTGTACACTTGTGCCGAACGATCTCTTAGCGGCTCAATACTAGTACCCGCAGCAATCAGCTCTTGTCCTATTGGCTGCTTATTAAAAAAATCTACTGCTACGTCCTCGAGCCACCTGAAGAAAGAAAGAATGGCTCGGTGTGCCGCGTAAAATGGGATTAGGATTGATCTTCTTCGTCTTCATTTTGAATCAACAGAAACTCTGTCTATTATAATCAGAAACTATAACTATGTAGTACATTGAGAGCATGCAATAGAAAGTCCTTCTAAGAGTAGAGAAAGAGGCTCTGCTTTTTCCTCACAGTCGTGTAAGGGTACCAGTCCCCTAAGCTCGGACTTTCGTAGGCGTCCCGCAATGTCTCACAGCACTTGGCATGCAACATGCTCATCAATCCGATCAGTCGCCGACGAAAGATGTAGTGGTCTTTCCCGGTAGTCACCGTGAACTGATCCCAGGTACATGCGAAGAGTGTGCAGAGGTAGAAGTGCGTAGAGAAACCCTCCAGGTCTTGCCGAGAGCTCCACCAACGTGCGTAAGAAAGATTTACGCGAATGACGAGCAAGAACGAGAACGTTAGAAATGCAGGGGAAGCTAGATAATTGCAACAATGAATATAGAAGAGGACAAGCTACATTCCAACAATTGCAACAATGAATATTTATTAGGCTACTACTCTTACCACGTAGACTTCTACTCATTAATCAAATATTTTAAGCCTATAAATAAATATGCCTAGTATCAGTGATTGGCAGTGAACTTTTCCTGTTTCTTTCAGGTTCAGAACTCAGTAATCTAATTATCTAAAATACTTAGATTTACAACCATAAAATCACACCGGAAAATATACCGAACTTATATAAAATACTTAGACTCACAACCATAAAATCACACCGGAAAATATACCGTACTTATTTAAAATGTTTAGATTCACAACCATAAAATCACACCGGAAAATATACCGTACTTATTTAAAATACTTAGACTCACAACCATAAAATCACACCGGAAAATATACCGAACAGAGCTGGCGGAAGCTTCAGTGTCTCCATGAAGAAATTTGGCTCGATTGGGCCAATACCAATGAACCCCACGTCGTAGACATGCAGGAATAAGCTCCAGGATGCGACGAGAACAGCGGTAAAAACCACGTCGGAGTACATTCTTAGAGCTCACGCAAAGACATCTTCGGTTCTTTTCCTCTACGAGCTGGGAGGACAGTTCCTAGAAGACGTTTCAGAATACCCACCTGTTGTAGTGTATGAGGATGAAGTTTTTGTTTTTGATGTTATACCCTCCTTCTTCTAGGGTAAAAACAAGTGCCCTTAATAGACCCTTCTTTAGTATAAAAAACAAGTGTCCTTAAGATGTCAAGCCAGTGTTGGATGTTACGAAAGGCAATCCGAAGTTTATCTTCCCACGACAATAGAGGGTCCATCTCAACGGTGTTGGTGGAGGCCCAGCGGGAACGAAACCAGGCAAAGCGTTCATCCATCCACTTATTAGAGCAGAACAGAGGAGAACAAGTGATGTATTCTCTTGAAGTAAGGAGGCTACACCAGCTAGTTGTAAAGGAGAACAAGACACAAGTGATGTATTCTCTTGAAGTAAGGAGGCTACACCAGCTAGTTGTAAAGGAAAACAAGACACAAGTGATGTATTCTCTTGAAGTCTTCCTTACAAAGAATACATCACTTCTTCTAGCGAGTTGTACCACGTTCGCATCTTGGCTTCCCTCAGGAGTAGACCGTCACCATTCATTCTTGGCTTCTTTTTCAAGTAGAAAAGGAGGACACCAACTATATTATAGGATCATGCTGCTCCTGAGGATGCTCTCGAACATCCTTCCTTTCATCTTTCAAGCGGAAAAAGAAGATCCCGCCAAAGAAGGAAATTCAAATTTATTCTAAATAGATGCCAAAGGATAGAAACCAGTTGAGGTAAAAATGCGTAGAGATTCAAATTTATTTGGGATAGAAACCAGTTGAGTTCGTTGTTGTAGAAGCCGTAATCTCTTCGCGGGTCGGCATGTACGCTGCCCCTGTCGTCAAGCACTTACCTAGCGGTCCCTCTGGATCAATCTGCTCGGTCGTGTAGATCTTTTTCACCAGCAGTTCTGCGGGCGTAGCTGGTCGTGCGGCACTCCGTGTGGCACCACCGTGTGCGAGAGCGTTAAACACTCCTTACTTTAGAACATAATTTAAATGTAAGTAGCAGGAGTAGCCTGTAGGTTTAGAACATAAAATTTTTAGAAAGAGTATGTCATTTTTGAAAATAAGAGGCTTCTGAAAGAAACAAACCCACTTGAACTGTTTGAACAAAAAAAAAATAAGCTTCTCAACAAGATACTTATAAGCAGTAAGTAGATGGACTAATATATGTGAACAAGCCGTAATTGCTGCATCGATCGGCCCAGCAGCGCTTCTTCCATCATCCGACCTGCTCCAGTATCCGCAAACATCGAGGAGGACCCACGCGTGGCACGGTACCTCTCTGATGTCACCTCCTTCTCCAAATCCATCAATGTCTTAGTCCGAAAACCATATCCTCCCTTGCGCATACCTTGTTTGGTTTCTAGCATATTATTGTCGGTGTAGTAGTATGCAGTCACCCTCATGCGTGGGGTATAAAAATTTATGATCTTTTATGCTCAGAAGTTACACTTACAACAATTTACTTGAAGAGGTAGAGGTTAACTTCTACCGGCTAAGTGATTCACCAATTTACTTCTACCGACTAAGTAATTCACCGATGAAAAATTCACGTATACTAGGTCTCGCCCCGCCTTCGTTTTCGGCAATCTTTCTTGCCAATTCTTCGTCATCTTCTCCCAATTGTTCAGCAATCTCTCGACTGTTCCCGAGACGTGAGAAGACTTAGACCTCTTCCGAATTCATCCCCGTGGAAATCCCTCAAGCGTATGCGTGGGTATTCGTTCCCCTTGTAAGTATTGGGGCGCATACGGTTGAGGGATGCCTATCAAGATGGATTAGCGGTAGCCTTAAAAGACATTGCCATGTTTCTTGGCTGCGCTAACATCTCCCTTCTCATCCACGAAGACTGGCTTGGCGTCTCCCTCCCCACCACGCGGCTTCATACCCTGGGGGTGTGACACGCCACCCATGCTCTTCGTTGACACATCCCGAGCAGGAGGCTTCCGCCCTTCTAGCTTAGAGGGATGTGACTGATTTTTTGAATATTATAATTGATTGGCGAACTAATACTGTAATTTTCGAACCTTTGTTTTCCACCTAGAAATTCTAGATGATCGCTGTAGGAGCAGACCCAGTAATTAATATGCCCCTAAACCTATTCAACAAAAAATCTAGTTGTATTTACTACTTCCTTGGTCATAGTTTTCGCAGCATCTGCGTCGTCCTTCTCTGTCAAAACGATGCCTGAGGTGTCGCTGCGGCAGCTCGCTGAGGTCACTATGTCTTCGTAACTGTGGGGCGTGAGAAGTACGCCTCCTTGCTCGTGTGCGAAATGATCACCCTCGCTTGCTAAAAACCGATCCAACAAATCGTTGTCTCTATCATGTCCACGGCGATTGTGGCCTTGCTGCGGAGCTTGAGGATTCGGGTCATTGTCGTCGTAATCCTGCATCTCTATCGAAGCCGTGGCATCCTCATCAAAAAAACGCTGGTTCGAATCAAGCATCTGATGGAGATAGTAGCGGCTGCGGTCGGTCGCCGTAATTCGTCCTTTCGTGCCGCGCGCTGGCGGTCGCATGTAAGTCGTGTCAAAAACTTAGAACTCTTTGAACTTTTCCCCGATACTACTTACTTCGTTGGAAGGGCTAAGCCTTTAGAGGTAAAAACTCACCGGTGGGTTGTTTTATTGCAGTGCTTTGAGCGCCGCTGGACCTAAACCCCAACCTTATCAAAAGGAAGAAGCCAATCTAGATTCGCAGCACTCAAAAATTAAGTTTAAGATAGACCATCGCGTCCTACAAATTCATCAAGGGATCAGCAATGTAAGTAAGTATGACGATATTGAGAAAAAGCTTCGTCTTTCTTAATAGCCCACTGGTAAGACCCGACTGGCGGCAGGTTGGCTGGCTAGTCTGGAGTCCGGGAGGTTATTTCCCCCCTCGGCGTTCCCACCGACAGGCTGTTCGTTCTCCCCACCCGTTTTTGAAAACCACCACATCGTTTTTGAAAACCAGAATCAGGACTCTTCTCTTGATCCCATGGAACACATCATCTGAAGACTGTGCTGAGTCTGAGAGGCGGACCTTCGCGGCTGTTGGCGGACCTTGAGGCTAGAGGAGATCAATAAATGAGGGATCGTCAACGACGAGTAGCCATTGTCGAAACCAGGTTTTCAGCTTTCACGCTTCTCAGTACTTCATAAGACGGTGATGCACGAATTGGCATCAAGCCTCCACAGTGCTCACCAATACTAGTACAGCAGGCTTTTGCACCAGTACGAGTCCGCGCAATCATGCCAGTGGTTACGACCACCACAAACAGGTACAAGATTTACGGGCAGGCACACGACATATTTGTTTCTTGACATCCACTACATCTGAGTGAGCTTTGCTATTGCGAGCATCCTAGACAAACTGACTAAGCATGAGTCTCTATAATCATCTAAGTGGATTCTTTTTCTTGCGCAAGTAAGAAGCAAAAACAATATACCGACGTACTACGATTATCTATTCGATTTCGACGTAGTTAGGAAGATAAAATGACCAAAAGAGAAGTAAATAATATGAGTAGCCTATTCATCATAGTGACTGATGACTACTCCTAGATGAAGATACAAAAAAAATCTATTTACCGGAATCATTGTCGCGTGGGAGCGTCAACATATGATGAAGTTGAAGAGTGCCAAGATACTAATAATAGTAAGGTGGACCGACGAGTCGAAGCCCAAAGTACTGATATTCGTTTTACAGCAACTGAGAAACAGGTACAGCAAATGAAAAACGATATTAATAACTTATGGAGTGGAGATCGTGGAGGTAACGGGTCACAAGGGTTAGTCAGTGTGGGGTTACGCGCTTCGAGAGTTGGCCATCCTGTTATTGATACAAAGCAGTCTCTCAAGTGGACTATACCGATTGAACTTTTCTCTCGTCTTCGTTGATCGTACAACAAGAATGATGAAAGATCAGAAATGAAAGATAGTGAGTCTGTTCTTGGGACAGCAGGTGGAGGTGGACCGACTAGAGCAACTGGTGGCGAGCTTTGAGAGTTACGTGCGACGCTCGTTCTCACTCGAACACAATGTGCACAACTCTCATGACTTCCTCCATACCCTCTCGTTGTGATCCCGAGAGGACACCTTTTCTACTCTCTGTCCATCTCCTCTATATTATACCTACTTACGCTCATCAAGGTCCTAACATCATAGATATCTGAACTCGTGCATCGAAACAGAACGAGAACACTCGTCTGATACATATCACGACTCTATATCGGAGTACGATCGGCTTGCCGTCTCCTCGGAACTGGAAATCCAAATCGAAAAAAAATCGAATGAATAAAAATATCAATTTATGGTATTACAGTGTGTAACAATCGTCAACCTCTATGGTATTTCAGTACTTCTTTTTCTTCATCTTAGATCTTGCGTTCCTTTTTTGCTCAGTGCAGTCTTACTTAATGAGAACGAAAGCATACAGAGTTATTTGCACATCTCGTAGTTGAGACTTTGGAAGAAGAGGCCAGGCCAGACCTGTACTTGGTCTTACCAAATGTCAACTAGGACCGGCAGAGAAGTAGGGTCATTAGTGAGGAGTTTGTTCTCCTCCAGTCCCGCTACCAGTCGTGAAGTGACGTGGTCCACCATGGTAGAAGACTGACTTGGAGATAAACAACCCGAGATAACTCGACCTTATTACTCTTCTCATAATCAGAATGTTGATGGCCTTATTGTTATTGTTCGTTCCACTAGGATGTGGTTTGAACTAGCCTTATTAGCATGTGTGGGCACAAGCTATCAGCCTCCCACTTTTTGTGTGTCATCAAGAACATTCAGTCGCATTCTGAATCTGACGAACTCGAACTAGAAGTACTTAACAGGATCGCTGCAAGGAGTTCACCAGCAACATCTTTCGCCCAGTTTTGTGCTTCTTGTCTGGTTAGGTCTTTGGCCCGGTAGGCCCTAAGCTGGGGCCCCTCCGCATTACTATCATATCGCATTACTTGACTGTAACCAGCCCAATGAGCGCCGTTACCCTCCAACACGATCACGTAATAGTCCTTTTTCACCTTCTTCTTTTTACAGAATGAATCTTCAGAATTCCCACCTGTTTTTTCTCCTGCGCCAGCGTGTTTTCGTCCTCCGACAACTGGATAGTGCGTGTCTTCGAATTCTTTGAAAAATTTCTGGGAAGGGTAAATGAGATAATCTCTGTGCTGGTCCAGTTCTGATTCTGAGGCAGATGCCCACTCAGTCAAGGCCATGCCCCAATCCGCATCCTCACGCAAAGGTATTCCATATTTCTTGCTCAAAATACGGAGGGCCTTTAGGTCTGAGTCACCCATGAGGAAGCTATACCACCGCGCCAATCTCGTTCCTTGCAGTGCTAGCTTGTTATAGAAAAATCCCTCCACTTTGATGTTGGAGCTGCCTTCTTCACCAAGAACGTTTTCCTCTTTCATATTGTTCATCATGCCCTTGCCATTGCCAGCTCCTGCGCAAGAATGATCTAGGAGCTGATTATGATTTTCATCGTAATATTGAAGATATTTCCTGTTATATTTCTCTACCAAATGGGTAGCAAGCCCAGGCACGGTTACTTGGTCCTCTTGGAACTGCACGTGGCGCCATAATGCGAGCCCGTTACAATGTGCCAGCGCAAGAAGTACAGAAGCGTCCTCTTGTTCCGTATCTACAACTTTCGAGGCCTGCTTCCAAAACTCGCCGTTGTTATATGCGGTAGCGAGAGCCTCAACATGATTCAATGGTGGAAATTGCCACCACTTGAGACCATAGTAACTAGAACCTCCTGGACGAGGCGGCTCCATTGTCAGCTCGTGCTTCATCGATGTTTGAAGGTCAAAAAGCTCTCCATTTTTCGCGATCTTCCATGAAGCAACACCACCGACATACCGTCGAGGTCGACCCTGCGACTTCAGTAGAGGAGGCAGGTCCAGGCCGAGAGCACGGTGGACGGCGTTCTCTACAAGTATCATATCTTCGTCTTTTGCGCGAAGGAGCGCTCTTTCCCTGTCGTCCCGTTGCTGCTCTTCAGCGAATTGGAGATATACCGAAGTACATGGCGAACCGCGGCTGTCACTGCGACGTTTCCATTGCGGAACGGCGCGAAAGGATGTCCGCGGACGAGAAGATGTAGTCTTGTTTTTATCTTGAACTTGAAGATGAGACACAGGCTGCCGAATCGTCCAATAGAGGTCCACATCTTCATCGTGGCCAGCGGCATCATCATCAGGAGCACCTCCGTCTTTTCGTTGCACATCAACTTGCTCGCCGTACTTCTGGGTGAGTTTCTTGTCGTTGACAAGAAGCTTCGCCAAGTCTAAAGGCGCTGTCTTCAATCTAGTCGCTAGATCCGAGAAAGGGAATCCTTCTGCACAGACCTTTGGGAGTCTGTGATTCCACTGGATTCGATCCTCTTCTTGTTCCAGGAGTCCAAGCTCGCTGTCTCCAAAGATTTTCAGAATCTTCTTGCCCTCACCTTCGAGCTCTTTGAACAATAATGAGCGAGCTATTACCTTTTCAACTTCTACCTTATTTGCCAATGTAGTAGGAGTCGAATTGTTGTCAGCGTTTACATCTGCCAATGTAGTAGGAGTCGAATTGTTGTCAGCGTTTACATCTGCCAATGTAGTAGGAGTCGAATTGTTGTCAGCGTTTACATCTGCCAATGTAGTAGGAGTCGAATTGTTGTCAGCGTTTACATGTGCCACCTTAGGAGTCGAAGACGAACGGAACGACTCTAAAAAAGGAGCAGGACTCATCCGCATCAACAGAGAAGGAGAAGAAGAAGTTGTAGTTGTTGTCGAAGTGGAGGTAGCCGAGGAAGCTGTACCTCTGTACTTTGAGACTTGCGAGGGATACGTACTCGCGTTCGAGAGGAAGTTGACCAAGCCGTGCCTGTAGAATTCTTCGACTTCATCTACTTGCCCGGAGAGGTATTGGTGAGCGATGAACGCAGCTCGTGCGCCACAGCTCCCCTCCATGCTGCTCTGTTTGAAAACGTTTCGAGGCATATTCCGGATTTCCTCTTCCAGTTCGCGATCTAGCTTCTTGTCTCCGTGAACCGCGGAAGGAACGTCTGTAAATCTACGCGAAACCCAAGCCGCGACCGCGTCTATTGGTGTCGCGTCTATTGTGTTGTGATGTTGGAGCCGTTCGCGTGCAGTCAAGATCTTCCGCTTTAACTCTTGCGCACTCTCAATTCCTATTCGTTCTGGCTGCAACGCGGGGAACCTTAACTGTGCTGACAGAGATGAAGGGCCTTCCCCTTCTTGCTCTTGAGAGGTGGCAACCTTTTCTCCGTTCGTCTTCGAAACAGTCGCATGCTTTCCCGCGAGGAGCAACGAACTCCCGGAAACGACCTTCACAGCCAAGAACTGCTTCAATGCGAGTAACATCTTTCTTTTGACTCAGGATCTTCGATGCACAACAAGAAGATGTTGTACAATTATAATAAATATTTTTTATATACTTAATCAGGGATCCTCCTGATCAATAATCATAACTAAGAACTTAGATACCAAAGCTTGCTTCTAACACGAGTTCCAAAACAAAAGATCAAAAAACTTGTCTTGAGAGAGAGAAAGCCAAAAAAAAAAGCTGTGCCAATTGAATGAGAATGAAGGATGAATGTTGAAAACATCTCGAATGTTGAAAACGATCTCTTATAAGTGAGTAGTTTTTCCTCCGTCGGATTTACTCAAGAAAGACTGGTAAGACTCTCTTCGATGTTGATCTTAACCAGTCCAGGAGCTAGTTGCGTCGAACTGGTCCAGTTTTTAAGCTCCTTCTATATTTTTTTTTGATGCATATTCATTGATCTCATCTCTTACGAATCGATAGGACTACGATTTTTGTTGACACTGATCTTCTCTACTTCCTTCGGTGTCTGTTCTGTTGCGATGATGTACAACTATGGCGGTAAAGATTTTCGCGATTTTCATGCTCTTTCTCTTTGTCCCACTTTTGGATCTTCGTCTCCAAAGTTCAGCCTCAACGTGTCACTCCCAGTCCTCCCAAATGGGACGGGATGGTTCATCTCGTTAGCTGCAATATAACTCACAACATTTGGGTAACATATAAATTTCAATTATTTACCCCTAACAGGTGAAGCTGTTCTCCAGTCTGCAGGAAGCTGTCCTACTAGCCTCGTCTCAGGATACGCGTAAGCTGTTAAACCGTTCGTGATAAATATTCCCTTACCTTGTTACCTTGTCCGATCTTCCCTACTTACCTTCACAGCCAAATCAACACAAGACAAGGCTAGAACCTGGACGCTGCCGCATAACCCAATCGACGATAGGAAAAACTACCGAGATAACCAACAATCGAACCACAAGAGCATTAGTCGAGAGGAACAACTCACGAGAACAAACAGGCTAAAAAACAAACGATCTAGCCTGCATCCTTCGTTCAATGCTCTGCAGCACGAAACAATCAACTTCCAATAAATTTCACGAGAACATTTCAGACGCAACTACAAACGAAACTGAAACCATTCCAAAACGATATCAAACTACTAGCCTCACAATGTACACGCTCATGGATCTCCCAGTGCGTGAAAAAAAACATTGAATGTTTGTTGTGTCGCCCTACTATACATCAGTTGTCATGCGTGAAAATCCTCCTTGCTGTATTATACTTTCTGGCATTCCTACTAATTACATGAAAAAGAAAATGACTAGCACGGCGTGTTCACCATTAATTATGATACTTATGCATGAGATTTTTACCAAAATAGAATCTATGTCACAACACGACTGAAATATTTCCGATCCAACATCTGTGTATTTTTACAACCTGATAGTCTATCTGTTTAAAATCAGCTTCTACTTCTTCTATAATATTGTAAGCCTCCGTATTCTTCATCTTGGAAAAAATCTTTATCTTATAAATTCTCAGTGATTTATATGGAAAGCAAAGATAGTCAAGTTGTGCATCAGTACTGTCTAGAGGGCCAGTCTGTACACAATAATACACTGAAAAATGTTTTAACGATATTCCTCGTCGTCGGTGCACGCCAATTACGAATACATTCGATCGATCTCTGCCTTGTATTTGTCCGTCACGAAGCCACGCAGTCTTAGATGTGGTCGCTGGTGGGCCATCGCTGAGCAATCGCAATTCCATCACAGAACTGACACAACATGGAACTGCTAAGCGAGAGAAACTTCGAAATGCTCGTCTCGAAAGATGCTGTTCATGATTCCACTTAGTCGTCTAATTCTAAGACACATTTTTAAGTCTATAAGTACACAAGTTGTACACTGTACAACTTGTGTACTTCTGCAAAAAAATTCTTAACTTCAGCTTCAGGGTTGGGGTCAGCTCTTCAGTCGCAGCAGAAAAATCGCGACCCAGAATCGCAAATTTCTGGATCTTGCAGGTGTTCTTAGAGCAACGCTTTTCGTGATACAACAAATGGAGTTGTAGGTTCCTCGTTAGTGTCGCTGTCACCTGTCGCTGTCCCCTTGAAAACCGGGGCACACCCATGGGGATTGAGGTGGAAAATTTACAGTTAGCTACTTTGAGACTACGACTCTAGCACTGAAAACCTGCGATTTCTCTTGATCAAAAAAGGGAGGCTTTCACTATCAACACTACCAAGGCAAAACGCGGAATCTCATGCGGATTCGACACGATTGCGAGCTTCCAAAAGTTTCAACTTTTACAGAAAAAGAGAACCGAGCTTCTTACGCTGTCCAATTTTGGACAGGACTAGTACACGCGACGCCCCTTTTTCCCATGTTTTCAAGGGAGAACTACAGAAAAAGAGAAACAAGCTTCTTATACTGTCCAATTTTGGACAGGACTACACGCGACGCCTCTTTTTCCCATGATGTTTTCAAGGGAGAAACTTCCGCTCTCATGAAGATGAATGTCGAACACGATCGAAGATCCCTCGACGCGTGCCTTCTACCAGCGGACGAGAGACCAGCACCACATGGCGCGGCAGCATACCCAGCTAAGTGAGTACCTGCTAGGACTTACGAGAGAAAGTCCAGCGATAAAAAACTCAGAGAGCGAGAGGCAAAACCCTCAGTCGGCGACAGCTTGGAGAGATCGGGACCGCCTCAGCCTCGAGCAGGAGTTTGCTCTAGACATAAGCACAAGGCCGCTCAAGCAAAAGAGACCCACAGCAGAGCCCCTAGGCGTCATAGAAAGAATGGCCACAGCGACCCTCCGTCTTAGAGGTCGACCACCCGCGAAGCAGAAAGCCACGCCGCCTTGCAGGTGAGCGTAAGCAAGTAACGACGCCCAAGACACAAGCCAAGATAAAGCGAGGCGGAGGAGGAGCGTCGCAGCATGAACAGAGAAGCAGCCCAAATACCTTAAAGCGAGCACGACATGACCTAATACTTGCCCGCTTCACTTGTGTGCTCTTCCAGCCATAGAATCTAACCTGAGCGCACGCCGATAAGGCGCAGCGGAAGACGCTGCAAGGCATTCAACAGCTCGAAAAGTTCCTGCGCAGATAGCTATCCAGATACTCAACATTTTTGCAGTGATGTGTTTGCGAAGCGAGGAACTTCAGCCACCGAGCCCACGCAAGAGGCTACCAGAGCAGATCGCTACACGCATAGCCATGCCCCTTGTCATGTCGCGCCACCTCTTAAGGCGTCACTTTTGAGGCCATTTAGCCTTCGCGCACCTCTCTACTCGAATCCACTTCATCGAAAGAATAAGAAGTGCACGATGATCAATAACAACAGCACTCGCCAATGATGTCCATATTGTTCCTGGGGTGAATTTCCTCAGTTTCATGCGGCAAAGTGCCTTCCTGTGATCACATTGCTCCTGTGACAAAGTTCAGGCTTTTCTTGTGATAAAGTTCAAACTGTTCTCGTGATAGAGACTGACTCCCAACCCCTTTGCTGTAGTGGCACAGCTGCCCAACCGAGATCCATCTTTGCTAACATTCGAGCGAGCCCACCCCCTGCCCCTGTCCGAATTCCGCTGGTTTACGCAAGTCGCTTCGCCTCCAAACTTCCGCAAACCAACGCGCACCACGCCCAGCCACCCGGTTGCTTCATGTTAGAAAGATCAGCGAACTTCTGTCACGAGCACAGTGAAAGTAAATGTAGACGCAGAGCGAGAACACCAAGCCACGGACGGACTCACTGGAAATACATAGCCGCTACGCTTACTGTTTAGAGTTCTAGCATCTTCACGCTGCCGTAGGTCGCACCCTCAACGACAAAGCAGGCCACTCATAACTTATCAGATGCGTCAGCGCTCTCACCCTAGACGCACCAACCAACTGGAAACGCCTCCAACCTTGCCCGCCAGACTAATGGCTTCAGCGTCGGGGCGGTCAATCTCCACAGCAACGCGCTGCAATTCTTTCAAGAGCGCCATCTTCGCCAAGTCCTTGTCGCCATCATATCGCTTCAAGCAAAATTGGAGGCGTCTGCCAATGAGAGTCAGCCGCGAGAAGGATGGTTTCTCTTCAACATACACACAAGGACCAAGAGGCTACGCCTGCTTCTCAGCCAGTCCATGGCCCTAAAAACCAACGACAAAAAGTCTAGACGTGCTCCAGAAGCCTGTAACTATGCACCACCCAAAAGGCTAAGCAAGTAATCCAATCCACACAAAGCTCAAGACTTTCTAACTGTATTGCTGCCCTACAGCTCCACGGAGTCAAGTCATTAGTCAGAGACGAAAGACTTCATAAGACTACGTAGGTCGAGGATTCTACTACAACCACTGCACTTTATCGCTCTTATTTCAGCAAGAGAACAACGGCTACCGTTAAAGAATCCAGACACTAACGCAGACCGAAGCCAAACTCAAATAACTAAGCTTCGTCTTTTAGTGCAACATAGTCCGGGCGCTATCCCTGACCAGGTAAACGAGAAGACGAACAAGAACGGTTAGAGGCAAGATGATGGCATAACTATAAAGAAATAGATGAAAAGGCCTAGCCGCTGCCGCAATAAGATGAGAAAGCGGGCGCTCTGAACGAGGGCCAATAATTGTTAGACGTAGAGTTTCAACACTGGAGCGGCTGCACTTGTCCAGCTCCTGCGTAAAAAAGAACGAGGGCCACCGCCTGGACCAGGAGGGAGCAAGTACATCAATCACTTCTATGTCTATGTCTAAGCAATGGAGCACATTTCACTTTTTCAGCGTCCACAATCCTGCACGTGAACGGCAGCACGCGACCCGTGGCAAGGTGTTAGAGATGACTAAAGAAGCAGGAGGCTCCGCTACTTTATCAAGCCCGAAGCGGCTCCGGGCTATCATAATTCTGAGCGACAACGACAAGCCTCCCGAAATGGTCACTCGATTTCAAGGCGGTGCTGCTTGAAGTTAATTGATGAAGCCGAGGCCGAGGGCCCAAACGATGCCAAAAAAGTGCATCGCTACGACTACGAGCAAAAAAGCTAAGGAAATGACATAACTTCATCACGCTGCGCGCGTCGCCGTGTGCCCAATCAAACACGTTACGGACATGAGGAAGATACTTGTCTTCTCTCTGCTCGATGTAAGCGCTGCCAGTTTTCGTCGGTTCCTGCTCGCGATATTTTCGAGATGCATGACGAGCAGCAAGCCGCGGCTTGCTCTGCTGGGCCTGGGTCATTAATCCAAGAACTTGCCTCGTAGCAACGTTATCCGTGCCTTGCGTGCCGCCAGAACCTGCTGGCTTCCCGTCAAGCCCTCCGCCTTGAGTTCCGACCTCATAATGTGCTTCGTCATCATCGAACAGGCCTCCGCCTCCTCCATCAGCAACCAAGAACGAACACGAAAGAAAGGCGGCGCGGAGATAATGGCGAATAGAAGAAAGAGTAAAGGGGAACCGTCTAGGAGGGTGCCCCCATGTGGAAAGCCCGAGCAAATAGTGCCTAACTGTTCAAAGAAGGATAATAGTAAATATATGCTCAGCGTTAAGTATCTACAAGGCTGAGACTACTAGGGCCCGGGGCCGGAGGTGCTTACGGTGCTACAAAAAACTCGCCACAGCTATAGAGTGCGTAGTATGTAATGGACAGCAGTACGTCAGAGCGACGGGCACACTCTACAACAAGCTGCGACAGGTGAACCGCAAAAACAGCCACACCTTGCCAAACAAGAACAGAGCGCCACGGCCTAGCATTCTGAGTGCAATTAATTGTATACGGATGGCTAAAAGCCATCAGAATCATGATCAGGCCAAAGCTAACTTTTAGACATAGGCAGAAGATCAGACAAGCCGCGCCTTGAAACTCATATAGTGCGCGCCTCTGAAAGGCTGACCCGCCTGCTGCGCGTCTTCTCATCTTCAGCGTTACACTTAGCCCCACGCATAAACTTTGCCCGCTTACACCTGGAGCCGGTGGCGGTTGATCCAGGAAAAGACCAAAGCCACCCCCATCAGTCGGCAGTAGGGCATGGCCTCCAAATTCCAACCAGCGTGCAAATTTCCGCGACCCTTAGAAGATTGCCACTACTACTACTACTACGGAGGAGGAGCGACATACTAACAGACGTGACCCCCTATAAGCTTGCGCAACTTAGATAGTCAAGAATCTTACTCCGCTAGAGATGAAAAAAGTAGAAGGGCCCCTATCACAAGACAGAGAGTTTTTATATGAATAAAACTCAAACACGGAAGGAGCGACCTAGAAAATATTAGACACCACTGCCAGGCCTATCACCTCCACAACTCAACGCCAGCTCTAGCAACTGCAACTCTAATGCTTACAGGTGGCAAAACAAAATAAACCCTACCAGGAGCAGGCATCCTCTACCCGTACACAACAAACGCAGCAGCTTACGGCTAGCCGAGAAAACGAAAGGAAGCCACGGCCAGCAAGTGCAAGCGTGGAAAAAGCGCCTACTTTGAGTAGTTCCATGATGTATACTCTTTGCCTTTCCTTAATGTTCTGCGCAAGCGTCTTGGGTGAGTATCAGGCTGCGAATCGGGCCGAAACAGAAGCCAGCCACTGATCCAATTCAAGTAAGCGCCAGACTTGATCGAGCTCAGGTCGAACGTCTCGACTTTAGAAGTGGGGTCCTCACTGATTATAAGTCAACGCCTAAGCCAACGACAGCAGCAAGGGCCTGCCTTGCTGAAGCCTTGCAGGTAATCGCGGCGGTCTTCCGACTTCATGCCAGCCTTTGCCATAACTTCCTCTCCCTCCTGCAAAGGTCTCCCTATTGCTCTCCGAAGAGCCGTCCGCAAGTCCTGGCATCCGTAAAGCCGCTGCCGAACTAACGGCAAGAAGCAAGCAAACACGTAGGGGACCCAGGTCGCGAGAGCGCTTCCGAGCACCTCACGCGTGCCTTCATACTCGTCGGGGGCAGCACCGTCCGGCCTTGGCTCAAAGAGCTCCCGCAACGCTGGCGGCACGCGAGCACCTTGCTCGGCGTCTGCAACCAGAAACGTCTCCATTCTGTTGCCACCTAGTCGGCCCAGTTCTTGCTGTCTTGGCACATCTTCGCTGAGGACGGTGCCGAGCAAGACTGCGGCTGCGCCTGTAGGTTGCTCAGCGCTCACGACTGCGGCGCCACCAGATGAGGATCCGGATGCACCCGCATCTGTCGGCTGGCGGTTGAAGGTGGCTCCTGGGTGAACCACGAACCTCGCGCGCCCTGCTGTGAGAGCCGCTTTCTGCGTAAAGTCGTCCATGGATATGCTCAAAGTTCCATGGAACGCGTCCTCCATCATCGACCGGCACCGCAAGCGCCTCAACAAGAGAAACCAAGCCAGGTGAGCCATACAGCGGTCTCGCTCGTTTGTGACTGATAGCCCCTCGTCCCTGCTCTTCGTTGTTGCTCGACTGGCCTCAACAAGCGGCGAGTACTCGTATGACCATTCCCAGCCTGTTGCTAAGACGATTAGGTGTAAGCTGATGCAAGAACTGATCTGAAATGCCGACTGGTGAGGTGGGTGTGGGCTGATTTCCTAGCGGTAACGACTAGGCGCAAGCTGAAACGCAGCCGGCTAAGACTGACACGACCGAAAAAAGACAACGCAAGCCGAGACCTAGAGCGACTAAGCAAGAACACGATAAGCAATAACCACAGCCACCCCCTTGGCGCTTGCACACCACCCAACAACAACAAGAACGAAAACGAAAACAAAACGAGCAGAAAAAAGAACCGACAAGAGACACACCAGGAAGCGCGACTGCCCACGACGCTGGAGCCTACGATAGACAAGAACGAAGCCCGCCGCGATACAACTACAAGCACAACAACGAGAAAGAAGAAGAGCCGAGCCGCCCTGGTGGTATCCGCAGGCAGCGGCCTACCCTGCATGCTGGCGGAGCAAATGGCACGACATTGCCCGGCCATCATACGACAGAGACAAAACAGCCCGAAACATAGGGCAGAACCAGCAAAAACCTCGAAGATGATCCAAAGACCCCAAACCAGAAACAAACCAAACAAAAAGCACGAAAATATGGAGCACCCAGCACCACGCCCCTATGACACTCTAGGTTTACGAGCTTCTGCGGCTGGTCCATGTCGCTGTCCATGTCGCTGTCGACGCCGATGTCGATTTGCGAAATTTTCGTCAAGGGAGACTTGCGAAATCGCCGTCGGGTGACCATTTTCGCCATTATTTTCTGCCATTCTTCACCGCGTTGCCCCTTTCGGAACCGGAATGCTTCGTCTCGATGTCTCTCCGCTCAGATGACGCGGAGCGCCAAACTCGAAGAGGCTACTGTCTACAGCTGGCCGGCGCTGTCTCCTGCGGTCTTGCCACAGCGGGCAGAAAGAGCGCGACGCAAGCAGGCACATTTCTAGCACTCCCGGCTCGCGAAGCTTTTCAGCTCGGACCTGTCGACCTCCGGCGAGTGTCTTCGAGAGTTTCCCGGCCAATCTGCGGGCATGCGCGTTCGTAGTGTCCAGGAAGGAGCCACCTGCAGCGTCATCGCGCGCGCGTAACCTTGCGCACGTCGTTGTAGGCCGCCGCAATTGTAACGCCATAGCTAGGCCGCAACTGTTGGGCAATGAATGGCATCCGCTTCGTCACCACTGCCATCGATCACCAGCCGCGCGGTCACCTCTCGGGCTCCGCTGGCGTTTTGCAGTTTGCACTCAGCCGGGCTCCCCGCGCGCCGCCTCGCGACGTCATGGCCTGCCGGGCGCCTATCGACTCACAGCCACAGGCACAAGCGTGCGCGCCGGCCCGCGGCGTCATGGCCTGCCGGGCATCTATCGAGTTGAAGCACAAGCGCGCCCACCTCTCCGCCGCGCACGCATGGGCCCGGAGGCAGCTGCCCCTCGGCTCCCGCCCTTCCCCGCGGGCTCTCCCCTGCTGTCTTTCCCCAATCCTGGGAGGGATCGAAAGCCCTACAACCAGCAGCGGGCAAAAGCTTGGGCCATCTCGCTGCGCGAGAATGGGCAGCAATCGCGACCCGCTTAACGCTGTCCCCCGGCGTATCGCTGTGGGCAAAGCGGTCGCCCTAAGGCTAAAGCTAAACCCAAAATTAATATTGAACAAGCTGAAAAATACCCTCAGCCGTGTTCTCCTCGTCCAAGTCGTCCAACCGACGGCCCACACAATCGCCGACGACCTCCAACACAGACCAGAACTGACACACGATGGCGGAAGTCACTGCACACACGGCCGGACTCATGTCAGCTAGTGCGCGAGTTTTCTGATGCAACTTTGTATCCGAGTGCGGATTCCAGTCGTTCGTCGCCCTCTTCTCTTGCGGTGCATTGCCATGGAGACCTGAAACGCTGCATCCGAGTCTGGTATTAGAGAATAAGGAGCACACTCTTACTCTTTCACACTGTTCGAAGGCGGTGAATTTAAAACAGGTAGCAAGCTCTCCGCCTGTGTTTTGGAAGAGAGAACTGGCACGGAGATAGAATCGAGGACGGAAGTCCAACGGTCTTGACCTATTTCGAAACAAGAGACGAAGCGAGACCACCCTCCCATAATGTAAGGCGTCGCGCTTTTCCACTGAATATGTCAGAGTGAGGCGCAAAACCCAGGAGCACGCCCACCCATGGGTGGAAAGCTTGCACTCTGCCAAAGAACAGGCCCTGATCTCTGTGCTTGAGGCCCTTGCTCTTCCATTGGCGACACCGTGATGGAAGAAGGTACTGGAAAAAAAACTTCACCGAGATGCTGGCATGTCGTAGGCCGGGGCACTGCTTCGCGATGCTTCTCTTCAGAATCTCCCTGCATGTATTTTAGAGCTCTTCAGAATCTCCCTGCATGTATTTTAGAGCTACGAGCCACCTACTGACACTCGTCAATGTCCTGAGACTATACTACAAAACACCACTCAACAAGCGCCACCGAGATGAAAACGAAACGCGTCTAGCCTTAATTATTGCCGCCGCTGGCAGGCTTGTCCGTTATTTCCGTGGCTGTGTCTCCCAAGCCGACCGGGGTCACCATTCTCCAACCGTTGCCAACCGTCTTCAAGTATTGAATGGCACAGGTGCGCGCCTCCTTGTGATTTTTCTCAATCTGCGCAACAATTGAGCCTCTCCACTTCAACACCGCCGCCACGTTCTCCATATGGGCTTGATCTCCACTACGAGGGTCCTAGACGTTCGGACTTTCCTCAAGGTGTTCACCTCCTGACCCAGTGCTTTCACCATCAGAACCAGAAGACGAATCTCCACCACCGCCGCCACCTCCTCTAGCCGCTAAAAGTATGAAAGTAAAGTCGGGGAGTGTGACAGTGACTATGATGCAATAGCTAGCGCGCCAGCTAACAAATAAACTCTGTTAATAGGCGGAACGTCTGCGCTAGCAAGTGAGTCCCTTCTAGCCATAGGCCGACGCTGAGGAGCTTGCACACAGTCAGCACAGCCGTACTCATGCACCTCAGCCATTTCCTATCTACATCAAAAAAGCCATCGCTAGCTGTCTCCCCATCGTTTAACACCGCGGCGAAAAGCTATGCATAGACGCGCCCGGTCATTTCTAGTGCTAGTGGTGACTAGTAAGCATCTAATTCCATCACTGGAGACTTGCTCTCTTCCACAAGCATCTCCACGGCCTTCACACCCTGGCCGAAAGGCCGCGCAGCGTTCCCCTTGCTCCCGGTGGAACTGGACGGGGAGGACGGTTCTTCATCGAGCAGCGCGCTTTCTAGCAATAGAGATCTTGCCCGAGCAATAAGTCGAGGATTCTGCGCGAGGGGGCGAAGCTCTTGCGCGCTCTCGTCAGTGTCGTCCGATTCGTCGCCACTAGATGGCGGGCTACTGGGTTTCTTCTTGTTTTTCTTCTTCTTCTTTTTAGTTTTCTTCTTTTTCTTGCTGGTATTCTTTGAGCGAAGAGGATACTCACCCCCACCGCTTGAACTAGAAGCAGACGAAGTCGCGTCGTGTAGTAGATCACTTTCCTGATCCTCCAGCGGAAGGAGACTTTCCGTATTCTCAGCTCTTCTTCGGCGACGTCTGGCCCGTTTCGTCTTGTCTTTCGGCGGCGGTTTGCCTTTCATGATAGGCTTTCCCTTCCTCTTCTTGCTCATTTTGGAACCTTTTCCCATTTTGGGAGGCTGGCTGCTTCATGAAGCGCGACAGCGTCTTGCTGCGTGAAGAAAGCGAAGGTCTCGCCGCAGAATCTGGGGCGGCTAGTAAGGTCAAGAAGTATGCACCTGACGGCGACAAGTTGCCAAGGAAAACGCTGAGAGGCTGCCAAGGCAAAAGCTACGGGAGAAATCGAACTCCTTTGAAATTCGTGACGCTCCATAGCAGCAAGAATCTACTTCGCCCGAGACTTCTCCCGAACGGCGACGGAATAGTACTGGTCGAAGGAGCTAGTCTCTCCGCTCAGTTTGTATTCTGGAGACTCCCGCGAAAACGAAACCGCAGAAGCAACAACAAAGCTGGCCAACGCGTGACACAGCACGCAAAGCCACAGAAAGACGAGACGCAGCCTACATCCCTGGCGATGATACTTGCACGATTTTGGTCACTTGCCTGAAATGGGTCACGTGACTTTGCCCCTGTTGTTGCAGTTGCTACCTTCTTCGATATAACTCTAGAGAAGAGCACGACAATGCGCAGTATTGGTTACAGCAAACGGCTACAATTACAAGCACAAGCACAATTGCAAACTTTTCGATCGCCGTCATGTGAGCAGAGACTCTACGAAATTACTCGAGGACGAATGAGCATGAGGCAGATCCATCCGAAAACTTGACGGAGCCCCGCTCTAGTAGCCTGTCGCTCCGGGATCTGATAAGAAGACACGCAGCGCCAGGCCCTTTGGCAGAAGTTTGGACATCTAAGAACGTCCAGCGTGCGGATAGAATTGCCTGTCGCTAATGCGTCCGCTGACGGAAACGAAAAAAAGGCCTGCCTCTATCGCGGGCTGTAGTCTTGTTTTTGCTGCATGGCGCCGCTGTTTCCTGCATGGGTCAACTCTCACAGCAAGAAGCGAAGCGATCAGTTCAAAGGCGTCCGGAGCCGGATTATGAAGATCCTGCTCCTAGTCATATGCATTATGTTTTAGTGTTAGTCAGAAAAAAGCCCCGCACGTCCCGGCGACGAAGGAGGCGACTGCCCCCAGGCTAACCCAACGACTACAATATCACAGAATTTGCAAAGTGGATCGAATAAGCAAGCAAGCACTGTAAAAGTGGGCAGAGTAGTCGTAGCCCCGTACTGTAAAGCAGCCGCACTCTAAATTATAGCGAATGAATAAGCAGAAATGGCGAACCTGACCGCCTTGGTTGCCACTTAGCTCTCGCTTTTTCCTCGTCACACATACGCGATCGAGCACGTCCCGGCTTCCTTTGGCAACTCAGCACCCCCGACGGCTCCGCCTCGGTCAAAGACAGCCGGTCGCCCTTGCGGTACATGAAGCAGAAGAGGACGGCAAAGGATATCCACCGGCTGCCTTCTCCTTGCTCGAAGATATTCTGAAGACTGTCCTGCATAGGCGAAACCTGGCGCGAAGTAGCAGTATGCGACTGAGATGCAGAATGCCTGAGCGTGAACATGAAGAGAATGGGTTCCGAAAACGAAGCTTCCGCGTTGTCAACTATAGACCAATCTACGAACTAGGGTCGCCAGACTGTTGGACTTTGACTGTCCCCATCTAGTCCTCTCCCACAAAAGCACAAAGTAGCGGACTGGTGCCATATCATTGCGGACCGCTTTCAGGGTTTGCAGTTCCATTTTCGTCAAGGCCTGCGCATAGATCTTGCCCCTGGTGGTCCCATAGTGGGCACCAATTGACTCGGCCTCAGGCTCAGCAACCATCATTCTTTTTCTTCCTTCCTCCAACTCCACCGAATGGAAATACGAGCGCGCTCTTAATATTATACTTCACGACTGATTGCCTTACTTTTAGCCGCAAAGCCTCTGGCCTTGTTTTTAGCTACAGCAACAGCCTGCCGCTTCCAGTTTTGGCCTTAATTATCAACAGGGCGAAGCTTGCTACTCGCTCCACAGTCACAGACTTGCCCTTGGATCGTTTGGCTTTGGATTATTTCAGAAAAAGCGGACAGGCATGCAATCTTCTCAATGGCCATAGGCTCTGCTGGATCTGGATGCGCGTGGACATGTAGCCGCTAGCTCTAACTTGCTACCACACGCCTTGACCATATTTATTCGCCTGCTACTTCACGAGGCGCGTGAGCCTCTTCATGGTGCATCATCATCATGCGCGTGAAGTAGTGCCTGTCTTGCTTCTTTGTGTGCTAGGTTGTTGATCAAAAGCCTACTGAGAACTTATGTTGCGCTCTGGAACTGCGAAGGAACGGTCTGAAGTAGACACTGACTGAGGCACACTGTCAGAGAGTCCGTTTATTTCCTGGCAGTGCCGCGCGCACTCAACTCCGCATGGTGATGTGTCCTGATGCTAGTGTCTTGGCTATGTTAATGTTAGTCAGCTGCTCACGTCGCTGCATTTACTTTCTCAGGATTTTGCTCTTTGAAGCAGGAGATCAGTTAACTCGTTGAAGCGGAGGCTCTTCAGGGTTTTGCTCCTGGAGTGGGGCCCTGTTCTTTGGATCCGACACTCTCCGCGAGTTTCTTTCAATTCGAAAGAGCTTCTTTCAATTCAAAAAGTAAAATAAAGCGCCTGCCTCTTCGTCCTGTCCAAAATTGGACAGGACTAGATTCTTGGACAAGGACAGCATCAAATCTGAAGCGCTCGCCTCTTAGTCCTGTCCAAAATTGGACAGGACTAGAATCTTCACAGTAACCAGCACGGGCGTCCTCTTATCCTGCGACGCTTCCAGCGAAGCCAACTACCAAGGAAACCACCACCAGCATCCGACGACTCAAAAGTAAAGAAAAGCTTTTTAACTAGAAACCGAAGCGGATATCAAAGAGTAAGCACTTTTTTTTTAAACCAAAAAGATATAAAAGCGACCCTGTTTCTAGTCGTGGAACACACTGAGCAGGCGAGCCCAGAGCGCTACCATTTCCAAGCTTTTTGCAGCCAAAACGCCTGAGGTTTTTGATTGTTGAAAGAGGGAAAAGTTTGATTTTCAATACGAAACCCCATGGGTGTACCCCGGTTTTCCAGGGGACAGCGACACCGGACAACGACACCAGCCAGGAACCTACAGGAATAGAATAGGACTACACTGTCTGATAATAAGAACATAAGAGCTGTAGGATAGAATAGGAGAAGCTGATAGAAAATGTCTATATGGGATACGATAATATTTAGGGTCAGTCTAGATGCTTCTTTACCACACGTGTCCTCATAACATTCGAGATGACGACTGTGCTGTTAGCGTTGACCTTAGTCAAGGCGGATTGGCAGTATGCCTGCACGCGTTCGTCCAAGATCGCCTCCTCAACCGTGCGCAAACCAGGGAAGAGTGCCTGAACCTGAGGACGACAAGGTTTAAATACATTTGAACTCGAAGATCTTGCACGTTGGTTATTAAGTTGCAAGTAGATAAGTAGATAATTGATTGATTGGTGTACCGATTCTCGGGGTATAGCATCCTCAATTCAGTGCAAGACCTCTTCAGGTGGTGATGGTCTAGAAATAATACCTCTGGCGTGAGTTCGTTGGTCCCTGGTTCCATTCCCGTTGCGCCGACGCACTTTAACGTAATCAAGCACGAGTTGAACTTCTTTTCTTAGAACAGTTCTTATTTGCCAGAACTTCTCCCCATCTTCGTAAAAAACTTCCATCTCCTCGTACTATCTACTTCTATGTTTTTACAACAGTTGCATCAATTTAAGATAATTAATGTGCAGCTGTTTCTTGTTTCCTTGAAACAGGGCATCTTTTCTTAAATCTGCTACAACAGTTTCCACTTCAACCAACCATGTTCACTTCAGCCTTAACTTTTATCGCCGATCATGACGAAGTTCGAGAAAGCAGCAAAATTGCCCTTGACCCAATCTTCAATCGGAACTGGCGCAATATTCTCGCCACCAGCGGGCTCATTAGATGTACATTGACAAGTACTACAATTTCCCACAACACTGCATCACTACAAGCATGATGATGAATGATGATGAGTTATTTATAGCAGTCACATGATGATGATAATTGTGGCGGAGCAGACCTAACTAGAAAAAAGAGAGACCCGAGGAAGATAGAAAAGAGAAAAGGGAAGTTATCATCAAGTATACTCCAATCTACTCCGACCTATCTGCTATCACTGCATCACCGTAAGCATTATAATGATGATAAGTAATCTATTATAACAGTGCCATAATGGTGATCATGAGTTCTTTATATTATAACAGTCACATGATGGTGATCATGAGTTCTTTAGAACAGTCACATGATGGTGATCATGAGTTCTTTAGAACAGTCACATGATGGTGATCATGAGTAATTTATAACAGTCACATGATGGTGGTGATGAGTTCTTTAGAACAGTCACATGATGGTGATCATGAGTTCGTTAGAACAGCAACAGTCACATGATGGTGATAATTTTAATACATAATGATGATGAGTTCTTTGTAGCGTCCCGTGATCTTCCACATGCCACTTTGGTCCACCGCAGCCTTGTCCCCAGAGTGCAACCAGCCTTGACTGTCAATCACCTCTCTGGTCTTCTGCTTGATTTCGGCAATGTGCTTTGCTCCCATCGAAATTAGAGTTCAGAACCAGGATAGTAAACGAACCTCAAAAAAATCCTGGTTCTAAAAACTCTCAAAAAAAGAGTTTACTATCCTGGTGCGATCGTACATTAAACTCAGAAGGGCTAGCTGTTCACAACAAGAATGACTTGACAAAAGGTTAGGTTAGGTTAGGCAGTGAATCCTGCACATCGAACACCCCCCGCACCTGCTCGACTCCGAGGATGATGGGTGACACAACTACGCTGAATTGAATATATAATATGGCTCAATAAATTAGTACATCTTGCTGGAATATCGTACTTTTTAGAAGATTTCGAAGTCTCGTAACTTAGGATTGGCCATGTATCCCATCATCACGTTGCGACCTCGATAGCACAGTTCACCCTGACATTCCTCTGGCACCACACCACCACATACATCCACACATGGAGGCGCCTCCGACGACTTGCATCCTGTACTCGACTCCTGCGTTTCTTAGATTTTGGAGAGAAAAAGAGAATGGTTTCTCTAGCTAGTCGTAGTCCTTTGCCGTTGGAGATTCAAACTTGCCAATATTTTGATTTTTTACTCACGACGAGGATGATCACACCGACGTCTTCTTCCTGTTTCCATAATTCGATTCCCGCAGCACCTTGCCTTCCAGGCCGATCTGGGTGAATCCGACGGATCCAAATTTGTGCACACCTGGGAGATTCGCTGTAAAGAGACCTGTGCCTTCCGACATGCCGAAAAGCTCGAGTAGCGGGAGCCCCAAACCCGCGAAGTATTCCAAGGTTTCCAATTGAATTGGCGCTGCACCAGTGACGCAAAGCTGGACCTGAAAGAACCTAGGATGTTGGGAAAGAACGGTGGACCAGAAGATAGATTTAGAGGAAAAATGACAATGACCCGCCTCTCATACTTAATAAGCTTTGAAGCGGAGAGAACAGTGCTTGAAATGAGTGAAGACTACACCTAGAGGTAAAGAACCTGAACCGGAGCGCGTCCCATCTCATACTTAATAAGAAGAGTGATGAATTGTTTAGATTGTAGGCGCTTTCCTTAGTAAGTCATTAATCTACTTCTTGAGTTGAAGCTCAAGTCTTCCTTTCTGTTCTCTCATCCTAAGAGGTTTTGGGAAGAAAGAGAGGGCAAGCACATTTATTGTAGTTGTAGAGCTGCAAAGATATCGGGAAGTAGATATTCTTACACTTATACCTTATCCAGACCGATTTTTTCGCGCACCTTTCCAAGAAGGACGTCAGCTGCCTTACTCGTGAACCAATACGGCTTTGCTTGCTGTTCTTCAACGCGTGCTCCCAACATAGTCGAGCGGTAATCTGCCAACCTTACTCCCTTCGCCCAAGTAGACAGTTTGCGCAACATCGGTGGCGCCGCAGCACCCGCGGCTCGAGATTAGAAGAGGTGCAAGCGGCAGAGGATAGCAGAGAATAGCTCGTAGGAGCACCAGTAGTTGTACTAGATCCTGGCGGCGCATATAATTGCTTATAAATTAGGTTGAATGAAGAGATTAAAAGGGGAGGGAAAGTTAACCATTTAAAAATTTTTATTGAGGGATAACCATAACTGGTACTTATCTGATAATATCATGGTTCTTCATAGGGATCGATTGACTGCTTCTGATTAATTGAGTGATTCATAGCTAGCAATATATCCTGAGGAGAGATAACAGTAGAAGAGACATATAGATATTTCGTTTTATACTACAGGGTTCAATCGGTTGACTCTTGACTGATCGACTGATTCCTAATTCATGGCCTCTCCCATCTTCTCCCACACTCTTGGGACGCCCAAAAACATAGTCGGACGCACGAAAGTAAGCCTGTCTTTCAAGGTGCCATCGGATAGATCGTATTTTCGAGCGAAGAAGACCGGATATTAGAGCCAGCATAGTTCCAATCTTGGTAGTATGTATCCCGTCCTCCAACCGCCGCTGTAGTGCTAGTGACTCTTTCTACCCATCAATCTACTTACATGGACCTACTACTACGCATAAGGAGTAGGATCATATAATATCTGGTATTTCATTTCTGCTCACAACTGCGCTATGAAGGACAACTACTCTCTTACTTTTCCCACTACTACCAGATTTCCACGACAAGGTTCAGGAGAGGCGCATATGCACCTATAGTTGTACATTGGATGGAGGGAATAACCTAGGTGCACATGCACAGCTGCTAGTGCGACCTTAAGAACAGGGCTTCTGGAACCGAGCGGTGAGAACGAGAGGCAGCATCACGTCCGCTAGCATACCAGCAATGTGCGATAATGGGAGGTAAGACAAAACCCGCTGGTTTCCGAGTAGGTGTTTGTTGGATTAGAAGAACCTCTTTGTTGCAGTTTGCCTTTCTTGCAGTGTGGTGCAGCGTGAATAGTAGAATCATCAAAAAGGGAAGGGAAAGAAAGACAGAGCAGCGGTAAACCAAATCAATTCCTCATTACTAGTACTGTCATGACAGACCGCTACTCATCAGTTAATAAATAAGTTGATAATGATTGATCATAGGGCAACATTTCAAAATTCTTTTCGGGTCGTAATCAACAGCGTAGATCATTCCTGTTGCGGTAGCACAAATACTGTCGTGGCTAAGCATCACTGCCTTCGGATTCCCCGTCGTTCCCGACGTGTAGACAAGGGCACCGCAGTGGCCAGACTCTACCTTTACATTCAGGTTTCCTGCCTTCTCGCCGAGCGCGAGAAGCTCACTCCAGTACAACACCTGTGAAAGTAGGTATATGATGTTCATTCAAGTAGGATTAGTCTATCAATCCGACTAGGAGGTATTTGACAATTTAATAAACGCCAAAGAAAAACCGAAATCAAGTTAGTACTTTTACACCACCCTGAGGATTTTCTGGTAATGGCGTACTCTCATCGTAGAGAACCACTGCTTTCACGCATGACATCTGATCGAGGTTCTGGAGGATTGTGCGGGCTTGCTTCTCACCTTCAACAACGCACACAGCTGCATCGGAGTGCGCGATCTTCTATTAGAATCTATAAGTAGATCAAAGTAAAGGTTCTCGTTCTATCTACTTGGTCGAGTACAACTGGAGTGGAGAGGTTTTCGAAGATGTACTTCAAGTCCATAATTGTAAATGACATTTTCTAAGGTGTCTGTGGGGTAGATGCCACTCACCTTGCCTCCGCACGCAGCCGCGCCAACGAGAGCTTGAATCCATTCTGGCGCATTGAAGCCCCACACTGCAACCGAACCAAATTGCGCATATTAGAAAACGACAACAAAGAGCTACGCAAGTATTTGTCCCTGTTATCCCCCATATTAATTCCAGTGGAGCCCACACTAGGGAAGCATAAATGAAAGAAAACGAGTTGTCCGTCGAAGTCCCTGATCTTCTAGTAGTTGAGAAAGAGCGAGTCGAGGGAGGAACGTACATGAGTCACTCACAACTCACCACTCTTGTGCTCTAAAATAAGCATATACTTTAACCGACCACAGCGCTGTCTGAGTTGTCGATTGACAATAGTATCATTTCCATAATCAACTCCCAATTGGGCGAAAGCAGCGCCTGCGAGCTTACAGGCTCGTAAGTATTCTGCGTACGTGAAACGGGTCCATTGCTCGAGTGGAAGGGACGGGGCACTGCGTGCAGCAACTTTAGCCGGTTGCGGCCGCTCCACTGCATGGGCGATCTAGTATTCGATGACATTGACAGGTAACACATCATTTTTTTACCTTATAGTAGTAGAAGAGGTAGTAGTAAACCCAATCACAAGGGATACAGTCCAACTGTACCTTGTAGGAAGCTGCCCTTAAAGTCACCTTACTTGGTCAATTACTACGAAAAGTGACAAATCTTAATTTGTATGCCATTATGTGGAAGCGATGTTGCTACGAATATGAAATACCAATCACCACTGATAGAACCATAGTACCTCGTTCGGGAAGTATTTCGCGGCTTGCTCCAGTAATGCGAGAATGGTGGTCGGTGGATTTTCGGCTTCGCTCTTAGACGCATACAACTAGCGCATACAACTAGATCATTGTCTGCGCTGATCGAGTGAGTGTCCTTCCTTGATGTTTCTTTTGCCATGGAATTCTTTTCCTGCTCTTGAACAAATTTTACTAGAAGACTTTGACATTCTCTACAACTTGCTTATAAGGAAGATGCCCATGATTATCTCACAGCCACACTCACAACGGCCAATGTAATGATGTCCACATCATTCTGCAAGTACGACTGCGCACAATGTTACGAACGACCTCCGAACTATCGAGGGAAATTAGCCGGCTAATTTACTTTGTGTGCTTTGAGCGTCGCGGTGGTACTATAATGATGCCCATTCTACAAAAACTTCTACAGGATATATTTCTATAATCATGTCCATTCTCCGACGGACTACAGCTTCTACAACTACAGCAGCTGCCTTAACGCTCGCCGGTCCTTGTGGAGCTAGCTTCAGAGGCAGCGTCTTGGTGCAATCCGTGGTCCATAGGACATGCTCGCCATCCCCATTGCCATAAAATTTGTCATACTTCGCTACCGTCACACCAGGAATATTCTTGGGTGCAGAGTCTTCAGCATTAGAGTTCTTACCATTATAACGCATAACACTAGTTGTGGACGTAGACCACAACTACAAGGAGTAGAGAGAGCGTTAATAGTGGAATGGAATGACTATAGTTTGTGGTGGAGCAGACCTAACAAACTAGGAAAAAAAAGAAAATTTAGAAAAAGCAAAGGTTGTCGAGTGGAATGGAATGTTGACTATAGTCTAAGATATTACCGTGTGACTTGCCTAAGAAACAAGAACCCTATGCATACCTATTATGATCGATGACCTATATCGATGACCTACCTACTTTAGTGATAGTGCCTTAAGAGAGCCCGTTAGTTTGCAGTCCTCTGCTGCCCTCTTGCTGCAGGTGAGCGTCTCCAACAGAGTTGGCATCCCGCTTTTACAATCCATTTCCGTCATTTTCGAAGGTAGAGTCAAGTAGAAGTACAGGATTCAGGAGTGAAAGAGTTACTTAGTTGTAGAAGAGTTTAGTACTGTAGCTGCTGGTGCTGTTTAGTTGTTGAGGTGGGGTTATAAAACTCAAACTTGTTGATGTTCCACTAGCTAGACCAGTTCTTTGTTGCAGTTTTCTGTCGCGAGCGTCAAATGGTCAAGTTTTTAGTTGGCAATCTTCAATCTTTACAGGGTTTTTTTTTGGTTTTCGATTTGCGCCTTTTTTGTCGCATAAGAAGTTGCAAATTTGTCTACCGAGTGAACATTTCTTATGTCCTATTTTTGCTTTCAACCGACGCTTGTCTTCGTCGCAGTATCAGAAAACCAAAGCTGATCCTGACAGTATTTTGAAAGCATCAATATTCTCTCTCTCCCTCTGCTGTCGTTTGGGACTCACAACTACCCCTCAGTAACAAACGACCCCTCAGGTCACAGAGAAGTTAACAGGGAAGATACTAAGTTGAAGGGTCGACAAGCTCTTCTTTCCCCTTCGCCTAGGATTGAGGTTGACGTCGTCGCCATTATCTTCCACATTTCAGATAAGGCATGTCTGTTGTCGAACTCTATTAATCTTTCCATCTATCTTTCACAAGACCAAAATGCCATACTTAGTATAGCATCCATGCTTACAACATTATAGAAAGGAGTATAGTACTCAGAAGGCCACCTACAACGTGTTGGTAAAAGAGTCTTCAAGTACTAGTACTATTTGTAGAGTGCTATTGCTGGGTGCTGGCGTCAGTCTGGTCTATCTCTATAATCGAGGAAGTGTTCAATCATAGTAAGAAATGTTGTCTCAAGTGTACGCCGGTGTCATTTCAGGTAGGAACTACGCATAATAAAGTTTTTCTATCACGGTTGTACCAGTATGAATTAGACATAGTACTCGATCTTAATGGGTGTGTGTGGTGTGATAGCTAGCTACTCAGTTCGAGACCTTCTAGGAACCGTCCTGCTCTCACGTGGACAGCACTTCTCTGAACGTCGGAAAGCCACGACAATCTCGATTTTTTCACAGGCAAACTATGCTGTGGACACCCACGCAAATCACAGATGTGTGGCCCCCGCCTACTTCATCTTGTTCTATAGAAAACTAAGTACTCAAACTCATCTACTTGAATTTCCGCTGCGTTCGTCCGCGTGTAAGTCATTCGTACGTGATTCATTCGGATTCGCCTATAATATCGGTAAAGCACACCTAAGCCTAACTAGGATACAAAAGAATCAAGTAATCCAATTAAATTTAAAGCTAGTGTGACGTTCCGTCTTCCGCTACGAGTGGACTTATTCATTCATGTGCTCCACCCTTTTTTATCCTTTATTTTTTTGTATGCCAAGACCGCCGAAGGGGTGACCCCACTTTTATCCAGTTCGCAAACCGGCGGCAGGTGGAGTCCGATTACCTCCTCATATTACTGCACACTAATTGCCTACGAACCTGCCGATTTTAAAATGATGAACCCTAGGATCTACAATTTTCCGCAATAGTTCCATTCAATCTCGAAGCCAACGAGCAGTATTCAACCAACCAAATTCAGCGAATAACGGTACTACCTAAAAGACGACTCATCCTCTATCGTGTTCTGGTAAATAGAGGAAAACGATGTAGGTATCGTATCGCCACTGAAGGGAGGGCTAGGAGTTCCTTCACAACGTCTTTTTTATACAGTTGTTCTCATGATTGATAGATAGGTTATACTTTTCTCTTGATAAGCTACCCAATCAGTAGGAAGCATTATATAATCCATCTAGTTAAATTCAAGTCCAAGGGCTTTGATCGAGGACTCAGTGCTGTCTACAAATACAACATACTTTTCACAGAAAGCATCACACAACAATTAAAGATTTTCACAGGAGTGCAGTCGATCACAACTTACTGCCCACTGTACCTTAATGGTAGAGCACTCAGTTCCCGAACTTCTGACGTTCGTTATTTAGAGCAACCAAATTCTTTGATGATGATCTACTAGGGCAATCTGGCCAGCACGGGGCATCACTACTAGGACTGCATCACCATCACTTTCATGTGTACCACTATTGGGACTTCAGAAAAATTCGGACTTCATTCATTCATTTACCTGGTCTTGAGGTTGTTGCCTAGTAAGATAATTCCCGAGCATCAAACACTTCCTTGCTACAGGCTTACGAGCAGGCGCGGCGGTCGGGCAACTTCGGAATTGTTCTCTGCAGGTATAGCCGCAGCAGCAGCACAAGACGAAGCAGCCCCCAGAAATTTCATTTTGCAGTCTCTCTTGCTACTATGAGGCTGCACCACAGTCTCTTCAGTTGAGTGGGTCTGGAGGTTTTGTTCTGTCTGAAAATTCAAGCTCCGTTCTTTCGAAGAGTAAGCGTGCTCCAGTGGCCACCACACTCTCGGAAACAAATCTACTGGGCTCCTCTGATCCCGAAGGTGGTCAAGAATTGCTTCTCGGTGATCTGGGTGGTCTCGGTATACGACGTCTACCGCAGCTCGGTCTCCGTCTGCTGGTACCACCTTGGTTGATTGATGATGTTTTAAAAGACGCTGTAAGTTGCCGGGATCTCCTGACTGTTTTTCTGCTCCCTCTCTACTCTTGTGTGACACGACTCTGGTGCTAGGTTGTGAGCGTGCGCGATCTACAGGCGCAGTAATGCAGGCGGTATCCCCCTTGTCCCTCTCTTTTTTTGTGGCGTCTCGACGTACTTTTCTCAGCTTAATTTGCTCATCTGTTCTTCCTTCTTCGAGAAGATCAACGAACTCCAAGCTCGTCTTTTCATCCGATTGATATTCCGGGTCTAGTGACCAATCATCTTCAGACAGAGGAGACTCAGACTGCAAATCTCCTATCTCCGATGTTTGCTGTCCCATTGTAGAAAAGGGGCGACCGCGACCGCGATCCTCTACGTAATGCTTGTCGTCCTTCGGAAAATGGTCATAAGTATCTGCCCTTATACTCCTAAATAAAGAATGGGTTTCTCCGTGCTTTCGTGCACGCCTACTATTAAAGCTCAGCATTCAATGGTCACTGACTCTGAAAGAAATGGGCCCCATGCCTCTCCCTTTGCTTTTCCTTCATTTTCCCCTGTTTTCTCAAGAGGGATCTCAGTGACCAACCCCAATGACCATTGAAAGCTGAGCCTTAATACTAGGAGATATCATCTTAAAATCATCAGGACATCCGTCGTGTTCAGTACTTCCCAGGAAGGCCACGATTTCGCTCAGAACATGAACATGCTGAGAACTGCTAGAGCTCGCATTCGCTCGATCGACTTCAGGACCTACAACCTTGTCCTCCTGGTGGGAGATGCGCATATTTCCAAGCTCGTCGGCACATAGAGCCAACATATTAGAGAAAAGCTTTGTGTTGATTATCTAGCTGCTGAAGCTGCATGCCTTCCCTTTTTTTCATCGAATATCTTGTCATGATGTCATGTCAGGATGCCTCATCAATTCTGCCGGTCTATCTTTTTATCGACCATAAATAGAAACATTCTCAACTGACTTCGAAAAAGATGACTGTGACTCTCATAAAGGAAGATGAACTGCTTGATTAGTAGGATATGCAGTTGTAGTGCATGAAATCTCATAAAGTCTTCCTCATCGTCTTCGTCTGGCGCGTAGTAGTTAGGGGTTGGCGTTGGTGTGTATTCTCGAACTTCGTTGCTGGAGGCATCGAAAGACACGCTTTTTGTCCGTCGAGGGGGCGACGAGCCATTCCAAGCTACTGCTCCTTCTTGCTTCAGAGCACTCCTGTCCCTCCTGAACGTCCACCCGGCGGCCTTTTTAGAAGAAAGTAGTGGTCGCCGCTTTCGGTATAACAAAGTCCTCGATCCGATGCCGTTGAAAGTCGCGGCCAATGCGACTCTGCTCGTTGTCAACGTTGCGAGGCATAGACGCAGAAAATAAGCCAACATCCTCATCCTGTTAAACGCCATCTTTTGTTTGACTTAGATTTAGACTCTATATATAAAGTATTTCATGCGGTTTTTCAATGAACTCAAGGCAATAACTGTTTTGTTCATGTTGTTCTCATTTAAAATAGCAGTTTTCATCTAGGGATATCTTTCTAGAAGACAGCCATTCGGCGTATTTTTCAGCACTATTAATGTAACACTTGTGAGACTTAGATGCCCTTAAGCCCGCCAACTTAATATCTTCATTATTGGTATACAAGAATATACTTCAATGTTATCATGATTGATGTGGTAGGGGGAAAGAACAGGATTGGGGAAAGAACAGGATTGGGGAAAGAACAGGATTGGGGAAAGAACAGGATTGGGGAAAGAACAGGATTGGGGAAAGAACAGGATTGGGGTTAGCCCCAGAATTCAAGACATTGACGAGAGGCCGCTGGGTGAGTATGTATGATCAACGTTTGAAGTATACCTGATAGTGTACCTAGAACAAGGTAGCTTATCTAAAAGATGAAGAACTTCGACCCGATTGAGCGATGAAGCCATATATTCTAAGCGGGCGAGGATGGCTTTCAACTTTGTAAGTAACATCCATATTTTTCGGGGAAGCAATAGCGGTGCGAAGCTATTTCTATTAACCACTACTTCTGAGTACAGGTCCTACGAGTTACTCTAAATTCTAAGTCTGAAGAGCATACAAGATAAACGAAAATGAAGAGTTAAAGGTCTACCACAGGCTCTACCACAGTATGGATGATACTGAGTTAACATGAATGACTCTCAGAGTTTCCGATTGATGGATGTGGTAAACCCGTTTTTGTTGTTGAGGAGCGATGACTGTTGGCAATGTCATGCGTGTATCCCTGATAGTACTGTTCCCCGTAGAGATAAGTTTCTTTTTTTGCGTTAGGACTATATGCCACCGCCTTTTCAAACAATAAGTTCTGATGACTGTCCGGAAAGGGGCGCCAACTCTTAAAAAAGAACATCAGAGGCCGAGTTGTCTCGTAACAACATGGAAAGCAGAAGAGCTTGTGACGTTCATAGCGGGATCTCAATCGAGGATGGAGCGGCGCAATCAAATGCAGCAGATTAGCTTGAGCATTCATTTTCGTAGACAGTGCAGTGTACCTCTAAAAGATGCCTGTCTTTTGACATCGAGTGGACAACAGAAGTAGTGCATTCAGTCGAAGAGGACGATTTCAATTGCAATATCATCTGTCGTGTGCGTAGGGGCCTAAAGCAAGACCCTACAACTCCAACATTTAGCCTTCAAATTCGATTCCTTCCCAGCATTTCTTCAATCTCGATGATTCCTATTCCTTGTGCAGCATGTCTTCATGTCATGTTACCTCATGGTCCATCCTATCCAATGGCGTTGAGGTCTTTTCAGTCGACTTGTACCTTCTCAAAAGAAGACCCGGATTCGCAAGCCTTACTCTAAGTCAAGAAGGTTCGAAAAGAGCATCGCATTTTTTCCAGATTTTGATATAGAAGAAAATGATACTCCTACGTACGGCAGCACAAACCTGCTGCGTGGTCAAATATTATCATTCGCAAGAAAGGCGTACGAAATAAAGTCTCGATCTCGTGTCGAGTGCTGTTCTCCTTGTTCTACGCCAATCCTATGATGAGCAAGTCAGTGACTTATAACGACTATTACCATCTAACTGTAAATTTCAATGAAAGCTCCTCCTGGAAACCAGATAGCAAGCAGAAGTGATCTACGACCTAGTCCTGTATAAGTCAATGGGTGTTGGACTCCGGTGTAGAGATCACAATTTTATGCCTGGTCACGATACAATGGCTCCGGGAACGCTAGTTTCTTAAATTTCATCACAGCCAGTCTCCACCAATTGCTCACAACGGTAATAATCAACATGTAAGATAGATATCATGATTGATGTCGTGTAGATACCACTGTAGGGTTAGATATCATAGATCGCCTAGCAAGTTGTCTAACACCTATACTCGATGGATGTGTGGCTCTTCTAAAAAAGTAATGCACTAAATGGGGGACTAGGTGGTGTGTCCGTGTCCTGCAGCTACAAATACAAACTGATGACGATGATGATTATATACCCAGTGTTTACGGCTTTACCACTATCTCTTAATTATTGCTGTTTTTGTTGTTGCTGATGCACTTGCTTCTTGTCTTGTTCATTTTCATTAAATTTCTCCTTTTCTACTTCTCCTTTGCAGGTCACCTCATGTTTCCTCCATTTTCCAACCTCTAACTCTTTAGAATGCAGATTACTTGTTTTATATCTTCTTTATTGTCTCAATATATTCATGGTCTGCATGATTCGCTGCATGTACGACAAGTACGCAGACTCATCACGACCGCAAGAAGTCATTACTCATATTAATGTGGGTGTTCTGTATTGTTTGAAAAGTCAGGACTCATATAATTTAGGCGGTTTGGAAGGTGTAGAACTAGTACACCACAGTACATCCATGAAAGATTTATATTTATTTCGGTTACTTTTTCATTCATCATTGACCTGTTGTTCGGGAGGTTTTTATCAAGTCATTAAACATTCATTCATTCAGACACGCTACCCTCCTACGACAAGTTGGAAGGCAACCGATTAAATGTAAAAAGTCATTAAACTAGTGCTATCATCATTCTCAGCCTCTTCCTGCGACTCCCTAGTATTTTTGACCCACTTCTAAAATTGTGGAGCCAGCCTAACCAGGAAAAAACCAAAAAGCAATTTTTGACCCTCCCTATAATTTGTGGTGAGGCAAGCCTACCTAGGAAAGATAGAAAAAATCGAAGAGGTAGATTTATTTTACGACTAGCAAAAAGTGGCCATCTAGTATACGATCCGTTTACTCTAGGCGCCGCCTGTCGTCCAACTGCCCTGGAGGTCTTCTCATCTAAGGCGGCCGAAGCCTGTGCGTGCCTCAGAGAAGTTCCCGCGCTAAGTTTGACCCTCCCTATAATATACGATACGATTGATAGCAGCACTCTTTCCTGCTGCACTCTACTTAGATGATTGAAGCTAGGAAAACTACAGTGAAACCAACAACTTCTTCTGAGTCTTGTTCTCCTCAGTCTTGTTCTGCTCAGTTCTTCTCGTCGAGTTGCGAAGTATTTGTCGCAGGCTGCTCTCAACGCGGCAAGAGCTGCCTCCCTGGCGCAGGCTGCTCTCCACGGCGCAGGACTGTTGGGGCAGAGCCGTTTTCCGAACGTCATGATTTTTAGAACAGTGGGATAAAATGGGGATAAAATAGGATAGAAGTCTCCGACTCCGAAGGAGATAGAAGAGAATAGAATAGACTGGATAAAATAGAATGTCTAGGCTAAGTACATTAGAATGAGTATGAGATTTAGATGCCAAGAATGAGGGGCAGTGTCCTAAAATTGTATTTGGAGGAAAGCATCATAAACAAGGTTAGGCTAGGTTTTGAATGCTAACCTCGGAACAATATTATTGAACATCTTAGAATGAGTATGTATTGATTCTATTATTGAAACCTGTTAGAAATGCTCTTGTAGCCCCATAACTTCGGACGTCGCACTCTCAGCACCTACATCTTCCTCTTCACTACTCCCAGGTGAAGACTCGTTGCTGGAGGATTGAGAATCTTCAGGCTGGGGACCACAACCCCCTCTACTCCCCACAGAAGTCCCCTTGCGTGAGTCGTTCCGTGCTAGAGGGAGTTTTCCTCGTCTCTTTGACGAGGAATAGCCCAACACTTCCTCCAGTCGCGTGGCTAAGACCTCTTCTTCTTCGTCTTCTACAGCCTCGCTTCCTCCCGCAGGTGACTTCTTTGCAGGGCAGAGGAACTGACGGGGCGCAGAAAGCTTCTTATTAGAGGCTGCGACATTGCATTCTTCAGAACAACCCTGATTTCTTTCTTACTGGGAAAAGATTCCGGGATGTTCGTGCAGGATGCGATGTGGATGAAACCCTTAATATCACGAAGCGTAGCGGGACCTCTCCTAAGCTGTGCCGCGGAGCAGGAAGACGATGAGCTAGAGGCACTAGACAGGGAACCCGTGATCCATGCGAAGCGACCGAACCTGCTTTTTGTAGTTCCTGCACTGCTGGCTCCGACTCCCTCCGGTCCACCGTCTGCTGGAAGCGAACTTGCTTTACCCGATGAAGCCGCAGTTCCCTTGGGGAAATCTAGGTCTCCGACTGCTCGAGCCGCACCAGCTTCACCTCGACCGCCCACACTTGATATTACTGTAGAAGCCGCCTCGCCCGCATCTGCTACAACATGGAAACTCTTGACGCGAAGACTCAGGGAAGCACAGGAGACCGCATGAAAGGACAGCCAAAATGCCACAAGCAACTGTCTTTGTAAGTTGTTGTAAGCACTTCGACGCGTGATCACTGCGATTGACGACGATAAGCGTGATCGTCCTCGCGGTCCGTGAGAACAATTTTTACAATGCGACGTCATTTTTTCAACTTCATTCATTTTGATTACGAAAAATATTGTGCTTACATGGATGCTAATGCTAACAGTGCTACTGATTCATTCGAGTAATAATACTGCTGATAGTTAGTTCGAAAATATCGGAAATGAAAATCTTCCATCCATAATCATCCAGTCTACGATTTACTGATCCTACCATATGATGTTCTTTGATACGAATCAATCAGATTGACAGGAAAAGAGATGAAGGGATAACAATAACTATCAAGCTAATTCGACTGCTGCTACTTCTAGAAAAACGTTTGAATGTATGAGAATTTTTAGTGCGTAAGAAAGATTCCCACATGTACATTTTTGTCCTTTCCTTCGAAAAAATTAATTCCCAAAATGCAAATGCTTTCTTCCTGTCTGTCGGTCTGTGTTTTCAAGAAAGAGTCAGCATTCTAGTATCAAGAAATTAGTTTCAATATTGAGCTCTACTAGTATCAAGGAAGCAGTTTCAATATTTCAGCCCTAAAATTTCGGCTCAAGGAGGAAGATCTGCCTGATCGCAACCCCTGGAAAGTGATCTTCACCCACGCTGAGGAAAGGCGCGCATATATCCTGAACTTTGATCTCTCGTTGTTACACGACACTGACGACGAACGCGTAGCCGGCCAGCATGATGGGGTTGGGGGGATCGTTCTTGTACTAGCATTTTAGTTGTATCAAGGAAGTAGTTTCAATATTGAACTCCGCGACTATCCTTGCTTGCTCCACTAGTCTGAATACTTACTCAGTACAGGCCCTTTTGTCTACTAGGCTGGGTACTTACACCAGCCGACGCACGGTCGCATTTTTATTTTTCCGAGACACGTCGTATTCCATTTCCAACACAGGTTTTTCGAATATATCATAACTCTCATTCGTTCTTCATACTGGAGCTGAATTTTTGACAGAAAATCTTTGTGGACGAACGACGAGCCCGAGAAGATTATCAAACCCTAAACCCTTAAATTGCGAATTGCATTCCGTGAATTGAGACCGAAACCTTGCACTTATGATTCGCGTCTGAGGGCACAACATCATGATCATCTTCCACTTGTAACAGCATCCATCTGCAAGAAATGCTAGTAGTAGTACGTGCATCTCTTAAAAACAAATCTAATTGTATTTACATTAGAAGTGTTCTAAACAGGGGTTCTTCTTCTTTCATTTGAGGAAGTTGGCGGGTTTCAAATACACATGGGTACTTATGTTCTCATTCACTGAAGACTCAACACTGCATCTGTCTCGCAACGGCGGCCAGAATCGCTTGTGGATCATTATCCTGTACACTCTGGAGAGCCGCGCCAACTCGCTGCGTCCTGCCGTCTACCGGGGACGCGGCACCAGTGAGTGGATAGACTTCGAATGTCTTCGTCAGTGGAGCCCATCTCCCGAACTCTGTCCACTCCCTCTCTGCAACAGTTCGGCCGTTGAGAACAGCCGTGGGCCAGGCGCTCTCTCCTGCCGGGCGAAAGTCGCTTTCGTCGTCAACGCAGACGTTGTAGTCAGACCCAGCGTCAGAACCGGAATCCAGAGACTCCAAATCTTCCTCGTCATCATCAGAGCCATGATCTTCGTCGTCCTGGTCATGGTCCGCATCGTCTTGGAAATCCTTACCTCTACAATCATGATTCTTCATAGTGGATGCACATGCACCAGCAGCTGCAGTCGCATTGATAGAAGAGCAGTCTTGTTGTAGTTCATCTTCAAAGATGCGATCCCTGAATGCTTGAACGAGTATGGATGCCAGAGGGTAAACCAACTGCGTCATTAGGTGCGATACTCCCCTTCCAGTCCCTGCTCTGGAAGGAGGTGTAGAAGACAACACCGCCAGACGAGTAAGCACAGCTGCACCTGCATGCGCACGTGCGCGCTGGGCGCTTCGTGGTACCGCTGGGACTTTCGTCTCGGACTCAGATACAGATGGTGCTGGTGAAAAGAGTACTTTTATCCCCTCCGCAACCCTCTGATCCTCGGACATCGCGTGCAGCACGAGCTCGGGATAAAGGGCAAGCAATTCGGCAAAGACCTGTATATAAACTGGTCGAAGTCGGCGATGCGGAGACACCCCAACCCCTGAAGGCGCAATGCAGCTGAGGAGCCATACGAGAAGTCGTGCCAAGTAGCCGCCTGCGACGTAACCTAGACCGGAGGACGCTGTGGTCGTGGAGGAAGTCATGTTGCTGTTGGGTGCACTTCCTTCGTTTGCACGTCCTAGCTCTGCGGAAAAGTGCGCCAGAAGAGCTGCTTCATCCTGCGCTAAATCGGAAGTGATGGCACCTCGCACCGCATTGTTCGCGAAACAGGGAAGCAACAGGGTCACAATGCAGGCGCCTTCGGTCGCTGAGTTTTGCTCCATCGCTACGCGAATCAATTCGGAGGTGGCTGCAAAGACAGAAATCCCTTGTTCCTGCTCTTGCATAGACGAAGGAGGACTAATCAAATCGAACTCCTGCTCAAGCTGACCGTTACCTGCAACTACTCCAGCACCTGGAAAGGATACCACAGGCACAGCAGGTTGCAAAGGCCGTGGCTCCTTCAAGACGACGCAATGTGGTCGCAGTCGCACTGTTAGCACCTCCTGCGGGAAACGCAGACACAAGTTCCGAATCATGATGCTGAAGCACTCCGCGAATTGCATGCCGGATCCGGGTCTGACTACGAGGAGGTCGCTCGGCACTGCAGGATGTGGCGCCACCACGGGTGACGGCGTCGGCACCGAAAACCCTCCGAAGCCGCGCTCTTGCGCGTAGGCATGAAACGCAGCTGACTGTTTGGTAGAGTGCTTGATCGTGCTCTTGTTCCCGGGACTGCTGTGCACGTCACCGCATGTTGCCAACATGTAATGCACCGCGAGTGGCGCGTCCCCTGACGAAGCCGACGTCGACGCAGCTGCATAGCAATACACGGCTTGCACTGTCGAAGGATCTCCGTGCCAGACTGCAGCCTTTTCCTGCAGCATTGCTTGTGCTGCTGCTGGAAGTTTCGTCAATTTCCCTTCGTCCAACTGCGACGGGAAGAAAGCGCGTGGCGCGGAGCAGTGCCAGTACGCCAGCTGCAGCATCATCGTCGCCACGCGCGCGTCGTAGAGACAACCGGCACTGAGGACGGCAAAAATCTCTACCAGTTGCGGCAGGTAGTCGTCTAAATGCTGGGTTTGGATCATTTGTTCCACCAATGGGACTAGAGCGAGCCCGCAATCACGCAGAATGCTGGGAGCAGAATATTGATCAGAGGTTTCAGTCGCTGTCATCCTCTCGTGCACCAGTGTTCGCCGCACGGCGGGTGGTGGCAACACCATCTTGACCAGCGTCAACAGCGTCTCGCACAGGGCCTCGACGTGCAGCAAGACGTCGTCGTTTGCGGCGACCGCGGCGCGCTGGTCCTCTCCAGTGAAAGAACCCGCCTCCGCTGCCTGCGCCAGCGCACTCTGGATTGACAAAACGATGTGCCGGAACAGCTCAGCCGCAGACGGACGTACGAGATCCGGAAACGCTCCTGCGAGGTCCGACAAGGACTCGCCGAGTTCGTCGAAAGGCAGCTCCTGGCAGGTTTGCAAAATGCGTCGAAAAATCGCCGACAAATGAGGCTGCAGCTGCTGTTCCAGCGTCGCGAGCCCCGTCTGCACTTCCCGCAAACGAGTCCACAGCTTCGCGGTTAGATTAGACGGGAAGTTCGAGTAGGATGCGGCGCTCGCATCGACTTCCCTCAACGCGAATTCCAACTGTGAGGCAGTCTTCTTGGAGCCAGCCACTGCGCGACAGTAGTACTGGATGTCGACCGCCGCTTGCGTGCGCACGGTCCACTCCTCGCTTCCCGCACCGTCAGAGATCACCTTCGCGACGACTTGCTCGAATTGTGACCGTAGGTCGGCAAACATTTCTGGGCGCACAAGCTCCGAGGTGTTGCTCAGCAGCGTCTGCAATTCTCGGACGTTGACTCTGTCCTTTAGAGAAAGCAGCGAGGACAAGCGCTTCACCGCAGTACCGGAAAACAGCGCGAAACCCTTTGCCTCGATGTAGCGTGCACACACTTGCACTGCGCGCCAACGCAGAATCCAATGTGGCGAGTGGAAAAAAGGATAGACGTACACGCGCACCATGCGTTCCGCTATGTCGTTGTACCTTTTTTCGGGTCCAGTTTCTCCTTGCTCCGCACTACTGCCATCCGCTCTCCCGGTTGCTCGGGCAACCTTCACGAAGGATGGAGCTAGCAAGCCTAGCATGCACAAAGCGCCGTCCACCATCCGAACAGCTGCCGACACCTCTGGCGTGAGAGGGTGGGTGACCGCCGTCGTTTTGTCCGCGTGTTGCTGCAACACGGCTTCGAGAAAGGTCACTGTCGTTTCGAGCACCGCAGCCGGACGGTGCGCGCACAGCCGTCGGAGAAGTCTCTCTGCCGAGTCCCGCGGCGTGCGGTAGTACGCGGTCAGGTCGTTCTGGTCCCGGAGAAACTGTTGAGGCTCAGTCTCACACAATTCCAAGTCCTCTGGTCTCAAGGCCAGCAACGGCAGACACTTGTGCTGCAGTACCTGGTTCATCTCGCCCCTCAATACTGAAAAACAGTTTCCCAAGTCGCACGCTTCCGACAGGACCAAGAGCACCATACTTAGAGACTTCTCTGGCAAGAACGCACGCTCTAAAAGGAACATACTGCATTTCGTGAGCTCCAGGGAATAGACAGACTGAAATTCGGATGCCCATGCGCGAGCCGGACTGTTTCCTCCGCTGGCGCCGTTGTTGTCGAGGACTAAGCCCTCATCGTCGTCCACGGCCTCTTCTTTGTACTTGGTCAAGTGCGTGCCCAGCATGCGGTGAGCAATCCGGAGACCCCACTTCAAGCACTTAGCCGGACGACTCTTCTCCCGGCACTCCTCTACATTCGAAGATGAACTACCAGGCTTAGGCGAAGAACCAGCTTGAAGATCGGTTGACGAAATTGCGGAACTTCTTCCATCCGCAACAGAAAGAACAGCGAAGTACTCAGCAGGTATATTGATTTCGGCACTCATGCGATATATTAACTCCACCCATGATTTGGTCCTCTGCATTCTGGCTGCGGAGAGTTCCTTGTACGTGCCCTGATAGTAGCTCTTTAGCACTAGTCGCATCATGTCGAAGATGCGATCGTGCCAGAACCCGCCGCCGCTGCTTCTACCTACGAATTGCGACAAACAAAATCATGACAATAACAAAGGACTTCTTTCTCCTGTACAACTATTTTTATATTAGTTTCTGTTCTCTGAGTACCTCCTTTTCCACTTTCAGCAACAGCTTTCTGCAGAAGCGGCAGTAGGATCTTTGTCGCAATAGCTTCGAGGCAGAGGAAAGCGAGAGAGATGAAACGTTCATGACCGGGTATTCCAGGCACCTGTATGATCGACCGCCTCGTCATCTCAGTCTTGAAAACTGCCTGTGTCAGCTGCAAAACGGCGTGTAAGTTGGCGACACTCCTTTTCGTCGTAGTGTCCGCCGAAGAGGGGTCTGCGCATCGAGTAATAGCATCTGGCTCTACGCCATCTGCTCGCAAACCGGCTAATGCGGCCGTCGCATCGACTGGCGACACTCCCAAGTCTTGGGGCGCGGCACCGGCCGTCACGGCCCACGCGACGAGATGTCTCTCTAAACTCCTGTGTAACGGGTCTGGCTTACACGTAGGCTGGAACAGCTGTTCCTTGCACAGTTTCAGCACCACTTCTTGTAGGATTTTCGGTAAGGAATAAGCTGCGCGAAGTTTAGCCTCGACTTCCGAGTTCTTACTGGAATTTTGCAGTAGAAGTTGTCCTTGTCCTTGTGGCGAAGGCGAACAAGAATTGCTGGTACTACTCGAGGCAGATCCCTGTTCAGAAGTTGCCCCCTGATCTCGAAGCAAGTACGTTTTCGACAAGTCGTCCGCACCCACATCGTCAATGAGAAAACTGCCCGTCGCTTCCGCTATGGGCAGCAAATGGCTCATTAGATACTCCAAATCTCTCAAATCCTCCTCCGACGTTTCAGCTGGCGTCATTTTAGCTTGCTTGACCCGTGCCTGCAAGTGATTCTTCAGGAAAACAAGAGTCGAGGTCAGGTGCGGCAGAAGCGACTTTGAAGGTGAAGGTTGCTCGGCGACGGAGCAGGAATGTGTCTGTGCTAAAGACTGTGGTGCTAGGACTCCCGCTTTCGCTGCTTGGATCTGTTCCATAGCACATCGGATTGCGATACGATAGCAAAACCCGCTTTGCCGAATTTGGCCCATGGTGACTTCACCCTGACCTCGTCGATCTTTGTCGGCCGAAATGGCATCCTCCACTGCCTTGCGGAGGGCATGGGCGCCCTGCCTCTCCACCTGTTCCGCATTCGGCTGCATATTGCTCATACTGGTCGTGCCGCTATTCGTCATGAAATTAGTATGGTGCGGCTGCAGAAGATCGTCATTTTTCACGCCAGTGAATGAACTGCCTTGCCACGCAACGCCAGTGGCGGCTTCAGATGACGTAAAACCAGCGGGCATTCGCAACTATCCTGTTGATACTCCTGATGCCGTGCTGGAGCTGCGCGACACCAACACCAAGAAAAATAGCTCGCTGTAAATAATAGGAGGGGTAACTGAGCAGGATCAAAGCTCTTGGTCTTTTCTAAAACTGTGCGAGCTTTCTTTGTTCGAAATGAAAAAAATTGCGTTTAGGGGACCCTTCTATGAAAAGAGTCGTTGATTGAAACACCGGTCGTCCCCTTCCTGTCGCAACAACAGTGATGTAAGACCAGTGAAAAATTCATCAAAATCTAGAATCCTCTTTCACTCAGTGCTGTTGTTGCCACGCATACATCATGATCTGTTGCTGTTCTGGCATATATCATGATCTGTCTGACGCTAAATCTTCCGACAGATCCAGGATCTCAAAACTCCACTTTGATCTGATGAGCGGATCATCCCGAAGGTAGAAGGAGAGAGAACAGATCCATGGAAAGATGGAACAGCACTACAACTTGTGGATTAAATCCAATGCTAATGAACTTGCACAGCCAATGGATCTCAAGAACCTTTCGAGCTTGAGGACTCTCATGACCTTTTACTCTTCTTCATGTACATGGATCTTCCTATCATGACAACATGCTTATCGGGTGCTGGTAGACCTTTATCAGATCATCTCTAGCCTGCATCTATACGATCCAAAATTTCCTGTAGACCCGATGGACGGCAGTCCTTCATCTTCTCTTGCAGTCAAAGAACCCGTGTCATGCTCGAAGAAGAAGATGTACCATAAAGTACTTTTTTAGATGCGTGTCGTACTAGTCCCACTAGTGCCCAATCTCATGCGCGCATTTCATCTACCTAGATTTCATTTTGCAGCTCCCATTACAACTGCTTTCATCAAGAATATCCCTGATAGATCAACGTCCTCCAAACGGAGTAAGTAGGTATGGTTCATTTTCAGTATTGTGGAGTAACATTTAATGAGCAACAACGCGGCGTGTGGATGTCCCTAGATGCGATCTGACTACATCACCATGCAAAAGACCCGGTGGTACCATTTATCACATTTATTTCTTGAAAAATATCAGGATCACTAGATTTGTAATGTTGAATGATCGATAACATGCTCTATCTTTGCGTTGTGTGTCATTATCCTGCAAATCGCGCCTGTGGTGACGAGTTTTGATCCTTCTGCTATGAATGAAACGCTCGTCCTAGCAAGTCGTGATGTCCTACAATGCTTTTATTCTTATCATACCGCTTTTTCTACTCCGTCTCTCGTCCTCCAACGCTCCTATTTCATCTACTTCCCATTAGCGGTGTACGGCAGTCGGTTGTGTGGACGGGACTTTACCTTGTAGATCCGCACAATCCAGTTCTCTGAGGTGAAGGCTTCCGTAAAATACTTCAGCGTAATCATAGAGGCGCCGATCGGCTGGTTACGCGCCAGGTCCTGCCCGCCAGTGATTTCGGGCTATGAAGATGGGGTGATCGTTTTTTGAGTCAATTAATTCTTAACCTGCATCCATCTCCCCCAGGCCGCAACAAATAACTGGTAAGCGAAAGAGAAGAGCCGGGAAACACAGGCAATAATAGGAAAAATACTTCCTAGCATGTTCACCACTTTGTGCTATCACGCAACAAATAAATTGGTCTAATTCTTAACCTGCATCCATCTCCCCCAGGACGCAACAAATAAATTGGTTTCATTTTTTTGACTTTTCACCATCATTCTTCTGCACCAGACCTCCTTACCATGCACTAGTTGCGTGATGGTTTGAATCTATTTGGCGAGCTGCCTAAGATTTCCCAGACGCATATCTACAAACTAGACAACCTACTCTACATTCCTATAAACTCGTTGCATATAATCTACAAACTAGACAGTGCCTTCCAATTCATAAGCCCATCCTGTAGTAGCAGAGCTTGTACATGACGGATTCCTTGAACTTCGTTGGTGCGGATTCGTCTACGACATAGCCGCCATGAGCAGACAAGAAGTCCGCTTCGGCTACCTTCTCAGGATAGACGCCATTCGCAATCCGGACTGGCCACAGGAACTTCGCGATGTCGTCAGCGGTATAGCGCGCGACGCCGCCGCTTATGTTAAACAAGCTCACCCCAATTCATCACTTCGAACAGGCCCATCTTTGACACGTTTTCCCTTTCCGCTTCATCAAAATAAAACACGGCGTTAAAAAAGGATGCTTCTCAAGAGGAATTGCGGTGAGCCTTAATCAAGACTAGAACGTAGTCAATATCGAGGCGTTCTAAAATCTTGTACGCGTCCCTTTCGTTTGACGCCAGCATCAATCCTATGGTCGCAATGTGCGTGTTATTCCAGGTATTGTTGTCGACAACCGGAATATGAAAGAGGATTGTCCTGCTTGTAAAAAATGATTTCCTCATAATATAGAACATGAACATCGTGGTGTTCGTGAAGAAAGAAACGACACTAAGAGAGAAATTTCTGCCTTGAATTTAACAAAGAAAGGTGGCACTAGCTGGGTCAAGGACTACATCTAAATCATCATCAGTACGTCTCAAATAGTTTTTCTCAGCTATCAGGAGCGAGATGAATCAAATTCGAGTACTACGATCTCCGTAAACAGTGCGGTTCGCCAGGGATGTGATCTGGTACCCGTAGTCCCACCAACTGGCCACCGTAGCTTTCGGATGCGTGTTCTTTCGTAGCTATTATTAGCGCTCAAAATAATTCGTTTCAAATTCTTGCCTGCATTTCTCCCAAGAATCCCAAGAAGGAAACAATAAGGGACGAGTTAGTTGATCTAGAAATTATTTACAATTGTATCGAGCCTTACGCGTTAGTTGTAGAAATAATGTTTTCAACGACATGAGATCGTATAGAGCCTTAACAATAGTAAGCTTCTCGAAAATCGTCCTGCATAATGCGATTACCTTCTCTGTCCTGCGTACTCATCACCACGCTCGGACTCGAGTACGCCATGGCGCTCATCCAGGTACAGTGCTCGACAAAGCCCTTCAATAGTTGGAACAAAAAGCCGATAGCTAAGAGGACGATGAGCTTGGAAATCTGGTAGCCCTCCTCTGGCACGAAGAATCTTCGCTTGATGTTCGGGAGACCATAATTGTTTCTGGAGGCGGCAATTGAAGTAGCTGGATAAAGGCCTGACGAGGTATTAGCTTTGTCAACATTAATCGCTTTCCGTTCAACCCCAGTGCTATCATCATGATCGTCGTCGGTGGAAGAAACGAGCTGAAAGCTAGTGTCACGTCCTTCTTCACCATTTGTCGACTGTTGTGCACGTCGCTTCTTTTCTTCATGCAACGACGTAGATGTGCGGAACGGCTTGCCCAACACCCGCAGCGTCGAACTAAGCAGTCCGCCGGAACCTGCACCGTCGGCTGTCGTCGATGTCGAAAGAGAGGGAGACTCAAGACCATCTTCTGTGTTTTCGTCAGTATCACCTGGTACGATCTTCCCATCTCCACCAACCGTGTCAACATCTGCCTTGCCCATGCTAGAAGCTTTCTGTTTTTCACCTGCTTTTTCGACGAAAGAATCCTGAGCATTTACTTCAGCACTCTCACCTGCCAGACGCCACCCAAACAGCCTTGTCCCGTCCCAGGTGCTTTTTCGGCGCAACATGGGCATCAGTGTGGACAGAATCTCACTTGCTGCTACACCTCCCAGACAACAGGCCGCAGCCGAGAGGACTAGCAAAAGCCGAATCATCATACCAGAGAAGTAGACTGCCACGACGCCGTAGATACCCAGCAACAGCGAAGCATCCGAAGCCCAGCTAAAAACCAGATAGATGCGAATCTTAGAGCATGGACGAAGAACCTTGTACTTACTTCCATCTCCATGTACTTAGACCTTCGTCTGTAGAAGATCTTGCTGAAACTAAAAGGGTTATAAAGTAACTTTTAATCGAAGCTTTTGACTTATTTTCTTCATGCAACAACTCGTCTTCTACCCAGAAAGGATTTCTCACAAAAAGGAGAGATGTCAATGTCATCGATCCCATAACCACAGGTACCAAAAAGGGCAAGACGTGTAGATCCATGATGTAATTGGACCAAACGGAGGGTTGATGTTCTGAGACGCTGGCGATAATCGGGATGTATTTGGATGCGTAGGTTGGATCCAAGAGACTGAGACTTCGCCCTGACCAATTCGTCTTCCCGCTGACAGTTAGATAAGCTACCAGTGCCAAAAAGAGACCTGCGACGATCAGCGCAACCGCTTTCAGGACGACCCAGAGCAAACGTCCACGCGAGACGATGGCGGATCGTTTTTTGCTCGTAGTCGTAGTTGTTGTAGTTGTTGTTGTCCGTTCTTTCGTTGATGTTGATGATGCTTTGGTACTACTATTCTTCTGACTTTCACCATCCGATCCTTGTTCCTCCAGGAGTACGCCATCTTCTCCATCTTCCTCCTCAGTGCACAGGGCATCCAGCAGAAACTGGGTTCCGTAGAGCGCGTTCATGACGAGAAAAACACCGTGTGAGGCCAGATGTTCTGAACTTGTAACGGCCTGAAAATTGACGAAGGGGATGTTGAGGCACAGGATCGTCGAGACCACGTAGAATAGCGAATAGGCAACGAAGTGTCGCGGAGTCAAACGACCGATCAGGAAGATGAGCAGCATGTAGATCGCAATGGTATTCAGCACGAAAATGTACCCACCCCAGGACGCCACCATGTACAAAAACGCGAACGCGGAAAACAGACCTGCCAGCGTGCTCCCACTTTTCACTGCTTTTGTGAATGCGTAGAAGGAGAAAACAATCGCGAAAATAGCGCACGCTTCGTTGTCGTAGCTGCCTGCGACGCTGCGGCTAATATAGCTCGGGCATATAGCGATGAAGAGTGCCGCGAACAGTCCAGCTTCAGGCCGCTCCGTCACTTCTCTGGTAAGCAGAAACGCTGCCAGGCTGGTCAGACCGGCGAAGAGAGGTGCGAAAAACACACAGCAGTGCAATACGGAAACCTTGAGGCCTAGGTAGTTCAACATCCAGTTGATTAGAGCTTGCTATTCGTCAACCTCGCGTCCTCTTGCGTCGTTCTCGGTGATGTGTTGTGCACTTGTTTACAAAGAAATAATTGTTGTACCAAACGAAACTAGAAGAGTAAACACTTGTATCCAAACGGTACATACTCGTGCTTATCTTCTTACGCAAAAAGAACTTCTCCACGTTGAACTTGATTCTTCTCATAAATTAAGCAGCGTCGAAGTCGTCATGAGACCGGGAAACAGCGTATTTCCTACCACACGACCCAAAGGGTACCAGGTGAAGTTGTCAAACCAGTTCCAAAACTCCGAGAACCCGTGTTCTGCCAAGTATTCGGTTGTCCGCCAATTAAAATGAGGATCGAACTCATGGATTACGGCCTCGAATCGAATCACTGCGAGTATTAGAATTCTTTCTTCCCTGGCACAAAAGTTCCTTGAAGTTCGTCCTCAGCGCGACGATAGTTTCTCAAAAAGATGAAACTCTAAGAAATGCTTGTCTGGACATGGTTTTGACAACCCCCCGGGTACCTCCGTTTGACAACCCCCCAAGAACTTACCTCTTAAGTTCTCGTACTTAGTACCTCTTAAGTTCTCGCACTTAGTTGCTTCATCTAAAGGTGGATCAAACTATCAAACCAGAAAACATCTACTAACTAGCCTTAAGAACAGGCGCATCAAAAACGCAGTGAGCACGATCAAACTAGAAACCATCTACTAGCCTTAAGAACAGCCGCATCAAAAACGCAGTGAGCACGATCACCAGCAAGGTCCACGCCTCGATCACCGAGGCCCATTGCCGGCCAATACGCTGTATTGCTTGCGCCGGACCGGAAAGCACCACAGTGTCGATCACGTCGTCAAACTCATTCCAATTTTCCGAATGTAGTTGTTCGCGTCGTCCCTCTCCCTTAAGATCATGTCGTAAGCTGCTAGAAGAGGCGGAACCCACGAGGTTCTTCTTCTCCTGCAGCTTCGGAGACGAGTCTGGAGGGGAAGAAACTCCCCCATTGTTAAGGAAGCTTGCCCAAGTACGCGACATCTTTTCTGATCCTTGTTGCAGCCTTATAAGGCGAAAAAATAAAAATGATCAGTAGTTGCTCACAAAATATTTCATTTAGCACTTCTCTCTCCACGACAGCATTCCAGGATCGATAGCCCTCGGATCTTCTGAGTTGTACAACAATGGATCGATGATCATGACATGGATCGATGATCATGGATGCACAAAAAAAAAATATAGGAAAAGATTATGAGTGCACCATCCTAGACCTGCTCGCATCAACACGACTGGACACGACCGCAAACCGATTTTCATCTGCTAGCCATCGTCGGTCTCCGCACCGTAATCGCAAGCTACGTCGAGGACAGCATAGAACCGCAGATCAACACTTTGATATTCTTCTACACCAACCACGATTATTAGTCGAGGGTCTAGACGAGGGTCTGGACCCAGGGTGCTTCCGGCACTTTATTACTTACGATCGTTTCTCATATCCTGCTGTTCACTTTCTAGTACTGTGAAAAACATCTGCAAGAAATCAACTCTAGCCATGACACTAGAGTGTTCATTTTATGCTTTCTATACTCAGTTCTTTCCTCCAAAATGCATGATCATAGACTTTAATTTTCATGTGTAAGTAAGTACAAGTACATTTTCACTCTAGCAACATCGACGTGGTCGTGGTGTCAACAATGATCATTACAAGAAATCGAACTCTTGTAACTGCTGCTCCTGTTGAGGAGTACTTATTAGTACACAGCTCTGCAACTTTTTAGAAGTCAGTTTCCTCAAGTCAGTTTCTCTAGGTCAGTCAAGTCTACGGCTTCCGTTTCCTTTAGGGAGATCGTACGCAGTCAGTCAAACTAGCAAAAAGCAGTAAATCAACAAGCTAGCAATTCTATTTAGCAGCGAGTCATACGCAGTCCACCTCTACATCTACTTTTTTTTTTCTAAATTTTTTACTAGCTGCATAGGTGTTGAAAGCAGCTGCAAAGTCATCCGAACAAGTCAGTCATCAGTCAGTCAAGAATAACAGTCATCTCTATACCTTTGTAATTTTGAACCAGTCAAATCGTAACAGTCACTTTTCACTTTCAGGCGTGAAGGTCATCTCTAGATTTTTCATTTCATTTTCATTCGAACCTGTTCAAAAACCTTAACCTTGTTTCGTGGTGGTCTACTTACAACCAAGCAGAAGATTCCTCCTTCTGTATCTCTATATTTGTAAGAGACCACAGAACTATGCATGATTTACATGCTATAGTTTTTCTATATCCTACCTCGCCGCCTGTTCCCTTCGCCCATTCGGAGAATCGTACATAGTCCCGCTGTAGTTTATCTTCCGCATGCTCTGGGAGTACTCAAATTTTTCCGCGTGACGTCCTTTATCCTCATTCATTAGAAGGGGAAACGATAAGATGTCAACAGCTATTCAATTAAGATCGATCATCTCTTCAGGTCGTCCTAAGCGAAAAACAGAAAGAGATCGATCCTCTGAGAATATGAATTATCAAGAGCCTTAGATTGAGCATCGGGAGTCTAGTGGCATTTTTCTCGAGGAAGTCCTCGCGGGCGTAGTTCCTCGCTGGCGCCGAGTACCGGTCGAAATCGCGATTGGACACATACTTTTGCTCGTAGTCATAGTCGATGCCGCGAATCGCGCTGCTGATCTGCTTCAGGCTCTGCGTCTTTTGCTTCTCAAACGTGCCAGAGCTGTGCTTCCATGGAGCGGGAGCCATGTTACCTGTATGTAGTTGTAATTGTATGATTCTTGGCCGTGAAAGGCTAAGTCACCTCATCATCATGGGCAAAATCGTAAATCCTGAGAGTCTCAAATTAAGCATCTTGAACGGAGCAACCTAGCACATAAACTATTCGAAAAACTGAAATAAGCGAGTAACTACTTACAATAAGCGAGATACTGAACAAGGAAGAGTAGCCTTAAATCAAGCTACCTCCCTTATTTCAGTCAGTAACTCGGTTATTTTCAGTTTTCGCAAGTACCAACATGAAAGCTGCGTTTTGTATAGAGCGTCGGGTTGAATCCAGGCAGGTCTTGGTCTGTGTGTCGTGATACGTACAAGTTCGTCTTGACATTGTAGGGTGCCATGACGTCATTGTTCCGCATGCGTGCTTCGAATTCGACTTCATTAGAGCCTCCCGCAAATCATCCCTGTTCCCTGTGGGGATCGGGATCCCTAAACCCTAGCATGATCTCCCTTTAAAGTAAAAACGGCTGAAGCAGGATGATCCACACTGTACTATCTCTCCCTTGTAAGTAAGTATACGGTTGAAGCAGGATGATCCACACTGTACTATCTCTCCCTTGTAAGTAAGTATACGGTTGAAGCAGGATGATCCACGCTGTACTATCTCTCCCTTGTAAGTAAGTATACGGTTGAAGCAGGATGATCCACACTGTACTATCTCTCCCTTGTAAGTAAGTATACGGTTGAAGCAGGATGATCCACACTGTACTATCTCTCCCTTGTAAGTAAGTATACGGTTGAAGCAGGATGATCCACGCTGTACTATCTCTCCCTTGTAAGTAAGTATACGGTTGAAGCAGGATGATCCACACTGTACTATCTCTCCCTTGTAAGTAAGTATACGGTTGAAGCAGGATGATCCACACTGTACTATCTCTCCCTTGTAAGTAAGTATACGGTTGAAGCAGGATGATCCACACTGTACTATCTCTCCCTTGTAAGTAAGTATACGGTTGAAGCAGGATGATCCACACTGTACTATCTCTCCCTTGTAAGTAAGTATACGGTTGAAGCAGGATGATCCACACTGTACTATCTCTCCCTTGTAAGTAAGTATACGGTTGAAGCAGGATGATCCACACTGTACTATCTCTCCCTTGTAAGTAAGTACACGGTTGAAGCAGGATGATCCACACTGTACTATCTACGTAGAGATGGATGGATTATAAGTCTAGCGAACGAGAAGTTGAAGGATCCACTCTGTACTATGACTACGTAGAGATGGATTATAAGTCTAGCGAACAAGATGAGGAGCCTTAACCTGGGGAGCTGTCTCATCCCAGTTTTCTTCAATCCGCATGCTTGTTGGAAGTTGCTTGATCGTTCTCTCCAGAATTTTGTGCTTCCCATACTTCTTCTTGATGGCTTTGGGAATAAACTTCTGGTCAAATTTGATACCACGCATTCGAACCGGGTCCCCGTGCCGGATGGATTCGTACCTTGTAGAGGTGGAGTTGTTGAGGATACAACTGAAAGTCCGAGCCCAGTCTACCTAAGAATGGCACCTAAGAATTGCCGAGGAAGCAAGCAAGACGTTAAAAGAAAACAATAGTTGTCCATAGTCCTGTTAAGGCAACTATCAACCACAGCAAATTGTCCATAGTGCTATAATGTTGAAGGCCACAAGCTCATCCACATCAACAAAAAGCAAGCAATAATGCGTATTACTAAAAGTGATTATACTTGTCCATGGTGCTAAGGCCATTTTTTGTCTTGTCTTTATCGTAGAAGCCCCAAACATCGGGTCCTATTCGGCCCTTCTCGCGTTCCTCCTTCTCTTTCTTGTTGATTTCAATAATGGCATTTTCGTAGGTGTCTCCTGCTTCGTGGACACTCTGCCACATGCTCTTAGGCCCAAACTCTTTGATCCGCCTCTCGATAAGATTCGGGTCGAATGGCCTATCATTATGCTCTCGCAAATGCGGTACCTGGGGTTTTCGAGAAGATGTTAAACTCAAGTAGAGGAAAGAACGCTGGTCTCTAAGTTGTAAGTAAGCATCTGCTCTGTGAAGGAGTAATGATGCATAGATTATGTACTATGTATGGAGGAAAACCCTCTGGTCTCGACTACATTTTGTGCCGTAACTCAGTACCTTCCATATCCTCTTCCTACCACTACACTACCTACACGCAGGAAGTGATACAGGTACATGAGGAAGCAGTAACCTAAGCGCTAGAGACACTGAAACGCACCGCAAATAAGTAAGCGGCCTTCCTCTGGAAAAAAGAAGATAAAAGGAGAGCTTAAACAAAAAGTAAGCACCAAAAGCTTGATCCGATCATTACTTCTACACTAGCCACTACAACTCCCTACCAAGATCAAGTTCCTCATAGGTACCCTTTCAGCATCGAATATTTTCTTTGCATTGATGGGTTTTCTCCTCTCTGCTCCGACGGCGAGTCCGTGCCACTCGTTCTCTGCCCACGGAAACGTCTCGAGTTCCCATCTCCGATAATCTGTGACATCGCGAAGCGGCTTCTTGAATGTCTCTCCCTCTGCATTAGAGTGAGCGGGGATCAGCAGGGTGGAGGGGTGGATGATGTTCCGATACAAAGACACAGGCAAAGCAACATGGCGGATGGCACAATCACTGGTGATGTTGATGCTGATGTTACATTATGCTTATAATATACCTTCATCCTTTTGCGATTCCCTCCTAGGAATGTACTCAAGAAAAAAATGATACCGTATTTCTAAGAAGTCTTTTTGAAGATTCGACATCACAATGAATTCTTGCCTTAACTGCAGCCTTCGGATACTGAAAGGGAACTTTCCCAGCTATTGGTTTGTCCTCTCGCATAGCCACGTTTCCTGGCCTTCCAGTTGCAAGCTCATCGAACTCGAACGCAGAACCTGGGTTTAGATCGACGAGTGGAGAAAAGATGAATCTCAATGATAGTACGCAAATTAGTAAGCGTGGTAAACTGATAGAAGTACAGCGATGACTCTACTCCTGTGGGAATCCTGTAAATGTGCCGAGGCTTCTCGCAATCGGTTAAACTATCGGTGGTCTTAAACTATCGGTGGGCCAAACTATCGGTGCGCTAAACTATCGGCGCGCTAAACTATCGTTGGTCTAAACCATCGGGGGTCTAAACTATCGTTGGTCTAAACCATGTATCGGTCTAAAAAACATCATCAAAAGTGCAAAAAATTATACTGTTGTAAATCGGCGAATAGGTCCACATGAACTTTTCCTGCAGTGGCCACATCTGCTGTCGCATGTACTGTTTCTGGAGCTCGGAGGACTGTAGCTTCTGTCCAGAATAGATAAAGACTTCGGCATCCGGATCTAGGAATGTCTGAGTATCCAACGTGACCTTGGACATCGATTTGAATCTGGTGTTGTCCGCGCTCTGCTCTGCTACCTTTGTCATGTTGCGCCGCACCATGTTCGGAACGGATTGAGGGGTTAGAGGAGGACGAGAGACCGATGTCGATTTCCATGGAAAAATATCGAAAAAAATTGTTTACACTTCTCGATTTATGCGTGTCATCCTTGCGCAGGGGCCATGCTAATCTTCTCTGTATCGTTCCAATTTTAACGGATGACTCCCGAAGGAGGTCCAAACATTGCTTATATCCCAGATGGAATCTACTAAGAATAGCGGTCGAAAATATTCATTACGGGGGTAAAACTATGATTTGAACCGAGAAAGACAAAAGAACGAGTGATGCACATTGGACTACCTAGATGATGACTAGTATAAATGTGGCTAAGGGACTACACTAAGCTGTAAAATAAATGGGTACTTTAGCAACAGCATCCATCACACGAAGATTCAAACCATACACTTCTCCTCAGATCTTCTGCTATCTCGAATGCGGTGTTCTGCATATCGAGCTGGGATTTTCGGACAGCTCGCGTCCGGTTTAGCCCCGTTATCATGTTATTCGCCTGATCCATGGAGTCCGTGGAGATGAAGGGAGAAAGACAGTATTACGTCAAAAACTACTTGTTGTGGAACAAGAATCTTCCTTCATACAGAGAATTTCGATAGGATACAAAGCATGCAGCGCTTGCTAGCAGGCAAACGTCTTCTAAAGACAAGAGATGCAATGAGAAGAAGTACCTAGAAGTTAAGTCGGTCAACAAGTTTAATCTTCTCCCCCTTCTACTTGGCTGACCATAATTCATCAGGATTTAGATTTTTATAACCAATTTGAATTTCTTCATAAGATGTGTTGTATCCCCAGCCATGCTGTGCGCAGGTGCTGAACTGTGCGCGCCACCAGCTGCTGCCGCTTCCTCTGCTTCCTCTTCTCTCCTTTCCAGTTCCAACTGCAACAGCTTCTTTGCAAATTCTGGCGATATGCCTCCCGCGAGCTCCTCGTCGGAAATGTAGTCGCCGTAGAGAATTTCCAGCTTCGTGAGGCATTCTACTGTCGGAAAGCACTTCAGGTAGTCCTTGGCGTGTTGAATGCGGCTAGCCCGTTTCAGTTCTCGGAGTTGTTCCACGATAGTGAAGATCTCGGGCGCACACCTGGTGACGTCGTACAACTCCGGTTTTGTGCCGGTCAGAACCTCGAGATTCTGCCGTATCTTCACGTGCTTCAAAGAGAGGTTAAATCGCTGGTACAGCGTGTCCGAGAACCCGACCTGTTGATTGTGGAGAGAGTGATATGACCCACTTCCTGATGCTCCACTGCCGAAGCAAAGACAGACTCGACAAGACCATTAATCATGTCGAATCCAGATCTAGTCCTGACTAGTAAACTGATCCTCCCAAACTTCTTCTATCAAATCTTCAACATCAAGTACTTGTTGAATTGAGTTCTAAGATTCAGATTCTCTATCATCTATCAGCTTTGACAAAGCTAAAAACCATCCTAGCAACAAACGCAGTCTAACATTACATCATTGTTCCCTATGAGTCTATTTTTCTCGTCGTTCGGCTCCATACGTGGAATCTCCCGTAAAAGCCTCGCGATGCCCCCTTTCCTAAGACCCTCCACAACGAATATCCTACACTTTTTGTCTAACAGACAGAAGCCCGTCAGCACGTCTAATTCAGGATTCAGCTTCTCCGCATCGCTAAGCTCGTAGTTCTTCAGCACGCTGATATGCGCATTCTCGAGACCCACCGCTTTCTAAGGAATGAAAGATGCAGGGGCAAAGACAAAATTTCAGAGAGTCTACTGTAGGCTAGGTTGCGGATACAGTGCATGTGTATACTGTTGCGCACAATGCAACTAAGCAATTCGTTAGACCGCATGAGTAAGTGATGGGCCCAGGAGGTAACGCTAGAAACAAATTATACCTAGTGCCTAAGATGCTGAAACCAAACAATTCCGATACTAGACATCTAATAAATAGAGTACTAAATAACTCAATAGAGTAAGTATCCTATCAAGTAAGACTAACAAGTGAACTAGACTTGCAAATAAAAATAAACTAGACAATTACATCAAAACATCAGAAGAGGTAAAGCGGGACTATAGACACGGACACCTATCAATCCTATTCTCATAAGATTGACTTCGCGCACTATCCGAAGGACCTCGGTCGCAGTTTTTTCGTTTTGAATGTCCAAGACGTAAACAAGCCGTCCATATCGTTCGTGTTTGAGGTCGATGCCGGTACTTGAGGGGGGCACCAGACTATTCTTATTGGTGGTCAGCCATTCTTCTGCTTTCTCCCGATCCGCGATTTCCTTAAGCTCCTCCTCCAGGGCTTGGAATTAGAAGTGGTCGGCAGAGGACAAAGAATCTGACGATTTGAATCTATTCGGCAAGATGCCTAAGATTTCCCTGACGAGTTCTAACCGCTTTTCTAGCTTGTTGTTGGATTGTCAGTTGTTGCTGTTTCCCGGCTGTTCCTGTTGTTCCTGGTGGAGAAAGACGAAGGTCAGGCTTTTGCTTTGTTATTTGTGACCTAATCTGATTTATATCTAATCTGATTTATATCTAATCTGATTTATATCTAATCTGAGTATCGGAGTGAAATTTAGACCAAGTCCTTTGGGCACTTCCTTCTATCAGCACCTCGATTGGTACAAGTTGAAAATCATAGCGCTATGTATTCGACTTCGACAAAAAGCTTCTAACCTAAATGTTCTATTCTATTTTCATCTAGGTCCAGTTAGTAATATACAGACGTGACTCTACAGTCTCGGGAAGAACACTCAGGACTACATCTAGAACACTCAGGACAGGTCATAAGAGTAGTCTTCTTCACTTGGTGGTGCTTGGGTCGAGGCACGTTCCTCCTCAGTCACCAAGTTCGTCTTCATCCACAGAAGGGCATCTCTCTCCGCTTCCCTTTGTTTTAGTCTATAAGGGCCGCAGGCGCAGGGATTCTCAGGATCGAAGACCTCCTCTGGCTCTAGCATTTTGAACCTGTCAGGAGTGGGAGGAGGAGGATGAGAAGGAAAGTGGATTTGTATACGAAGTACCAATAAATACGAAGAAATAGAAAATACAAAAGGAGGTGAAGAAAGTTCTTCTGTACCAATCACCTGCACACTTGTAGTCCTTGTTTTTAAGGTCTATGCATTGTGCCTGGTGGTGATAGATGTAGGGCTTAACACGAGAACGAACAACATCAAGTGGAAAACTCAAAGTTACATCTTCATCTTTTTACAGCATGATATTAAAGGAAGCAAGATCATAAGATATTCACCTGTAATGCACACTGCCATTTTTTGGATCGACTGCTTTCCACACATAGCATCGCCAATCTTCTGGCGCGTCGAGTGGGTCCACTACTCGTTTTTCACTGGGATTCAGAAACTTTTCGGCCCTATAGACTTCGGCTTCTTTCTGAAGGTCTAGCCAGGAAGGCAGAGTTGCCCGTTTGACGAAGCGACACTGCACGAACGTGCCATGTTCTAGATACGGCGGCTCGAATTCCCTCAGTTCTGCAGTGCTAGCGAGTCTCGCTACTTTGCTGCGCGTCTCCCGGTCGAGCAGCGTGGCAGGGTCGAGACCTTCGGCTTTTAGCTCTTTGTATCTGGTGGTCGTCGTGTGGTGGTTTATTTTCTTGGATTCACTCCCAACGGATTTCGGATTGTGATTTTCCAGCATGCATCGGTAATTCAAAAAGTTTCATTGATTGAAAGCATAGATGCACTGAATGACAGTTCGAATCAACGAACCCCTTCTAGCCCAGGTAGAAATAAGTACCTAGTTAACATTTGTAGTCTTTGTTCTAGTCAGTCAGTCTTCGTTCTCCTCAGGAACAAATTACAACAAAATAGTGGCACTCACTCAAAGTCAAACCCCACATTGTAGCTAACAGTTTGCTGGCTAACAGTTTGATAAGGATAACAAAACGTAAAAATAACCTAGTAACAAGTACGCTAACTAACAAGACCTAAAAAAATAGCCTAGTAACAAGTACCTTTGTTTCACATTACTCCGTATTGGGTACAAGTCCGCACGCAAAGTCATGTCCCAACTGCTGGTTAGCAAAAAATCCGCCAATCGAAACCTTGCCAATCCGTGAGGATTCACCTTGGGCGAAACTTTTTTCTTCTGCGCTTCTTCCTGTTCGCCTGGGGGATCGTTGAGGTGTGTGTCGCGATCCAATTCGAGAAAGTTTGAATTGATCAAAAAAATCTAGCTCGAACAAAATCAAAAACTTGAAGATTCATTCTAGTGGAAGATATAGTTAGACAACTGATTTCAAGAGAAGTTGACACACTAATGTGTTGATGAATCTGATGGTCTAATCTATCACTTTAGCAGACGATCCGCTTCAGCTTCAGCCAAAAAGAATATTATTCTTGAATAGGTACTTCCCGAAACTCCAGCTGAGATTCCCTCCTCCGCCGATGCGCCGCTCGCAGGGTCGTCCGCTGGCGCGTCCGCGGTGTCTCGGTCGTGCACTTCTATCAACAGGCTGTCACTCATGAGCCATTCCCGCATGAGGTGCAAATTCTCCTGGAAAATGCCCAAAAAAAGAACCACTTTCGCGTCCAGGGGTATTCTTGGCGCGTGTTTCGCATAACAGTCTGGATCCAAAGGCGCCCGCACTTTGCCAATCTCCGAGGGATCTTTCTTCTTCGCCGTCGACGACCCAGAATTACTTCCGCCAGATTTACCTCCCTTCTGAATTAGAGAACTTTTTTTCATCGATGAATCATTTATGGTTAGTACTTCTAGATGGCGATCAAAAACTGAACAAAGCTAATGGATGCTGCAGTGGAAGAGGAACGAAAGAAAAACCACCTTGTTCGAGGGGCGCGGACGAAAGAGAGAATGTCTGCTAACATACGCAGATGGACCTTAGACAAAAAAGAATAACTACGTCTCCTATCAGTTAGTAGTAACAAAAGCCAAAATCCAAATCGAATTTTCCATCGCGTTGTCCTGCTCATAAGGGTGCTTTCTCCTTGCTTCCGGCAACAGCTGCGTCCTCGGTTGCACCTGGCACAGTCGGCGGCTGCCCCGAGTCCAGTTGCAAGTCTGGGGCCAGTGGTTTTGTGGTTGCGGATAACTGCGCGTAAACCTGCGCGTAGACACCCTGTGCCTTGTCTGGGAGCCAGGGCTCGTTCGGCATATTCTTCACTGCTTTCACCTCCACGAACACTGGCAGCAACAGCTTCGCCATCTCCTCTGTCAAAAGGGGCTGCTCCGTTCCTACGCACATCTCTAGCGAGAAGAGGCCAGGAGCCTTCAGCTGGTCTCTACGTGTGGACCAAACTTTTGACGGAAAGCTTATCGGCAACTTCGTTCCAGATGGCGACTCGTAACATATGAAAGAGGAAGCCAAAGGAGAATTTAGACGTTGTAAAAAGTAAAGTTATAAGATGGGAAAAGAACGCCGAGTGAGAGGGAGGAAGATAGTGAGTTGTGACGTTCACACCCTGTGGGCTTTCATCATAATTCCAGCTTCTGCCCCCTCTGTTGCCAGCAACAGTGGACTGAGAGAGATCCGACACTTCCCGCTCTCTAGGTCTTTCGTGAAGATTGTTGCCTCCATCACCGCCGTCCGCAGTAGGGACAAGAGTTCTAAAGTTAGAGGTAGGTTTTTGGTGCTCGCTTACCCCGCTTTTTCTGCCTTTCTCCCTTAGGATATTCGCATAAAAAGCGGTAAGAAAAGCACCTTTAACCTACCCTTAATAAAGTCACCGGTTGCGCTGGAAACTGCTTTGTGAAGGACACCTGAACCTCACTGCTGCTACTCGCGCGCTCGTTGCGCTCCCACGCCCCTAGGTTGGGCGGAACACCATCGGCGGGCGTATTCACACCTTGAAAATCGGCGTCGAGCCAGGTAAAGCCGATCCGAGTCTTCTCCAGCATGGACGGGTGGCATCGTGCGTTGAACGTGACCGAGAAAGCGGTTTGGTGGGGCAAAAGTTCCCCGAAGAGCTCCGGAAACGTCTTGCTAGCCGGAAACTCCACCTCTACGTCCGCACCCTTGTTCTTCCCCTTCGCTTTCGGCGCCATCTTGCGAAAAAAACAGCAGTAAACAAAGCGTCCGGCTGTTTCTCGCTTCGCGAATCAGTTGTCACGAAGTCCCGACGATCCCGAAGTTCTAGTGGAGGCGGACGCAACGAACTATGCCACGCAGCTCTAGTTGTAGCGGATTCCTTCGCTTCGTGATCGATGATGAAGCGTGCCTGATGATTTTCTCGACAAGGTCGGTCTGTCCAAGCAGCCCAAACTGGCGCAAAATATGGCTGGTCTCCCAGTACAACTCCAGTCGTTGCTTCCGGTCGTTACTTCTGGTATTAAACGCGACTTCCTCGTGGTAGACAGACAACGTCACGAAATACAGCGTCACGAAAGACAACTGCTACAGCCCCATTCGAGCCTCAGCGCCGTTGCATTCATACTTTCCTTGCTTCTCCACTCTGCGGCTTCGTGTCCAACAGCAACTACACGAGCACGACGAAAAAATGTCGAAAATGTACGCGGAAGACCGTACGGGATCGCTAGCGAAGCACCGAGCTGCTCAAAATCGTGAGCATCAAGGGGTCTCAACCCAGTTTCCGGTTTCGTTTATCCACGCGTAAAAAAAGCGTCCTCCCACAGTAGGCCTAAAGGCCGCTTGACCCACAGTCATGTACCTTTTTACTGCCTTCAAAACAATGGTCCAAACCATAATTCAAGAAATCTAAGTGCTTCGGGACCGTTTGATGCTTGTTGGTTGTTTCCCCGTGCGGTCTAGCGTGGTAGCCGTACTGAGTCATAGTTTATGGCGCAGCGGCGCTGAAGGAAAGTAGATGACCAAATGCTGGGTAAGCTGCAGTACCACAATACGAAATCGCACCCGACGAACTTGTGAGTACATGAGAAACTTGTCTTGTTCAAACGATTTAGGTTTTCTAGTCTCCTCGCCAAAGCAAGTGCAGACTCAAATTTTTCTCACGAAATCTATGACAAATCATCACGATTTCATCCTCAGCGCATCGAGCGTTAATTTTCTCTGCGCAGTAAACGTAGACACAGGGAAAACCGAGAAATCGTAGCTGTACCAACGACCGATACGCGACGAGTCTCTAAAGCCACACAAGGACCGAGGACTTGAAGCAGAATCACTTTCCAACGAGGACCATGCATCAACATTAGAAGTAGATGAAGAATATCACATTCTACCGTCAAAGACCCTTGAAGATGTGGTAGGCAGAAACTTCGACCGACACACCGATTGAATGTCGTGATCTCAACACCTCAGGACAACAGGTTGCGTGTTCTACAACGTCCTGTGACAAAAATGTCTCTGCCCTACCCTTTACCAGGTGGTCCTGGCACGTCACGATCTAACATTTCTTGAAGGTGCGGTGGTTCATTGAAGGTGTGGTAGCTCATCGATGTTTGCGTAGAATGATCTTAGAGATTCATTCACTCATTCATTTCAGAAACTGTAGGCTGTACAAAGTCACGATATCCGCTGGAATCACATTCATTTACCTAGCACGAGGTATTGTCTCAAAACCTAATTAGGATGCAAAGGAGTGGCTATTCGTTTTATGTACGAAAATGCTCACTCGGTTAGTAGAGCCTGTAGCTGAGTGCCTGGTTCCAGGCAAGCTGATCATGAGTAACATTTAATATGCTAATATGCCGTAGCTCCGCGCATCGACAAATCTGTGGACTACATTTTGAAACATTGACATAATAAATTTGTAGAAAGTAGTTTGCGCATATTACATTCGAAAAATCAGCAAGATAACAAATTCTAATTGTGTTATTTGTAGATAGCATGTCGTGGACCGTGGTAGATCGCTAAGAAAGTCTGTAATTCAACTTCTGTCTGTAATTGCAATTCATTACTTTCGCAGTAGGGATAAAAGTTGAAGGAAAATGAGTCGACTATTTCCTTGGTGCTTTAAGCCTGCCTGGAACTAAATCTCTACCGCCCTATACAAGTGGCAAAAGCCAATCAAGAAAAGTACGATTAACCATTGAATTCAACACAGCTCGGATTCCTTTCTTTGAAAAATTGAAAACGTTTAGGATAGTACATTTTTGTTCGAAACAAGTTGAGGGCGTATGTTCAATTGTACAAATGCGATCGAATTTCTCGTCACGATTAACTTCATAGTATCACTAAGTGCATCTCATCTATTCACGGAAGATTCTTGCGAAAGTCTTTCAATTGTCCTAACAGTTGTATATCACATTCACTACGAGCATACTCAGTATCTAAATCTGCTTCATTTAGAAGTAGTTCATTCTCATTACTATCTTCACGAGCAACCCATCATGCAAACACAAGGTCCGCAGCTGAACGAGCTTTCCTCCGAGTTCCTGGATGGGGGTCTGTGCTTTCTGCTCTGGTCTGTGTGTATGGCTTCGCTACCCACCTCCTCCAATACCTCCTCGCCTCCTGCGAAGCCACTCACCCCTTCAGCTGGTTCATGATCAGAGCTCCCAGTGCGTGCCCCTGTGTAGAAGAGTGGACTTTTAGAATGATTCCTGAAATGATACTCACAAAAGAAACTGGATGAGGTTGGATAGGTTATGGATCCTGCACGGATGAGAATGACAAATGCCATACAGAATATTTGAAGAACAGAATTGGTATAGAAGGAAAATCTAAAAGGAAAATTATGTCTACCAACCATCAAAAGAATTGTAAAAATATTACCTCCTAGGTGTTCAGTGCTTTCTCTTCTGTTCTATGTCTATGGCTTTGTTATCCAACCGGAACCACTCCACACCCGTCTCTCCTACCACGCTAACCACCCCTCCTCAACCGACCTCCTAAGTGATGTCCCTGTGCGAAAAAGTGGGTTTTTAGGGTATATGACCACAGCAATTTGAGCTATCTTAGGTACTCAGAAAAGAAATTGGTCGTTTAGGATGATGATTAATATAACAAACAGTATTACTTGAGCTCTTGTACCATAAAATTGCTAGCACAACTACATGCATAACAAATCTACAGATAAAACGACCATACGAGAACTTTCTTAAACATTACCTCCTTGCTGCTCAGTTTTTTCTGCTTTCATCTACATCTGTAGCAATACAGAATCCCGCAAATCCACAAAAACAGCCTCGCTACCCAGCTCCTCTAATACCTCCTCTCCTCCAACGCTAGCTTAGGAGTCCTCGGGCTCCTAAACATATTGTCCCTGTGTGTCAAGTGGGTTTTAGCATAATGCTCATTGGAGAAGTTACTCGTCTTAGGTTGCGAGACCTCTAGAGGAGATGGAGATCACGATTACGAAAGTCGCTCGTCTGAGGATGCGTTGTACAATGATCGGATGAACTTTAAAGGACGCCTTAGGCCGAAAAGAGTTCTGTGGTGCAGGGTCGAGGGCCCTGCGTCTCGGAGGTGGGACTTCTATCCGCAGAGATTGATGCGGAAACAATCTTTACTTATGCTAAGTATTTCCGCAAAATATTACAGTTCTGACACGCTAAGCGAAATAGTCGAAACAAATATATCGCGAAGCGAGTAGCGACAATAGGCTTTCGCTTTTCACATTCCACCACCACGCTCCAGCCCGCTACGGCCCTGCTCCTGTTGAAAGCCAAAGCGAAACTTTTGGATTGAAAGCCGTGACTTTTAGGCGATCATCATCGACGTAAGCCAAGCAACTTAGTCCCACACCCACGCACTTCTTGCTTCGGCTTTTTGTTTTCTTTGTGGTGCTCAGTGAGAGCTTCCCCGCCGGCTCACTGCACAAGCCTTCTGATTTTGTTGTTGTTCGTGGACCCCCGCAGGGGTCCCGGTCCTCGTTTTGTGGTGGCCTACCAGGAGCTTCGCTAAGCGCCACAACAGTGCAGAAATTCGGGGATAGACATGCCGTCGGCGCGCCCCCCCTCGATACCCGCTGCGCAGCGGGTATCCAGGAGGCCGCGCCAGAGGCATCTCTATCCCCGAATTTCTGCAAAGAATTTGATGGCCTGCCTGGATCAGCTGCCACTGCAGGCCCAGAGAGAAGGCCTCGAAGCCAGCATGGCCACCAGCGTCAGGGATTGAGTCCCAGCTCTGCCGCCAACCACGGGCGGAGCAGTGCGGGCTGCAGCGAGGGCGGCGGCCCTGGTGCCGCAGTTCACAACGAGAAAGGCCGGGCGCCAATCACTCCAGGCAGGCTCGTGGAGTACTAGCTGAAGTCCGTGAAACATGGAGCGAGTGTAACCACAGCAAAAGCCCCCTCGCACATATTTTTAAGTTTACTCGGCTGCTTCAAGTTTACGAGTAGAAACTGCCCCCCTGAGCTGGCGCTTGTGCTCGAGAGTGAGCCCACGCTCCGCCAAGCAACATCCCCCCACCCGCGATGAAGAAATGAAAACACAGAAAGGGGCCCGCCCTCCGCGCGCCCCCCGGCTAGCGATGACTTACTCGACGCCGCACCATCAGAAGAGTTTTCTCGCAAGTGAAAGACCGACGCACCCACACTCGACAGCAAGGCGCCACCACAAGCAAGCGCACGCCCTCCCTTGTGCACGCACCTCGCTGAACACCGCGAAAGCGCCCACTGCGACGCACCAACAACAACGACTACGACACGCAGGCAGAACCTCGAAATCCACCCCCGACGCCGAGCACGAGGACAGAGAGGGCACCGACAAGCCCCCGCCCCCGCTTCTCAAGGAGCCGGGCCCCCTGTCCACCGAAAAAGCACGAGCGCCACAGCCCTCCGCCGAAGCGGGCCGAGGTGGTGTCGCGGCGGCCTGTCACACCGCCGACCCCTGACAACCTGCACACCGCAGCGCTTCGACCTCAACAAAGACGCGAAAAAGTGGCCAGCTCGAAGCGCCGCGACCACACTAGCCAAGCGAGTAGACAGCCCAAAAGTTAGAACTTTTTTAGGCACATTTTAGCCGGAAGAGCTGCCCGGGCGTGTCTGCCTGATCTCTCTCAGAGGTTCGCGGAATGTGTACTAGAATAGTAAGAGAGGCCAGGGGATATCCAGTGAGCACCCCCTGCAGGGTATCCTCCCGTCTCCAAAATTTACCGTCCCCGTGAATTTCTTAAGGAGAGCGCTAACTTCTGTACAGAGAGTTAGCACAACCGAGAGCCAAAAACTTTACAGATTTCCTCCAAGCTCTACGACCGACGTTCACTAAAACCCACTTCAAAACACTACCTCCTTGCCCTTCAGTCATCTGCCCTCCTTGCTGTTCAGTTTTTTCTGCTTTCATCTTTCAATATCGGTGGCAATACAAAATCCCGCAAATCCACGAACAGCCTGGCCACCAAACTCCCCTGGTGCCGCCCGTCCTACCACGCTCCCCCACTTCCCCTCAGCTCCTAAGCAGTGTCCCTGTGTGGAAAGGTGGACATATAAGACTATTGGAGAAGAGCGTGAGGAATTCCTATTCACAAGGAGAAACTTTCTTACAGAATCAGCAAGATGGCGAAAAAGCTAGCAAGGTAACAAAATGGGTCGCAAAAAATCTCTACCACAAACAAAAAAAGCTTCGTCAAGATATTACCTCCCTCCTGTGGGGCGATCCCTATGTGAATTATCTTATGTATAGACGTTTCTCAACGTCATCCACAAGCCACCTACTTCATCATCGTTCGACAGAAACGCATCCGTTGTGTACGCCTTCGAGCTTTCGAGATGCCGTGACACCCAGCCGCCTTTGCCCTCCAACCAGCCCTCGACCGCGACTTTCTTTCGCCGAAACCCGCGGTCCACGGATAAGGCCACAACATGTCGGAAGGCCGCATTCTCCGGTCGGTAGAACGTAAACACGACGTAGAAATTGACCAAGGACCACACAACACTGCGTCCAGGAGGGTGCTCCATCTTCTTGCAAGTCCAAACGAACACAGGCACCTCTGATCCCGTCTTCGGCCCCTTCTTACGCGCTTTTTCTTGTTCATCACGTCTTGGGACAAATTTACTAACAAAGTCGGCATAAACATCTCCGTTCAAGACTGCCCTCACACTTGTGGCAGCGTATTCCACGCGGCCGCCGCCCCAAATACCAGCAGTCCCAGCAGTCCAAAAGAGAGGCCACCGAAGTGCAGCAGATCCGCTCGTGCCGTCTCTTGCGGCGGGATGTAAAAGCGCCGCGCCCTCCCCTGAGCGGCTTGGGGATCGCTTGGCGGTAGGCTGTTTCGCTCGTCACTCTCTCAAACACGCGGCGACACAGCGCCAGCGACTGAACCAACACAGCCAAAACTCCGGCGCCATCTGTGTAAAGATTCCGAGGCCCACCAGTGCCCCCCCCAAACTGAGACGCCTGGCCGCGGCGGTTCTCTTGAATCATGTGGCCCAACTTCCTTCCCGCCGCGCTGCTTCCCTTGGTTCTACTATACTAAGCCCCCGAAAAAAGGACGGCCCAAAACCACGAGAGGGCACCCGGTGGCCGGTCACGCTGGCGCGTGGGCTTTTTCGCGACCGTGATGTTTTTTTACTACAACGAAAACGCTCAGAGAGCGCGCTCTTCAATTTTTGCAAAAATCTGCCTACCGCGGCGGGCGCGCACCACACTGCGGCACGGCATGAGGCCGCTCGCAGTCATGACATACGCGATGGACCAGGGAACGCGAAGGGGTGGCGCCATTGGTACGAATAGGGAAACTTTTGGCCCAAACGCAAGAGCCTGATAAGCCATACTATTCAGGCTAGCAGCCTTAAACGCATCCACTCACTCATTTGCCTGTTCTGGAGGTATCCTCTGACGCCTGAGTGACATATAACTTAACGCCCCATGCTCTTAACACTTTGAAGAGCATGCAAAGAAATTAAAAAGCCCAGCTGTTGGCTATAGTTTTCCCACCCTCTTGCCGTGCGTTTTTGAATACTCTAAGACTTTTGAGCCCCCTTCCTGCATCTCCTCACATGCTTTCACAGTCGGCCCACCCTGCTAGAGAGTGCCTGAGTTGTCATTTCTGCCTCGTCAGCAGCGGAATTTATGGCACCTAAGGCGCTTCTTCCTCCTGGGCGGGTAACGTAGGTAGAGCAGACGCTGAGGAGCGAAGATTTTGCACAGGCGCACTCCTGCACCATGGCCGGCTCTTCCGGATGTCTTTTGCTGCGCGTGCTGTTCAGGTCTAAGTAGATTGCGCGCCGCTCCTAACTCAACGCCCGGGCACCTTCTCCCCGGTAGCAGCCTAAGGCCCTTTGTAGGTCCACCCTCATGATGACTCGCTTCGCGCTGTTTCATCGATCCCCCGGGGGTGCTACAATTGACGCCGCACGTTCTACGGTGATACCGCTCCAGATGCTTCCTGCGGTGTTTCATCTTTGGCCCCACCGGCCTCAGTCGATAAAAACACGAGCGAGGGCATCGGTGCTGCTGCTCTTTTTTAGCATCGTGCTCCCCCTTCGTTTCTTCTTTTGCCACCCGTAGGAGTCGTAGTGCTTTCACAAGTGAGGCCATCCCAAGACAGTCTACCGAACCGGGTGACATTCTTTAAGCTTAATGCGTTGAGTTAATTCGTCAGCAGCTGCTCTGCCTCCCCTCTGGTAAACCAATCTCCCAGCATTCGGCTGGAGGGATAGCTTTGAAAGGGATAGCCTTTCCGAAAACATTTCGGGCATGTCCCTGCTCAGTGCGGCGCCCTCCTTGCCCTTGTGTCACTTTGTGAGATGACTGAGGCCATTTCAATCGGCACCATTGGCGCCCCGTCGGTGTCATCTAGTGAGATAAGGGGCTCACCAGGAAAAACTAACGCCCTTACTGCTCTAACTCGCTCGGCCTGCCTTCTAGGTAAAGGCCGCCACCGTTATACTGCTCCCACCCACCTGACGACTAGCCGATCTCCCTTATTCAGGCAGACACACCCAAAGGCCAAAGCCAACAAATGCGGTTAGACTTTGGCTACAGTCTTCGGCTTTTGAGAAAATCCCGACCGACAGACACCACAACACACCCGCGCCAGCTGATCAGGCAGCCGGGGGCCAACAACCGACCCAACACAAAAGACCCAGGAAAGACCTCACCGAGCGAACCCGTGCCACCACAATGCAATAGCAGGTGCCCGCGGGTCTAGCGTATGCACCTGGGCCGGCCTCCAGCAAGCGGCCCCACACACTTCGAGCAAGACACCCGAGGGAAAGGCCCGACACAAAGAGCCGGCACAACACCAGCCCGCGAGGCTCACCGGCGCGGACGTTACGGCCACACTTCGAGGGACCAGCGAACCTGGACCCCGGCGCCCACTCCAGAATCACGCGACCCAACCCACGCAACCTGACTGGCGTGGACGTTTTAGCCCCACTCCGGGTTGGCACTGCTCAACGCGGGGCCTCAACGTCCACACGCGCACCCCCCAGCCAACCCCGCGGAGCTTGCAAGAGCACCAAGCCACGCTTCGAGGCCTGCCAGCGGAATGCGGCGGGTGCGTCAGGTGCGGCCCAGTGTACGTCACGGCTACGCGGCTCGAAGGTAGGCGCCCCAAGACCCCGCGGGAACCAGTTAAAAAGCCGGCTAAAGTTGAAGGTTAAAAATAAAAAACGGCTAAAGTTAACGGTTAACAAAACGGCTAGGGCCCAAGGCTAAAAAAGCGCCGATCTTGGGAACGGTTAAAAAAGTCGGCGGCACGTCCTTCCAAAACTCGGCGGGACTGCTCTAAACCGACCCCAAGAGCGAAAGTGGCCGACTTCTAGGCGAAGTCATGTGATAGACTATACTGAGCCGGCCGAAGCTTGAGTCTATCTTAGACCCTCTCAGTAAGTCTTACGCGATGTCACCGAAGTAACATACGCCAAACCTGTATGAGGAAAGAGAATGGACATCGTGCAGCCCTTGTTACGTCGGTCCTGTCTTGGGTCGTGCTTGTTCTTGTTGTGTTGTCCTTGTTCTGTCTTGGTCGTTCTTCCTTCTTGTGCTTACTTAAGTAGTTAGCTAAGTAGGCCGCTGACGCTGCGGAACTGATCAGAAGACTTCGGATTTCAGTGGGGATCTGGATCAAGTTTCGCAATGGGTCACAAATCACACGAGAAAAACACCAAAAAACTTTAGCCGTTTTGTAGCCTCTTTTTAGCCGTTTTTTTCCAACCCGGGAAAAGGTGGGAAAATTTTAGCCGTTTTTTCACCGTCAACCGGGACCCGGGACCCCACCCCCCAAGCCCAGACGCGACCCCCACCGAGTCCCCCCACCCCTTCGAGTGCGAGGCCCCGCACTTCCACGCGAGCTGTTGCGCCAACCGTCAAGCCCCGGGGCCGTGGCTCAGTGTGGGCACCCAATGGCAGAGGCACTCCCCCAAATGCCCCCGGCCCCTCCTCCACAAGGGGCGAGGCAAGACGACCAAGCAACAGAAGACAAACACAAACAAGCCCACCCCACTGAAAACCGCCCGAAAACACCCAAGAGGTCAGAAGTATCACACCCGAAGACCGGCGGCCTATCATCACCCCGAACAACTTCAGAAAGGCACCCCCTTCAGCCGACACCCCTAAGACATGCACCCCCAGGCCGAGCCACTCAGCCAAAGCATACAGAGCCGGAACCGATCGAAAAAAACGACCGAAAAAGCCCGGGCTTTTTCGGTCGTCTTTTTTGATCCGCTGCCGCAGATTTCAAGACCCGCGGACCCTCTGTAGAATACCAGAAAAAAAAACACAATCAGAAGCGCCTCCCTTGTTACTCGCAAACATACCAACAAAACAACAAGAGAAAGGCAGAAAAACCCCAGAAACGAAGCAGACACACACACAACGGCCAAGGGCAAGCGCGCGCCCCGCGACCCCAGAAAGCCGACTCTTTTAGCCAGTTTCTAACGCCATCGGTGGCCGGGTGCCCGCCCGCCTGGCCTTATATCTATCGAAGCGCCCCACCCTCCTTCGCTGGAACTCAATCAGATAGAGCCAAGTCGGCAAATCTGCTGACATTTTCGCGCGTCCTCGACTGATGCCATCACCAAGGGACGCGCTGACCACTGCTGCCCCAGTTGAAGAAAAACGGTAAGCATCAACCCCTACACGTGGGAGACTTTCTGTCGTCTGTTCTCCTCCAGTTAATGCGACTAAGCCGGCTGATGCGTCACAAGTGCACGCTATCGCCACGCTGATGCTTATCCTTGGAGAAAGTGGGGAAGTTGCTCCTCCTTTTGTGGCCCAAGTTAGTAGTAGCCGCTTCATTAGTCTGAGACCCTTGGCGGATCAGAGACTGTCCCCCCCCCCTTGGGGTGGATACCTTTGGCAGCTAGCTCTCCCTATAATTTCTCAGCTTCCCAGTGGGCTAGAGGCATGGCGCCTCTTGCCCACTCTGCTACTGTATCAAAAACAAACGCCACACCTGTGGCAAGATAATAGAACCCCCCTCGATTGGAGTAAGTCGGGCCCTCTTGTTCAGGTTCAACCTCTTTCCGTGCTCTATTTTGTAATGGACTGGAGCGCCCCCTGCTTGCTCCTTGCTCTAAAGCCGGCCGCAGGCTCTGGCCCTGGGCCTCATCTTCATCGAAGGAGCAGCTCAACCATCGAAGGAGTTAAACCACACCCCCTGACCAAGTGGCAAGCTAGCTGCTCCCAAAAGGAATACGCGACACACTCGACAGGCATCAGATGCCTCTCGTCGGCAACTGAGCGGCAGCATGTTTCTCGTCCAGCGGAAGACGGTGCTGCGCCTGTTCAGGCAGAAACTGCCCGAGGAGGGCGGCCCTCTCTAAGCCTGGCGACTCTGTCCGCATCACATGCCCCCGCGCCTTGCTTTAATGAAGTTAAGAAATTGCCGTAGCGGAGCGACTCCTGTCGCTTTCGGCAGCTCTGACCTCGTCACCTAAACAGTGTAGCGCTTCCACCTTGGGCCTCCAGAAACCAGCGCAATCGCGACCGCTTCGGTGGGTGCCAGCTTGCGCGCCTCTTCTGGGGCTGTTGCTCTTGCTTGTTGTCCAAAGGTGAGCGCGCTCCGCACTGTCGCCACCAGTACCTGTCCCCTAGCGACCTTATCTACTCCGGAGAGTCCAGCCAACCGCTTGCGCATGGCAAAATCAAAAAGATCCCCAAGAGTTTGCCGCTTTAGTCTTAGTGGTTCTGGTTGTATCGACGTCAAGGTCAGCACTCACGCCGTGACTGCGCTCGGCTATGGCGCACGCCTTGCCCGTTTATCTCTTGGCGCTGTTTTCACCCATTCCAGCACCTTCCAAAGAACTTACATACTAGACAGCCCCCCAATGGCGTCAGGGGGGCGGGCTGCCCTCCGCCCTTACGCTAGCGGCTTCTCTGTCAACCTCAACTCTGTCAGCGTGGCCTGGCTCGAGCTGCTCCAGGAGAGTGGTGCCGTCAGCAAGTAAGATCTTCACTAGGTCGCCTAATCGCGCCACACCCTCGCCAAGCGAGTCGCTCGAGAATAACAAGGAAGAGGCCCGCTCTTCCCTTTTCCAAGTCTGTGGCGGGACGTATGTGCCCAGACCCTCCCCATGCTCGCCTAGGGGGTTGCAAAGCTGGCTTGGTAGCCCCATGCATCATCATACCCAAACTGAAACTCAGATAAGAGTACAAAACCCCGCTGCGGTCTCCTCGCTTTCCTCAGCTTATTATTAGCGGGCGAGGGGCGCGCGCTGACTGTCTGCCGCAATCTTAGCAGCAACCCCCTCAGAAAAAGAAGCAGCCCGACCCTTCTTCGGGCTTTTTCTATCAGCGTCACGCCTGTGGCTTTCTTCTTCATCTTCTTGCCCTCCTTTTTTATGTTTTCCTGGGGACGGTGCTGCTTGCGTTTTATCGATAGATATAGTCGCTTTCCTGGCGCTGTTTTTCTCGAGACAAAGACCAGCAACAGAAGCAGCGCCTTCACCTTGTTGGAGGGGCTGCAGAATTTCTTTCAGCTGAGACCTTGCGCTGTTTTTGCCGTCATGGCCTGAGCGCGTCGCTCTTCTTGGCGTCCTTCTTTTATTTGCGTCACCTTTCACTTCTTTTGCGTTTTTCTGGTTGCAGGTTCCTCTCAGCGGTCTCCTTGTTAGTCCGCTAGACTTAAACACCACAAAGAAACAGGAGGGGTCTGGCTTGGAGTGTGTAGCATTTTGCTCAAACCCAACCAGTGCTCCTCCCTGTCAAGCCGACTGAGTCAGCATGTTCCCACGATCCCCTGGCCCCTTGGTCTTCCTCCATGCTGTCGCTTTAGTCTGTGAGAGCCTAAGAGTTTGATCGAGTGGCCACGATCTGAAGCAACCAAAGCGATCCCACTGAATCAATGGCAGCCAACTGGTCTGGTTCAATGGTGTCGCGCATCCCTCCAAGCCAACTTGAAAGGCCAGCGCTCGGGCCCTTGAAGCTGAAAGACCTGCAAGCCCATGAACTCCGCACGAAATTGCACGCAACGACGACAGCCAAAGACCTCAGACCTTTGAGGATGGCGCTCCATCCTTACCATGAATCCGCTACCAGACACACAGTGCTAGGCGGTCCGTTTACACTGACAAGGGCCCCGCAGGGGCACTAGCTTGAAAAGCTTAGCGGCCAGAGTGTCGATAGAGTCACACCCCATCTATCAGGCTACCTAGCTCCTTGCAGCATCCTCAAAGTTTGCAACTTCTCAAGAGTTGCACTCTCTCAAGAACTAGCCTGACACTCACCACTGCACCTAGTGCTAGTTCCACCCAGCATCTAACGCTAGTAACAAAATGGGCGCTGCAATCAATGACTTTCTTCACGACCCCCGTGCTGCGGCTGTTGGCGATACAGCTGGGGGCGGCAGCAGCAGGTCAACGCGCTGAACTACTTGGCAAGATTCAAGGGACCGGGATGGCGTATCAGCCCGCGAACAACGCCACGCGGATCCCCATACCGAATGCGCAGGGATGGGCAACCCTACTGGCCTTGGATCAAACGGGGGCGAAAGCTGAAGCCCTGGCGCGGATCTGGGGACACCCGCTGAACGTCCAGCAGAATGGTGCTGGGACTGGTGCGCCAGCTCCTCCAATTCAGGAACAGCCGGCTGCTGGGGCTGGAGCTCCCCAAGCTCCACAGAACGACGCAGCGAGCACTGGCAAACCCGGAAGACATTCTGCTGATCCCGCTGGAGGAAATTGGATCGCAGCACCCGTGAGCGGTCGGGTTCTGTCACTCAGGAAATTTTGGGCCAACTTTTGATGGGTGCAGCTCTGGAAATGACTGCGAGGGACAGCCAGCCTGTTCTTCTACTTCATCGAGCTGTCAAGGCTTCTCTCGGTAAAGACCTCGGTAACAGGATCGAAGCATCGATCACGGCAAATCAAGTGGTGGACAGCCTTCCCGGTGTGGTGAGCGAGCTCCTTCGCCTGTCGATGTATTTTGCGCAGGCTCAGGTGGAGAAGGAGACGACGGAGCTGCACAGCGCACGCTGGCGCAAGGGCGACCTGCTCGCGTTCGTTGGACAGCTTGCTATGCTAAAGTCCATGGCAGCGAAATGCGGCAACGAGCTTCCCGCGGGATCAGTCCGGGGGCGCATGATCCGGGACGTGTTGATCAATAACATCTCCACCAAGGACCCAACAGCAGCGCAAATCGTTCGCGATTTCAAAGGCTATCCACCCAGCACCCCAGGATATGGCGCAGAGGAACTTGCGGAGAAATGCTCTCGGATCATGTTCCTCGAGCATTCCGGCGAGCAGCAGGCGCAAGTCTTCTCCGCTGAGCTGGAAAAACCGAAACAAGACCACCAGAAGGAGACCACGGCGAACAACGTGGAAACCCATGGCGACGACAAAAATCCTCAGTCGCTAACGGACAAGCTGAAACGCACTCAAGTGCAGCGAATGCTGGCGCGCGCAGAGAAATCCGGTGGCCAACGTGACCGCCCGGCGCCCTACCGTGGTAAGGGTGATCGCAGCAGAGGAAGCAGAAACAGCCAAGACAAAGGCCACGGAAAGAGTGGGGGCCAAGGTTCAGGGGCGACGACGTGGAGCGAGGAGCACTGCTCGACGTGCGCCAAATTCTATGGCCACGACGAAAGCAGAGCTTACGCCTTTCGCAGCCACAACGCGCCGGAGCGCAAGTTCAAGCAGACCCAGACAACCAAGCCACCACCCCGCAAAGGCGACGGCAAGCAGAAGAAGAGGGGCAGCCGCAATTGACTAAGCGGCTGGAAAAACACCCTAAAGTTAGCCAAAAAGAGAAAAGAGGCGCTGCATATATAAGCAGCATAGAAAAAGTAGCCGTAGTAGTTTTCCGCTGCTTGGTCTCGTTGTTGGAAGCAAGTTTATCATCAGAATATAGCGCATTCCCAGCATTCGCATCGCCGTCGCCTTCTTCTGCACCGTCAACACTACAAGCGGCTGACGTGACACAGCCGAGAACTTTGCGCAGTCAAGTTCTCCTGCGTCTTCAGTCAGCGAAAATCTCGTAAGGCCAACCAAGTAGCTCAAATTCAACAGCCAGTAGCTCTTCACCACTAAAGAGCGCCCCACCACTGACAGCACCTAGTCCACAGCAGTCGCCTAGTCCTCCGGCGTCGTCTTCTTGTAACAACCGCCGCGCCGTCCTCGTGGGACAAGCAGACAACAGTAACGACAAAACGAAGGAGAACTGCAGCAAAGTCATTGACTCCGAGGCGAGCGCGCGCGCACATCGTTCGGGGCCGGTCTCTTTTCAAATCAATCGACAGCAACAAAATCGCCAAGGTTCGTGGTGTGGCTGGTGCTGATACTGGACGCATGGGACGCCTGAAGGGCAACATTCTGGGCAGCAGCATCCTTGTTCCCCAAACTTCCGGCGCAAGCCTTGACTAGCGTCAACAGGCTGAAAGACGACGCGTGGGAGGTTGCGCTTTCTCCGCACGGAGACACGGCGACGAACTTGATTACAAGAAAGCTCGCCAGCTTAGGAGCAACCGAAAAAAGGCTCCCTAGCATGCCGAGCCTCGAGCTACGGCAAGGCGATCCTCGTCCTGGGCTCTTCTGCTCTCCCATGCGCGACCAAGAATTTAGTGGCGTCGGTCTTGCTGAAGTTTCTGAGTCAGTGCCCCCCGCTGCGAGAAAGGCAGTAGCACGCGCTGGAAGAAGGAGGCGAGGCCCTCACGATAATCAAAAGTCTGCCCCCCCGTGATAAACAAACTTCGGCAGCGCTGGAGGATGGCGCACATCCATGACAAAGACAAGAGAGCAACGCGCCTCGACTGCACGCAAGCGAAGTTCAGAGGTATGGGAGCTGGTTCAAAAAGCTGCCCAGAATTGCAAGACAGTCCGCCCCTCGTGCTGTTCTCAGCAGATTTCTTCGGTCCAGTAAAGCCAACCACTTACCGCGGCAACAAGGTCGCCATGCTGTTTGTGTGCAACTCCTCCCAGCATATTGCCACCCGCTCACTCCCTGCAAAATCGTTCACCCCTCAGGCAATAGAAAGCTTCGCTGGGGAGATTCAGAGAAAAGTCGGCGCCAAGATACTGCCAGGGGAAGCAGCCGCGCAGCTGATTTCAGTGGGCCTCAGAAGTGACAACGAAGCCACGCCAACGTCAGCCGACATGGATTCGGTTTGTGAGCGATACAACGCCGCGCACTCGTTCAGCATTCCGCACATGCCGCGGACGAACAGCCACGCGGAACGAGCAGCGCAGAGTCTCAAGAACGCACTGAGGTCTGTGATGCTGCATGTGGATCCCCACATCTGGGGCTATGGTGTGGTCTCCGGGCCGTAGATCTCACGCGCGGAACCTCATGCCAAGGCTAGACAAAGGGAGTAGCATCGTACGCGCACCGCTAGAGAGCCTAAACAGCAAGGCCCAAAACCCGACGAAAAGGGTGAACGTCGAGAACAAAAAAAAAGCCTTCGCCCGTTTGGTTGTTAGTTTGGCTATATTTCGGCCCGGCGGGACGGAGTTAGCGAAACAAAGCGAGAAAGCCTCAGCTCTCTCCCCGAGGGCACTTAGAGGCGTTCATCTTGGTTGGAGCGACGACAACTCCTGCTGGCTAGTAGGCTGCCTATGCTTTCCCGCTCCAGCTTCAGAAAGGTTCGCTGTGTATCAGTGCAGCAGCGTCATGCCCTTGGAAGAGATACTGGCGCCAAACGTGAAACAGCTGCGCAGTAACAGCAGCGCGGCCCTAGACGAACAAACCCTAGGGAGGCTGAAGGCTTCGGTCGTTCCTGCTTCTGCTGAAGCTTCCGCTGGGGTAGTTCCAGGAACTGCCGCAGGGGAGTCGCTGAAGCAAGACCTGGAGGGGTCTTTGCCGGTAGGCCGCGCGTCAAACACGACGCTCGAAACCGTCGACGCCCATCAGGCTCCTGCTCCCACCGAGGACAGCGAGTCAAAAACGCACGCCGATGCCTCTGGCGCCGAACTTCCACCTTCCAAACAAGTGGACGGCCCTCCGGCAATCCAGTATGGGCCTCTTTTCCGCCCTGCCAGCGAGGTGAAGAGAGGCCGGCCCAAAGGTGCAAAAGACAAGCATCCACGGGTCCGTCGTACGAAAGCGCAGACCCTTGCGCAGCAGCGGCAGCAGTCTGTCTAGTTTTTACCACGAGGCGACGCGCAGCCACCTCGAGGAAGAGGACGGCGAGGAACTCATCACAACGCCCGAGAGCTTTTCGCTTTCTCACGAAAGATCAGGACGAGTCCAACACTCCACCGGGTGGCGCTACAACTCCAAGCAAAGCACTCAGGCACGAAAACCCGCACCGTCCGCGCTGGATAGAGGCGACCCAAGTAGAGGCAGCAACACTGGAGGCCTGCCGCTGTTGGCGGAAGCTGCTGACTTCTGAGTACTCTGACTTCTACGCCGGCAAATTGAAACGCACACCCACCGCACTGCTTTCAACGCGAAAGCGCTGCGGACGCTTCAAAGCAAGACTAGTGGTTCTTGGCAACCGTTGGCAGGCAGAAGCCAGCTCGGACGCTTCGCTCTACGCAGGCGCCGCGCCGCACCTTGGAAACCGGGTAGCGCTGATTTCCGGGGCGAGAAGAAAGTGGGCGACGGAGGCCCTTGACATCGGTAGCGCCTTCATCCGCGCAAGCATCCAGCACCACAGAGCTGTAGTCTCGACTCCCGAGCAGTTCCGGGATGGTGAGGGAGATGGTGGCCGGCGTCTTCTCCTGGAAGCCTTATACGGTCTGCCAATTTCGCCCAAGCTTTGGGGTGATCAAATTGCCAAAGACCTTCGAAGCCTGGGCCGGTGCGGTCAGAAGCTGAAGCGGAACCCGGCCTGTGGCGTAAAGTCGACGCTAGCGGCGAGCTGATCGCAATTTTAACCACCTACGTGGCCGACCGCGTGGCGATTGCGAAAACGGAGCAACTGGCGGATGAGTTGACTTCCCAGGTGCACAAGCTGCACCCGGTCACGGTGATCAACATGGAAAAAGCACCAGAAGAAGCGAAGACCTGCCCGATGCTGTGAAGTTCGACACACTTGGCGCGGCCTGCATCTACTCCAAACAGCGCGGAGCCTTGCGCACCAAGATGCGAACCTACGCTGCTAAAGTGCTGAAGAAATTTGACACGCATCAGAAGGACCGGAAGACTCTGCCTACCCCGGACTTCGAGGAGGGTCCGACGTACGACGAAAACGCCACGCCCTCCACCTTCCCGCTCAGAGCACTGGTCGGCGCACTACAGTGGTTGACCGTGACAGAGCGCCCTGATCTTGCAGCAGCCGCCAACAAGCTAGCACGAGCAACGGCCAACAAGGTCAGCAAGGCGATGGAAGCCGCTGGGCGCAAAGTGCTTCGCTATCTGGCTGGTGCCAAGGATGTTGGCGCCAAGTTCTCGCTTCACATAAATACCTTACACATTTTCGGCAGACTACTCCCGGGCAGTCTCGTCACGTCTGCAAGTGTTGGCCACTCATTTACTCGCGCTCTTTATTTTGGAGCTGATTTGAGGCAAGCGCGTGGGCCATTGCTCGGGCTTCAGGGGGTGGGAGCCCCTCCGTCCCTAAAAGGGGCCCTCGCTCCGCGTGCATCCAAACCACCTACATGGCCTCTCTTCAGACAATCGTGCAATTTTTAGAATTTGTAGCGCAAACAGAACCAGCGCACCGCCAGGCGGTGCCTCTTCTTGAATTCGTGACGCCTTCGCGCGATGTCTGCACTCGGCAGGCTATCGGCGATGGCACTCCGTGGGCCTCGATCGTCATGCGCTCCCACCGCCAGAGCTTCTCTGCTGCGGTGGAACCTGGTGCAGGCTGTCCCTGTGTATGTCAGAGAGTGGGTCTAGGGTCGTCTGTGAGATGGTGTGGGCGAGCTTGTCGTCGGTGGCTCGGTTGCAGCTGGGCCTTTTCTCGCGGTCACCTAGACACCCCGCAGGGCGATAGCGCTAGTTGTTTACCCTCTTGTAGCCCCGCTAGATTCCACGAGAAAACTCCAAGCCGCTAAGTTTTCTTTTTGAGGCCACTTCGGCCCCATCGCCTTGCTAGCGGTTGCCCGATTTGGGGCAAAGAACTGGGCGCAGCAACTCGCGGGCTATAGCGCAAGACCCCCACCACGCTACTCAAGCCTAGCACGCATCACACCAACCAGCGAGCACCCCAGCCGAAGTCAGCCGCCGCCTGACAGTGACGCCGCATCCAGACCAGAAAAGGAGAGGCATGGGCATACACGATGCGCCAGTGGTTTCCTCTGTGACGGTCTGGATCTCCGAGCCATTTGAAAGGGTGTGCCCGTCAGCATCAAAATTGATTTGGTCCTCTCTTGATCACCTCGCCACTCTCAAGACTCTCTTCCTTCAGCCTTCCGCCAAACGACCATAATCTCAGGGCAGTCGGACTATGGGCATAACGCTGCCCCATGCAGTATTGCTATGAAGGATTCTTGACTCCGACTGCTAGTTTTTTTTACGAGATCATCGAGAGAGTAGTTTTTGCCGTGGTTTCGAAAAATACTCTCCCAGAGCGTCATGACGGAATCGGGGAGCCCCTGTTCTTGTTCTTGTACTACCAAGGAAAGAAACGCATTAGCGCTTTCTTGGATGTTTTTCTTGTTCTGATGGATCGCCGTGCACGCCAATGGCACAGCGTAGAAAAAGAAGAGTACTGCGCTACACAACAGTTTCAGCAACGTTGTTGACATCGCCATGCTCGATGCTCGACTTCGCGCAGAAGCGGAGGCCATGGTTATAGCTTTCCTAAAAAAGTGATAATTAATAACTAGATGACTTACGACAGTAAATACGTTTTCGAAAACTCTTTTTCCAGTTAAGTACGTTGATTTTGTTTCAATCCTGCTTTCGAATGCAGGGTAGTCGGATGATATGAAGATATGACCCAATTATATCACACACTTGTGTGTCTGCTCAGTAATTCATTCATTCATTCATTACTCACAAAAGATTACTAGATTTGTAGTTGATGATGGGAAAACCGATTGAAATTTGAAACCGATGGAAACCCGACACAACATATCCATCTTGAGTGTATTATCATGCATAGCCCATTGCTTTTGCTGGTGGACACTCCTAATCACTCAACCACGGAACTGACTTTTGCCGGCGGTCAAGGCTCTCCTCTCAGGCAACCATCAACATGCTACACGCTCCGTAGGATAACAGCCTTCTTTTCAATTGGTGAGACTAAAATGCTCTTCGTGCTAAAAAAGTTCAATTTGGTTTGCCATTTCAATATGCTACGAACATTATTATCATTATTATTTCGCGCGCGACCCGACCGCCTCGCACGTTTCACGCCCTCAGGCGGGCCTACCATCCGTTGCTATGGACACCGATGTAAGGGCTCTAGGGACCTTCCTGACCAACCGATGGTGATGATGGGTTTGATGGGAAAATGCGCAAACTATTGCGCTACACTTCTTTACTCCAATCTGATCATTCCTGCATCCTCCATGCGGACGCGCACGCGGCACCGTGCGATGCCCACCGACAAGGGATCCTTCCGAACAACCGTCTCCCCCCGCAGCCGCTCTATCGCCTGCCCCTCCCCCTGCGCGCGACGAGGATAACGGATGGGCAGCACTTACACTGCCCATCGACGCCCTCCTGCCGCGGGACGCCCCGTCTCCGCTTCGTGCTAGGGCCGCACCGCGGCCACAGCTCGCTGATCTGCAGGCGCCGGCATCACGCCATCGCAAACTCTCGTCTCCCGCCGTGCTAATTAAACAAGAAGACCGCTTCCTTCTATCTACTCCGTCTATACTACCGTCTCACTTCTCATCACCCGCCCCTTCCCCGGCCCCGTGCGTTCTGTCACAGCGGTGAACAGGCGGGCACGCGTCGCTTCTTCACTTCAGAAGAGAGTCCCTTCTTGCAGCCTGTACAGCGCAGCCTGCCGCGCATGCCTATCGGCAATGCAGCCTATCTCAGTTGCCACAATAGCTCTTGATGCTACGAAGGTCTTCTTGAGTTGCTCAAAGGCGGCAAAGAAAACTTTTGTCTGGAAAAGAATCTACTATGATATGAGAAATGTGAACCGCAAAGACGATACGACGAGAGAGGTGGACATCGTAACATTTACCAGCAATGTATGGCTTGGAACCACCACATGGTAAGAATCGTCGACATCTAGAGGCGTTTGGTGCAATCCGCGTCTGAGAAGCTCGCCCCCATAAAGACCACTATGCTCCATCCAGTCCTCACGGCGTCATCCCACACCACGTCCTTCCTGATTGGTGACTTTATTCACCTCTCGTTCCCTGACACCCACACCACCTCCACCTTCTATCATTATTGCTTTAATGAAGATATAACCACCTCCACCTTTTACCTTTGTGGCTACAGATTTAGTCGCATTCATCAGGACAATTTAATAGCAAATATGCAGCCTGCTAATCAAGAGACACAAGACATGCTAGCACGCTTTATAGATAATCTGCGAAAAATACTAGAAACATCAAATCGCAAGAAGATCCGGACCTCATTTTTTTTTGCGCAATTTTCGTCCGGATCTCCAGCACTAATGATGACCTTTTGTAATATAACATTTAGATGTTGACATGGAACATAGCATCATGAGCATCTTCCCACTTTATTTTGCTACGATCCTCATTGTAATTAGTCGCTGTATTCTCTAAACTTCCTACGATGTTACTTCTGCCTTCTCTTCCTGAGCAGGTTCTACGTGTCACATACAACCTACCAAGAAAGTAAGATCAGATTTAGTCTCCTACCAAGAAAGAGAGATGATTACGAAAAAATAGCGAAATTTATATGTATATATAAGTACCCTCTAATTTCGGCTGTCAGGCTCGCCCAGAGCCAAGTTGCCGGTATCTTTAAGTGTATGCGCATATCACCAGTCAACGCGTAACTACTTTCATCAAAGAAGTGACCATCAAATGATCCATCACTTTCATCAAATGATTAGTCTGTCTAGTACCTGAATCCCATTTGTAGTATTTGGAAAGCACGCCGCTTCAGCTTCATAGCTTCCCATTATAGTGACTATTCTTACTAGTGACTATTCTTACTCACGAACCCGTCAAAACGATAACTTGCATTATATTTCTATTTTCTTTGTAGGTAGCCTCCTAGCCTCCTTCTAGGTACTTATGTACGGTCAAGATATCACCCCTTGCCTTGCTCCATCAACTTTCTGCAAACTTCACCAAGGTCACCAGTATCCATTTGTGAGAAACGACAGCCAACAAGAGAATGATACACAATCATCTTCAAGAGGACCATGACGCACCCAGACGTGCAACCTGCGCTAGTACTTGGTTCATCGCTATCTACCAGACTAACGCTGCACGATGAAGGTCGCCCTCGTGCAGGCGAAGGAGAGAGCAGCCATACGCAACAGCGGGTCCGTGATGCCCATAAAATCGATGGTCACATAAGCTGGTGTACAGCATCCCGCCAAACATTAGAGGAGAGGCGCAGACTGCACCTAGTATCCTACACTACTTGTCATGTCGTGGTGCCTCTCGTGTAGCTATCATTGTCTACTTTTGAGGCCATTCAAGTATTACAGACCAAGTAAGCCAACTATTACAGACCAAGATATGACAAAGAGATGATGACGCGAATCTATTGGGCAAATTATTCCCTAAGATTACGATGAGATACAGATGAAAAAGCACGAAGAATAAGCCTCTCATAGCCCTAAGATGAATAAAAATTAGATGGAGAGAGATGAATATGACTGTTCTATTGTTTTCCCCAGTCAAGATTGAAGATTTTTTGAAAAAAAAAAAGCCTTAAAAATGGAAGTGAATTAGCGAACGCAGATGCTTTCGCTCGTATCCTGCAACGCCCTCCCAGGTGAAAGGGGCCGAACAGCTGCAGCACGGTCGTGACGCCTGAGCTGGCATACGCATCAGGACTTGATCTGAGGAAGGGCAACAGACTTGATCTGAAAAGGCGAGAGGGGAGCCACGGAGGAATGCCCTTCTACTTATGCGCTTGGAGGTGGTAATTGGAGCTAATTGGGAGCAAAAAAGGTACCATCTGCGTCTGGGTCTTTCATCCAAGTAAAACTAGGCAAAGAAAGGTACCATGATCCGGGTCTTTCATCTAAGTAAAACCAAGTACGTAAAAACAACAAGCAATACTTGCAACTACGTGAAGAAACCACGTACTACCATCCGCATCTGGGTCTTTCATCTAAGTAAAACTAAGTAAATCTAAGTAAAACTAAGTAGTACCATCCGGGTCTTTGATCTCAAAGTCGTTTTTACAACAACCGGCAGAAACGATGCGACCAGTTCCTGCGTGAGCCCCACGCCAAACGATATCCCACCAACTTTCGCAGCATTGCATGCGGTGCATATTCTGCAAATACAGTCCTCCGGACAAGTTCATTACCTTGGGAGGTCATGCACCAGGATACCAATTGAAACTAGGAAAAGTAGGTATACCCAGTAGATTCATTACCTTGGGAGTAAACCTTAATCAAATCAGCCTGACAGGATAAACGAATTTATTAGGACATGAGACACAAGAAGCTGTGAATCATGCTGCATGATTGAATAGAAATCCATTCTTATTCATCAAGGTACCACGTGACAACCTAGGGGACTGCCTGGCTCAGAAGCGATTTCTGTGAAATATGCTTTCCGTGAAGAAGTGACGATTTGAATCTATTCGGCAAGATGGCTAAGACTTCCCTGACGAGTTCTACCCGCTTTTCTGTGAAGAAATACCTGAAAAGTGACGTCTCCTCCGCAGAGTGGCACGATGAATTCGCCTTTGTAGAGGAGTGGCGCGGCAGCCTTAGCCTTACCCGGATTCCACACCGCAGCGTCGTGCTCCAGGCGGCGCACAGTAAACTCCGGGTTCGTGCAGCATTGCCCAGTGTTCTCAATCCAATGCGGATTAGAAGCAAGTACAAGATCTACCTGATTTTCGAAGTATTCTCAATCCAAACCGGAGTAGAAGCAAGTACAAATAACTGCCGGAGCTAAGATAGGATCAGGATAGATCTGGATTATAGACTTAGATGCCCATCCTGTCCAACTTTGGAATTCGATAGAGATTTAGATCACTCAAAAACGCTGGATCATTTTCATTATGAAAGCACAGAGAACCACGACTACAGTTACAGTTTGCTGATTGATTGATTGATGTGCCTGGCAAGAGGTCAAGTTAATTGGGCTGCAAGATCATATTTGTAGAGTCTCATAACAATTCTGACGCCAGGCAGACTCGGATCCATCAAGGGGTCTATAGGACCACTGGGCTGCATCGGAATCGAGAAAAAATGAAGGCGCTTCTACCTCATCTCAGTAAAAATATTTGGATTACCATGTCTTACCAATAGTTGACGTTTATTTCACCTGGAAAGTACAGTTGTGAACTAGATTTTCGAAAAATTCAGATTTTCACTTTCTTGTGACGGTAGAGTAAGTCATGTTCAGGCAATAAATCTAATGATCCTTCCATCATAGTCATCCCTTCTGGAACAAATGAGGTGAGTGCTCTGCAGAGAAGGCTTGTTAGATCGCTCTCTTGTTAGATAAAGATAGCACCCTTGTTAGATAGCAGTCAAGCTAGACAGCCATAACCGTATCCGTTTGCATGAGGGACATTGATGTTCATCACGACGTTATTCGGCGGCTGCATCATCACTGGTGTGGAGGGTGCCATCATCTGACCAGGCATTTGCACCTGCTGAGGCTGCTGCTGTTCTTGGCCTGCTTGGTATGAAAGGGACGCAATCATGCTAATGTAGTACGGATCGAGAACCTTGGTAGAAAGATCAAAAGGATCTACTACTGGTGCTGTCCAGGAAGTCTGCTAATGCAAATCATGGGAGCTTTGGTTTCCTAAGTAATTCAGAGTCCGAGAGAAACTACAGAGTGTCGTCATCCAGTGGTGTAAAGAAAGATGGTTACCTTTTTTTACCGTTAGGAATGACACGCAGAAATGGGGAATGTCGTCATCCAGTGAAGACGAACCCTTTTGTCCCTTTGTTCTCAATCAGTGACGCCATAAATGGTAACCTGCGTGCGTCGGCTCCATCATTTTGGTGAAATCGTTTGTGTACCGAGCAATGCAACTATACGAGGAATCAATCAGCGAAGTCAACGAATCAATCGGAAGATTCAAGTAGTGATATGTGCGTGTATGACAGTATGACAACAGTATGAATGTACCCAGTACACTTGATATGTCGGTCTCGTTGTTGTGCCAGTTATTGATACCTGATTATGTGAAATTATTCGGCAATCTGCCTGAGAAACTGTATGCGAGTATGTGTGCTTTCTATTTTCCCTAAGCGGTCCTTTCCGGTGCTCTACTAGCTAGGTTTTTTCTCTGAGATTGGAAGCGAAAAAGTTAGTCTCGTGTTACTCGCGTCGAGATTGATTGATTGATTGATTGATATGCCTGGCAAGAGGTTGGAGAGAACATAATACTTCAGAACTCGCGTCGAGAGAACGTTCAATACTTCAAAATCGGCTTTGAGACACTCCTGTAGCTAGGTAGTGCTACTAGTTACTGTTACGTACTATTGCAGTAATCACTCCTAACTAGACATAGAAGCTGTACCACAGAAATAAAACTGCCAATACCAATGACAGCAGAACTCGGGTCAGGCCTGACCTCGTTAGTTTGATGCTGCAATGTTAATTAGGACAACTTCCTGCACAGGCCACAGGACACCTTTCTTTTTGCCGAAGACAACATTGGATCCACGCAAATATCTTGATCCACGCTGCATCAAGATCCACGGTCACTACATCCCTAACACCCACAATACTCGGCCGTCGGACAAGGCCACTGATCAATGACCACACTATGATGTCTGTCCCCACTTTTGCTTGTCGCTGCATGTACAAGAAGATTGGATCCCCACTGGCACGCTAGCAAGCATTGAAAAAGCCAAGCTTCACTGCAGCATTGAAAAGAGAAGTGTCGCTGAAGGGTTTATGACGAACACATTCTTTCGAACACAGTTTTCCAAACTAGCCTTTTTCCAAAGCTAAGCAGAGTACCTGTAGCTTTGAACAACTGCTAGTCAAAGCGAAAAAACCTCTAAACAAGGTGGTGCCATTGCAAGCACGTACTAGCTGTTGATAAGTACTATTTTCACACACAGGGACAATGCTGGTCACAGTGTCGTCAGATGTAGATCAAGTTCAGCAAATTTAGCATCGAAAATGTGGCCCACCGTTTGTCTTCCCTGCAAGTGCGCGCAACGTGTACTAAACTCCAAACGCGTGCATCCAGGCAGTGCACAAGTGTAAGAATCAGACAGGCCACGCAGTTACGCCTGGCAAACCTACTTCGAGAAATCTCATTTGGTGTCGGCATGTTCGGCAAATATCCAGGAATGAGAATCACCAATTATAGTCTAAAAGTAGTATCAGTCGTTATATTTCAACCTCCTACAACCACCTTGTTGTTGTTGATATACGATCGATAACTTTCTTGACTCGAACTATAGTTCGTCTCGTTCTAGTACTACCTTCTACGCACTTAATACAAGAATAGCTGTATGTAGTTTAGCTAGTTCTTTCTACACATTTACAGTCTGTAAACATTAGTGTGTAGTAAACAGTAGTGTGTAAATAATGGTTGTACTTCCATCTCCTTAATTTCTTCTACATCAACCTCTTCTTTTGACTCGTGGTGGGATAAAAAAATTATAAGTGTGAGTTGTGATAAAAGTGTTTTTAGTAATAGATGAACGCTTTGCTTGCGCCTTGTAAAATTTTTTCGGTATCAGAAAGTATAGCGGTAAAATTAAGTTCGATTTTCAACAAGCATCATCATTATTCATTTTCCTGCTTCTTGTATAGTCACCTTCTATCTCATTCGTTATTTTCTACTTGATGTCTCATGTCGTCGGGACAAGTTATATATAGTAGTATTGCCTTCTTTCTATTTGTTTCATATGCTTCATGTCGTAGCAACTCAACTACGCAATTCTTTTTCTCGTGTCAATTCATCATGATATACAAATTAATAAGTAGTAAGTAACTTCTTCAAAATATATGCATCTGATCTTCTTCAGCATAATGCATGTCCTTACGCCTCCTCTGCAGGGGTCAGATCTCCCCCTGGCGTGACGTCGCCAGCATAGATAGGCTCTTCACCAGGCGTCATTTCGGCACCAGGCGTGATACCTTCTTGCGCAGCGGCAATGTTCTGCTTGGTCTGTGGGATTGATAAATTGACTGCTTGATTGACTGATGTGCCTGGTGGCAAGAGGTAATTATAACTAAGTTCACAGGGAAGGAGAAGATAGAAACCGGAAAGAAATTGTGTGATTATGCTTGTGAGTAGCGAGATGTTTATCTTTGATTGAAGTAGTGCCAGTACTCTCTGATGACGAAAACAATAAGATGGGTGGAGCCAAACTAACTAGGAAAAGAAAAAGGAAGGAATGTAGGTAAAGGATAGAGTACCTCCATAGCTTGAGCGGTTCGTGCGTGCACCATCTTTTTAATGGATTCATCGCTTAATGGCAGGACGCCTCCACCTGCCACAGTGACGCGCTGCAACAGACTATTGAACTCGGGATCCTCCCGAATGGTCAGCTGAATAATCCGCGGTGTGATACCTAGAGGCGTCGTGGAGGAGAATTTCGGTCCATCAAGATCTGTTGCGTCATTGAAAACATCAGAGGGTGACATGGGGACATACCTAGAAGCAGAGGAAAAGAAGGGTGAGAGGGGGAGATACCTAGAAGCAAAGGAGGAGGAGAGGGAGATGGGGAGATACCTAGAAGAAAAGGAGGAGAAGAGGGAGAGGGGGAGATACCTAGAAGAAAAGGAGGAGAAGGAGCAGAAGGAGATAGTGAGAGGGAGAACAAGGAGGAGTGATACCTACAACCAGGAGGAGCAAAGGGATGAGAGGGAGGATTAGGAACAGCATTGGTTTTCAAGAAATGTAGCCTGTCGGTGTATAGATAGAAGCAAGAGAATGAGTTGATTGGTTGATGTGAGGTCAGTTTCTACTTGATGTTGAATGTATAAAAAGTACGACTCCTCTTGGGTCCATTTTCCGCCTTTCCTCGCTTTGCGCGATCACCAGCGCTCTCGCACATTTCTGCTACGAGATACTCTAAAACTGCTGCCATAAAGACTGCGGCGGTACCACCGACACGAGCGTGTGAGGGAACCTGAAATTTGAAAATGCGACTTCCCAATTATAGTCTAGGAGCAATGTAATCAGACATAGACTTCATCGTATACGGTGTCCAAGTTCAAGTTCAAGTGTCGTCTAACAAATCAACATCAAGAAATGAGATAGATAAACCAGTAAGATAGAAAAAAGAATACACGGTGTCGTCTACCAAATCAACATCAAGAAATGAGATAGATAAACCAGTAAGATAGAAATATCTCATTATACCAAGTGTTTCAGCTTGTTGTGAATTCTTGCGACCGGAAAAATGACCCCTGCACGTGCCGCGCGCGTGATACCAAGTTCTTTCTCCTTCGATTTTACTTTCTTTCCCTTCAGCTGTAGTGAAAAAGAAAAAAGAAATCAAAATTTTCTCAAAGAACGCAACAATAATCGTTAGAGCGTGACAACAATCGCTATTCCCTGATCATCCGCGATTCATTCATTATTTCTAAGGAACTTCTTTGGTCTGCACTAAGCTTATATCACTACATTATTTGAGAAAATCAGTTTCACTACCACAACAATCGCGAGAGCCTTAGAATTCAAGAAACGATCTTTCTAACAAAAAACAAAAGGTATTTTGTATCTTTTGAGAACCCAGTGTTCTCTTTCTTCTGCTGCTGCACTGCGTCAGGACATTTTTATGTCTGTGTTCATTCCCTTGAGCCAAAATGGCTACGAGTAGAAGTACCTTAGCATCGACAAATTCCCTTGAGCCAAAATGGCTACGAATAGAAGTACCTTAGCATCGACAAATAGAAGTACCTTAGCATCGACCTCCTCCATGCTGAGCTTGTCTGCTTTCACGATTTTTTCCTTCTTATCGTGCAGCAGTTCGTCGAGGATCACTTTCTCCTTCTTACCCTTGCTGGAGAACATTTTGTCCTTCTTTTTCTTCATCTCCTCCATAGGGATGGCGGGAGCGCTCCCAAAAACGTTGCTTGATGCAGTGCCGCTCATTTTGATGATGTTGTGATTGGCTCAGTTTACGACTCGACTAGGTCACAAGTACAAAGAACAAGTACGTACACGTAGTATTCGTAACCAACAAGAACGTTGTTAGTACTTACTTACAATACGTCGTTGTTAGTAAACAGTATTTTGTTAGTAGCAACAGCAACAGTAAGAAGTTTGACGTAATTAGAGATAGAAGTTTTAGTTTCGAAGTTCGCTATTGTGGTAAGAAATACCACTGAGAAAGTACTGAAACAAGTCTACCACCATGCACGCATGTGAAACTTTCGTACCTGGACGTGAGATGAATCTCATACGATCGATCAAATCAGAGCATTGTGGAAGTGGGAAAAGCGGCAAGAGAAGGGAGTAAGTGAACGAGTGAATAGAACTTAGAGGAAGTCTTTGAGTCCTTTCCTAGTAGAAGTAGAACCTTGTCTTGTATGAACGTCAGTGGTTTTCCAATGGCTGATTTCATTCCACAGATCCTCGTGACGCAGAACGGAGTACGCAATCAAAAAAAGCACGCCATCGCTGACCCGAGATCTACCACAGCTGATGTAGTCTTGGAGGATCTTTCAATCACATCTGAAAAAAAGATCGCCCGAAATTCCTCTATAAAATTGTGAGAGATCTCCCAAAGTGTTTTGTAACTCTGAATGAGATCTTCTTTCCTCAAGGTATCCAGAGAGAACGACCATTACAAGGTATGCAGAAAGAACTTCTACATGGTTGAGATTCAGATCATTCACAAATTCCAAAAAGAGACCATTGTCTATTAATCATGTTCTTGTCTTATGTTCTTCTTCTATGATGTTCCTTTCTAAGATAGTCCTTCTAAAAAGAGCGAGATCTTCTCGAGACACAGGCCACAAGCGTTCTTGGTCCTTGATTGAAAATTGAAGGTCTATTTCCTTCAAAATTGTGGGAAAATATTGACAGGTCCTTTGACCTTTTGCTCCTTGTTCGAGAAAGAATAGTAAGTAATTGAAGACATTGATAGTAAGTAATTGATTGTCATTAGGACCAAGTCTGAAGTAGGAAAGGTGGGCCCAGTTACCCAGAGACTCTGATGAACCTCACCAGTCACCCATAGTTTCCCCTGAGTAGCTGACGCGGTGTTGCACTGCACGCAGGGTTGTCCTGAATTACTTTTGCAACAAAGTTGTACTAGTCCTGAAGTGCTCTTAAAGTGGAGGACCAGTCCTGGAGAACTCTCGGGAGAGAAAGCTTCCTCGGAACTCGTCAGATAGAAGAGATGCGGTAGAACCAATGAGTTTCAGGCAGAGCCCATCAGGTTGACCAGAACCCACCAAGAATATTGCATGGCGCCGCTGGACGAAGGGTTGCACCGTGTACAAGCGTGGTCATAACCAATGTCAATCAGCCAGGTTATGGGAAGTGACGCCATAATGACGCCATGTCTGTGTGTGCCTCTGATGCAGGTCCATGCCGCTTAGCTACGTGAGAGAAAGCTGTTGACGGGTTTGTTCCTGTTCATCTTCATCCGGTCCTCACCATCCAGGCTATGAGAGAAACGCAGGGGCTTCCTGTTCATCTTCATCCGGTCCTCACCAGCCAGACTATGAGAGAAGCGCAGTAGAAGGATCCTGTTCGTCTTCTTGTGCTCACGAGCAGGGAGAAGAAGTGCAGCAGCAGGGGTTTCCTGTTCATTTGCTCATGAGTATGTAGTCCCTTGTGCTGTTGGCGAAGTTTAGCTTGTCCTTTGGAAGTAATTCGTAGTATCGCGCGCCCTCCAAGCGTTCTCCATTCAGAAACGTGCCATTCGTGGACTCCAGATCGATCACGTACGGCACCACTTCCCCAGTGCTCTTGTTCCGCCTAAAATGAATCGCCGCATGCTGCTTACTGCAGGATGGATGGTCGGTGGGGATGTCCACCACTTTGCGGTCCTTGCCGAACGTGAAACCAGGCTTTCCACTTAAATATGCGATCTTCGGCTCTCCCTGATCCGTCTTGGCAAAGACATAAATTCGCCACACGTCCTTCGCAGGAGCCACGGCATCCAGTGGTAAGCCAAGCTGTTGTTTTATCGTTTTTCATGCTCCTAAAAGCTCACAAATACTGAATGAGTCTGAAGGTGAAATTCTTGTATTCGATAAACTGAAATAAGCGAGTAACTACTTAGAATAAGCGAGATACTGATGAGAAGGAAAGGTAGCCTTGACGCTATAAGCTAGTGCCTCCCTTATTTCAGTCAGTAACTCGGTTATTTTGAGTTTTCGAATACGATGTAAATTTACTGTCATATTTTCGGTCGTAACCTTCTCTAGTCACACTCTACTTGTAATGCAAGAATAAGCGTCTCATCATCCTGTACGCGGTTTTTATCGTGGTCTTTGTCACTAGATAGGCCAAAAGATAGAAAAACAAGTGGACGAAGTAAAAAGAGGGAAAGTACCTTTTGCCCCACGAGTTTCCCACTTTCCAGGTCGTTCCGGAAATTGCTCTTTTTCCCACTAGGATTGGTCTGTTGCTCCCTCTCATAGGCATCCTCCATAGCCAGCAGTCCTGAAGTTTCAAAATTGGGCTGTTCCATCTTTTCGGGTGCCCCGTCTGCACCTCCACCTTTAGATGCACCTTTGCCACCTTTAGATGCACCTTTCTTCTGGCCTTTAAAAGAACCGTCTTCAGGGTCGCCTTTCTTGCGCACCCACTGATTCCGGATCAGCTGTGGCGGCTCCTCTTTTTTCGCATAAAGGTTGTTAGCGGAATTCGCATCCTCCTCTTCTAAAGGGGCCTGTTGCTGATGATGATGTACGTGTCCTCCCACCACCAAAATTGAAGATCCAGGTCCAGGTACAGGTACTATTTCTTGGGGTGGTAAAACACCTGATGAAGCTAAATCCACACCAGGTATTGTGCCAGACTGCTCCTTGTTGTTCTTACGAGCAGCCTTCTTTCTTCGCTTACGTGACTCAGCATCACTACTATCAGAGGAGGAGGAACTGCTATCTGAGGAACTTGACGAGGATGAACTGGTCTCCGAACTCGACGATCTCGATCGCTTCCTCCTCTTCTTCTTCTTACCTTCTTCATCCTTCCTAGAAGACTTTCTTCTTGTCTTTTTCTTGTGTTCCTTGAGCTTCGTGTCCTTCACAGCGTCCCTGGATCTCCTCGTTGTTGATTCCCGCATGTCTTCTCCAACATGCTTTGCCGGTCGTGGAGCATCGGACTCTCTCCTAGCAGACTTTTTCTCGCTCTTCTTGGCCTTCACGGCCTTGCGGTCCCGTTCTTCACCCATGATGCGGCATGCAGCTTCTTCCAATAAATGTAAACGCGGTATATTAAACGCTGTTCAATCTTCTGCAACGCCGCTTCTGCGAATCAGAAAATCGTTTCGCACACGAACGGGAAACGAATAAGAGACATGAAGTTTCGATGCTTTCTTTACTGTCCAATCAAACACTTCTCTTTTTATGCAGGATGTAACATAGAAAAAGGATTTTTCATAGAACCAAGAAGATGACTCAGCAAAAGCTACAACAACATGAAAACCTACTACTTACTACAAACCGTCTTCAAACCACGCTTCCACTGCCTGCAAAAAAATCGGAGAGGGCAAAATCTGAAAACGGGAGACAGCGAGGGAAGATGCATATTATATCGTTCCAAATGACGACCACCTATCAATTCCATACCACGCAAAAATTTGCTTATATGCTATAATATATCATCATCCACCCCTAGCTGAGTTGGTGATTTCTCTTTTATCGGAACTTTTGGTTCATTAGAGTTCTTATCGTCCTGCATTTTCATTCTTCCCACACATCTTGTTCCATGATGGATCCTAAGGAAAAGAATTTCTATGATGGTGAACACCATAGCAGGAAACAATTTCCATTTCGGCGGAAAAAACCTAAAACACTTTTGCAACCAGCAACCTCGACCTCCTTTGAAGGCTTGATCTTCTTCCGTAGTTCCTAGTGGTTGTACACGCGGAATTCGTATCTTCAGACGCGAACGATCATACGTGGTGCGAAAAGTGAAATGTCTTTTAGGTTTCTCCTCAGGAGCTAGGGAGAATCCCTTCCGCTCACGCAGAAACATTATCTTCAAGGATGAAAGGTTAATAGAAGCGAATTGCGACTACGACAACGAGCATGTTGTAGAAGATTCATGCTGGGAAACAATTGTAGACACATGAATTATCCCCGATGTGTCACAAGTCCTAAGTATCTGTGAAGCAATTATCCATAATGAACATGACAGACTAATCGTCTCCATACACTTGTTGTGACTGCACAAAAATGACAAAAAATTGAATCTTATATGTCCTCCCCAGAAACAGGTTGTTAGTTGTACAAGAAAGTAAGTATTCAGTATTTCGGCATCTTCCTTGAAAAATTCAGAGAGGTCTAGCACTGTTGTTCACGCGAACAAATCTCTAGAAAAATGTTGTAAGCATCTAAGAAAATCTAATTCGTTACCTTGCAAATCACCACCTACTCTGCGCTACTGCTGGGCCTGGAGTGAGGCACCACAAGAATATCCTCTTGCACGGTCTGCACCCTCTGGCACGGTCTGCACTGGCTCACACGACCGCTGACCCTCACGACCATCGTTGTTATAATTGTCCGCTAAATCAGAACGACAACCAAGTTTTTAGACATGCATAGCCAAAAACGTGTATCGTTCGTCACATAGGAATATCATGAAGAGATTCCAATTGCACCGCTTCTTCTAAAAAGTGTCCGGAAACCGTCTCAGAAACCAGTCTAGTAGATGCAGAAGATGGTGTTGAGTTCTAATTGGCGATTCCGAGACCGCCCAACGGCTAACGCAAAAGGGCTGACGGAAATGCAGAGTGATCATTTGGGATACAAATGGGATTTGCACGTCTCAGGGGAATAGATACCGGCGCCATATTGTGGTGCAACTTCTTCTACTTCTTGAAATTGATGTAGACTTGGGTCCTCACTTCTTGGATGTTGATGTGATCTCGTTATAATGGGGTCGTGGTATTATAGGTCCTTCGTAAATTGTTGTACTACTACAAACAAGCTACTCCTCCTCCTGAGTAGTGCGCTTCTCTTCTATTTTCATCATCCTCTTCCACTTCCATGATCATCTTCCACTTGGCTGCTTCATCTTGGTCCGTCCCCTTCGCCATGAATTTCTTCACCATGAATTTACCTCAAATTCTTCTTCTCCGAGTACCATCTCGTCTTATGGTGAAAAACGTTCCACCTCCGCTAGAGTTCGTCCGAACCAAAGCCCTTCTGCCGCAGGAGCCTTTCGATGGCCCTTTCATCATAGCCGTTTAAATCCGTGACATCCGACCCCACATGCAATTCCGGATTATGTCCGTGCTCCCATTTCTGCAAGTGGAGTTTGATTTACACCAGTCATCAATATTCTTGTCTTCAGCTCTTTATCATACCACTCAACTGCGACAGTTAGTTCTAGGTGGTCGTTTTACGTGGTGTTAGAATTACTTACTTAAATGTCTATGGGTACCATTTCAAGTCCGTCGAATTTTTCGATATTTGGACCATTCAGCCACGCTTTTAGCGCTGCGTTGTGTTCTTGGTTTAATCGTCAGCCAGTACAGGAGATAATGAAACCTGTAAAGTAGAATCTCGCTTCAATTGAAGTGTTTGTGAAAGTGAAGAACATAGAAAGAGAACATGTCAAAAAGGAATTTGAACAAGAGAACCGAATTTTATGCGATGGCTAATACAAGAACGTTAAACCGCAAACTCAAATGATATGGTCAATAAAGACGTTTTGTTTGCCTGTGCCTATGGCCCCTATATCTTTAATAGAAAACATTTTGCTTACCTGATGCCTCTTTTTTAGCAGGGTCTGCCGGACCTAGGATCTGGCATGCCCTCGTTTCGCAATTGCCATCGTCCGTGCAGCTCTCGGCCGTACATGCTCCTAAGCCCCGGGCCGGGATATTAGAGCAGCTATCGGCCAACACTCTTGCAGCCTGGAGCAGTAGCAGTAGGAACAGGAGGAGTAGCAGTAGTGGTTAACCCATTCATGGGGTACCGTGTCAAAGTGCAACGGGTAGCGGGGGTTGCGAGTCATGTGATCATTTGACGCTTCTTTTCCCCTTTGGAAAAGAGCCAGGAATGAGGTTCGCTTCTCTTCATGCACACAGTGATACTCTCTTCATGCAATATTTAATACTTGAATTTAGATTTACGGGATGGGGATGCTCTCTTGGTTTCCTTAACTACAGCGGCAAGCAGAAGAGAACCTAGCGCACGGACGAAGCCCATTTATTCGTGCTTTGCCCCAGTGGCCTAAACCCGGTCACGGCCGTAGGGCACAAGTTCAGTGGATCAATTACTGGGTGGACCTATTGACCTATTGAAAAAAAAAGTAGGAAAGGAGTTGTCTGTAAAGTAGGAAAGGAGTTGTCCGGATTATCTGTAATGGAAAGATAATAGTCACGGCCTGTTCTTTGATCTGGTGTCAATCCACTGTGCCGGCACTTGTTGCTACATCACCAATAAAATAAGTACTATTACTGTTACTGTTCTATACACTGTTACTGTTACTGTTACTATTACTGTTACTGTACTATTACTGTTGCTACATCACCATTACTATTACTGTTCTATCAAAGGAAGAACAAAGAGAGCATCAAATATCCATATTAAAAATATATACGGCAAAAGTCTAACGTCTTAGTTGATCTTCCTGCTACTCAAATTAAACTCCCAACATGATCGTCGGACTAGGCTCAATCCATAGAGTCCGTCCATATTACTTTGCTGCAGATAAATCATCAACCTAGTACTGCGAACTGAAAGTTTGAACTTCCCGAAGAGGATCGGTTTCACCTTGAACAATCAATCTATCGTATGCGCCTCTGACGCAACTGTTCTTGGGCAAATGCAAAACTCATTTGGCAACATATTAGAAATCCAACGCTCGCTGTGACCCTCGTCTTCTTATCGCGTTTGATGAAGTTGCCAGCATTCTTCCATTGACTTCTCCTAAACCGGAACAGCAGATGAGGTTGCCCCAGCACCAGCTATCTTGTTCTATTGACTTCTCCTAAACCGGAAGAATAAATTTGGACCGTTAGACCAAAGGAGATGACTTCATGGCACCACATCAGAAGACTTCTTGCCGATGTTGCATCTTTACAACGTCTATCTCCATCATGATCATGTCAATCTTCCTTCCAAATCTCGTCTTGAAATTGACGCAAAAGGTCGTGACGTTCGGATCTGTGAAGGCCAATCATCAACATGTCAACGTGAATTCTCGATGTGAATCTACCATTTCGAAGTCAGTGGCCGTAAAGCAACAACTTCGTTGTTCTGGGCTGATGGCTTGTTACATTGTTATTTCATGAGAAAATTTACATTACGAGTTCGAAAGTTGAGTGAATCAAACCGGAAGATACACAACCATAATGATAATGATCAAAATATTAATCTCTAATCATAAGAATAGGGACACGTCGAGGATTGATGTATGTGGAATGTTCGGTGTTGGGAACGAGTCATGAGGTACGAACTAAAACTGTTATATGCTGAAATGATAACGAAAATGATGTTGTTCGATAAAAACCATGCTTGCAAGATATGCAAATTACTATATCGAACGACGAAGAAACGAATAGCGGTTATACACGACGACCTCCAAAGTGTTGAAGTGAGGAGCTCAGAAGCCAAAGGGAAGGAGGGGGGGATCATCATCGGCAGCTTCCTAATAATACCGGTGGAGCACGTCTAACTAGGAAATAGAATTACATAAAAAGGAAGAAGCCCAACTATTCAAAAAAGGACTATAGTGGCCACGTTTATGCTAGGATCCGTTTATTCTAGGCGCCTCGAGTTCGTCCAACTGCCCTGGAGGTCTTCTCATCAAAGACGGCCGAAGCCTGTGCGTGCCTCAGCTTCCTAATAATATTAGCCTGCACATTTCGAACTATTGTTGTGCTCTAATCTCTAACACGACAAGAGTACAGGACAAGAGTGCCGAACAGTCTGGAAACGTCTAGAGAAGTAGCAGAAACCACGAGCGAAGCCCTAGGGGTCTAGTATTAGCGTGCACATTCTATTCATTGCTGTACTCTAATCTCTAATCAGCAGCTGTAATCAGGATGAACGCCTACCGTCTCGGTAGACGTCATCATCATCATCATCATCTACGTCACTCATGAGTATGAGAAATGCCTCACGAAAGAGTGATGCTGCAACCACTCATTCCGTGATACAGATCAGTTACCACTTCGTTGCATGCACAATAACCGGTAGGCAGCAAAGTGCTTCTTCTTTGTCGTCTTGGAGCACGAGCTGCGTCTAACTAAAGTCTGAACCTTAGGGAACGAAACCTGGCGGAGGGCGGTAAAGGCTCATGGGAACTGGGGGCGGAGTCTTAGCACGCAAGTGATCAGGGAGAGGAGGGGGTGCCGCAGTCGGACCTGATATTTGTATTGATGCTCGTTGAAGAAAAATCGCGATTGAGAAAAAACGAAAATGTTTTACGAAGATCAAGATGAAGAAAATTCTTTTTTTGATGATAGAGGTCACGATCAAACTCTACATTGAAGTTCAACACATAAAAACCACACAAAAGTAATTGCTCCTCACACGATCGCGATACCTGAGACGGGAGGCGGTGGCGGTGATCCCGGGGGCAACTGCTTTTCACGTGAGAACTCCTCTCCAGCCACGGTAGGGGGAGCACAGCTTGCCTCCAATGTACTGCCTAAACCATTTTCGCTGTCCTCTGATCGTTTCGCAGACGCTAGCAATTGCTCAAAATAACTCTGCGGCCTCTCTTCCTGGACCGGAACCACCGGGAACGTTGAAGCAGATAATGCTGAGCCAGATGACCTGTTGACGTCAAGAAAAAGACTGATGCAGGAAGTACATGAAGCAAAGATGTTGTTACCAAGACAGACTTCTGGTGGAGTCTATATTTCTATTCGCATAAATTGAAATTGTAGTGAACGGTGGAACGAAAAATTATTGACTCATTCGGTGTAGTGATCAAGTGGAAACGATCTCGATCTTCTGAGAGGGTCGCAATCAGAATATTGAGGTGGACCGTGTAAGACCAAAGGACGCAATATCTTCTCAAACGAACAAGATCTTTCTGAGCCTCGAACTCAGAACTTACTACAGCAGTAGAACTGCTATCGCTGGGATACGAGTATAGATCACTATACAAGAGAAGCGTCATTTTTTTATATTTTTCTTTTGTCCCTAGTGTTGAAAGATGATTGTCCTACAATGTAATAAAAGTACGCTAGAAAGGTTAATATAAAGTGCGCTACAATGTAATAAGAAATATGTGTCCTAGGAAGGTTAATATGTTTTTCACAATGCAATAAAAGTACCGCTCGCGATCTTCCTCCACGATCTTCATTGCAGCATCGTACTCGTCGCGCGCTGCGTCGCGTGTTTCTTGGTTGTTGACTGCGACTTTTGGGAAGAGAAGCTCCTCATTCGCCGCGCCCCAGGCGTCCGGAGCTGGAGTTAGGCCTCCCTTATCGCTTTGTAGACTGGGACTATCGAGAACCGGAGGCGTTGACATGTTGTTCCATCGCTCGGCCACGCCACCATCTCCCATCACGAGATCCTTGCTGTGGTCCTGCTCACGTTCGCGGTTCTCCGAAAAATCTAGAGGAAGCCCTCTCGTAGCCGCAGTCTGCTCGAGGAAAGTAGATGGCTGAGGTGGCTGTGTCAGCGCCGTTAAGGGCCCGGTCGCCGCGGGCAGTTGCGCCCTTTCGAAAGCTGCATCCGCCAGGCGCTGAAGGTGCGAAGATACACTGGACGAAGCTGCAGCTGCCCAGCTGTCACCAGCAGTCGGTTCCTCGGCAGGATTCGGCCCCAGCTGCATCTGATGCTGTGTGGCACTTGGTGCAGTGGGAGGGTGAGGGTAACTGTATGCGCCGGCGCTTCCTGCAGCAAAGCCAGCTGCGAAACTATTCGCGTTAGCCTGCGCATCGCCGTAGTAGCCCATCATCGCTGTGCCGCTATAGGCCTGATATCGTCTGTCGCTCGGATTGTTAAATTGGTCATATCCGCGGCTCGTCATGTGCTGCGTACCTGTTCATGAAGATACAGATCACGTTGACTCAAAGAGTAACTATATGTCCCAGGAAACCAGAGAATTGAGGGTCAAAGGAGGACTGTAATTGCGATTATCACGAATGGACTAGACAGCGTTTAACAAGAGGACCAGCAAACTTCTAACTCAGGTACTTATGATTTAGAAACGATTGAGATTATCATAATATCATAAAGTAGAGTCCGATACCGCACTCCTCTGCCTAAAAGCATCCGTCTAGAGAGCAGCAAAAAGACCGCTCAAACCAAGAAGAAGAGAGTACCTCCTACGGCGCTTTCGTAATAGTCTGGGCTCGATGAATGCGCTCCCCAAGTGTCTTGCGTTGTCGGTGTTGGTTGCCATGCTGGATAGGGGTGAGTGTCTGGAGTACTAAACGCCTCCGGGCGATGCTGCGTGTAGGACCCGCGCGCGTAGTTCGCTTGCTCGTCATAGTAACCGTACGAGTGCATTCCACCGTCGCCCTTTCCATGCGTATATGGATCCGCCGGCGAAGCAGAAAATTGTTCGTAAAAAGTGTAGTTTCCTCCGTTGCCAGCAGTCTGCAACTGTCCGCGATATCTATTTGCACCTTCGGCATCCCAGCTCGCGGAAGCTGGTTCGTATGATCCACCCTTGAAGTTGTGACCCATCATCATCATCATGCGGCCTTTCTTGCCTTTTCCTTTGTCGGGCAATACTGGAGCATGCATCTGGAAATGATCTTGCCACTTGATCCACTTCTTCTTTCTGCTACCATCCGATGCCGTGACGATGGTGCGACGATAGTAGTCGCCTTTCCACTTGCTCCACACCTTCTGCCGTGGCGGAAACGGCTCGCATCCATTGTAGGGCTTGTAAACGGCAGGGTTGCTTGGCACTACATCCGCGGCATCCGGATCGCCATCCATTTTCGCATCGACCTCGCGGTCGCATTCAGACATGTCGTCTCTATTGTCCTCGTCGGGGTCGTCATCTGTGGTGGAGCAGCAGTGAGCTCTTCTTCTTTCCTAACTTAATAGAAAGTCAATGCATTACTAGCAGCCTCTTCAACATCAAATTGATGAGATAAAACTTCTTTGCGATCGAACTACGTCTAGGATCATGGGCTAGACTACTTATTTACATACTAGAAGATGAAGTACCAGAATCAGGCTCATGCTCCTCGCCCACTCTCCTTCTCTCTTCTCGTGGCTTTGGATCTTCAGCGAGCCCAAACCGGACAAGCGACTGCGTCGTAGATCTGTGCCCCAAAATGCGGCTGTAGTCAATGGCTTTCTTTCCTTTGTAGCAGACAAGGTCAATGTCTGCGCCATATCGGATGATCTTATCGCAGCAGATACGATTGCCGAACCACGCCGCAATATGCAACGGCGTCCGTCCTTCCTCATCTTGGCAATTCACCAAGTCCTTCAGTGCCTCCACTGCCTGCTCGTTGCCAGTCATTGCTGTAAAATGCAGTGCAGACCGTCCACGATAATCGCGATAAACGTGCATCCCACCTGGTCATAGAGATTTGTAAAGCATTGACCGGCAACGCAGTCTGGTCGTCAACTAGTGGTCGTAGCTAGTCTAGACCACAGTGAACATCGGCCCACTTTTTCAGTACCTGCTTGCTTTATTTTCAAAGTGAATGTATCTACAACTAGCCATATTTTTTGCAGTAGGATTTAGAACAAAGTACCCTTGTGAATGTGGTAGTCTCGTCGCAAAAGCTCTTCCTTCAATCTTCGACAACTTGGCTCAGAGCCCGTCTTCGCTGCTTCGAACCACTTGTAAGCCAATTCGTCCTCGTGACTGACCAGAATCCATGGTATGTTCCGAAGGCGCCGGGTCTTCTTGCCTGTATTCTGCGTTGTTGCGCCAGCATTGGCCTTACCGGCTGCATGCGCTGCAGCATGACCGTCGACAAGAGCTCTCGATGAGCCACTCTCGCTCCCGTGTGCTTCGGCTTGTACTGGTGCGCCCTGTGCAGAAGACGTGCTGGCTGCTTGTGGTGCGCCCGTGCTGCTGTAGGAAATCCACTCACCGTCGCTTATCTGGTACCACATGGAATCAGGCTGATGATACCACTTTTCGCCCTCCTCGTGTTCTTCGGACTCATCTGCGCTCGCGCCGCAGTCTACATCTGCGCCAGTGTTGGAGTCTGCAGCCTTCTGCTTTTGCGAAGATTTAGCCTGAGACGCTTTCGTGGCATAGTAGGCCGCTCGGGCTTTTCGTTTTGCTCCTCGACGCGGGTTGTCAACTGAAGAGGTGTTAGCAATGTGCAACGAGGCTAATTCTGCATGGCAACGAGGAGTTTGTTTCAATATGAGACTGAACTACCGAAGTATATAAATGAAAAGCATTACTGATCCTGTTCTTGAAGAGCTCGCACAAGTTGGCTTATTTTACTAGTAGATGATCTAGTTGAGCTCACGCTGATACGTACGATCATCACAGGCGTCATTTAGCTGATTCAAACTACGGCTGAGCAAGTCTGTTATCACTATCTAGATAGATCGATACTACCTTTCGTCGCAGTGGTAGTCGCAGTCGCCGCATCTCCCTCGTTGACATCTTCCAGCTCCCCATCGCTGAGCTCATCGGCGATTTCCTCCTGTATTGGAAAAAGTTTGGAGCTTCACGTGGAAAAAACTGAACTCATGACTTGTTTGTACTAAATGTGAATGCCAAATGTTCCTCTGATGGTCCCGACTTTCAGACTAGACTTTTTTGTTGTTAGCCGATAGTGTATGGGTACCGCATCTTTCAGAAATAACGTATCGCGGGCGGGCTCCTCTACATCTTCCTCCGTACCGTCCGCGTATTTAAACTGCCACACAAACGGCCAGTGCTTTTGATAGTCGTATACTTCAGCCACAACGCCTCTTGCGTCATAAGCCTCGAGCATCTTGAAGGCTCGGCGGCCTTGAAACTCCTGCAAAATCTTAGCGCGTGTTTCGTGGTGACATGTTGCCGCCTTCTTCATGTAGTAGATCCATGGTCGAGAGACGAGGAAGTCCTCTGGCTCGTAACCAAAGGCAAACTCGTCCGAGGAACGAACGTTGGGCTTCGGCTCTGCAGTCGCGTCGGCCGCTGCCGCTTTCTGCAGTTGCGCGTCAAGTCTGTTACTTTCGTTGCAAACCTTCTTCATGGCGTAAGCAAATCTTTTTCGCCCAAAAAGTGAAACGTCCAACTTCGATCGCATGAAGGCTGCATACGCCGTCGTGAGCCAATCACGCGGCTGCCAACGGTAACGAAACTCGTTCCGCGCCTCGCTGAGGTTCTGGGGTACTGACTTCGTATCGGCTGCCGCGCGAAGCAACGGAATAAATCTGCTCTTTGCGGCAGCCAATCGAGCAGCCCTTGCAGCTGCATTCCCAGTCGTCGGCTGTGTTGCTGCTTTTGCTCCGCTCTTCACAGACGCGCTCGTTTCTTGCTTCGCATCCGCGGACAGCGTCACTTTGCGTCCCGCGGCTGGCTGGGGTATTCCATCACCCGCGACTGCATTCTGTTCGGCACTTCCCGCGGCTGGCTGGGGTATTCCATCACCCGCGACTGCATTCTGTTCGGCACTTGTGGCGCCGTTGGCACTAGTGCTTGTGGCTAAGCCTTCTGCCTGCAGTGCCACTTCTCGCTCTTGTGATCCGACTGCAAGAGAAGCCGTACTTCCAGTAGCAGCACCCTGCTGCCTTGGTTCTTCTATTTCCACTACTTGCTGCAGTGCTACTGGCTTCGCCTCGCTTTCGCCAAGGCTTCCTTTTTGTGGTGTTGCTACTCGAGCAGCCCCTTTGCGTGGTGTTCCTTCTGTCACAGCATTCGGCTTTTGCGGTGTCGCGACGCCAACTTGCCACGGCGTGACTCCACCTGCTCCTCCTTTATTGCGTGGCGTTACGCCGCCCGTCAGTCCTTTACTATCGCTAGATCCGCTGCTTCCTCCAACTAAAGCCGCACGGTAGCTAGGCACAGCAGGGCGCGCTTCCGTCACAGGCCCAGCCTCTGGTTTTTTAGAGTTGGTATCACCAGAAGCCTCCACTTGTGCCACCGAAAAAGGGCTGCTTGATGAAGTCGTCTGCGCAGAGTTCCTAGAGACAGCAGTGCCTGCGGTTGAGTGCACTTGTTTGACAGGAAGGCCGTTACTTGATTTCTCGCCCTTTCCGCCAGCAGTTGGTGACTTTGCCGCTACATTTGATGCTCCTGTTGATGTTGTTTGCGGCGACGACGGAGTTGTCACGGCCGAGACTGCTGCTACTATTGATGCTGCCTGCGGTGACGATGTTGTTGCTGCCGGCAAGACTGCTGCTGATGTTGATGCTGTCGGCGGCGACGACGTTGTTGCTGCCGGCAAGACTGCTGCTGATGTTGGTGCTGTCTGCGGTGACGATGCTGTTGCTGCCGGTGAAGCTGTTGGTGCTGGTATTCCTGCCAACGGAATCCATTGTACGACAGACGATCCATCCGGTAGTGGTATACTCACTGGCACTGCCCATGACCCATCTGGTTGAAGGACTGGAACAACCGCCGATGGTTGTGAACCACTCGAGGAAGCAGCTGGAGTTGCCATTTTGCTCGTCTCCAATTACTGACTTCTCGAGGCCCAAGAGTTTCTCCTGTCTAACGACAATCTCCAGACGAGACTATAGCACAGAAATATGGCTTCATCTTCTCTCGCGCATGGGTTTTTTCGCAACAAAGGGTAGAGTAAAGTAAGCTCTTGCAGGGAAAGATCAACGCCATCAGTTGAGTAGTACTTTCTTACCCATTCACAGGCGGGGGAGACCTTCTTCTACACTTTCTCACACGACATTCTTACATCACAAGCAGAATGCAAATCTACGAAGTTGTCGAGTCTGTCAGTGTCAAAATTCTTGCTTTTTTATGATCCCCGTACTTGTCGACAGCCTCTACCTACTTGCCAACTCACGAGCCTGTCATCGCAAAGAAAAATTTGGAAAATTTAAGCACAAAGGTACAAGAAGAGCTTCTAACGCCATAAAAAAAGTGATGAACAAGGAAGACACTCCGGATACACATCCTCAAATATCACGTAATCCTCAATAAAATCATCGATTTAGATTTCGAAAAGGCTTTCGTCTCAGCCTCGTATTGCAAGCGCTGAATTGGATGAATGAACTTCTCCGTGTACATTCCTGACGTCTCATTGGCCATAGGATCTTTGTGCCAAACAGCTGATGATTTCAGGATCGTTGCATCTACATCGCTGTAGTGTTCTTTTTTTTTCTAAGCTTGGAGACTAGTACCACGATTCAAGAACACGACAGTCTTCTCCCGGCAGACCTAACTCAGGAGACGTAGGAAGAAAGGTAATAACAAAGATCTCCTTCAATTGATTCTCTACATTTTTTTCTTTGCAAGGGACCACCAGGACTCCTTGACGATCCTGCTTTATGATCGCTGTGCTCGTAGTATATACACAAAACTTAAGAAACACACAGCCATCACGCGTTCTAGTTGATGTTGTCAACAGCTTATTCGGATTAATATCCAAAACCTCGCGTCTGTACATTTAAGGGCTGTAGCGAGGGCGCTTTTTGCAACGCTGAGTCTCCCCAACTCAGCAACACAAGCAATTCAAATAAGAATAAGATTCTTAAGAGACAAGGTTCATTGAATGCAACAGGAATTAAATAGCAATAGGAATAGATGGAAAGGCATCGTAAATATTTTCACCATCATTTACGAATGAGCACCCTAACACGTCGTAATTCTCTTCCTTAGAAAGCAGAGGCACATCAATCATGCAGACGAAATACAACAAGAATTTTACAAAAGAGAGGCGTACTTCCACTTCCTTTATCCATATAAATGTGAAAGAAAATTCTTGAAGTAGACATTGATTGGCACAAGTGACGCCCTCATATTTCTGAGACGATCTATTGATTGTCCTAACGATTATCCATGGACATGGCAAAAATTCTGAACATTCATAATTCCCGTACTAGGCAAGGTATGATTTGAAGAAAAGGTTCATTACAAGTTCAGCGTCTGACATGAAGCTATCTGAATCGTAAATTCAAGATTGTAATAGAAACATGATGCTGGGTCTGAATTATCGGATTAAATAAATGGCTGTTCTGTTACCTGATTCTGGTTGCATGACCACCAGATGGAGGAAGTAAATTGATGAACAAAATATAACAGTGGGAGAACCGCCGGATGGTCGATGATAGGTTATAAATATGCTTCCACCTCCACACGTCAATTGCCCTTTCGGCGTATGTAATGCCTCTACCACGCACCGCCTCCACCAGTAAGTCCATCCTATTCCAACACTGGCGCAAAATATGCGAAGATCCACCGCTAACTACTCCCGGCTCCTCCGCCCTGGAGTGCTCAGCTCTATGGTTATATACTATAGTTTTAGTTCTTCAACTAAATTATCTAAGCGCAATGGCTTTCCCTAGATTCGGTATCCTCTCCATCTTTTTCGCCGCTTTTTCATTAGACGGAATTTTTACATTCTTCAAAACATCCCTGGCCTCTTTTCGAGTATCATTAGGTCTAAAACATAATCTTTTATTTCGAGTATCAACATTAGGTCTTCTAAAACATACGAATCCTGATATGATGGAAAGTGTAGCTAAAGAGTCAGGGATGGTAGTGAGGAATGCAATTCGGAAACGACCCTTAACTTCATCACGCAAAAACTTATCGGTGAGATAAGCCGCAGGTCCCGGCGTCTTAGCAAAGTCTTCGGCCCAAGCTGGTGCTGATACAGTGCCCTCTTTATTTTCGGCTCTGACCATGTCTGGCCGAATCACGGCTGTCGCTGCCGCAAGGTTGATACCTGATTTGAATGAGAAATGAAGATGGATTCAACTTCCGCCTGCACTTACAATGTGAATGTTTAAGATCATGAAAAGCCATAGTTAGAAAAATCTGTTGCTACCTGTTTTTCTTCTTGTGGAAGAATGAGACTAGGATGGTTCTTTCATAGTACAAATCACACTTTGTGACACCGGAGCACTGAAAACAGATTCAATTAGTAGGATCATTGCTAAGTACATGATATTGAGAGAACTCTTCAAGTCCTGACAAGAAAAATACCTGGCGCCGACGCCTTATATGTGCCTGGCCCTGGGTTGTCTCTGAATGTCCGAACGTTCTCCTCGATGAAGTTCGGTACTGCTCCCTTCGTGAAGATGACGTTCCTGATGTGAAGGTTGCAGATGTGTCAGTATATTGATGTCCCTCTTTGTCGTTAATTTATTCAAAAAGAAGCTGCAGCTTTTAAGGTAAATCTCTATTAAGAACTATGCTGTACTGCATCAGTATTACTCTCACTATCCTGTAGTGCATATTACCTCGGCACACTAGTGTCGACTCTTTGTCCGTTTGGTAGAAGGTGCACGTCATATGTGCCAGGAGGTGGTATCTGATCTGAAAGAAGCGCACTTTCCTCTTGCTTCGGTGGCAATGGCATTCTAGGTACTGGTGCTTCACGAAGTACCTGATCTCGATCGATGTCGTACCTGGACGTAAGGGAGGACGATAAAGAGAGAGAGAGAGAAAGTCGTGGGGAAAGAAAGTGGAAATATAGAGAGGCAAAGTCGCAAGGAAAAGTCTTTCTATCCTCCTCAACTCTTGGTACAATGAGGATTTGTATGACAGTCATGAAAAAATGGTACTGACGAAGAATGATTGCTTTGAAATTTATCAAAACACGAAGTACTGTCCTGGTCCGGTCGGAATGTTCTTGATGTTGAGAGCCCTACCCTTGAGAGCACTTTGCTGAAATATCCTGGCTTTCCGCTGTTTCACTATCTGATCCTTCAAGTTCATCAGAGTCGTAATACGCGTGTGTGCATGCAAAGCCTCCTCTCGCATCTGATGTGAACAATCGGAAGAAGAATTATATTTGTAATTCCTAGTTACACTCGAGCTTATCCAAAAATTATCCAATTTCAGGATGGAAAAGATTGGGAATGGGATTCATTTTTTAACAACTCATCCTATAATTAATGTTATTATCATTATTATGATCGCGCGCGACCCTATCGCCGCACCTACCATCCTACAGGAGGAAAATCAAAAAGCTCTTCCTTCGTCCTCGTCTTCCTCTTTGTCTTTACTACTTCTATGAGTTCTTGCTCACTTGCTCCGTTGTTCGTTCTTGGTCATGCAAGTACGCGGGACTAGTCTGCATGTAACTAAGGGTTCAAAATGCTCACCTGATCGTTCCTAGCATCAACTTGTCGGTCAATGCGATGCTTTTTGTCTAGGACGTCTATGACGCGCAAGTGCTTCTCCGCATTCCGGATCTCGAGATTCCTACGCTCTTCTTTCTTTTTCTCGTCGTTCATGGCAAACTTGCTCTCCTTCTTGCGCAGCTGTTTGATGCCATGGATCGGCGCTTAGAGCAGAAAGTAGAGACGATGCAAAATGCCAAGGGAAAGGGTACTATAAAAAACGTGCAAAACGAAGCACGGGGTAGGCATGTTCCTTTTCAGTAAGCAATCTCCGAGCACGCAATCCTAGTAAGCAATCTCCTAGTAGGCAATCCTAGTAAGCAATCTCCTAGTAGGCACACTCCTAGTAGGCACACTCCTCGTAAGCAATCTCCAATCACTAAGTAATTACCTAGGTTCTATAAGTAACACTTCATAAATGCGTTCCTCTTGTATCGCACGAAAGTTCTTGTGGATCCCTGCGACTTTCGCTTTCCAAGCTTCGCTTTTTTCGAAGTTCCGGCCACTCTGACTATTCCGGAATTCCCTAATGCGAACTTCCGTCTCCAAAACGTGCCCAAGAAAATTCGCACACTTCGATTCGTGGTTACTCTGATAATCGTTTCAAAGATTATTTCATCCGCTGCAGCGAGTCTAGCTAAGTATGTTCCGATTTATTCACTTCTATTAACATTCACACGCGACTTCGCTTCTATTAAAAGAAGTTCATCATAGTGATTACTTAGACTACTAAATAGTTGTTCATAGTGATTAACATACTACTCCTTCGCTTCTAGTAAGAAGATTAAGTGTTCTTCGTTCAGCAAAAAAGTAGTGCCTTCGCAAAAAAGTAATAAGACTAAGTGTTCTCCGTTCAGTGATACCTTGATATCCAAATAAGTGGTACCTTGATATCTTTCAAGATTTTCTGGGAATGGGCTCTCTTCGCGTCATTCGCCACCGAGTTCTGCTTTACCCTAATGGCCTTTTCCTCTTTCACTAGGTATGACTTTTCCTCCCGTTTTTTCTGTTTATCCCGCATCATCGCCTCCTTCTCGAGCTGCTCTTTGTTCTCGTTCTCCACTACGGTGTGATACCTATCATATATGATGTAAGTATTAACTTTTTTTGAGGTTGGAAATGGAATCCTCCATTTTCTTGTCGGACAAAAAGAAGAACAGGATACCAACATAAATCTACAATTTTTTCATCAACAATGCGGTCAGGGTGATCCAAAGAACTGTCACTGTAAAAGTAAAATGTGTGACGCAGGTATAAGTGGAAACGACAGGTTCCTGGATGAAAAACGCTAGACCTTTTTACCTAAGTTGCTGCTTCAGCTCTCCCTCTAACCGGCCTGCCTCTGCATCTAGAAGTTGTTCAAGCATATGCATGCTCTGATAACTTTTTGCGTTCGCATTGCCCTGCTGCTGCTTTTTAGTCATCTCCACGAATACCTGAAGATGATAGTATTAGGAGTACGATAAATGGATAATCCTGTGAGTGCTTGATGTCAACAGGTCAACACTATGGATGGATTTTTCAATTGATGTCAAGGTCAACAAGATAAGCAGCATCACAGCTAAAACAATACTACATCATCAGCCCTAAATTAAATGCAGAACTATTAACACCTTCGCTCGCTCCTGCAGCACAAGACTAAGCTTCGCTTGCCTCCTCGTCTCATAGTGGTTATATCGTAATCGCTGCTTCTCCACCGTGTCCTGGGAAAAAATCGAAAAAACGGGTGGTCTCCAGCAAAGCTACATCAATATCAGCAAGAAAACAAACTGGTAACAAAAGCAACTTTATATCGAACAATAAGATTCTCAAGTAAAGTATTATTAACAGCCAAGGTCTACTGACGTATAGAAAAACAGTTCCTTAATACCGTTGGCCTATGAAAGTCCTGAAAGGATTTGATTTTGAGCTCGGGAAGCAGTATTCCACATCGTTTTAAGGCTTCCTTTGTTCTCGGTGTCTCCTTCAAGTTTCCTGAGAGTGCAGCAGTGAGACCTGGGTCGTCAAGGCCACCGGTCGCCGACATGACGGCGTCCAGCGAGTTCTTGACATCCTCGTTTTCTCCTCCTGCAGCAGGCATCTTGATGTTGCCTCCCTTGCGAAAATAATAGGCGGTCGACTTGGGACGATACCAGACTACAAGAAGAAGAAGCTGTAGTGAGTATTATTAAGCTACTGCAACTACTGAGTGAGAGTATTAGGTAGTTATAGCACTGTGGTGCAACACCTGGTGTCGTCTTATCTCTTGTAGACGGCTGAGACGCTTGTTCCGTCGTTGTTTCACTGCAAGTCAGCGCACTCGGAATGTCGTTTTGGTATTCGGAAAAAACTGACAGGAAGATGCCTAGTTGCAGAAAAATTGGAGTTGGCCTCGAGATTTTTCGCCCACTTTTCGCCGAGTGCGTTACGACCAAAAAATGAGCGTTTTCTGTCGCCAGCAATCCCTCGCAATCAGCTTAGTCTCACAGCGCAAAGTCGGTCCGTGGCCAGGAGCGCTACCTAGTAGATCTGCATCTGCCGCTCGATTCCCACGACAATGCCTCAGATTCGCTATTGAGGCAGCAGTACACTGAGTCGCGGGGTGGCGATCGCCTGATTCTGCTGCACAAAGAAACAACGCCGTCTTTATGTTCCACGCTTTCCGCGTGGCGCCAACCGCCCGTCCGTGGTTCAAACTAGCAGAAATACCACAAAGCAGCGACTTCCATGAACTACTAGATGCTATTTCTCACCCAACCGCCTCGTCCTGAGCCAATTACATACCACTGTCTTGCTTTCATTCACGGACTGGCTTCTAATTGAATTTGATTGACATGATTCACAATGTGGGTGCACTATCAGCTGCATGTTAGTGTACCTGAAATCTGCATTTGTTTCACGAACTACTTAAAGACAAAAAACTATCGCCGAATGATTGAAACCTATGAGATTCAAACCGAGGGGTAAAAGCTCAGAATCTATTGAATACCGGGGAAGGGGATTCTTATCTTGGCGTCCGATCAGACGTCTTTACCGATTCTAGTCCTGATCAAACTGTACTATAACGGCGTTCTTAATGACCGATCAAACTCCTATCTTTTGTTTGGATTTGTAGATTTACATTCTTTCACCGATCACGTTCGTCTCTCAGACTTCGCTGATGTCTATTGCTTTATAGTAATACCCGCCTCTATAATAATAATCAAGCTTCAATCATCCGAACATTCCCAAGAATTCAGACCGAGAAATTCATAGCGAAAACCAATCAAAAATGTGAACTGAGCCCTCCAACGAGGAGCCGCGAGTGTCCGGAAGACAACTCGAATCGAGAGAGATTACCATAAGGTGCAGCAGACAAGAAGATTAAAAACTTGTATTGAAGAACTGAAATACGATACTTGATCACTTATTTGCGATATTCTTGCGTAGTTGTATTGCGCGCTAGAGACGTGTCGCTATCTTTGAACATGGTGTATCCTCAATGCGCTAAGTTGTAACATAGGTTTCTGTTCGAGCCCTCTTCCCAAGGGCAAGGAAAGAGCGCTCGAAGGGGATGTCAGAGTGGGTGTGGATTGAGAGACTCTCAGATTTGTGTGGGAATGGAAATCCTGGAAGCGCGTTTTAGACTGTTGGAAGATGAAAGCTGCATATACAGCCAATGAAAGAACAATGAGTACAGCCATGGAGCGGTGCCCGTGGCGAAGAACAATGGTAGGTGTAGGTCAGCAACCTCGGCCACTGGTGACACCAACTGGAAAATTACATCCTCTGAAACTGAGCATCGACGCTACATCATCTGACACTGAGCATCCTCCCCGCCGGCGCTGCTCCGTTCGGACGCTACATCATCTGACACTGAGCATCCTCCCCGCCGGCGCTGCTCCGTTCGGACCGCTCTCTCTGCCGTTGCAGTCTTTCGACCAGGCGGTCGCGAGAGCGTTTCTCCATTCGTTCTGCGGTATGTGCGCGGCCTGACAGTTGTAGATCTTATCACTAGTACTTGTAACTTGTATTAAGTAGTTCTACGTAAGTACTTACCATCATGTCAACAATCTTAATCTTTATCATAGAGTTTTCTAAGAAACAGAAATAGAAATTTTTCTTACGCTAGTACCATAATAATATCTTCTTAAACTTCTTAATACCAGTATTTGGTCCTCGCACGACTTCCTCCTTCGCTGCGTCTGGCAGATAAAAACTCTTCTCTACGCCTAAGCTCCTGAAAAGATCCCGATCGCGACGAACGCCCTGTGGAAAAAGTATCTCGAATTTCACCAGGAGGTCTCCGAACACGCCATTTGTTGAGGGCATGCCTCGACCGGGTATCCGCCAGACATCCCCAGGCTGTACCACCGTATCCCCATTGCTTTCCACTACGATATCCTCACCGTCTAAGAAACCCAGTTTGAACCTGTTGCGATGATGTTGATCCGAGTAACTTTACCTAGTGGATTATCGTGAATCAACATCAAATGCTTGCTATAATGTTATGCTAGTTCGTTGTGCAACAATAGCGCTGATGCCGACTCTACCTTTCTGTAAGGAAAAAAAACTTCAAAAATGAACAATGTGGTCAAAAACGTACACAAAGTACCTGAACCCACACAGCGCATCCTGCAAGGGCAATGTTTTCTGGATCATCAGATCCTGTCCCAAGCGGTGATAAGTGTGATGGCGAAGCTCCTCTACGACGAAGACGAGGTCTCCGGTCTCACACCCCAGCATCTCGTCGGCCTTGTTCGGAAATTTCTTGACAAACCCGGTCCCGGCAGTAGGCGGCACGGTTATCTGGAAAAACTCCTTCTGGTCTACTAAGCCCTTCCCCTTACAAGGCTTGCATCCTTTCCCAGGTGGAACGACCATGCCTTCGCCTGGATATTGTAGTTTTAGGACCCGTTTAGTGGACTACTTTTGGTAAGAATTCAAAATTTAAGCAAGTTGTACTTAGATCAGGAGTCCGGTATTTCAGCTAAACACTTTGCAAACAGTTGGTTCATGTCTTCTTACAACAACCCAAATCTAATAATGATCGGATCAAGCTTGTTGATGTTTATTGTGTTGCAAGCCCTCCTTTTCTTGGTAGTCTTTCTAGAATACAACCTCCAAAAATCATGCACTTACTCAGTGTTCTTAGCGCTTCGGTTACTGCTTCCTCGCTCCGGATGCCCCTATTGCAGCAACATTCTAATACATATTTGCACAACATTCTAATACATTTAATTGCACAACATTCTAATACATAATTGCACAATAATACATAATTGCACAACATTCTCATACATTGCACAACATCTTCATCGAATAGCACCTTTGCACGCTGGGCACTCTGTCTGCACGAATTGCACAAAAGGTCCCATTCTCTGTTGTTGTTGGATGCGTCCGACGCCGCCACAGGTGCTGCACGCTCGAACTTCGCTGCCTCCGTGTCCCTGACAATATTCGCAAAGCACATGCCGTGTTAGCTGGTAATCTTTCGTCACACCCCTGCATTAGAGGCTCATCATCATCAGTACGTCTCTAACAGTGTTTCCGAACTCTGGCATTCTTTGAGGTTGTGTGACTTGGTTCTTGTAATTCAGCCGCGAACTAAAAGTCGTTCAGACACGGCGATTGGACACGGTGCCCAGGCGTTGTGTTCGCAGAAGATGCACGTTTATTGTATTAATTCTTCCATCTCAGCTATTCAACATTTATTTTATTATCATTTACTCTTCCATTCACGATTGAGCACATCCTCGTCCATAATTATAGATATCCTCCAACGAAAGTTTCACTTTCTGCACGATGTCTTGCGTTTTTCGTGTCCGTGCATTGGCTCCTCCAAAGCCTTGCCCAAATATATCCCGGAACATCTCAAAAGGATCTGCGTGGGCACCGCCCATTCCCGCGGCACCTAAAAATGGGAAAAGCAGTACAACTGGTCACTTTCAAAGTATTATATCACAGAAACATCCATGCATGCGTCACAACAACTAGTTTCCAATGGCGATAACGATATACCCAGTAATTACGCGTGTATTAATCAGAAAAGAATATTACCGCCCCCAGCTCCTCCTTGCTCCATTTGCTGCAGCCCCGCGTCGCCGTAAAGATCGTACATCTTTCTCTTTTCTGCGTTCCCCAAAACGTCGTAGGCTTTGGATATGTTTTTGAACGTTTCTTCATTACCGCCTTTATCTGGATGATGCTCTAGAGCCTTCTTCTTATAGGCGCTTTTGATCTCCTTATCTCCCGCACCTTCGGAGACGCCCAGTAATTCGTACAGCTTCTTAGTCGCTCTTGAGGATGAAGACCCACCTCCACTGCCGCCGTTGCCAAAGGGGTTCTGCCCACCTCCCCCGCCAAAAGGATTTCGGCCGCCGCCTCCTCCGAAGCCGAAAGGTCCCCCACTCCCAAAAGGATCGCCGGCAGCAAACGAAATACCCCGTCGCTGACTAGTCATGTGGGCTGAGGAGGTTCCACTCAAGATCTTGTCCGCTATACCAGGACGTAGTCCACCAGTGGACCTAGAGGACCCCATCCCAAACAATGCTGCTGGTAATGACGCCATAGTGCTTCTAGTCGCGTTATCTTGAGAAGACGCGGGATGAGAATAGTGGATGCCGATCGGCCGGTTATCTTCAGAAGACGCGGGATGAGAATAGTGGATGCCGATCGGCCGGGACCGGTCTTGCTGTGGCCCAGAAACCGAATACATGCAAGAACTGCTGCTACTCGATTTTTCGAAAGGATGCTCCACACAGCGGATATCTCCTGTCTCTTTCGCTTCTCTGAAGCTATTTGAAGAGGACAGAGCCCCTGTTGTACCTCTTCCACTTCTATCGCGGCTTAGCTCGGAGCCAAGCGCGGTCTCTTGATTTCTCGGCATCGTCAACATCTCCATAGCCGTACTCGCCTCTCGCCACGACCATTCTGACTTTGCAGGCTCACTCCCAACCGAGGATTCCTGAACCACTCTCGACGATGAGGAGGGAAGCAAGTCTACGAACTCTCGTGTTATTTCCTTCTGCTGGTTGATGTGTCTACTACCCGCTTCTGAGGGAGCGACACCTGCCGCGAGTCGCGATCGATCAGATGCTGTAACCGCTTCTGCCGGAATGTTTCCTGTGCATGCACCGGCTTCCGTCGTCGTTGACGCGTCCTTCGCGTCCTTCTGAGAAACTATGGCCCCGAGAGGGGCTGTTCGTGAACGGCAAACAGCAGAGACAACGCGCTTTGCGATGGCGCTGCGCCCACGAGGGGCAGCACTACATCGGGGAAGATGGATCATTCTTTTGTTCTAATTAGCAAGCAAGACAACTAGATACTTCGGTGCAAAATGAATGAATGCAAATAATCACTATATGTGCAACGAGCCTAATAAGTAAGATCTTGGACTGAGTAAGGCGTTTGCGACAACATCAACAAATTAGGCCAAAAAATCAGAACCAGAAAAATCAATCAGGATATAACTTCTTTACCTAGTGCAGAATAGACCTACAACGCTCAGAACAATACCGAATTTTTGGACTCTTTCCTTTCATGGATCACCATGACCCCCATCTCTTTTTTTCACCCCACAGAAACAACGTCGATCCCCTTGCACGGAAAATCACTTTATAAAAGAACCTGTCTCACGCGACCCAAGGGGTTGAATCCACCTTGAATATCTGACAAAACAAAAGATCTTCGACCACGTTTATATATAAGCGACAAGAGATGAATGCGGCGTTCTGGCTACTTGCTTACTTTGGTACTGGTGGAACACGTTAATAAATGCGAATGCAGCGTCCCCGTGAAACCCGAAGAGAGTTCCTCAATAGCAGAATGGTCTTTCTATCACTAAATGAGGTAGATTATTGCAAAATTGGGACTCAGTCGTTGATGGATTCTCCCCATGAATTGTCCTTCTATTTCTATATTCGATTGGTGCAACGAATGGCTAGTCTTAGTTGCTTAGCTGTAATACAACTGTGCATATTGAAATTGCAAAATCTGCTGCCTATGGGGTGTTCTCCTTTGCATGATCAACCTCTTGTTGGCCACGTTGAAGATGCAGCATTCCGATTCCAGCTACGCGATATGGGCTTGAAAGTCCACTTCCCGTGAGCTCCAGGAGGACAGCTCTTGTTCTTGAATCCGCCTATCGATTAGCGCAGGACGCTCACTTCTTCTTTGCGATGAATCCGTCCGCTCAGTTCTTCTTTGCGATAGAAAGGGCTCAGGGTTCGTAGCTAGTTACACGCGCCCGCTAGCTGGAGCCGCACTGGGACCCAGCAACGGTGCTACAAGGCGACTCGAGATGTGCCGGAACCGAAAAATGGCTCCAGAATCGGAAGAAGGTTCCGCGCCATGCCCACGTATTTGCGTGGTCCCTGAAGATGTTGCTGTAGTTCGTGTAGTAAGCTGCTAGTCGTAGCAATCGTAGAAACTAGCTGCTGGTCGTAGCAATCGATGTTGCTATTCGTAGCGATCTTCGTAGAAAGACTTAATTGTGAAGATAGAAATAGTGGTCTCGTTCATCTTCTGTCACCGCTTCGCCTGGCAGCAGTCCGCACCTTTACTCAGGTCTGGCAGCTTGGGAAAATTGGTAATGCGACGAAGCTTGTGTCTAGCAATGCTGGAAAGTGACTCCGCAATGTGACCACAGGAGGAGGAAAATCAGTGCGACAATGATGGCGGCAATTTTTGCGGCGACGCGGCAGTTCCGCCACCACATGACCCTCTGTAGTGCGGCAGCCTCACGGCGAAAAACGAGAGCTGCATCCGACATACCTTCCGTCTTTTCGACTAAAAGCTCAATTTTTTCGCCACGAACTAAAATCTTATCGATGTTCTCGACCATCAGCTCTTGCAAATTGCAAATTTCTGCACGGATCCTGAGAAGGGATTTGCAATTGTATTGTTTTTGTTGAGTCAGCGTCCTGGTTACTCACCTGTTACAACTCACTCAAAAGAACAAGCAAATGAGGATCACGCGATGAAGTGTGATCATTAGACATCTTCACAGGTTTTTGTAAGTACCTCTTCAAGGTGTCTGCATCCGAACTGTTGTATTTCGAGAGCAACGCTCGAACTTGTTCTGGGTGTAGTATTTGAGCCTGGTGCTCGCATTCGTTGGCTAAAGCGTCCAAGAAAGCAAAGGGAACTCGCCGTCCTGCTCCTCGATGCGCGAGACATAGAAAAACAGCCTGCTGCCCGTCACAATCTTGCAACATTAGGTGGAAGACGTAATCTCCGTCGCCGTACAAATACGTCATCCGCCGCCGAGGCGAACCACTCGGACTTGATGACTCGAGCAATGGACGCGCAGCGACACTCGAGGCGCCACTGCCAACTCCTGACGGGGGCGGCTGCTGTTTTCCCCCTACTGGCGTGGATTTTCTCCCTACTGGTGTGCCATCGTCAACCACGACATCTGTGACCTGCAACTCCTTTCCTCCACCTGCTAGAAATCCGCCATGGGCAGCTGTTGATCCTGCTTCCGTACTAGATGACAAGCCTCCACGAGGCTGAGACCCGAAGCCGCCGCCTCCAGCCTCTTCTAATCTGGTAAAGTCGCGGACCGTAGTAGTAAAAGTCTCGTGTCGTGCGATCCCAGCACCCTTGGTTCGTCCCCCACTCAGAGCGCAGGCCTCGCGAGCGGCAACTTTTTGAAGCAGGCATTGCGCGACTTCGGCGAAGTTCCCGCGAGCGAGACTGACTTCGCACAGCTTTTCGATTTCGTCGCATCTACGAGCTGTGATCACAGCATACACGATTTGCTGTGGATGTGCATTGGCCTGTTCACGCACTCTTCCTGTCGAAGAAGAGGACGAAGAAGATGTTATGCCTCCTGTCGAAGAAGAGGAAGAAAAAGATGTCATGATGTCCTGGTCTTAGCAAGTAGCTCCAAGAACGGCTTAAAAGTTCCTTTTTACAGCGCTCAACATCCTAAGTTCCACTGACACTAGAGAACAATGACACAATGGATAGGGTAGGATTTGGCTCGCCTCGTAGAGGTGAGCGTTCACGACTATGAAAACGCCGAAAAAGAATCACAATGAAACAGATGTTGAGTTCACGCATGATACACAGGTGAAATTTTCTACACGACGACTATTGCTTTCCACATGCGGCTTCTTGAAGATACTCTTGGTTTGGTTATTTCATTATTGCGCCATGCTGCCAATTTGATGATCACGGAAGCTTCTCTCCAAGCTTCTCTCTGGGAACACGCATGCGCCTTTATTCTTCTACCAATTACTTCTACGATGAAGATTTATTATCATCTACTTTAAGAAGAAGATGCTTTTAATAGGAAGACATATTAAGTGGCGAGACAAATAAATGAGCAAGAAAGCAGAAGCTTCACCACTGCATCAACGAATACAAGAACAATAATGAATTTCCTCTCCTGTCGAGGTTCTTGCAGTAGGTCTATTTGGTTCTTCGTAGTCTGTAATCGGATTACATTTCAACTTAATAGCACGGCGATCGAATAATATGTAGCAATTTGAGAACAATCCAAGTGAAAACTATAATATATGGATACATTGTTGTTGTAGTACGCTACTACGATGTTGCAAGCTTCAAAATCTGGTTTGCTGATGGTGCTCTTTTGATGTGACCTACCATCAATTGTCGAGGGTTAGCATGTCAAACATCAAGGTCACTCTAATCACAGATTCATACATGTCGGGACGTCCCATCAAGACAGGAGCCTTGCTTCTTGTGGTGGTACTTGAATCATATAGAGTGCCAAGTCATGCTATTCAAACCTCAAACTACTGGAGCAAACACATACTAACATCCTAGATCTGACAGAGAAGAGTGCTTCTAAATATGACAACGGGTATCTCTAGAACTCGTTAGACTTGTCTATGCCTATCTTACATGTTTCTGATGACAAGATGTTACTTCTGAAAGATCACAAGTACCCTACGAGGACTATAGACTAGAACCATCATGACTAATAATAGTAGTTCTTTTTAACCTTCGCTTGTACCATGACTAATAATAGCGTGAACTACATAATTAGTAGTTCTTATCATACTATAATATCACACAAAGATCATGACAGGAGGAGCCAGTTGTTCGGAGAATAGTGAAGATATCAATAAATAGCCGAGGAGAAGAACGTGCAGGAATGTTATGACAAAGAAGAACTAAATAGGTGTTGCAAATTGAAGTTACGAATGACAGCAAATTACTAGGATTTTCGGTTAGCAAATTTGGAAAAATAAATGGCTTCAACATGACATCGTCATACACCTACTTTGCGAAAATTACAGACACAATGAATCACTTGTTCTCTTGTTATATGACTACCATATTCTTGAGAGAAAGAGAATAGACATATTTTCATCTAATTGATTGTAGGTGGACGAAGAAGTAGAAACGACTACTAAACACCTCTAAATTAATTCCATTTCCACGATTAGAAGTGCCGCTCCTAAAAAACCGTCGATTTCTATAACTGGTAGATGCGCTGGAAGCTCGTCACCTGCGGCTGATTAGTGCGTCGCGGCCGTGCGGCATTCATTTCACGCGGACCAATTTTGTACCTTGTAGGAGATGGGAGGAGAACGACGATTTGATTATGCAGATCTTCATAAAGCTAACCCTGATGACTTCTTGTTCTTCTTCAACATTGCTCAGGAGTAGTTTCTAGAAAGACCAAGCACGTAATTCGCATACATCTTCTATTATGACTTTTCAAGAGGTCGTGAACTAGAACTTTATGGTTTTTCTGAGAACTTTTTAAGTACTACCTTGGCGGATGGAACTCCTCTCGTTGGTTCAGGGTTCCCAATGGGCCTTCTGCAGTGCGGTTAATACTCGCCACCTCCTGCTCCAAGCCTGCCTGAAAAAACGGTCCTGAGACTGTCTGCGCGTACCTGTGGGTTTCGTATGGTGGAAAGATCATCAATGCGTCTCAAATACTTATTCATCTGAACTATGTGGAAACAGATGAGTCGTCAAATTACCCCACATCCACACCTGAGATTCTAGTAATTCTAGTTGTGCGCGTGGTCGATCTTCTTTTCATTGCTATGCAGAAAACCTCACGATCATACAGGAACTATTTCTTCTCTGAAAATGAACCATCAGGTTGAAGAATATACCTAACTTTCGGATTAGTCACACTAGGATCTCCTTGCGAGTCGAGAAAGGCGTGCTTCTTTCGTGCCGACTCGCTAAGATTTCTCACTTTATCGTCACGGATAGCGTCAAATCGTCCTATTGTTTGGTCGTACACGTCAGGCCTGCACAATGAAAGAACTTCAGAGGGAGCTATGCGGATATTGAATGGTCATCGAAATTTTCATTGGATGAAGAGACGAAACTAAGGTACTTATATGAGGGACTCAGGGGCTTGTAGTAGAAGTACATGACTTGAACGCTTCATACTTCTTGATACAACAGAAAAGGACAATAAGTACTTGATACTAAAGTACTAGGATACACATCTAGGTACTAGGATACACATCTAGGTACTAGGATACACATCTAGGTACTAGGATACACATCTAGGTACTAGGATACACATCTAGGTACTAGGATACACATCTAGGTACTAGGATACACATCTAGGTACTAGGATACACATCTAGGTACTAGGATACACATCTAGGTACTAGGATACACATCTAGGTACTAGGATACACATCTAGGTACTAGGATACACATCTAGGTACTAGGATACACATCTAGGTACTAGGATACACATCTAGGTACTAGGATACACATCTAGGATGGTCTACTCGACATACACATCTGGATGAACATATTCATGAACAACTTGACATCGAGAACAAATTTTTGATAGACCGTAAATTTGGGTTCCCTGCTCCGTGGACATCTCGAAAGAAACCACCTGTATGTGTGGATGCCATTCGCAGTTTTGACGGTCCTTTTCCGCTACGCGTACCCGCTAGTGCGCCTCCTTTGTGGCAATTAGAGCTGTTTGAGAAGACGAAGAAGAAACAAACTTGAGAACATCAGTGCTCTGAGAAGAAGAAGAAACAAACGTTGAGAAGATATGGAGTGAGAACTCGTCACACACCTTTGATTCTATTATCTGTGGAAGAGAAAGAAGAAGATGATGATGCTTCTAAACGACAAATGTGTTTAGACGTATTTAGGATGAAAATAATTTCTTTACACCTATGGATGTAGATCTTCATTCTTGACTTACATATCTATGTATAATGCCGAAAGCTACAAAAAGTTTCTAGAGCATAATGTTGCTAGAGCTACGTCCGGCAGCTGGTGATTGCTGCGCTCCTCCTCTTCCCCTACTGCTAGTGCCACTAGCTGGTTCGTTTTCGGGATAGTAGAGCTGCGAATCGTCTTAGAAGATAGAGTAAATGTAAGTAAGAGATAATGAGAGAGTTGGTACAAGTAAGAGAATCGTCTTAGATAGATTCGTGGGTGACATGTGCGTATTCTGAGGCTCTCACTGTCTGTCGACCAGCGAAGCACTTAAAGAACCCCACTTGAACGACCAGTCCCGTGAGTGCCTCGGAAGGTGTCACCTATAGGTAGTGACCGAGGGACTGATCCGGCAACATCAATCAACAAGTAGTTGGAGTTCAGAATATATAATATTCTTTTTCACTCGTATCGTCGAATAAAATCAAGCCATAATATTCTGGGCCGCTCTGGTGACTATTGACATTGTAGGTTGTCTGCGGTCTACCATGATCTGGTCCTGGCTGTAATCGGCCATCGAATGGCGTTGAGTGGTTTAAGAGCAACGATCCCGGTACTTGGAATCGTGCGCTCTGCGTCCTCGCATCATGCTGATTATGCGTGTCGCTGTTAAAGAGACCCTCCTTGTAGTAGGCTTCGTTGTAGGTGCTCTTATCGTAGCCAAGATTCTCCAGACTAGTAGCGCGTCTTCGCGAAGACAATGAAGGGAGAGAGAAGGGGACAAAAGTCACGGAGACTGAGAATAGAAATCATAATGTTGGTCAAACTAAATTTACACAACACCAACGAACAGAAATATATTCAAACTTATAAGTAAGTAGCCCCAGCTTGAAAAATTCGGCTAAGTAAGAATCCCAAGAATACAACATTTCATGTCATTTGTCTCCGATTTTACCAGCCAAATAAACATCATTACACGACTACTTGATAAGTACTTAGCTACGGAACCAAATTTCAAGATGAGAATCAAGCTCTGATGTCATACAACTTGACCCCCGTTTCTGTAGAGCTGTGCTTCGCGGTGCTTACGGCTGAGAAGATAGTCCGCCAGACCCTGTGGCTGAGGTGCATTGGCAAATAATGCTGTTTGCTTGAGAAGTTTCTGGTTGTCGTTATTTGTAGCGTCGGAAACGTGCGGTACGTACGTAAACGACGACGACGGGTGGTAACACTGGAGCGGGGAGATGATGAAACTTTTGATGCAACTGTTGAATGGGTAGTACTATGGGTTGGAGAATCGAGTTTTTGGGTGTAAGGATCGAATACTAGTACCCCAGGAGCTACTTGCTCCATCATAAACAAGTTACCATAATCAAAAAACACACGTAATTGTTGTTCTTCATGTTTCACAACAAGATTAAATCGATGTTGTTTATCAGTGTCAGTTGTACTCAACACGATGTCTTCTTCAATGTTCATCACGTCATGTGTATCACCTCAGTGGGGCTTATGACGTCCTTCAAGTATCAGTACCTGCACGTTCCCTGTGGGCTTATGCACGTTATAGTGGTAACTTCCTTGACCAGCCGCAGAACTGTGGACATGGCTCATAATGTGCCACGTTTTACCAAATTTATCCTTTCCTTCCGTTTGAGCACTCCTGTGGTAGTCACAGAACAAACGTAATAGTTCTTCAGTTGTTGTCAAGTTGTAGGGGTCGGAAGAAGAAGTTTTATTTGTGCAACTTAAACTTATTAACATCATTTGAGCAATAGTTACAGTGCTGAAAGTCACATGAAGAGTCAGAAATGTTCAGTGCTTGATTGTAAGTACCTTTTCCTGCTTTAGCATCCTCTTAATAGGAGCAAAGTATTTTTGAACACTCACTCCATGGTTTGGTTTTTGGTTTTTACCTTAGAAAAGGAGTCCAAGTTTAACTGTACTTGTAGGTATATTTCCGCTTTGGGTCCTCGACTCGCCTTGAGTGGTAGAGGTGGTCCCATTGTTCTCGGTTGAGGTTCTCTCGCCACACTTGGTCATGCTGTGCAGGCACAGCCGCCTGCAGCTTGAAATTTGCGAGACCAACACGCGACATTTCGTGGGAGTCGGACAGGATGAGGAGTTTATCACGTTAACAAGCCCGAATGGACCACGTAGGAGTCCACTTAATATAGCGCAGACGGACTTGATGAAATCGAAAACGACACCTCCCTTCTCGAAGACCTTAGCGAGAGAGAGGGGCTGTCGTCTCACGACGCAGCTAGTGATATGGATAAAGGGCACGTCGTCAATCCTGTCTATCTCATGTCATGACGTGGCCATCTTTAGTTTTTAGACGTTACAGAGGAACTACAACAACGACCACAAGATAATTAATTGAATCCTATAAAACATTTTTGGAGTGTTTATTTGGTCCGTTGAGAAAAGACGTTGTACAAACAGTGGTGAAAAGGAGGCAGCAATTTTCCGAAAAGAGTTGGTTCCATGTAACCATATTTATGTATTGAATCCTCGAAAACACGTAAAATTCCTTCTACAGTGTTTGTGTCCTAAATTTTCTGCTGCTTAAATCAGAACAGGGGGAAATAGTTGCGAGAGGGGGATGGCTAAAGCGGTGGTTGTGTTCTAGCTATGTTAAAATAATGCTGCGTTTACTTCGTAGCCGACTTCATCTGTGACCGAAGCAATGAGCATCTACCGACTACACCAGCAACGAACATCTACCGACTTGAACTTCAAGAGACCGATGCTACACCTGCTTGCCCTGACATTTCTTCCCTGTTCATTTTCTGGTGCTGGATCCAGACAGACCGATTGATCATGCTGTCCGTATTTATTCTACTGATTCAACTGTAAAAGCCTGACTTGTTCCTTCGATGTGTTCACAAGCCTGCCCTTATATGCAGAGGCAGAGCTTCCTCCACCACCAGGGAGCAGGCAGCGATCGTAGTTTTCTAGCATGTGTTTCAAATGAGATTAATTGAAGTCCGAAGTTATTGATGTTATCCCAGTCCCAAAATATGAATTATGAAGTTTATCCTCCCCAGCATGGAGACGATTCAAAGCACAGAGGTCGTTCTTTAGAAGGTCGTTCTTTAGGTACCCTAACTACAAAAGCGGAAGCTGCTTACGAATCGTCACACATACTTGGAGAAAAAGTCGTTCTTGCTTATTGAAAGAAAATATGCTTCTTAGATGAAAGTCATAGAAGTTTTCGCTTATATACAGGAAAAATTATACATTTTCATATGAACCTTCTTCAGTCCAGCTCCACAATGTCTAAGCTGCCTTCTTCCAATAAATAGTAAAATACAGTGTGTGTTGTACGAAATGTGACTACCTCCTCCAGCACATCACGAACATTATCCCTAAACATAGCGCATACTTCTGGTATCTAGTATCACATCCATATCCAACTTAGAATTTATTATACAAGTGCTGTGCACGATTCCCCTATAACAACTGGCCAAGGCCCTCCTATGATCAATAAACATATATATACAGTAGTTGTGTGGTCGTTGTTCGTTAATACAATATTGTTGATTCAGTCTACATTCGTTCTAGTCCTCGTACTTCAGCAGGTACTTATTCAATATCTATGTTGACTTCATGATGTAGTTCTTATTCCCAACTTGAAAATCGTTAAATGCTTAAAGCACACCCGTTTGCGGAGTGATCGCCCCACTGTCGCTCCAGTAAGGCAAACTCGGCACCGACTGGTTTCGGCCTGTCATTTAGTAAATGGTAGTGGTAAAAAATGGTAACACTCGACACCGATATGTTTCGAAGTAATGGTAAATGGTACCCCTCCCACGAACACAGAATTCTATGCTACGGAAGTTTTATCGCTAGCAATGTCGGAGCAGTTGCAGATGAGGACCCTGTGAAAAATCAAAGTAAGAAGAGATGATACAAGAAAGTAAGTACGAAGAGATGATACAAATCCCGTATCAGGGTAAACCCATAGAGTAGTACCTGGCACGCGGAATGTTCCATAGCGTTGCTTGAGTTGTTCCTTTGGCGCGAATTTGGTGCGTGTGATGGCTCCAGCACCCTCACGGAATCGATCCCATCGCTCGTCGCGAGCACGAGTCTCAAACACTCGCCCGCCATCAGTGCGTTCCATATACCGCAATCTGTAGGGAGAGAGTGGCCATGGGGGATAAAGGAAGGTTGTCTTGGGTAAGGTTGTGTAGGATCCTACCAGTATGGAGATACTCTTAATAATGGAGAATAGATTTCGATTTCTTCTGGTCTTTTAGTTACAATTTCTTCTAGCAAGGAGACAATGGTCCATCGTCTACTCGTAAAATGAATCGAGTATCCTTGTGAAATACGACAGTACCTGCGATAGCTCAAATCCTGGCTGCCATTCTTGAGGTTGTCCATCGCCGTCTTGAAAACTGGCGGTCCGCTCATCATCATTTTCTGTAGAGGGAATTAAGAAGTGGGGATTTAATACGTGGTTAAAATACGTGGTTAACGTGAAGTCGGTATCACTCTTCATTTAGACATCAACATTTGAGAGATGTCTATTCATGAAGTGCTAAACACCTTCCAAAGAAGCTACTCTTTCCCCATCAAAAGACAAATAAACTCGAAGATTCAAAACTGAAAAAATAAGTGTAGTACATCATTTCCCTCAATTTCTCTGCATCGTTCTGGGAATGCTGTTCTTTGCTGTACGTGGTGATTGTCGCAGGTCGTACCCCACTCTGCTTTCTCATTGCCACGAGGAGACAACTCACCTTTAGCCTTTGCCACCTCGACATCTCCTCTTGTTACGGCAGCATTTGGAAGCTTGTACCTAAGTTTAAGTTATTCCGTGTACCTAAGTTTAAGTTACTTGGGTGGGGATGAAAGTTCTAAATTTTTGTAACTCGCAAATAGGCGACCAACCAAAAGTGTAACTGAAGATGAAAGTTCAAAAGTGTAACTGAAGATGTTGACCAACCATAGTGGTGACAGTTGTTAGCAGAAACTTTCCTGGTGAGAGAATGAGAGAGATAGTAGTAGTAGTAGTGTACCCATTCGTGAGAGAGATAGCAGTGATATCAAAAGAGGCGGAAATGTACAAGAAATCGGCATGCTTGAATCGTGGAAAGCGTGCTTCGACGAAGTTGTCTTTGACGTTCATGCGTTTGAAGAACTCATAATCGCAGTAGTTCTTCGATCCGAGGCATGGTCTGCGAAACTCATAGGACTCCTGCACTTCAGCGTCCAAGAACTTGTTCAACAGAAACGGCTCACGGTACGGTGGCAGAGACATTTTGGTAGTCTTCTCTTCGTCAAAGACTGCGACGTTTGAGGTTGACGTTTGAGGTTGACGTTTGAGGTTGACGTTTGAGGTTGACGTTCGATGTTGGCCTCGGAGCTTCGATTCGGTGAAGAAGAAGATGTCGATGTGTCGATGTGTTGTTGTTGTATGTAACAAAGTTACTCGAACGTGATCCCCTATTAAAACTGTACAACAAAAAGAAAAACTACTCTTCAAGTTCTACGGATTGGAGATGTTAGTTTGAAGCTCGCTGAAAAATGTTGTGAGCTCGTGGTCGTGAAGATGTATGATGGATTTGCGATGTGCTATATCGTGTTTCCGAGAAGCAATAAAAATGCGACAACGGGAAAGCTGTGGGTTCAGGTTGTTCAAAAATATGTTGGCTGTGATGTTGGGAGAAAGGGAGTGGAAAAAGAGTTCCAAGATTGCCTCTCTTGAAGACGTCTCACTTGGATCTATGCGTCTATGGTGGTTCATTCCAAAAACTATAAGTGTAATCTCCCCAACTAAAACTACATGGAAAAAAGCTGAATAACGGCCAACAGAAGAAACAGACGAATGATGAATCACAAGTGAGCCAGCACCAACATACAACTACGAGTTGTCTGTGAAGAAAAAAAACGGTAGGGCCTCTTAGTTCGCGCAAAAATGTTGTCTCTTCCTCTCTCAACACTGCTCAGGCGTTGACCCCGTATAGATTACAGAAGGGGTTCGCTGACAATGGTAAGTACAGTCTCACGCTCATCTCTCAAGCATGGCACAAAAAAGGGACATCCTTTACACCGAAAAGGGCACGAACATGAAAGCACTTCTGATACTCGCTTCGCAATACCCCGTGCTGATGGAGTAAAAAAAATGTACTAGAACACATCTATCTTTCGATTGTCACGACGATCCAGGGTTCTTCGTAGTCTACTCTTTCTATCTTTCTGACTGCATCTTCTCAAATTCATTCATCGCTGTCTTAATCCTTAAATCACGCTTATTCAACTGCCACGGAGAATCAGACAGAATATTTCTGTGATGACATTCAAAGATTTCATTTTTCACGAGTCTGCATCTCGCGAAATAGCTGCTTTCAGCATGTCATTGGCGTATGGCAGCCAGCTGTGAAAAAATTCTCATTCTCTCTATGCCTGTTGTCAAGTTTCCTCTGGCCCTCATAAATCTATAAATTGGTCCAAGAAGTACCAGCTTATATGAAATACGCTGGTCTCTGAAAGTGAACAACGACCGTTCAGAAGATTAATAATAGTTATAAGTTGTTCCCCTTGATGTACGAGTGTTGACTACTTTTGACTATTCAAGCCACTATGGCAACCCCCGACGGTTTGGACTGTTCCGCGTACTCGGACTGTTGACATCGCTCCTGTCCGGAACGTCTGCAGACCAAAGAGTTGCGTCCAGCTTCCCGTCGTCACGGACATTAGAACAAAGCGTAGGTGTTGCTCCAAATCATGTTAAAATAACAAGATGTTGACAAAGCCCTTTTGTATTAAAAAGGAGATTTCGATCTTTCATAAGCAAGCTGCGCAGTTTCCGCAATTCCCAGAATAGAAGCAATGCGGCAGCGACCGCGATGACGAAGGGGTACCAGAGCAAGCAGTAGTTAGAGCTACCGCGTTCGCATCCCTCAGTCCATCCTTGGCTTTTTTTCAAGAAGAAAAAGAGCGAGGGATGGTGCTGAGGACGGCTCAACGGTAACCTTAAAGTAAGGATTCCAGGATATGATGAAAATAGCCCCAGCATCGTATGCCCAGTGGAGAAGGACGGGAGGACCGAGTGCGGTGAGTAGTGCCTTCCAGCCCACGTAGTGGTTGACGCGCACAAACTCGTCGTCGTCCGATGAGTAAAGCGCAGGAGCCAGCCTGTGGGGAAAAAAGGGGAAGAAAAGGGAAAGAAATGATCAGAAGTAAGCTTCATAATTGGATATTTCTTCTATTTCGTTCCACTTATAACGCAACCAAAAAGTTACGCTTAATAGCTTTGTGGTGGAGCACCTAACTAGAAAAAACCACCAGCTTAATATCTTAATATCTCGGCAACTACGTCCTCCAAACAACCAAATTTAAATACTCAATACCTAGCCGCACACGCCGCTGTCAAAAAAGGATGGAGGTTGAAGAGGTTTCGAACGATGCCCAAGAAACGGCGCATCCAATAGGTTTCTGACGTCGCTTCTTCTTCTGTAAATCCTATGTCCGGAGATAATGCGATCATCGTAAAGTACTTCAGGTTCTCCGTCAGCATGAACCCGAGTCCCACACAACCGGCATAGAAGACTAAACTCTCCCATTGCCGTACGATGTACCTAGAAAAGAGTGGAGGTAGTAATACGTTTGGTGTTAGGAGGGCAGGTAGTACGTTTGGTGTTAGGAGTGGAGGTTGTTGATGTCTTCAGAAGGTGCGATACTACAACTGTAGTTGATGCTTCCCTCTTCATATCAAAATGCACCATCATTTCTCTGAAGCGCAATGAATGTAGGAAGCAACATTTAAGTTGTAAACTCAAAACTATTATATCAGATGACTCAATTATCAAGCAGTACCCACGACAATCAGAGCAGCGCGTGTTCGGAGTCGCTTGAATTTCCTCCTTAACCCGTGCGAGACCAAACAGCAGGAAAAATAGCTTCACTGCTTCCTCAAAGAAGGCGGCGAAAAACATGACGCCAAGTACGAGACCCGGATATGAGTCCGCTTTTCCGCGCAGAATGTCACGAAAACGGTCTGGCTTCTTATCAGCTTCCTCTAGATGGCGAGTCGTTGTGTGTGGGAAGATGTCACTGGACGTTGTCTCGACTAATAATTGGCGACGTTGTCGTGCTTGTGCCAGAAGATGAGTGTTACTATTTCGACCAAGAAGAGACAACGAGATGTAATCTGGTGTTTCGGCTTCTCCATTTATTTGTAGTTGGAGGGTCTCATCTAAGCGAGCAGGAGGCTGGGCTCGAGAGATTTTTCTTGTGGAACTCCCGTCTCCTATCGTCGTTTTCTCGTCAAGCTCTTGTTCCCTTGTTCCACTACTGCTGCTCGAGTCTTCTAGTCCATTAATGCCTCGCTTTGCACTTCTATCTCTATAATGATGTCCACGACTATTAGAAGCACTCTCCTGTTCAACTACATCTACTCTTTTGCTAGTGACTGCTTCCCTACTGCTCCCCTTCTCCCGCTCCTGTCTGGCCCTATTCTTCTCACCAAGCCATTCCAACTGCCAGAAATCAGTGAGCCTTTCACCGAAGTCGCCTGCGCGTCGCCAGCTCTGTGCAGCGAATGGCCGCAACATCGCTGTTGTATCGATAGTTGTACTACACTCCCATGGCCGCGACCTACTAAAAGGTACCATCTCGAAATCCAATATGCCAGGAGTAGAAACACCTATCACGTCCTCAGGAGTTTCGAGTTCTGCACTAGGTCCCGCTGCCGCGACCCGTTGCATAGCTACTTTGGAGGATGAGCCTCCCTTTAGCCTTTGGAGTAACTCTGCTTGACCGTATGCTTCTAGGAAAAAAGCTAGAACGACAGCAAAACTAGCGCCCCGCCACATGTACGCGAAGCATATGGGAGTTTTCACGCTAGAATGCCACCAAAAGCGTCCAAGGAAGCCGGCCTGTTAGCAAATTGGAGGCAGAGCTGATTCTTTTAGGATAGAGGGCATAATCGCGAATGAAAGATTTTCTGTATTTGAAAAGATTCACAAGAACATAGAAATCTCAATAAACCCATGGACCCCGACGAAAACGACAAGCCAGAGTACTATAAGTACCTCCATGATTCAAGAACATTTTGTATCTTAGAAGATTTAGTACTGTTCTATGTGTATGATAAAACATCAAAACAGTAAGTACTTCGAATTACGGCAAGCGCGATGGTGGCAGTGAGGATCATGGAGACCTCGGAAACGAATATCCGATCCTCTACGCTCTTGCTGCTGACAGGAAAATATTCGGCTCCTTCGGGAAGATAACTTTCTACCTTTTGAGAAGTGAAAATAGTGAACTCGTCTCTCTACCTGCTTAGAAGAAGTGGAAGAAGTGAATCATATTTGGCTGGGAGAGAGGTAAACTCTTACGGAATCCTTGGCTCTTTTCTCCTCTCCCCCTTGCGCAACATAATATCTTAACCCTTTGACGTCGAAAAGTAAGGGAGCAGCAACATAATATCTTATAGCCCCTAATGGCGTCTGCATCATTCATTGGGCGACATCGGCTTCCCTTTTTTTTTTACCTGTGTCTACAAATTCCCGCGCTACGAACATTCAATTACTCAGCGGGAAGCCCCTGATGGCGTCTGCAAAATCGTGTAAAAGTTAGTAAGATACCGCCTTCTCCATTTTTTGCCTTCCGATAGTCTTCATCAACAGCAGTTGAAAGTCGATGTTCAGGAAGAAGAGGGTGAGAAGTGCCGCCGTTATCACCGGAAATGCTACGATCCAGCAACGACGACCGCCCTCGAACGGTCCTATTAGAGCTTTCTTACCGAGGTTGTTGCTCATCCTGGAGGATAAAGAAGTCACCTTTCGAGCGTTTTCCCTTTAGAAAAGGGCGGGTCAAAGCTCATGCCTGTTCGTCTTACGTAAATCACGGAATAAAGCCGTAATTCTAGGTCGTAGATCACGTCGTCAACCGCACAGCATCCTGGATGTCTTCGCGGTGGTGCGTCGTCGTCCCGTGTCACACGCGCGCGACGTGGCGACGTCGAACTTGAGTCGGGAGCAGCTGCTGCAGCTGTGACCGTTGATGCTGTCGCTGGTGCGTTGTTTTCGGGTACGAACAAGAACGGTCGAGCACCAGAAGTAGACGATGACACTTCGTGCGTCGACACTGGGCCGTACGTCGGCTGTCCGCGACTCTGATATCCGACGAAAGCCATTGTCCTCGAGTTATGCCACTATTCACTTTTTACAAATTAGCCTAGTACACGTTACTGTCTTGTGACCCGTGCACACGACATTTTCTTGAGTCTGTACTACTTTTCTGTTTCGGGTATCAAGAGAAACCTCTTTCAAGTACAGTTCTTTTCCTCCTCATGCGCTCCACTCTTTTTCTAACCATCGCAGGAGACCAAGAAAGATCTGTGAAGACACCGGCAAAAAAAAACAACATGCGCATGCCAGCATGTTGTTTCCTGCATCGGCTACTGCAACCTAGTATGATATCAATGTCAAAAAATATTCTTTCTTGAATTATTTTTCAGAAATATTTGCTGTTTCCAGAAATGCGAAGAACAATCGAGTAGGCGAGCTTTGTCCCTTCCTGTTTCTGACAGGTATAGTCCAACACATGCAGCCCCAACACATGCAGCACCAAAGAATCAACACATGCAGCACCAAAGAATCAACTCTTGCACCGGATTCGCATGCAAGAGTGCTCCAGTTGCTTCTCCGGTTCTGGTCCGCTAAGCGAGTACTAAGACACTGTGGAAAGATGCCCGCCAAAACAGGAAGTTCGTGACTCGCATATTATACTTCGACAAAAACTTTTTTTCCACGGCACGTAAGACGAAGAGGACGTAGTAGACGATGTTGTAGTAGAGTAACACAGTTGTTGTAGTTGTAGACGGCGGGTTCTTCTCTGATAGATAACTGCTATCAGCGGTGATGTAGGACGATGTGTTCTAGTAGACCAGCACGATCCGAAGACCAGTTGTACTAGCAGAGTTCGTGTAGAAAAATGACCATGAAAGTTCCACCAACAAGAGTCCTCGTAGTAGAAGTAGAATTGTTCATCCTGTGACTGTGTGGTGCAACCTACTGCTTACTTCGGGAACTGAGCGCCGTTCACTTGGATAATTCCGACAATGACGCCGAAAAGACCTGTTCTCAATGGTGCTCAAATTTGGTTTGAACATGATCTTTCTCCAGTACGACTTTCAGAACCATGTCACTCCTATGGACATGATGAAGACGCGAAGTATGATTCGACCTTTATGGTGGAGGATTCGGTGTAGTTTATCATCTACGATTTAGAAGCCCTAACACTGACTTTTAACAAGCTCTAACTCTAACATGAGAATTAGCTGACATAAGAATTAGAAGAATGAAGATGTACCAAGCGCACTGCCGAAGATCTCAATAATGAGCATTTTCACGAAGAGATCCGGCCTCTGCGCATCGCCTAGAGCGCAGCCACTACCAGAGATACCAACGCAGATACCTTGAGGGACAACAGAAGACTAACCAACATTATTGCATGAAGGGATGAGCCTGCGGATAGAGCAGGGATACTCCTAGAGAGAAGAGAGGATTAACAAACATTTGAAATAGAAATTTTTAATTTTTGTGGCAAGAATAGTAGGAATGTTGATAGTAAGTCATAAAAGTCCTGAGACAAACCATTAATTGTGCCACATTGGTAAGTCATAAGAGTGAAGATGACACCCACCAGCAACGGCAATAAAAGAAGTACCGCAGAAAAGATTTGAGAATCCGACAGAGAGACCTACTGCAAGCATGCAGTATCCTGCGCCCATAATTGTTGCGATTTGTCCTTGTGGCGATGCTGGTACCTATATGATTCTTGATGTGAGGTAGTTTAATAAGATTCGACTCAAACAAAAAGCATCATATCCATAAAAGAAGCAGGTAACTAAGTACCTCGAACTGCGGGATAGCGGATATTTTGTTCTGCATGAGAATGGCCATAATGACACCGTAGATTGCTACAGCTTCGCAGAAAATGATACTGACAATATTCTTCGTTGCAATTCGTGGGGCTTTTACTCCCGCAGCCACTAGCGAAGAACCCGTGATGAAGATACCTTCATACGACAAAAGATCATCGCTTAATGATGATAAACAGATTGAAATTTTTATTGCGACATATTAGTTTACTCATCTCCTGAGACTTCCATTTAGATTTACTAGGATAAAGAACAAAACCAATAATATTAATTTGCAAGAACATCATCTCGATAGTACCCCATGCTGCACCCAGCACGCTAAGACCTAATGAGAGCGCAACGCCAAGATAAGCGTAGAAATAGGGATCCACACTGGACAAAGCGCAGGCCCATGACTCTTCGTAGCATGGTGCCGATGCTACGGCAACTGCTGCAGCAGCGCTAACCATCTGTTTTTTCTATTTAGTACTAATTCAGGAGCAAATTTACTCAATTTTCGAACTTTGCTCAAAGGACTCTTTCTACAACGCCAAAAAAGAGTAATTGAGTCACCTCTCAAGAACATCTACTAGCGCACAACAGGAGAACTCGACCTCCGTAAAACTTTCTCTCTCGAGCAGATATCCAATCGCAAGAAAAAATAGACACATCAAAGCTTAGTTGATGCAGCAGCTGTCAGATCTGACCGAATGTTGGGCTTGAAGCATTCCCCCGCCTCGGAGTCATTGCATTCCAAAAGGAGATATCCTCGGCAGATTTATCTCGGGAATTGATTCATCAAAAGTAAGCCCAGTATCGCAGAGGTCGTCTTAGATGAAACTCTCCTCCAGCCTGCAGAGCGCCCTATCTTGACGAACACTTCTATCATGTGTCTTGCAGAGGTTCTTCGGTTCGCTGTAATGCCTCTTCTTCGGTACACTTTTTCTTGTAATAATTCATGTGAGCAGTACAACTAGCTGCAGCCCTATGTTTATGTGCAGTGTTATCAACGTTTCGTGCAGAACTTGTCAGTGTTTTGTGCAAACTTGTCAGTGATGTTTATTTGTGCAACCTTGTCAGTGTTTTGGGCAGTCTACTTGCCACTGATGTGTTGTGTGCAGTGTCATCAGTCTCATGGACCCCAAGAGTCGTCCAGTGATCTCCAAAATAATTAGACTAATTTTCCCCTCCAAATGACCAAAATGGCCATAAATCTAGCACTATTTTACAAGATTCAGCTTTTCTTATTTGACGAGAAGAGCTGAGTTGTTCGTTGACGAGATAAAAATAGATTCAGCCACTAGAGAATACAACCTCCAAGTCAAATTTTCTACTAATGCTTTTTCCCTGCAGACGAAGCCGCCGTTGACGTGGAGTGGCCCTTCAACATATCTTCCTCCTCGTCGTCCGAGTAGTCAAAAATACCTTTGGTGAAAGTGGTGTTTAGTCTAGAGAGCAACATCATCGTCTAGAAAGCAACAGCCTACTAGAGAGCAACTTCTCATTCTGGTCACTTACCAGCTTTTCACATCACTCAACACGTAGTCTAAGTTACAAATTTTCATCCTATTTTCACTTCTTCAGTACAACTAGTACACTTCTAGCGCAAGTTAATAGTGTACATATAAGTACCTTTGACATCGTACGTTCCCGGTGGTGGGACAGCGGTAGAGACTGACCGCGCGCGCACTTGATCTGGCGTCTCTATTGCTTTCGCAAATGTGGTACCATTTGATTTGGATGCTCGCGAAATTTCGTAGTGTCCCGGACCCACGGTTGCTGATGTCCTCTGCACTAGGCCCTTGATCACGCCCTCCGCTGAAAATCGACCGTCCTGTGTGTAGTTGTATTGCGAGGAAAAACTTGGAAGCATGTCCTGGTGTTGTCTGAGGAAGCCTGTCATGTATGTGCTCCTGATATGACCACTAGTGGTCACCGTAGAAGCCAAATAGTGTTTTGTCTGAGGAAGCGTTGTGGGAGTTCTATGTCAGAAAAAGGCCTGTGTTGATGATGTGTACCGCAACTGCGTAAATGCAACTCGTGTGTGGATGCGATCATAGCATTAGGAGTATTATATAGGTCTTTTGAACACGAAAAAGTACTTAAGTCCAATTAGCATCTACAAATATTTTAAGGAAGTCTTAAACTTGAGTAAGCAGTACTTTTGGAAACTTTGAGACTCCGTCACGACTGCAGTGACTCTTCACCATCAGTGATATTTCATCCTCGCTTCCAGGCAGATTTGTTGGCAGTTTATATTTCGGTCCAAGGTATGGATATTGGCTGCTCTGCGTCAACATCGCTAGTTTGCTGAAAGGGTTGAACAGGACGATAGAGAACTTTTCTGTGCCTTTCTTTGTCGAAGTATTCAGCTTGCACTGGTCCTGGTGTAGGAAAAGACAAAAACCCTAAGCCCTAAAAAACATAATTGCAACTCACGATGAGGATCAGCAAGAAAGTACCTAAGACCAGTACCCACCAGTACAGTGACCCCAAGTACTAGAAAACAACTAAAGAGTAGTATAAGCATTTTTTCGATCTGAAAATTGTAAAAAAGCTACCTCTTCTTCTGATCTGGTTGCGGATGTCCAGCGGCTTTGCCCCATGTGTACGACACGAAGGGCCTGCAGGTTGAAGTCTTGTCCAAATACCTTCCCCAGTCCAGGACTTCAGGGTATTTCTGGTTCAACATTTTGTCGGATAAAAAAGGGAAGACAAGACGTGACTGCTGAGAGATCGGAGTGGAGGAGAAGTTTGGCGCTCACATTCCAAGCAATGGCGAAGTGAGCTCCAGATCGACTACTTGTTTCTCCTCTTCGAAGATGTTCGCAGAAACGAAGACAGGAAACGCGGAATTGTCACGAAGAGGCTCGGCTACGCCCACGAAAGGAAAAAATGAGCAGGGCCACAAAGGTATTGAGAAAGAGAAAGAGATACTAACTAGCTCTCCATCTACGCTTTTCACCTGCGATTAAAAGGTTCGCTTTTCCTGCTGGTCATAGAATGCCCCTTCTATCAGATTGTAAGAGAAAGATGAAAATCGAAACAATTCTTTTTGAAAGTGTTACTCATTGGGAAACTGAGCTTCTATCCTAGACAATCTCTTTTCATAAATGTTGCTTGTGTGCAGGGGTGTAAGGTAGCACAATACATAACAATCAATATGGTGTAAGTGCCATATCGAAAGATGACATGGGTCTAAAAAGTGCGAACAAGGGCTACAGACACTCTTCTGCCACTCTGCACCGAATAGTGTAGTTAGACTGCGGAAACTATTGACCTCCGCGTTCCTCCCGTACGTCGAATACAAATTACATGGAAGATCGACGACTCTGCTCTGCTCCCAAGCTACAACAACTACCGATAAAGGGTCCTTACTCTCAGCCACTCTGAAACCGAAAGACGCAACAACATTCCTGAAGATGACTTATCAAACGACTCTACCTCCACCTTGAAACCGAGCGACAAGCGGTCTCAATCGAGAAGATCAGAAACCGAGCGATATTACTGTACTTATGATATGGCTTCTTCTACCCATTCGTAGGAGAAAGATGGGCCACTTGCTTCTGCACAAGGACGATCATGATGAGCCGTTTGTTCTAGAACATCAATGTAGTCTCCGATCGGCCCAGAGTCACGCTGTTCACAGCCTCGCTGTAGAGGCAACAGAAAACAGCCCTGCAGCATCGTTTTACGTTTTAAAGGAATAGGTTGGTCAATTTTGGAATGACGTTTGCCCGTGCGCGTTTCTGGTTTTCTACCTTCTTGTGGGAATAGGTCTCTTGAAATTGAAACTTCATTTGAAACTTCTCGAGTTGGGGGGCGGGGGCGGAGGCGCGCAGCGCGGAGAGGCGGGCGCGGGGCCGGAGGCGCAGACGAGGCGGGGGCGATTGCGTAGGCGGACGCGGGGAGCGCGGAGAGGCGGGTGAGCGAGGGGGCGCAGGCCGCGCGGAGAAGCGGGCGGCGCGGCAGAGGGGAGGAGCTGAGCTGCGAGGAGAGGCCCAGTGCGCGGGGAGCGCGGCCGATGTGAGGAGGCGGGCGAGGGGTATGCAAGTTGCGGGAAGTGCTGCGAATTAGCTTTGGCGTCCACTTATTCGCGAAGAGGTCTTAGGGGTGCAGTGTGGAGGCACCTCTGCGGCATGCGGGTGATTTTGGTCCCACCATTGCAATTCACAACAAAGCGGGCCAGCACTGTTTTGGTAGTATTGCGCGCCGCGTGTCTCGTCTTGTTTAAAGCAGGCACGCGCAACTGCCGACAATCATGCAGCAGCCGTAAGCAAAGCACTCGGCGTCTGCGGATTGTTCAAAGTTGCGCATCTATATCTCCTCGCTTTTTCTGTCTGTGCCTTCTTCTTCCGCACTGTGGTCGCGTGTGGTTCCCGATTCTCATTGAGAAACTGATAGCGTCGCGCGAGATATACAGCCGCAGGATGAGTTTCGCGACGGCGTGAAGCTTACTGGGCGCCGTGTTGTTGGTGATGTTATGGAGGGCCTCACGCTGTCGAGGGCGGCGGCTGTGTGTAAGTGCTTCCCTTCCAGTTTCTCTGCGACATTTTGCAGCTTCGCGCAACAATGTGAGAGGAGATCTAAGATAGTACCACTTGCCACCCCAACCCGGTGCTCCTATTGACAAGCGCGAGGGCCTGCGCTCCATCTTGGCGCTCCTCTCTGTGGGCTCGTGTGCGATGCTCATGCTAAGCGCACGCACTTGGTCTGTCGCTAGCGCGAGCGGCTTCGGCGGTTTGTGTTAGGGTCTGCCTTGCGCTCACTCTGTCTGTGTTGTTCCGCGCTCGCCCTGTCAGTGTTTTTTCAGTAGAAAAACAGGCGACAGAGACAAGAACAGACGCGCGACACAGAGGCGGCGGCCATAAGAATAGGGCGATAACAAAGCAGAGAAAGAACCAGGCCCGGCGCTGTTTCGCATAGTATAGCAAGACAATATAATAAGGGAAATATCCTCGCGCGCGTTCCTTCTGATTCCGAAAACCCGACCAAACAATTACAAAGCACCCGCTGTTTGCTTCACTGGTCCAGAGGCCTAATCCCATGGACAAAACCAAGCAGGTGAGGGGCGTTCTTGCTCGTTTTAGGTCCTGCCCAATCCGGGCCAGGCCTCTTCCCTGTTTGCTCTTCCTTGTTTGGGAGGTCCTGCCCAATCGGGGTCGGGCGTGTGTCTTGTCTCTCGGTTCGTGTTGTGCTCGCTCTACAAGAGGGACACAACCGACAACAAGTTCTTGCTTTCCTTTACTTTTCATGTCTTCTGGCTGGAACCGCTGAGGGCGGTCCAGGTTATGACTATTTTTTACTTCTCCGCCAGTATTAGTCTCTCTGGACAAGTCTCCACGCATTCGCGTCCGCTTTCTGGGTGCTTCCTGTTATTCCTTGGACTTCCATGCAGCCCCAGAACCAGAACGGCCAGAGAATGTAGCCACTGCTACAACAGCGCTCACCCGCTTCCAGTTCGTTTCGCTTTCTGGTTCTAAGACACGAGCAGGGCCGCACAATACAAGAACCAGAAAAGGCCTCGCATTTTAGTGATGCCCGTCCTGCTAAAGAGCCAGAAGGTTTGGAAATGCTTGCGCTGAAACATTGGCAGGCTTTCTAGTTTTTTCTCTTAGGTTGAGCCTTTTTTTAAAGCTTCAGGCTCCTGCTAAAATTCTCAGCTGTTTAAAGAGGCTGGGTGGCATGGGTTTTTTTTCCGTACCTAAATCCGGAACATCAAGCAAAAAGCTAGGAGGTGAACCCAATAAACGATCTAAGCGACGGGGGCCAGAGCTCGCCCCTGTTTATACTGGGCCCACTTTGTAAGTTCTCAGCTCGCAGCTTAGGGAAAAGAGTAGCCTACTCCCCAATCCTCTGGCCAGTTTTTTTTTTGCGTCGCCCCCGCCCGGCGTTTAAAAATTGGAAGCGGGTAAGCCCTGCGGCCTACCAATAAGCACCAGACGAGGAGCAAGCCGAGCCCAAAACGGAGCAAGCGAGAAAGCTTCTCGACATTGAGAGGACTTCGCGGGCACCTGCGCTAACATCAAAACCGCGACGCCGCACAGCGTCGGCGTCCGCTCTGTGTCTAGATTCCTCCACAGTCTAGACGTAGCCAGCTGCCTGCGGACGATTCTAATAGTTACGCTTTAGCCACGCGGTGGGGAATGCATCCCCGCGCAAGGCTTCGGCGGCGGCCTCTTGCGAGCCTGCCGGAGGCTTTGCGAGGCGGCTCCCGCGGGCTCTGCCCAAGCCTCCCAGGCTTTCCGAGAAGCCTGGAGAAGACTCAGCCACGAGCCTCGACCGGGCTGCCGCAAAGGTCTCGGGGCGGGTCGAGGGGGGCCCGCGGTCCCGAAACAGTCCGGCGCCCGTTATGGGTTTTTCTATGTTCTTGCGGCAGTTTGGAGCCGTCTTTGAGTGTCTTCAAAATGACAGGCGGAAATGCCTCAGATTGATCAAATTCGCACAGTGTCGACCCCTCGCCGACAAGGCCCGCAGCGTCTTCACTTCGTTGGGGAGATGGATCTTCTCTCCCTGATGAACGAAACCAGAAGCGACCCCGGCCGCGTGTGGATTCTAGTCGCCAGAGCTCCCCGACCCCGGGCCGGCTCCTGGGCTTGAAGCAGTCTAGCTCCCCGCTGGAGCGTTCTGAAAGACAAAGACGGGCAGCGCACTGCACTCGCCTCATAACCCACCGCCAGCCACCGCGCGGCGCCCTCGAATCTCGGGAGCGAACCAAGCACGAAGAAGACCGAGGCGGACACACTGCGCACGCAGTCCAGTCCAGCCCGCCACCAGCCACCGCCGCGCGCCCTCGAATCTCCTGGAAGAGAGGGAAACGAGTGGGGAACAGAAGAGAAGACAAAGGCAACACAGGCGGGACCGCGCTGACCGTGTCAGCATTGAAGGACCACGCGCAGCCAAAGCCGCAGCACCCACCGCCATACCATGCCCCGCCCAAGTCCCTCCCCTTGCCTCTCTTGTTCTTCTCCCCGCTTCGTTCTCGCTACTCGGGATTCGAGGGCGCGCTGCGGTGGCTGCTGGCCGCGGGGTCCCTGCGGTTTGGAAAACACAAGAAAAAGAAGAGAGAAGAGCCGAGAAGACGCACGCGCAGCGCGTCGCAGCCTGCCCGGCTCCGGCCCCAGACACAGCCTGCCCGGCTCCGGCCCCAGACTCAGCGCAAGCGGCAGGCCTGGCCCGGGTTTCGAGCATGCTGCGGGCTTCGGCCTCGCTTCGGGCTCCGGGCGTGCTTTGGGCGCGTCTGTTTGGTTTGAAGGCCGGGCGGGCTCCCGTCGGGTTTGGTCGGTTTGGGTTTGGTTTAGGCAAGCGCCTGGGCCGAGGCCTGGCGAGCTGGGCCCGGTGTGGGTTTGGTCTGCGTTTTGCCTGGGTTTGGTTGGAATAAGTTCGGCCCACGGCTAAGCCTGGCCCGGGTCTGGGTTCGGTTAGGCCTGAGCCTGCTTCGGGTTTGTTCCCGGTTTGGGTTCGGGTTTGGGTTCGGGTTTGGGTTCGGGTCTGGTTTGGGTCTGGTTTGGGTCTGGTTTGGTTTGGGTTTGGGTTTGGTTTGGTTTGGTTTGGGTTTGGTTTGGGTTTGGTTTGGGTTTGGGTTTGGTTTGGGTTTGGTTTGGGTTTGGTTT